CCCCCCCCCCACTCTTTTGAAAAACTCACCTAATACTAGTCATCGGTACCACTTTCAGAAACCCGATACTCAATCCAGTATAGAAGCCCCTCCAACCCCCCGTCTTCCAAATCCAAGCAACCGTCTCTTTAAACCCAACCATTGTACCCGGTCGTACCACTGCAGCTACCTGTTGTCTACGACGAACCACCTCAAATGGATAGGCGGCAGTTTGGGAAATGGCTCCTGCCAAGGCGCCAGAGGTTAGGTCGATGCTTGTCTTGGAGGGACGCCAGGTGGTGTACTCGTTTGAAGGTGAGGAAGGGGAGTCCCCTCTTGGCGTGGGCGTGGAAGGAGAGGTAGGTGTAGCCACGCCGAAGAAGTTCTGCAAGAGGGATTTGCACCGGCCAAAGACTAGAAAGGAAGTACCTGCATAGGGAACCATACCTAGCACCGTTACCGAGAAGCCCCTGTAGAATTTCATCATCGGGAAGCGCTTTAGGAGACTATTGGCCGTCTGAACGCTCGCTGTAGGTGCAGAAGGCGGGACGGGAGTAGAAGCCGTAGCGCCTTGTGCTAGAGCCCGGTTTTGGGCGGCTTCGATGGACATGGTCGCTGCGCCAGTAGCGCTACCAGTAGCGCTAGCCGCCCCGCCTTCGACCGTCTTGGTAGCACCTGCTGCTGCTGCTGCTCTCCTCCTTGCATCGCCAGAAAAAGGCGCCTCGGTTGTCCCCTCTGTATAAATCTGCCTCACGATCCTACGCAACGACCCCCTCTCCACTTTCCTCCTCTTCGTCTCAAATGCCAATCTCACTCGAATCAATTCGAGTGGATAAGTAAGAAAGACGGAAAGAACTCCCGAAGTGGCTCCAGCTAGAAAGAGACGAGCAGACGTCTCTGATTCTCTTGTGGGCATGAGGAGAAAGTGAAGCTTATCGTAGGCCATGTACTTGATGGCCGCATAAGGGAAGATTCGCATTAGAGTTGCCGAGTGACCTCTGAATAGACCACCTACACCAGATTCAGAGGCAATTTCTCGTCCAGCGCGAAAGACGCCTAGCCAGTGACCGGAGTACTTTTGAAATTCGGGGTTTTGAGCTTGGAAGAGGATCTTGACACGGTCGAGGGGAGCAATGGCCGTCTTGGCCTGTTTTGCAGGTAAAGCCAGAGCGGGTTCAGAGGGTCAGAGGAGGAGAGACAGAGGGGAGGAGACGCCTTCGTCCCATCGCTTAGCTCAACTCAACGCTACTCACCACACAACCAGCCACCCCTCCTGCGATGCCGCTACGTATCACATAGTCCATCGTCTGCTTATCTCTCCTCGGTCTCTGGTCACCAGACCTTTCTCTCCGCCCCTCATCGTCTGCCGCCCCCCTTTGCCCACCATCAGCAAGAGCTTGCGGATCTGATCTCAGACTGAGCGATGCTGACCGAGTAGTCCTGTGGGGATGAGGCCCCGAGGCATTCGTTACATCGTCCGTCTCGCATACCGCTAGGATGGGGTATCGCGCTGAGCTATAGGCTGGGAGCGTGCCCTCGCTAAGCTGGGACTGTGGTGGGAAGGGGTTCCCTCTTGTGATTGGAGGCGATAGAGCGTCGCTGTGATGCAAAGTAGAGGAGGAGGAGGTCCGCCGCATGAACTGGGTAGACCAAGAAGATGAGGAGGAGGGAGAGGAGGAGGAGGAGGAACTTCCGGAGGAGGATTGCCAAGGTGCGGAGGGCCCTGCCTGGCCCAAGTATCCCACTGCCATGTATCCAAGGCTCTGTTGTATACTCCGAGGCTGCAGACGCAAAGATGAAGAGGCGCAAGATGACGAGGAGGAGGAGGAGGAGGACGCCGCCGATGGAGAAGAATATGCAGCAGCCGGGTACCGGTTCGCCCTCTGCTGCTGCTGCTGCTGCATTTCCCGGAGCGGATCCCGAGGGATGGTGGAGCTTTGCAGCAGCACCTCGTGTGAGCTTGCACCATCCACGTCCATGTCCATGTCCATGTCCATGACTTGCAATGCCACTAGCAGCAAATGGAGATTCTCTCGCACTGGGGAGACTACGTTTCAAGTCTCGGTGCAAATTCAAGCGCCAAGTCTACAAGGCCCTTAACGGCTAAGTAATCGAATGGAAGAAGTCCTCCCACCTCGACGCCCTACGCCTCCTCTCCGCCGTCACCCCTCTCAGCCCAGTCAGTCCGTCCGTCCGTCCGTCCGGCATTCCGGATTTGAAACCAGACCAGACCAGACCAGGCCGCACCCCCGCCCGCCCGCACTTCCGTCCGGCCCCCCGGCCCCGCGGCCCTCCACGCCCCCGCATTCTTCGCGTCATTCACCTCGCTCCACAGGAGGCCTCACATCGCACATCGCACATCGCACATCGCAAAGAGTTGCCGAGTCACCGAGTAAAGGGGTGTGGTCACACTAGTAGGCCAGGCCAGACCAGAACAGATTGGAAGAACCGCAACGTACTCGAGAGATGGGGGGTTGCAAAAGGAGGAATGTCAAGTAAAACTCAAGAGGGTCGAATTGATCGGCGCCAGAGAGACGAAGAGGTAGACAGGAGGACAGGAGTGACAGGAGAGCAAGACGAAGAGACGGAGGTAAGGAGAGGGTGAGGATGAGAGTGAAAGAAGAGCGATGAGCAAAGGACAAAGCTGACAAGGGCGAGTGCGTTCTTGTACAACCTGCACAGCTTGCTTGATTTGGCCAGCAGGACGTCGACTTGGAACCTAGAGCTCCTTGAGCTTCCTCTCCTTCTCTCTTCCTTTCCCTCTTGGCCCTTTAGTCCTTCCCTTCGTCTTGAATCCCAATCTCCGAGTTGCGGGCAGGGCTCGCACCAGCTCTCGTTCGTTCGCTCATTTGCTCGCTCGCTCTGCCTCTCTAAAGACTCGCAGATCTTCATCCCGATCTGCCTGACTGTCTGCCACTCAAAGACGCCTGGCGAGCGAGCAGAGCTTGATTGCAAACGTTCCGAATTGCTCGCTTGCTGGACCCCTCTCTGTCATCTGCCACTTGACCCTTCTCCCTCTGCCTTGTGCCGGCCGCCAGCTGACCTTTGAACGGATGCTGGATGCGCTGAAATCTTGTCGCACTGAATTCCTGGAGTGCCCTTCCTTCCTTTGCCCTAGTCGTCTCCGATCCTTACGCTCTCCTCTTTGCGGATCGAACACCCAAACGCCAAACCCTATCCCGCGTGTCTGTTGTCTCGATGAAGCTTGAAGTCCTGCTTGTGTTCTCATTGATCCCCATTCACCTTCACCTCCACTACCCAACGATTGCCTTTCTCCTCCCTTTTCTCCCTCTCTCTCTCCTTGCCGCGCGCGTGCTCAATCCAGCGAGACCTTCATGCTCTCCAGGCTGACCGGCTCAAAGTTGTTGATGTCGATCCCTCGCGCCAGCAGTCCTTCCTTTGCGTCTTCTGGCACCAGCCGGGCGTTCAGATCCGGTCGGATGCTCAACTCTTCCCTGGTAAAGTTGAAGAGCTCAGGCATGTCCCTGCCATTGGGCATCTTCCTGTCTCCTGTGCGCAGCTCGTCGAAGAAGGGGTGCGTCATGGCCTCAATGGCCGTCAGCCTGGCGCTGGGTGTGTACTCCAGCAGATGCGAGATCAGATCGATGGCATCATTGGGTGTGCGGGGACGGAAGACCTTGGAGAAGGGGTGCGGCCTGATTTGCGGGAACTTGTGCTCCATGTAATTGGGGTTCATCGTCTTGATCTGTTCTCTCGAAGGGGTACCGAGGACCTTGATGATTTCTACAAGTTGATCGATACCTGACTCTCCGGGGAACAGCGGTTGTCCTTGCATCAGCTCGGCCATCACACATCCTGTCGACCAGATGTCTGGAGGGGTGAGAGTAGGGCGAGGGGATCGGAGAATTTCAGACAGGTCAGTATGACTGGCCTCTGGCTCCTGTGCAGCTCGACAAGCCTCTCATTACTCACCAATGTTCGTCGTGTAGTTTGTGGCACCAAAGATGAGCTCTGGGGCTCGGTAGTATCTCGAGCAGATGTACGACACATTCGGCTCTCCAGCCACGAGGATCTTGGCAGAGCCAAAGTCGCACAGCTTCAGGATGCCGGTCGCAGGGTTGAGTAGCAGATTCTGGGGCTTGATGTCTCGGTGGCAGATACCAATCGAGTGGATGTAGGCGAGGGAGCGTAGGAGCTGGTACATGTACAGCTTGATCAGCAGCATGGGCATAGTTTGCTTCAGCTTGGCGTAGTGACGAGATGACCTGTACACGGTCTCTGGCACGAACTCCAGCACCAGGTTGAGGAACACTTCATCCTTCTTAGAGAGGGGAAAGTGGAGCAGAAGCGCGTAGGGATGAGTTTCTCTTCCGCGATGCTCGCCACGCACCTTCACTGTCCTGCGCTCCCCCACTCACCTTGTCTCCGTTGGAGTAGAAGAATGCTCTGAGGTCTACTACATTGGGGTGCTTTACGATGCGCATAATTTGCAGCTCACGATTCTGTAAGCAACGAGGGAAACAACGTTTGCGTCAGTATCACGAGAGCTGACAAGGAACGAGAGCACATAGCGTGACGCCCCTGTACGTAGGAGACCGGTGTGCCTGTTTTGAGCCACTTACCTTGAATCTCTTGTCCTGCAATACCTTCTTGATGGCCACGTCCTCCTGGCTGTCCTTGGAAGCACCAGCGGCAGCTCCCTGATCCTGACTAGCTCCTGCGCCCTCTACCAAGTTGCCATTTCCTCCTGACACGACGCGGGCCTGGAACACGACACCAAAGGATCCGTTTCCGATGACCTTGCAATTTGTGTAGGCCAGCTCCCTCGGCTCGCCGGATTTACCGTCGGAGGCTGTCACGCGCACTACCTTGAGCGGGTCGCCCATTGCTGATTTAGAGGTACAGAGGGAGGGCAGAGGAAGGTGAAAGAACATGTTAGTACCTGTTCATCGAGGGGCGGGTGGGGCGGAGCGAGAGCGGTGGTAGCTCCCTCCCTACAAAAGGGGTCATGGACAAGGGGAGAGACTGGAGGGACTAGAGCGCTGCCTTGCCTGGAAGTCTGTACCTTGCTCACTGCGACGAGGACCTCGCACGGGCGGTATGTGCTCTGATCGTAGCTCCTCACGCTTGGGGACATTACCTCGGCAGGAAGATGGGCGCTGAATGCAGGCGGGCTAGATCAACCCAGCACGGGCCCCCCTCTCGAGCCAGACTGTGAGGCCAGTGGGGGTTGGCTGATGGTCCAGCAACAGGCGAGATGTCCCTCTCGGCAGCTGTTGCACCCCTCTACTCTTCCCCTATTCCCCTCCTTGGCACCACATTCGAGGGAATACTCACGATCGAGACCATTTGAGCGGGACATGATGTGTGTAGCTTGGAAGCGATGACCCTCGATGCAAGGGTTGGCTGTCCTGCTAGTGGAGTGGGACGAGAATCCGTGAAGAGGCTGCTGGACAGAGACGGTGCTGCTGAGCTGGCTGTTGGTGTGCAGGGTCTGCTAGCAGAGGTGTGTAGGTGGTAGGGAGGGCGGAGAGGAGGTGGAGATGTGTTGCGAGTGAGGCAGGTGTGGTCTGTCTCTGTGTGGTGCTTGTGCTTGTGGGTGTGGGTTTGTTTAGGGCAGTGGTGCTATCGACGACTACTCGAGTACGACTGGTAGCGAATTGTTGAGGCTGAAGAGGACAGCAGTGGTGGTCGTGGTGGTGTGATGGGGCGTGTGGGGGAAGAGCAAGGGGGGGGGAGGCAGACGAGTGTGTGTGTCTGCCAGGCGGGAGCAGCAGAGCGCGGGCGAGGGCAGGCGTGGCAGCGCGCTTGGATGCTTGGTCGCCTCGCAGGCGCACGGCAGGTCAGGTGCCCCCCCTGCGCCTTGGCCAGGGCGTGGCTGAGGGGCGGGCGGCCGCCTGTCCTCCCGCTGCTGCAGACCGTGTCAGGCTGCCTCGCTCGTCCTACTCCGCTCGCCCGTCTGCCTGCCTACGCCTCCTGGCCTGTCTGCCTCTCCCCCCGCGTGTTCACCCCGCCGGCCCGCTTCTGATGGTTGGATAGTAGTAAAGAAAAAAGTGAAATTTCCCCACCTCGACGTAGTGCTCTTGAGCTGACTGACCAACTGACAGCTCAGCCTCTCGAGGTTCACTATGGCCCGCCAGATCGATTGACAGACCGACGTCCCTGGCTGCTCACTGACGCAATGTCCACGCCCGTGCCCCCTTAGCCACCCCTCTCTCCCACTCGGAACCGGAAGCGCAAAGGGCTGGCTGGGGAGGGATGAGGAGCTGTCGTCCTGCGCGCGTGGCTCAGCCTCAGGGCCCATCCGAGCCAACCCAATTCAAGGTCCGTCCCTCCGCGTGGGCCACTTCCTCCTCCTCCTCCTCCATCTCGGTCGATGTAGAGAGGTGCGAGGGAGACAGGCGTGTCATCTCTTTCCGAAGCAACCTTCATCGATTCAGTCTACTCGCCGAATACTGCCAGCTACAAGAGTGACGAAGCTGAGATTATACCATGGTGAGTACTCTTGCAGAGATGACAACTCCAAATGCACCCTCTCCGTCTAGTATTCATCCCATCTGACCCCTTCCTCACATCCCCCCTTCCCCCCTCTCCCCTCGCAGCTCATCTTCTCCTTCTTCAAGACCCTCACAGGTCAACCCATCACAATCGAGCTCAAGAATGACGTAGCCATCACAGGGACACTCAAGTCTGTAGATCAGTTCCTCAACTTTAGGATAGAGAATCTCAGAGTCGTGGGGAATGAGTCGGTGGAGAGGGCGATGCTAGAGGGGGGAGCGGGAGGGGAAGTGGATGCAGAGAAGGCTAGGTGGCCACACCTTGTAAGTGTCAGATGGCCTGGTGAAAGGGACACGAACGGCGAGCTTACACGTGCCCACCTGCTCCCCTGATCCTTCACGCACTCTCTTCTTCAGCTCGCACTCAAGTCTGCATTCATTAGAGGTTCAGTAGTCCGATATGTCCATGTACCCGCAGGAGCAGTGGATACGCAGCTGCTTGAGGATGCAACACGGAGAGGTCAGTAGGGAACATCTATTCCAACGCTTTCTGCTGCAAATAGAGAAGCTGACTCCTCCAACGTTGCCCTTTTCCTCTGCAGAAGCATCATCGGGCAAGAAATGAGAAGGGAAAGTGCAGGACTGTGGACGGACGACTATGACAGCAATAGATATCACACACCATCACATCATCATCACGCCGAGTGCAACTGCAGCTCGATCTTACAGCTCTCTTTGACAGCTCCACAATTGCTCTATGCATTGACGTTTCTTCCCCTCCCTCTCTCTCACATCAAGCTCTCTCTGGCTCCAATTTCCTTACTAGCCTCTCCATCACCAAACTCCCCACCCCTCTTCTCACCAGCAAACTCTCGATAGATTCTCTCCAGTCTTCTTCGCTCGTGCGCAGGGACACTAGGCCGCATAGAGGCTAGGGAGCGCTCTAGATGGTGGGCAGTGACGACCTTGGAGCGCGATGATGCGGGTTTGACTAGCGCGGAAGAGGAGGAGGTAGTAGCAGCGCCATTGTCGCCATTGACGCGTACGGGGTTGGTCTTCCCACTGGCAGTGGCAGATGTAGAGTTGGAGCTCGACTTGCGAGAGTTTCTCAAGGCCAACTCCAGACGTCTACGCAGCGCTTGCTCCTCTGCCCCGCTCCTCTTCATCCCTACTGGCCCCGCTAAGCCATCCTTTGCCCCTTGTTGACCCGTGTACTCTACGAAGCGCAACGAGCTTCCGTCTCCCTCTTTTGCTTCCCCACTACTACCGTCATCACCACCCTCGGCTCGTAAGGCTTGCGCATCAGCAATGCCCTCGTGCACCACCTCTAAATGCGCATTGTACACAAATGCCTGCAAGTCGGCTCCACTGAACCCTTCTGTCTTTCCAGCCCAGTACTCCCATTCCACGGTAGGATCCACGGCAATCTTTCCCTCGCGCACAACAGCACGGAGGATATCAGCTCGATCCTCCCCCGAGGGCATATCGCAGAGCAGACTCTTATCCAGTCTCCCCGGACGAAGAAGTGCCGAATCGATTAGATCCGGGCGGGAAGTGGCGGCGAGGACGTACACTCCCGAGAGACCTTCTGCACCATCCATTTGAGTCAGGAGCTGATTGACCACTCGATCTGTTACACCGGTAGAGTCGTGACCACGCTTGGGAGCGATACTGTCGAATTCGTCGAAGAAGAGGACACAGGGCTTGGCGGAGGAGGCACGCTCGAAGAGGTCGCGAACCTGGAAGGAAAGGGAGGGTACACAAAATGTTAATTGTCTGAAGGTCGCCCCACCAAGAGACTCAGCTCCTCATTCCGGCTTGGGACTCACGCTCTTTTCGCTCGCTCCGATGTACTTATTGAGCAGCTCAGGTCCTTTTACGCTAACGAAATTGGCTCCACACTCCTTTGCCACTGCACTGGCCAGCATCGTCTTACCACACCCCGGATATCCATACAGCAGTAGACCACTACGCAATCTCAGCGGACACCCTTCGAAGATTTGAGCGTACCGAGCAGGGAATTCGAGCGTCTCGCGTAGTACACGACGCGTTTGTGAAAGACCGCCGATGGAAGACCAGCTGACCGAGGAGGTGGAAAGGGAGAGGGAGCGCAACGAGAGCGGGGTGAAGTTCTCTTGAGCTGAGGTGAAGTCTTGCGGTAGGAGGGTGAGAGGAGGATAGGACGAGCGGCCTTGAAGAGGAACGTGGCCGTTGATCTGGGACTGTGAGACTGCATTCGACGCTGTAGAGGAAATATCTGCGGAGCCAAGACGCACAGCGGCTCGGTAGATGCTTCGGTCTACCAGGTCTACAAGATCGGCAGGAAGGTAACCTTCCGTCTGCGAAGCGAGATGCACGGTGTTGAGAGAAGGGTCAGCGACGATGCGACCTCCTTGGCCCTCAGTCTCTTGCGACTTGAGTGACTTGAGCTTGATGAGATGGCCCAAGATCTGTAGAAGTTGAACATGGTCAGTATCAGTGATATGATAGCGACCACAAGGCTCTTTGTATCAGGATGGACTTACTTCGCTACGTTCCCCTTTCCCAGGCGGCTTGGCACTGAGGGTATCGTTCCAAAAATGCTTCTCGACCAGCAGCTTATGCAAGCTCGTATTTGAGAGAGCCGTGCCCAGAACAATCGCATTGCCGCTCCCACTCTGAGAGAAGATCTGAACGAAACACTCCGCCATGGTCCGCGCCCTCGTCGGGTCAACATTTTCCACCTCGCCGATGAGCACCTTGTCCAGATTGTCGAGCATCAGGATGGCTCCTGAACTGGAGTGGGCGTACCAGTCTAAGGCATCCTTCCACTCTTGAAAAGTCGCCTTGAGCTGAGAGACTCGCTGCTCGACGAGTGAGGTACAGTCGACGTACAGAGTCGTGTTCAACGATGAATGTAGAGAAGATGCCAAAGTGTGGAGGATGGACGTCTTGCCTACTCCAGATGGCCCGTGTAGGAGGATATTGTTGTTCGTAGAAGACGAAGCGCTCCGAGTTGATAACGAATGTGACATCACCGATGTCAGGACCTGCTCACGGAGAGTTGAAAGCAGAGACGATACACCCGCCAGGGCAGGTGCGTCGGCTTGTTCGCTCAGGCTCGGTGCATTTTGTATCCTCTCTGAGGAGCGTACGGGAGGCGAGGTAGCACTTCCTCCAGGTGGTGGAGCCGAAAAGCTGGGGTGTCATGGCAAAAGCCTTGAGGATACGTTAGAGACATTTGATGGCACACAGACCTAGTCGCACCCGCTCTTACTCACCACACAGTCTCTCCTATTCCTACCCCTCCAAGCTTCTGTCTCAAGGCTGAATTGAGCCAGATCCACCGCCGCGGCCAAGGACCAGCGGAGGATCCTTTCAAGGTCCGTCCCTGAGCGACGTATGCAGTTGCGGTTGGTCTGCTTGGCTTGAGCTCGCTGCCCGGGGCTTGATTCTCATCGTCCCCGCCTGCTTTGCTCTTGGAAGGCCTACAAAGCGGCCGTATCCTTGGCGCCGAAGGACAGGGCTGGACATTGATGGTAGCTCTTGTCCAGCTGGCGCTGCCTCCGGCAAAGGCTTGGGCGATCAAAGCCCAGTCAGAGTCTGAAGCCTCCTCCTCGCGATCACCTGAGCCAAAGACAGCCATCGGCGCATCACCGTCAGCTTCGAGAGTATCGTCTGTCAGAATAGGGATGACATCAGGCGGGAGGACTTTGTAGAGCCTGTTCTTCAGCATGGCTCGAGAAGCCATGACACTATCGAGGTCCCTAGAAGTAGAGGGACCAGCGCCATTGGCATTCAGACTGTGGGATTGCTGGGCTGCGGCATCTGCCAGAGATTGTCTAGTCCTGGGAGCGATGACAATCTCCGTATTTGTCGTCAGACGAACGGCTCGAGCGGCAGCCTTCTCGGAGCTGGTAGATCCACTTGAAACGGATGAGGTTGTTGGCTCCGTAGCATCTATCAGAGAGCAGCATCAGGCGTGCGTTAGCGCAAGGCGGGCAGGAACTTCGTGATAGCAGCCTCGCCATACATACCGACGCTGAACCAGCATTCCTGACCGCCTCCCCTGCCAACAAAGATACACACTCTCGACCCTACAGATACAGCTCTCACTTGGCTCAGCATATTGTCCTCTACCGCCCCTGCATTCTGACTCAAGAGCTCCCAGTCATCAGGCGTCAAGGGGGTCAGATCCACACGGGTAGCAGTTGGGAGCGGAGGAGACCTGAGTAGGGTCAGCTGATAGTTTGAAGAAGCCTGGGCTGATGGTTGGAAGAGATTCGCTAGTGATGCCGAGAGCGCCAGGGTCGAGTCGAGATTGCTTGATTGACCGGACCATCCCAGGTAGACTGTATGCCTGTCTTCACCGGCGCTCTCGCCGCTGTCTGGTACTGCCTTGCCTTGGCCTTTCCCGGAGAACTGGTCATCTGTGACCCTCGTGAGTTGCAGTACAATGTTCTGAGGGGGTATATCGCGAGAGACCAGGGCTGTATGCACGGAAGGTGGTAGGTCTGCTAGCGAGGAACGCAAGTTGGAGTCGAAGGAGAGCCCAACTGAGGTCGCTCTGCCCGATGAAGATGACGAAGAAGCTACCGGCCTGCGGCGCGACGGGGAGGACGACGAAGACATGGTCAGGGACACGGCACTGCACCAGTCCAAGCGCTCATACACAAGTAGCGAGGAGTCTTGGGAGGAGGTGCAGCATCCCCACGTCGAGAAGAAGCCGGTGGGTTATCCGGAATCGGATCGGAAGCGACGGCGGCCGGCAGCGATCAAGTCACAACGCCTCGCAGCCTTTTTTGAAATCAAGGCAAGCGGCCCCCGCCACGGCCTTCTTTGTCCGCCTTTACCGCCAGACGCCCGCCAGACGCCCGAGCTTCTTGTTCCTCCTCATCTTACCAGCAAGACCTCAGCTCGACAAGCAATCCTCCCCCTACACACCACCACCATGCTTCCTCCAAGGGGCATGCGGATCCGTCTTGCGGCGCCTCGCTCCTCTTCCTGCGCCACAAGTCGAAGTCTCGCCACGGCCGCTCCCCCGACCTTCCACCCTACGCGCCTGCCGCCTTACCAGACGCTGCTCAACAACCTCGAGACTGTGCGAAAGGTCACGGACAACCAGCCCCTCTCTCTCGCTGAGAAGATTCTCTTCTCGCATGTGAGGAACCCAGAAGAAGTTCTCGCAAGAGCGGGCAATGTTCGGGACTTCAGAGGCAAGGAATACTTGCCGCTCAAGGTCGATCGGTTAGCAATGCAAGGTGAGTAGCCAGAGACCATACCGTCGGTGGACGCAAAGGGAAGCAGCTCGTTGTCGAAGTCAGAGAGCCTCATAGCTCACATTCTCGCAATCCAACATCCTCCGCATTCTTGCTCTTTCACCACCTAGATGCTTCTGCACAAATGGCTCTACTGCAATTCATGACTTGCGGGTTACCTCAGACGGCTGTGCCCGCCTCCGTACACTGTGACCACCTGATCCAGGCCTTCGAGGGGGCCGAGGCTGATCTCAAGGTGAGTATTTAAATAGCATGGCTAGCGTTCCATGACTTGTGCAGTGCTTAATGCCCGCTGCCCTCTTCTGCATCGCAGCGCTCCATTGCCTCCAACCACGAGGTCTTCAAGTTCCTCGAGTCGGCGAGCAAGAAGTACGGCATTGAATTCTGGGCACCTGGCAGTGGTATCATTCACCAGATCGTTCTGGAGAACTACGCCGCCCCAGGTCTGCTGATGCTGGGTACCGACTCCCACACGCCCAATGCTTCGGGCATGGGATGCCTGGCCATTGGTGTGGGAGGCGCTGATGCCGTGGATGCTCTCACAGATACACCTTGGGAGCTTTTGACCCCTCGTCTTCTCAATGTTCATCTCACTGGTACACTGTCGCCCTGGTGCACACCCAAGGACATCATCCTGCACCTCGTCTCGCGCCTCACCGTTCGAGGAGGAACAGGACGAATTGTCGAGTACTCCGGCCCAGGGTTGGAGTCTCTTCCCGCCACAGGATTGGCTACAATGAGCAACATGGGAGCAGAGGTCGGAGCGACCACTAGCTGTTTCGGGTACAATGATGCAATGGGCAGGTACCTCGATGCTACAGGGCGAAGTGAGGTCAAGGCCGGTGCTCAAGGCGCCGCTGCCCGAGGCCTTCTGTCCGCCGACAAAGGCGCAGAGTACGACGAGCGCATCGAGATCAACCTTGACACCTTGGAGCCCTGCCTCAACGGACCTTTCACTCCAGACTTGTCGACTAGCATCTCAGAGTACACCACTCGCGCCAAGGATGCCAAGGCTAGAGACCACCCTCTGGAGCTTTCGGCCGCGCTGATTGGTTCGTGCACCAACTCATCATACAATGACCTGGCCAGATGCTCTTCTCTCGCCAAGCAGGCTTTGGACAGGGGCATGAAGGTCAAGTGTAGCTTCGATGTCACTCCGGGAAGTGAGCAGGTTCGAGCTACTGTCGAGAGAGACGGCATTACCAGCATCATGGAGCAAGTCGGAGGCAGGGTTCTGGCTAATGCCTGTGGACCCTGCATCGGGCAGTGGGACCGCAAGGAATGCCAGGGAGAGGAGAACGTCATTCTGACTTCCTTCAACCGAAACTTCCGATCGCGAAACGATGGCAACTCGAAGACACACAACATGCTGGCTTCACCGGAGATTGTTACTGCGATGGCTTTCGCAGGCCGCCTCGACTTCAACCCCATGACCGACTCTTTGACGGCTCCAGATGGCAAGCCCTTCAAGTTCGATCCGCCCGTGGGAGAAGAGCTGCCGACCAATGGCTTCACTCCTGGAGAGGCAGCGTACCTGCCTTTCCCAGCTCCTGAGCCTCAGCCTGATGTCGAGATTGCAATCGACCCTACCTCGACCCGTCTTGAGCATCTACAGCCATTCGGTAGCGCCTTCTCCGAGGGCAAGTACGAGCTCGACGGCCTTCGCTGTCTCATGAGAATCAAGGGCAAGTGCACCACCGACCACATCTCTGCTGCTGGACCGTGGCTGAAGTACAAGGGACACCTATCCAACCTCGCCGAGAACACTCTGATCGGTGCTACTAATGCAGAGACCGATCGAGTCAATTCTGCTGTAGACTACGAGACCGGCAAGGAGGACACAATCCCTAATGTCGCTAAGGCGTTCAAGGCGAGGAATCAGCCTTGGGTCCTGGTAGCCGATCACAATTACGGTGAGGGCTCAGCACGAGAGCATGCTGCGCTGCAGCCTCGATTCTTCGGCTGCCAAGTCATTGTTGCTCGATCTCTCGCTCGTATTGCAGAGACCAACTTGCGTAAGCAAGGCGTGCTGACACTGCTATTCGCCAATGAGAGCGACTACGAGCTGATCAGTGCCGGCGACGAGATCTCGACCAAGGGTCTCGAGCCATTGATGAAGCCCAACGGAGACTTGACTGCTCAAGTCACCCTTGTAGTTCGTAAGCCTGACGGAAAGGTCCTCGAGATTCCTACCAAGCATACCCTGAGCAAGGCGCACATCGACTGGATCAGGGCGGGTAGCGCTCTCAATGTCATCAGAGAACAAGCAACGCAGTCCTCGCCCTCTTCGTCTGGCTCGGGTGCCGGTCTCTTCGGCTCGTCGTCGAGGGCTGGCGGAAGCTCGGCTCGAGCATACTCGACTTTTGCATCGACTGGTGCTCGGAGAGGATATGCCACCGGCGCCAAGCCCAGTGGCAATGCGTCGAAGCTGAATCCCAACGACCCTCGCTATGTGCCCCCGGCGTCAGACACCAGGACAGACGCTCTGCGCAGGATGGTCTACCCTCCGGCTGCGGATGCTGAATCCAGCCGTCGCAAGGCTCAGGTCCCCGAGACGCTGGACGAGGCTCTGCCATACGGTCGGGAGGTTCACGAGACCATCGATCGAGCATGGAAGCTGTTCCAACGCACGAGGAGGGAAGCTCTGAGCGAGGATCTCAGGGTGAAGAGGGAGAGGATGGCCGAGGCTGTAGCAGATCTGAGGTCCGAGGACGCTAGACTGTACAGGGCGGCCACGTACCGTGTTGCACCTACGAGAAGGTCACCCTCTGAGCAGGCTGCCTTGATCGAGTTGGGCGTCGTGGCTGCTACTGGAAAGCCTCCTGCTACCCCTTCGGCTGAGCAAAGGAGATTTGCCAGGTCGATGCTGGGTAGGAGGCTGGAGGGCATGTTCCCTCGAGAGATGAGGGTGCCTACTGTGACGCCTGCTCGCAAGATTTGGAACACCGGAGAGTAGAGTGCCATTGGTGTTCCCCTGCATAGGAGTCGTCTGCGCAAATGTCATATCTGTCATCTCATCAGTACTGTTGCGATTGTGCCACCATGTCGCCTATCCTTGTAGTCTGACCTGTCTGCCCCAATCGAGGGACGGGAGTGGGGCGTGGTCCATCTGCTCCCGCACTCGAGGTGAGATCGCCGGACCCCCGCGCGGAGTTGAGTGGTGGAAGCGTCAAAGGCTGGCGGCGGCGGCGGGGTGGAGCTGCTGCTGCTGCTCCTCCTCCTCCTCGGCGCTTTCAAAGGCAATGCTGTCAGGCAGGCAGTCACTCCTTCCTCCATTGGTATCCATCTACACGCCCAGCACCTCCTTGTCACAGAAGGTGTGGTGCTGAGACGACATCATCCTCATCGATAGACACAAGCATCCTGTCAGCTCCATACGCGTCTCCACACTTCTGCCAATCGATGCTGTGAGCAAACCCTACAGGTGCCACGTACACGACTCCCCCGCTTTCCCAAACCACCTAATCGAGGTTTGGAGCGAATCAAGGTTCTGGCCCCAGAATCTCACTTCTGCTTAGACCAGAACCATGTCAGAGCCAGTCTCATCTTCGTCTCCCGCCTCGGAGGCAGAGCCATCAGCGGCCGAGAAGGCGCGCCGGCAAAGCCTGCTCCACGCTGCTTCCCTCTTCGGCAGCGATGGAGATGATCCCTTTGCGTCTATTAGTACGCAAGGGCTAGAGCCTACGGCAGAAGAAGACGAGACGATCACACACGATCAGGTCGTCGAACCGAGCGCGCCTGCCGAGCCAGTCGTGGCCTCAGCTGAGGAGAAGGTAGCTACACCTGACCTCTTCGGCGAATCTGACGCACCGGACGACTGGCTGGGAAACTCTGGAGGAGTCGAACAGCCCGGATATACCGATCAGTCATCATGGCCGCAAGGCTCCGAGTATCCTGCCCACGCTACCGGCGAGGCCTGGCCCCCATTGGATGAGAATGCGAATGGAGAGCAGAGCGGGTACTATGAGCAGCAGGGCTACTCTGCTCAAGCCGGCTATGAGGGACAGAACTATGACTGGAGCCAGCAGCAGCATCAACAAGAGGGAGGCGACACATACAACTGGGACCAGCAAGCGCAGAATGGAGAAGCATCGTATGATTGGTACCAAGAGAATGGCCATGACGCTGCTGCTGGTCCATCGGATCCTTACGCTCCTCGCGCTGGTGAAGCGGAGCAGTACAGTGCCCACGGAGCTTCACAGCCTGCTCAAGCCTATGAACACGCTTCTGCAGAAGCCCAGTACGACTCTTCCCAGTATGCTCCGCAAGAACAGCAGCCTGGTGAATGGTATCAGCTGCCGAATGGCGAATGGGCTCAGACCACCAATGAATGGCCACAGCAAGAGGAGCAGCATGCAGACTACCAACAGGATCAGTACGGCTACGAGCAGCCTGCAGCTCAGTCTGAATATGAGCAGCAGTACGATGGGTACAGCTACGACCCAAGTAGTCAGCATCAGTCAGACCAGTACGGCTACGGGTCGCAGAATCAGCAGTATGACTACGCAGGCGATGCAGGACAGGGGGAATCCTACGCCCCACAGAACGAGTATCATCATGACCCTTACGCTCCACAGCAACACAATCCGTACGCCCCACAACAGCAAGACATCCCGAGCATGAACGGCGATCAAGCATACTACGGAGACGAGCGCTCTACGCACCCCCTCGGCAGCAATGAGACTGCCGAGGGGTATGCATATGGTTCTCCGCAGCCGCCTCATGCTGGAGTACAAGCGTATGATATGGTCGCACAAACTGCTTCAGCAACGTCCTACGACGGCTCCTACGATGTGTCCGACTACTCGCCAGGCGCAGCAGGAAGTTCTCATGGTATTCAGAGGGGCCCCTCTGCAGACCACTTCGACCCGTATGCGCCTCCGTCTTCTCAGAGCACGGGTCAAGATCCCTCCTCAGCATCTGCCCTCCCTCTGCAACCCCCGCCACAAGGTCCTCCACGCGGTCCGCCTCGCGGCCCTCCTCGCGGACCCCCACGGCGAAAGACTGCCGATGACCAGGTGACCTCGACCACCGCTCCTGCTCCCCTCCCTGTTGAACAGAGTGCCCTTGCCGCATCCGATGAGCCCGCAATTGCATCAAGCACAGCGGACTATGCTGCTGAAACTACCCTGCCGACCGGAAGCAAGGAAGGTCAAGAGGAGGAAGAGGTCACTGCTCAGAAGACAGGTCACTCGGACTCCTCTACCAAATTGATCTCACCGGCCGATTCGTTCCTCTTTCATCAGCCTCCCACACCGAGGTTGACGATCACTGATGAAGACGGAGCGGAAGAAACTCCGGCGGAAGTGCAATCTGCCCATAGCGAGGCTTCTGACGAGCTTGACGAGGCCACTCGGGACTTCCATGAGCTGCGACTTGGTCAGAAGAAGAAAAAGAGCTCCCGTGGCAGTCTTCGTAGGGAAGCTGGGGATCAACGGTCGCCCGGCTTCTCGGATCGTGCTGCCTCACCTGCTCTTCATGCCGAGTCGACAGCGGAAGATGAGCAAAGAGATGTGGAAGGAGAATACTTCGGATCATATGCTGCTCAGAATGGACTGCCAACAGACGAAGCACATTACAATCCCGAAGGCGGAAGCGCCGAAGCTGACCCATATGGCTCTCAAGGCCCGTACAACCACCAACAAAGTTCGATGTACGGAGGTCCCCAAAGCGTCGAAGGCGTCGAAGGTCTGCCCGCCCACGACGATACTTATGCCTCGACCGTGCTCGATCCATATGGCGCGCCGGCGGGTCACGGCGGAGTCCCTCAGTCGCAAAATGAGCAGGGCTACGACCCAGAGGGAGGGGAGCCGGAACAGAACTTCAGTCAGCAAGACACTTTTGACCGTTATGCAGCGCCTACTTCGGATGTGGATCCTTACGGAGCACCGTCAAAGGCCGATGATGACCCCTATGGGCCCTCAGCTCCTTCCGCATATGACCCCTACGCACCAAGTACAGGCACTGGCTTGCATGGTGCCGATGATTTGAGGGCAAACAGCCCTGGCTATGGAGCTGCTGCGAACAGTGAGGATGCGTACGGACCAAGCGCGTATGGCAATGATTCGTATGCAGGAGAATCAGGGTATGGTCAGGCACTGTACGGTCAGATGAATGGCATGGGTGTTGACCATCGGCTGTCCCAGGGACAGGATCCCTCCTACCCAGGCCAGTCAGACGACGAAGCAATACCCGACACACCCACCGCTGCGCGACCTCGCGAGCTGGACTATGACTACGCTGGCGCACCATACTCTCATGCTGGCAGCGCGTATGGCGGACCCGACGATGACATCAGCACCCCATACGGAGCCGCGCCATACGGCATCAGTGAGGGCATGTCCGGCATGCGTCAGGACGACCATTATTCGAATGACTCTGGAGCTCCGACAATCACACGTCAAGCAAGCTCGTACGAGCCTGTGGCTCCTGGATCGACAGGCCACGGGACACTTAGTGGGCAAGGCACAGATCCCATCGAGGAGCGCAAGAGAGCAAAGATACCCATCGTCAGCTTTGGCATCGATGGTAAGCTTGCCATCTTCTTCCCTTCATCGGGCGGACCGGCATATGAGAGCGGAGGTGCGGGAGGCTATGGCGGCTTTGGCAGCGACTCTGGTTCAAGAAATCAGATCGAGGTCAGGCAACTGTCGGAGCTGATTCCCCCGACGAGTTTTGCATCGTCTTTCGATCCTCTGCAGTTCCCGGGTCCTGCTTTTGAGAGCACTGGAGCCCCTTCCGGAGCTCTAGCTCGTGCTACAGGCTCCACTGGTGTCCCAGCTGCCGTCAAGACCAAGAAGGCTGCACTCGTCAAGTATCTGCAGGATGCCGCAGAAGGCATGGAGGCTGGTGTTTCGTATCGGAAAAAGCGGGCAAATGGAAGCGACGGTGTGGCAGATTCAGAGGCGAGGAAGGACGCACAGACTGCAGAGGACCGGATCCTGCTGATGAGACTGCTCGCGACGATGCTGGAACATGACGGGACTAATGCAGCCTTCTTCGAAGCTGCAAAAGCCTTGTTGTGCTCGAAGAACCCAGAGACAGCTGCCACTGCCTCGACCTTCGCTCCCGCATACATGGCTGACACGCAAGCCGATGACCTGGGTCCCACCATTCGGACCAACAGTGTTCGCAGCGGCTCCCTTCGACGCATTCGAGATTTGCTCGCCGCAGGCCATCGAGACGAAGCCGTCGACTTTGCCATTCAGCAGAAGATGTGGGCTCATGCCATGGTCATCGCGAGCGCCATTGACCAGGTGACTTGGCGCAAGGTGGCCAGCAGCTTCATCGAGGATGAAGTCGGCACAAGTGGCGAAGCGGATGCGGACACAAGCTCTGCCAGCTTGAAACTGATCTACAATCTCTTCTCGGGTCAAGATCCCAGTTCTATCTTCGACATATACCGGCGGCCACAAGCACTTGGTCCTGGTCAAGCCACTTCGGATACTGCTGATGGCGGTCTGACAGCCGAAGCCTCTGATTGGAAGAATGCTGCTGCAATGATCCTGGCCAATCGCTGCTCGGGAGATTCAGCTGCGTTGACGGCCATGGGAGACGGTCTGCTTCAAGGCGGCTGGCATGAGGCAGCTCACGTCTGCTACCTCCTCTCGCCGCAGACGTCTCCACTCGGAGGTGGTGGCGGCGACGGTGCTCGATTCACCTTGCTCGGCGCCCCGAGTCCGTTCGCCAGCACAGCTTTCCTCCGCGATCTGGATCACTTCATCCTCACTGAAGCTTATGAACTCTCACAAGGTCTCACGCCTACTACCAAAGGTCAAGAAGCTTACAGTGGCCTTCCTCATTTGCAGGCCTACCGCCTCGTCCATGCTTACCAGCTCGCTGAGCTTGGCGAGGCCAAACGAGCTCAGAAGTACTGCGAAGCCATTGCTAGTGTCGTGAAGGCGTCTTCTAAGCACTCACCCTACTTCCACCGAGTTCTTGTAGGACAGCTCAAGGAGTTCTCTGATCGTCTGCTGGGCGCGCCTCAACTCGATAGCGGTGGCAACTGGGTCACGCGCAAGATGCAGCGACCGACCTTGGACGGAATGCTCTCCGTCTTTGAAGGCCGCTTCACCAAGTTCATTGCTGGCGATGAGAGCACAGACAGCTCGCAAAGTACCGCGACCAAGTCCAAGCCTGGAAGCGCTGCTGGGTCTACAGTGGGTGCCTTTTCGCACTTTAGCTCCATCACACCTGAGGCTACTTCGGGCGGCATCTCGAGGGTGTCTTCCTTCACCGAGTACAGCGCCTCTACAAGTCGCCCATCTTCGCGCGCTGCCTCAGTGAGGGGCGGTGGGCTGCAAGGCCCCAATTCGACGAGCACGCCTCCGTCCTCTTACTCCTACTTGCAGCACCAGCAGCAGCAACCGCTAGGTGCCAGTCTGCCACCCTCTGGCATCCCATCCTATGCTAGCTCCCAACACTCCCGCGTATCGAGTCACGAGTCTTCATCTTTCCCGCCCACTACCAACGATCGAAATGCAAGCTACCCCTCTAGTGATGCTGGAGGCTACGGCACGCAAACGTACAGCTACGGGCAGACAGAAGCAGCACCTTGGCCCGGGCAGGCTGCTCCTGGGTCAGAGTACGGCGGAGATGCGCCATTGTATGGCTACGACAGCTCATCAGCAGCTGGCACGGGTCCCAAGCCCCAATTCATCAGCAGCCTCGGTGCAGATCTGGACCAAGGCGCTGATCCTAATGGCTTCGTCTCGCCGATGGATGTTCTGACGCCGAGCGCATCGTCGTACTCTCCTTCTTCCTATGCCTTTGATTCGCCAGTTGGTCAACAGGCGAGTGCGGGAGGTGACCAAGCTGCCTCGCGATCATGGATGGACGCGGGCGAGGATGACGAAGATCTGGGCTTCGGCAACAACAGCAATAAGAAGAAGGCGGCTCAGAACCCCGGTGGAGACGATGCCGACGAGGAGAAGACACGGGAAGAAGAGAAGCGAAAGAAGGAAGAAGAAGAGGCCAAAGCGAAGAAGGCGCAGGAGGAAGCCAGTAAGCCTGCCACGAATTCCTGGCTCGGTAGACTCTGGGGTCGTAAAGAAGCCTCTCCGGCAGCGGGTGCAGATGGGGCTACGAAAGCCGTGCAAGCTCACATGGGTGAAGAGTCTGCCTTTTACTACGACAAGGAGCTCAAGCGCTGGGTTAACAAGAAGGCTGGCGATTCAGGAGGGGCAGCAGCCACACCTCCACCACCCCCACGCGCTACTACGGCTTCACCCTCCATGGCGACAGGCGGCGGTGGAGCTGGTGGTGCGCATGGGGCAGGGAGGTCCGTCAGTGGACCTGCCAGCTCACACCGAGCAGGATCTGAGCGAGCCGCCTCGCCTTCCCCTGGTCAAGGTCAGAACTACCGCGCAGCAGGCGGCTCCAGCACTCCTTCCATCAGCGAAGGCGCAGCAGTCGGTGGCTCTTCACCAACACCCCTCTCCATGGCAGGCGGACCACGAGGTCCTCTACCCCGGGCTAGATCCAATCTCGCAGACCCAAATCAACCCCCGGCCATTCAGCCTCCGATGCGGCCTAGCACGGCAGCTCCCCTCGGTGCTGGTGGTAGCGGCGGTGGTCCTCCGGGTACGGGGAGCGGTACGCCCCCTCCACCGATGCCTGGAGGTGGAACACGGAGCGGACCAAAGAAGAGGGCAATCTCGAGTCGGTATGTCAGGGTGGACTGAGAAGAGAGGACTCGAAAGGGACTGGACAATGATGAGGCGGTCATGCGTAATACTATTCTCTTGTTGAGTTTTCTGCATTGGTAGTGAGCTCGCCCAAAGGATGAAACGGTAAAGAGAGCTGCTCCTGATCCTGCATTCAGCTTTACCACCTCTCATTGTACTTGCCCTTCTGAGTCGCAGCCCCAACCTGCACCCCCTCCTTACCCGCACTCTCCTCTCCACCCATACTAAACTCCTCAGCATCTGCCGCTTCCTGTCTCATCTTCTCAAAAGCAATGTCCTCAAGTCTGTGTCTTTCTTCCGTCTCTGCGTCCATGGCCGCCTTGAGTGCGGCTTCGGCTGCCCGACGCTCGGCGAGGGCGAGTTGGGCGTGGTGGGTTGAGCGAGCAGAGAGGAGGGCGAGGCGACGTTCGTTTAGTACGAGCTTGATGCGGCCCATGGAGCTCTTGAGCTGATAGGTGACCAGAGTACAGAGGGAAACAATCAGACTCTGAGCTTCACCACTCTTCTTTTTCATCAAGCGCACTCACCTTGAGCATCCTCGTCCTGACATTTGTATCATTCTGCAAAGCCAGATCCCTCACTCCATTTCTCCTAATCTCTTCCCATTTCGTCCCCATCCTATTCATCTCCATCAGCAAGACGTACCAGAGCTGATGAAGCTCTACACTCGACTTGCGACGGAGCTCGGGAGCCATCCAGGAGCGGCGGGAGGAGTCTTTACCGATGTCTTCTGGTACGAGGGAGACGGGGAGGGAAACTTCCTCGCCTGCCGAGGCGGAAGAGGTACCGTCGGTCGAGTCGGCACTAGGGAGAGTCGTCTTCTTGATCTGGAAGAAAGCGTTGAGAGGGTGGTTAGGGTAGCGACGGTAGGCCTCGAGGGTGGTACGCGGTGCGGGTGTCTTGGCGAGGAAGTGAGAGCGGGGCAGGGTGGGTGGTGGAGTGGGTGCCTGTAGTAGCCGTGCAGAGGCAGAGAGGAGTCTGCTGGGAGGCTGTCTGATGGCGGACGACGAGGCGGATGAGACAGACGTTGAGGCTGCGGCCGAAGCCGATGACGATGCCAGACGAAAGGACATGGTCAGCGTGGGTAGTTGGTAGGTGATGGTGATGATGATGATACCGTGTGCTTGCCTGCGTAGGAAGATGTGGTGAGGCGCTGCTCCCAGGCGGAAGCTGCACTGCGCGGCATCGGTGGCTGCCTGTGGCCCAAAATTTGGCCGAGGCGAGGCGACGCTGTTTCCGAAGGAACGGCAGACGTACAGTGGCTGCAGCCAGGCGCCAAATACTAGTCTGTACATTCATCCTTCATCCTACTCGTATCCTTGCACGTGAGGGAGTCTTCACAGTTTTCTCTCTCTCTCCATTGCCCACGATGGCAGCCATGGACGCAGAAGCAGACCCATCCTCATCCCTCGCCTCCTCTTCGCGCCCCACCCCACCAGCCTACCGCATCTTCCTAGGCGATACAGAGGGAGCTCTCAAGCTCTTCCATGCTCAGTGTGCCTCCCTGCCCGACAGCTTTCAGCCACCTCTACCTGAACTGTTGAAGATCTCGGGGGACGACACTGACAAGAAGAGGAGAGCTGCCGGCGATGGAGCAGTGCCGGGTCCTGAGAGAGCTGTGCAGAAGATGGCTAGTGGACATCTGCAGGGAGTAGGATGGGTGGTGAGTGATCAAAAGGCGGCAGAACATCTCGCAGATCTAGATAGGGACATGTACTGATGTGTCTCTGCTCCATCGTCTATCACTTACCTGGGCTTCTTCCAGATCGCCATTGCTCGGAAAGACGCCACCATCGATGTTGTTCTGCCCCCGGCCGCTGATGCACCGAGGGAAGTCCCTGCCTCACCACAACAAGCCTTGCTCCTAGTTTCGATCACTCATGACAAGATGAAACCTGGTCTGCAGAGATGGGTAGGACTGGCAGTAGGACCAGAGTGAGTAGCAGAGGTGAGCCTGAGACCTTTGCCGAAGAGCTTAGTGACTGACAGTCCTTCCTCTAAATTTGTCGCTCTGAACAGAGGGATCTACGCTTGCACCTCCGCAGGTAACTTCATCTATGCTAGCCTCTCTTCCGATGCGACCTCTTCATCTACTCGCCCAAAGCTACAAGTCTCTCATGTTCAGCGGCTCGAGCTGCCCGAACCCCTACAGTCGCTCGTCTTCCACCCTGCAAGTGATCCAACCCACTTCCTCTATGGAGGGGAGGAGATTCCACTCAGTCTCTGGCATCTGCAGACCGCTCTCTCCCCCGAGAGCAGAGGCAACGATGGCGAGGAAGACGATGCTAATGGCGAGGGAGACCATGCTGCTCCCAATGGCGAAGAGAAGCACTCGAACGGCAGCAACGGTACAATGAATGCCAAGATGAGGAAGAGAAAGAGGCAGGCAGAAGCCCGGGCCAAGGCCAAGGAGCTCATGTGGGGAGAAGTATGGAGGGCTAAGAATGTAAGTCGTAGGGGCTGCGAGATCTCGACGATGCCCATCTCTGACCTCGTCCTTCTTCGCGCCTCGACAGCTGCCAAACGACAGTCTCTCACTCCCTCAAAGACCCAACATTCTGAGCATCTCCATCCTTCCCTCAGCGAACCCTGCCGCATCGTCAAACGAGATTTCAACACCTCCCCCTCTGACCATTGTCGCTGGGACGCGCGACGGTCTGGTCCGAATCTACGAGCCCGCCAGTGGGGTCAGGAAACATACAAAGGAAGTCAGGGTCGTCTTGCCTGGGCAAGGAGCTCTGAAGCTCGTGACCTGTTCCGGTACAAACGAGGACGAGGTAGTAGCTGCAGACAGCGCCGGAAAGCTCTATGCCGTGGATGTCAGTGATTCAGGGAGGGTGAAGTACCAGTGGAAGGACATCACAGGAGCAATCACCTCTGCTGCTCCCCTTCCACCACCCGAATATGCGTCTGGCAGGTCTTCTGAGAGCCCTCTGCTCTTCACAACATCCTTCGATCGGCTGCTGCGTCTGCACACGCTCCCTACCTCGCCCTCTGAGCTCGTCAAGGGCTCTCATGCAAGAGGCAAGAATCTGTACAGCGCTTTTACGGGTGGAGCTGGCGTCGTTGCCTCTGTATGGGATGGGGTGGTGCCCAGGGTTTCGGCAGAGGACGAAGCAGCCGCGGAGGGAGACGGAGACGAGAGCATGCGCAGCAGAAGGAACGGCGGTGCTCATCGAGGACAAGGCAGCGATACGGAAGGCTCAGAAGGAGAGGGAGACGAAGAGGAGGTGTGGCAGGCGATGCAGGAGGTCGGTCAGGAGGATGGGAAGCGCAGGAGCGGACGTATCCGTGATGCACGAAAGAACAGCAGCGGTGGAGAGGCAGTGCTCAACGGAGCTGGTGAAGAGGGCGGTGAAGATGACGAGGCGGTCAAGGAGGCGAAGAGCAAGCGTGGTAAAAAGGGCGAGTGAGGGAGGCTCTGAGAGTATGACCTGGGAGGGGGGCGAGGAAGGAAGGAACAGCATCTCTTCTCAGCACGACCTCTGCCATCTCGATTCAGCAAGCATTTGTAATTCCAACTTCATTCCTTCTTGATGATCTCTCCACTTGGGCGCCTGAATACGTGTGTAGCCCTGTTTTCTTCACCTTGACAAGCTGAGCATCCTCTCTCCGTTGTCCACGAATATGGCGAGTGTGAGTATTGAGTTGTAGTCTCGTACTTCTACCGGCCGACTCCACAAGGGCATCGAGGGGCGGAGTTGTGCCTTGCGCTTGGCGGGGCGGCGGGTGTGGCCTGGCCCTGGGCTGCGCGCAAGAATTGTTCCTTCTTCCTCCTCGGAGATTTGGGTGAGGCGTAGGCGTAGATTTGAAGCCTGGCCAGGAGAAACCAAGGTCGCCATCGACGATATTACTACCACTACCATCTTCATCGTACTTCGACTCCGGACCTCACCCCACCTTCTCACGATCACGACTACCTCGTAGAAGCTAGACGGTACTTGCTTGTCCTGCTGCATCGCCCCGCCCCCGCCTCACCTTCTCACGCACCTCGAGGTTTCACGGCCCGAGTAGACTCTTCAGCTTCTTCGCTGCGTCCCCCTCCGCCTGCCCTTGGACTCCACCCCATCACAATTTCACAACATGTCAGCAGCTCCTTCGCAAGAGGAGCAGAACATCCAGGTGAGCTCTTGCGCGAAACAGATGACGTAGAAAGCAGAATCTCTACTTGCCCTCTCTTGTGCACATCCTGAGGCTCAAGAGACGAACGTAGATCTTGTATGCTGACCTATCCTCGCCTTCACTGCCATTCTCTTCACACAGATCTGGAAGGTGAAGAAGCTCGTAAAGGGTCTTGATGCCGCCCGAGGAGCTGGTACTTCCATGATCAGTCTGATCATTCCCCCCAAGGTGAGACTAGAGACCTGAAAAGGGGCAGCCTTCAATTCGCTACGCCCCCTTTTATGGACCACCTCTGATCATGCATTCCCTGACCACACGCTCCTTTGCCTTCTTGCAGTCACAAGTCTCCCAATTCAGCAACATGCTCACGCAAGAGTACGGTACTGCTTCCAACATCAAGTCTCGTGTCAACCGTCTTTCCGTTTTGGCCGCCATCACATCCACCCAACAACGTCTGAAGCTCTACAACCGTGTTCCTCCCAATGGTCTCGTCGTATACTGCGGTACCATTTTGACCGATGAAGGAAAGGAAAAGAAGGTCAACATTTCATTCGAGCCCTTCAAGCCCATCAACACCTCGCTGTACCTCTGTGACAACAAGTTCCACACCGAGGCTCTGTCAGAACTCCTGGAGAGCGACGCCTCCTTTGGCTTCATCATCATGGACGGAAATGGTGCCCTCTTCGGTACCCTGTCTGGTAACACCCGAAACATCCTGCACAAGTTCTCCGTAGACCTCCCCAAGAAGCACGGTCGTGGTGGACAGTCTGCTCTGCGTTTCGCCCGTCTGCGAGAGGAGGCCCGTCACAACTACAGGCGAAAGGTAGCTGAGCATGCCGCTACTCATTTCATCTCTGACAACAAGTGCAACGTCGCTGGTATTGTCTTGGCTGGATCCGCCGACTTCAAGACCGAGCTGGGTCAGTCGGAGATGTTCGACCCCCGACTTGCGACCAAGGTCATTGCCACCGTCGATGTGTCGTACGGTGGTGAGAACGGTTTCAATCAGGCCATCGAGCTGGCTGCCGACTCTCTCAAGAGTGTCAAGTTTGTTCAGGAGAAGAAGCTCATCCAAAAGTACTTTGACGAGATCTCGCTCGAGACGGGCAAGTACTGCTTCGGTCTCGACGACACATTCAAGGCTCTTGAGTTGGGCGCCGTCGAGACTCTAATCGTCTGGGAGAATCTCGAGGTGACACGATACCAGCTCAAGGACAGCGAAGGCAGGGAGATTGTTCTGATGCTCAACAAGGAGCAGGAGAAGGACACGGACATCTTCAAGGACAAGCAGACTGGTGAGCCCATGGAGCAGGTCTCGGAGCCTCAATCTCTCCTCGAGTGGCTCGCAGAGAACTACCGTAGCTTCGGTACTGCTCTGGAATTCGTCACCGACCGCTCTCAAGAGGGTATGCAATTCTGCAAGGGCTTCGGTGGAGTTGGTGGAATCCTCCGGTACAAAGTGGCCTTTGAGGACATTGCCATGTACGAGGACGAGGACGAGTTCATGACCGACTCTGATGAGGACTGACTCAACGTCGAGAAGGCGCACCATTGCAGCGGCGACCATGCCGACAAACCTGCATGTGTTGTGGAGGAGGCAGAGTTGCCCACGCTGCTCGGTCAAGAGAGGGCAGAAGAGGCTGCTACTGCTACTGGCTGCGTGGACTCCGCACTTGAGGCCAGCTCCGACTCTGGCCCAGGCACTACGCTCAGCGCTGCTACGCTCCCGCTCATGATCGACAATGTCAAGCTTGGACATAGCAGCAGCAGCAGCAGTCCTAGCGATTCGATGCGCGACATTGCGTCCGAGACGGCTTTGGTCCAGTCAGGAGGCTCGCGCTGCCCGCTCCAAGGCAGCCGAAAGAGTTTCAAGAGTGCCAATCAGACCATGCCCGAGTGGTCGAGGCTCGTACGCTGCATCTGCGTCTGCATCAGAGGGCTTGGGGGGCTGTTTGGCGACAGAAGGATGCTGGGACCGCGATAGAAGGTGGACACTAGGATGCTGGGACGCGACAATGCGGCATCCTGACCATACGCTGGACAAAGGAATGGGCTGAGGAGGAAGGCAGTGTGAGAAAGGTTGAAAGCGACGCGGGATAGAGGGGATGCGCTGCTGAGAGCGTCAAGGCATGCTGAAGGAGACGGTCAGACTGGGACCTGCCATGTCACGCTGTCTCGTCAAGATCGCACGACGGCAGCCTCTCTTTCTTCCTCTCTTCTCTCCTCTTCCTCTCATCGCACCTCCTCCTGTCCCCACTACTTCCTCTCTCCTTCTTGTCCTCCTCCTCCTCCTCCTCCCCTCTGCTCGCTCACTACGCCAAAAGCAATACAAAGACCTCTTTCACTAATCACTCCTGACTGACTGACTGACTGACTGACTGACTGACTGAATGAATGACTAAGTAAATAGTGAGTGAGCATTGGAGTGTTCAGACTTGGCAAGGATAGGATGAGTTGAGTCGAGTTGAAAAGAAGAGGTATGCGGTATCACTTATCGGAAAAGGAAAGGAAGGGGGCGGGGGGGGGAGAAAAGACCTACAGTGACAACAAGAGAGAAAAAAAGGACAACGGACAACTATCTCGAGAAAAGCAAATGGCTATGGCTAGTAGTAGAAGGGGCACGACGTTCTCCCCTCCCTCTCCTCCTCTACTTTTTCAATCCCTTCTCCAACGTGCCCAAGAACTTTACGCTCAATCCTCTATCGAACCTAATCTCCTCGCGGAGATACTCTGGTAGGTTACTTCCGGGGGAGAGGAGAGCGAGATCCCGCTGAGAGTCGAGGTGAGGACGGAAGACGAGGTCCTTGCGCAGAGAGGAGGTGGAGCGGGAGTTGGAAGAAGAGGAAGAAGAGGAGGGTGGGAGAGTGGAAGTGGATTCTTCGAGGGAGAGTTGTAGATCTGTGGAAGGAGGGGGCAGGGGGCATGGGAGGTGTGAGAAGGGGTATAGATCGCACTGCAGCCCTTCAGACACCCTGTGTACTCACCATGGTGTCCTACCGCGGCATACGCTCCAGTGTACCTCCTCTTCTCGCTATTCGCATCATCCCCCTCCTCGCGCTCACACAGCTCGATACGCGAGATGACAATGCCCGTCAGGTCCTCGTACAGCCGTCGTACTGCTTGGTTGTCCCCATCGCGGTTGAAGCCTGAAGAGCTGGAGCTGCCGTTCTTGGAGTTGGACAGGAGTGCACGGGAGGATTCGACTTCGGTGCGGAGCTCGAGGGTTAGGCGACGTGCTTGATGGGATGAATGAGGAGGGGGGATGGGTCAGTGACTCTAGCGTTCCTCGATGCAGTATGGACTCAGCTCCTCTTTACGCGTACTCACCTTCCTCATCCGCCTTCTTCTTCTCCCTCTTCAATGTCTCCACCTCCTTTCTCAACCTCTCATTCTCTTCCTCCCTCTCCCTCTCCTCATCTCCCATCAGACCCATCTCTCCCCTCAACCGCTTCTCCGCCCTGTCCAAGCTATTCTTGTAGCTCTTGACCAAATCTTCTGAATGTCTAAAGCGCGTCTCGGCAGCCTTCTTGTACGAAGCGAGATCGGTTTCGGCGGCTGTGGAACGGACGGCCTTGAGCTCGGCAAATTGAGAGAGGTAGGTATCGCGCTCTTGGCGCAGGCGGGTCACTTGAGATTCTAGAGAGGCAATACGGGCGCTGGGTGAGGAGGAGGGAGAATCTTCGTCCGACTCGAGGTCGAGAGCAGCAGCAGCAGGTGTGGGCTTCTTCAGCGACTTGGTGGCTGGAGCTGCCTTCTTGGGAAGGGCCGTCTTGCGTGGAATCTTACTGTCTCTAGCTGCATCGTCTGCATCCCACTCTTCGTCGTCGTCGCCATGGCCGGTGTGGTCCATGCGATTGGACGCGGTGGAGGGTGCGAGGCGCGAGGTGGTCGTTGCGCGATGCCCCGACGAGGAGGAGGAAGCGGTCCTGGAAGATGCGACTGCGGGCATGAGGGGAGGTTTACCTGGACTTTGGCGGTGTTGGTGATGGTGATGAGGATGGTGGTAGTCTACCCCAGCGTGGTGTTGATTGTCCCCCCCCCCCCCCACCGAGGTGTTGATGTTTCCTCGACGACGCGCGGAAAGAGGGCGGAGTTTGAAGCAGCAGCATCTGGACCAAGGCGGCCGAGGCGTAGGCGAGTGGAGTCGCAATCAATCACTCCCTGCTCACTCACTCACTCACTCACTCACGCCTCTGCTTCGTTCCTCGTATCCTCACACACTGCCATCCTCGACTGCCGCAGCCCACCACGGCATTGTCATACCTAACCTCACCCTATAGATCACACAGCCATGGCGAGCAAGGCCGCCATCAAGAGGGTGAGTCAGCCTCACCTAAACAGCAGCACTCACTGCAGCTATGCTTCACCCCCATCGTACGCGCTCAGCGCTGACCTCGTTGCCCACCTCTCCCTTTCCTGCTGCTCCCCTCCTCCCCCCTTCAGCTCACCAAGGAGTACCAGATGATGGAAAAGGACCCTCCTCCCTTTTGCTTCGCCAGGCCCCTCGAGTCCGACATCCTCACCTGGCACTTCATTCTCAGGGGCCCTCCGGGCACCCCATACGAGGGCGTGAGTAGGCACATCCTCCAGACTGCAAAGCATAGTAGCCAGGACTGACAGTCCTGTTCCTTTCCTCCGTATATCCTGTAGGGAGAATACTGGGGCCAGCTCATCTTTCCATCTGATTACCCATTCAAGGCACCCGGGATGAAGGTGGCCACACCTAACGGGCGCTTCACTGAGAATGCCCTCATCTGCACCAGCATGAGCAACTTCCATCAGCACAGGTGAGTCTGCAATGGCTGGCTGCTGTCTGACAGAGAGACCTTGCTGAAGTCGGCTCCTCGCTCTTGCCCAACACTGTTGTAGCTGGAACCCAAGCTGGAGCGTGGCAAACATTCTGATCGGACTGCACTCATTCATGAATGCTGAAGACATCGCCAGTGAGTTCGATCGATCGTACGTCAATCCATTGCTCCCTTCTGACAATAGTATCTTCTCTCCACAACTTTTATCGTAGCTGGCGCTATGACTGCCACCCCTGAGCAGCGCAAGACCTGGGCTTCCCGGTCTCACTCTTGGAATGTCAACCAGCCCCGCTTCAAGAAGATCTTCCCAGAATATGCTGCCGATAGCGTGAATGCCGTCGACCTGCCCAATATGGGTCAGACGATGCCTCCAAAGGGCAAGAAGGAGAAGGCCGGCGATAGTAGCAGCCCTGCCAAGGCTGCACCGGGAGTAGGAGGGGGCAAGAGTGAGTGAAGCACGATAGTTTCTAGAGGCACGGGAGAGAACTAGAAAAAGCAGAGAAGTTCTACCATGGGTCAGTCAGAATCTCTAGCCACTCTCCTCTCTCCCTCGGCCTTCATGCGTGTGGCTATTGATGTGCACCTGTGTCTCACACCTCTACCACCCGTCTCATTCGCCCACAGGCATTTCATCAATCGACAACACACAAGCATCATCAGCCACCGATTTCCATAACATTCAATCTGATACCTCCGCAAGAGCATTAGCAGCAAGACCAGTCCAGCAGCCAGCAGTAGTCGCCGCAGACGGGTCGTTCTCAACACGGTCCAAGCTAGCAGTGGCATTCGCAGTGATAGCGTGTCTCTTTGTCGGAAGGGTCGTAGACCGGCTCAGAGGAGGAAGCTGAGTGGACACTCGCTCACCCTAGGCCTTCGGAACATAGAGAGCATACCCCTTTCTCATGCTCCATCGCATCGGTCTCCCTCTTTCCTGTCACTGTCTGTGCCATAGCATTCACTTGATACAATTCATGTCACTGTCCTCCTCGTCTCCTCCCCTTTGGCTGAGCGGTCACCTTCTGGCGCCACTGATTGACGCGTGCCTCTTTCCGCGTGTGGAGAAATGCAAGACGAGTGCGAGAGTGGCGTGAGCCAATCAGTCCGCTCCTTCTGTCCGTGATACTAGACTACATCAACGATCCCTAGTCTACCACACAAGGGCAAGATCGAGTGGAGAGCCTTTGGAGGTTCGTCAAGAGGTGTGCTGCTGATCAGAACCGAGCAACCGTCGAGGGGGTCGTGTGAGGCAAGATGGTGCACCTCCGTCTCAACGATCCTGACACCTCTCGCAACCCCTACATCAACTACATCACCTCCCTACCCATCTACCCCGACCACGAAGAAGCCCACCATCGTCTACAACAACTTGCCGCCCTCTTTAAACCCATCATGAAGAAACACGGTTTACAGATCAACTCTTTTGAAGAGTATGAACCTAATCCGGAATTTAGTGGGAGGAATTGGAATGCGGGAGAGAATATTGAATTGGTGCTTAGGAGGAGGGGAGCGAGAAAGGGGGAGGGAGGAGGTGGGGGATGGCTACCCTTTCCGCTACTGTGCTATGTCTTTAGTCATGAGCTGGCACATTCATTTGAGATGGTGAGTAGAAGTAGGAGCATTGGAGAGAGAAGCTCAAATCTAGGGCTAACAGGCCGCCCATACTGACGATCATCCTTATACCGCTCTTCCTATCAGAACCACTCCTCTCGCCATGCGGCTTGGACAAAGACATTTTCTCAAGAGTGTCGAGAGCTACAAGCCAAGGGATACTACGGCGACGGACTTTGGTCTGCCGGTCGCCGGCTGAACGATGCAGAGTGGTGTCAAGGCTCGAGCGATCTGGGAGGTGCGGCCGTTCCTTCCTCTCTCTGTGGTGGAGCATGGAAGAAGGGCAAAGGCAAGGGAAGAACTGCAGGCAGGAAGCGCAAAAGGACAGCTCACAATGGAGCGTCTGCTCCAGGCACGACTCGCAAGAAGGGAACACCATCCCTGCACACTGGCGCACAGACTGCACGCAACACTGAACTCACAGCCGGCAAGCGTCGAGCCTACGTCGCGCTTCCCGGCTCTGGATCTCGTGTGGACGGTAGAGATTACCTCCCAAGGGCAACTGCGAAGAGTCAAGAGTACAAGCTCGACGAGAATTCGACCTTTCGCAGAAGGGCGAATACGAATGCTGCGAGGGATTTGAGGGCGGCAGCTACGATGAGGAGGATTAATGCTTTGCAGGCTGCGTCCGACGGGACCAAGGCTGAGAAGACGGATAGCAAAGATGAGAGAGACGGCAAAGAAGCCAAAGCTGGCAGCTCATCACGTCTGCCGTCCCTGGGCGTCTTCGATCAAGCGGATGGTCACGAAGCCGATGATGCAATCTCGGATGTTGCATTCGACGATCTACCTGTCGGAGCAGAGCAGGAGGAAAGCGAAACGGAAGACGAGCAAGAAGAGGAGGGAGAAGACGATGGCGATCTGTACGACTCTGCAACCGACGACGAAGCCGACGACTCTGCCTTTGTATGCGGTTCAACATGTCCTTCTTCGGCAGGGGGAGCCGGCAGCAATCTACCCTCCAATCCGGTCCCATCAGACGGCAAAATCGCTACTGCTTCCACGAGTCCGGCGTCGGCGCCGGGGCAGTCTCAGCGGCAGACGATGTCGTCTGGCGAAACGGACGCCCAGCGTCAGAGGAGGATGGAGCGTTATCGTCAATCCCTCCAGGTCGAGCGAGCACAGACTGCAAAGCAATCAGGGAAGAAAGCCTCTGGCTCTAGCGATCCCAGCAGCGGCGTGATAGTAGGGGAAGATGAGGAGTGGCAGACAGCCTTGAAGGATGTACAGAGGCTGGGAGCTAGTCAGCGACGTATGGAAGCTCTTCAGCGCACTTCTACCTCTCGATTAGATTCCGGAGATGACAAGGCACGCTCCGACCATACGCCAGTCAAGAGCGAGTCCGGAGAGCGCCACAGCGAGGAGAAAAAGCCCAAGGGACTTTCACTGTCTTCGCCTCGGCGTCCAGCATCCTCTTCGGCGGCTGCAAATCCTCAGAAGAAGCAGAGCACCACTCTGAAGAAGAAAGGCGGCGGAGGTACGTTGCTTGGTGGTGGAACTGGAGCGGGAAGTGGCGTCAGTCGCCTCCTCGCACTGCAGCCGACTGCTCCTGCCTCAAGTGCTCCTGCGGCTGCGGCTGCGCCAGACAGTGAGACTGATGACGAGGACGTTGTTTGCACTGGATTCAGAAAGGCAGACCAGTGAGGTACGGAGCGCCGATCGAGTTGAGCAGGGATTGCGGCGACCATGGAACGGATACGGACAAAATCACAATATACCACGCTACAATCTGTCTTTTGCTGTACACATGCCCCCAAGTGGTGCACATTCATATCATTCTCATACCCTTTGCACTGCCTCACAAGGAGGCCTCACTACAGCTTGGCCTTGACTGCCGTCTGCACACCCTCTTCGCGCACCCAATTTCGTAGCGATCCAAGTCCCTTGTCTCCACTGACCACGACCAGATCTCCATGCTTGAGCCACCTGGGTGGGTTCTGCTTGAACCCTTCCCCGGGAGGCGTGCCCATGGAGATGAGCGTGCCTGCAGGCAGTGTCGTCCCTTGACTCAACTGCGCCACCGTCTCAAATACCTTCCATAGATGCTGACTTGTACTCCCCTCTTGCACCGTCTTTCCATTCACCTCTGTTTTGAGTCTCACGTCTTCTGGGTTGGGAATGAGGGAAGGATGAACTAGAACGGGTCCTATGGGGAGTGACCCATCGAAGGATTTGCCTAGGCCCCATTGGGGAACGGCAAACATGCGCTTGCGGAAGGAGACGTCGTTGGTGAGGGTGTAGGCGAGGATGTGTGCGGAGGCTTCGGAGGCAGTAATGTCCTTTGTGGGACGAGAGAGGACGACACCCTACATCAATCAATGGGAGCGAGGGTGGGGGAAGCGGTCAGCAGTCTAGATCACGTCCTGGTCCCGGCAGCCCCTTTTCCCAGGAACTCACCAGCTCAACTTCATAGTCAGCTTGATCCACTCCTCCCTCTCTTGCCACGAGCGGCACAACAATCTCCCCTTCAGGTCCACCTAGAGCTGTAGCGGGCTTGTAAAAGAGAATAGGAATAGGTGGTCGATTCTTCTTTGCCTCCACCTCGTTTTGTCCAGGCTGTACAAAGTTGGCCCCTAGCGCCCGGATTGTGCCTACGCGCTGTGGGTCCAGAGGAGGGAGGAGGGCTTTGACTGTTCGTACTTGATCCGAGAGGGTGGCGTGCAGGGGATCGTCCAAGAGGGAGGGGGCGGAGAGGAGACGGGCTTTGATGGGCTGACCAGAGGAGTAGGCTTGCCCGATGTCGAGGGAGTCGTCTAGTGGCTGGCCGGTGTAGATTTGATGATCTTCTGCCGCTACGAAGCGGATGAGGCGGGTCCAGGGAGGCATGGTGTAGTAGGACTTGGCGCGAGAGTGGGTCAGAGTACAATATTGGCCAAAGGGACTTCTCGTATCGTGATGGTCAGAATGGTCCTTCCGGGTAGATTTCCAAGCCGGTATCGCCTTGTCACGCCCACGGCAGGGTCCTTTGAGCCGTGTTCTCCGCCGTGGGCGGAACCTCCACCCCCGCACTTTACGTCGCTTCCCGCACGCACACACGCACATGGGAACGTTTGGGCTTCCCGCACGGCCACGTTTCACAGCTGATAGTCTAGCTGATAGCACACACAAGGCCTTATCTCATTGTGCTGCTGCATGAGAGCTATAAGGCCTAAGGCCGAAAGTGGGATAGTGGGTCTTTGCCCTCTCTTGTAACGTCTTACTTGCAGACGGTGGCCGCTCAGCCAGCTCTCCCTCTCCCATCTTCAGCCATGGCTACCGCTCCAGCAACGACGATGCAGCACAGCACGGTCAACGAATCCAATGCTCTTGTTGGCAGTGCTGTCAACGCTACGAATGGGGGGAGCGGAGACCCTGAGACCTTCGCACAAGGCATGGCCAAGTTGCACTCTTCGAGCTTCAAAGCTCGGCGTGCGGCCCTTGGCAAGTCGGTACCGGTCACCTCTACCAGCAAGGGCTCCCCGACCAAGAGCGTGACTCTCAAAGCCAACTTCGCGCACGCACCAAGCAGTGAACATGCCAGTCCTCCGACATCCCAGCTGCCGTTCATGAACATCACCCCCGAAAGGATCGGCAAATGGTACACACTCCTTAAAGCTGTCGCCGTCCAGATAAGCTACATGATCTTCGCCGGTACTGGCTTTCTGCTCACCACCTGGGCGCGTTGCATCCTCGTGATACCGAACATCATCTTTCAGCCGGTCAACTTCTTCAGCATGCTCCTGTTTGCCTTTGGCGCATCTGCAATGCTCTTTGTGGCAGCGGGGTTCGCACTGCTCGGCTTTCTTCCGATTGTTGGACCATTAATACAGAAGCTGGTAGACTATGTCATGGTCGGCCCATACGGACCGGGCGGTGAGTGATGCACTCGAGCGTGGAAATGCCGCCTAGCACTTACTGTTGGCTGACACATCCTCCTTATCACTTCTATATGCAGGCGTCAGATCGGCAGTGTACTATAAAGAATTTCCTGAAGAGCTCAAAGCCAGTGCCCTGAACGTCTTGTCGTCGCCAGCGGAGCCGGACTTCGAGACAAAGACCAACTCAGAAGAGCCGAGGACCATCTACTTGGATGTGAGTAGGTGACATTAAGAGTCCAAGATGACCATAGTAGAGGATACGATGCTCATGATGCTATGATCAACAGGTCACAAGATACTTGTCCGCTCTCTGCGCATTGGTGTACTTGCGAGACTCGAAGAAGTATGCCGAGAGCCTAGTAGAAGAGGTGCCTTCTATTGACGACTGTCCAGAGTATGACTGGGCGATCAGAGACATTGCCCGGGATCATCTACAGCTCGAGTATGTGGCGCTTTGCGAGCTGCCTTCACGACATGCCTCTCCTCAACGGCCCTCGACGGCTTCTGTAGGTCTCTTCTACAGCAAGACCAATCCAACCTTTATCATTCTGGCTTTCAAGGGCACCACTCCCACCTCTTTTCCAGACTGGCTAGTAGACTTCACCTTTCCCTACCTGCCGGCCAATGCAGAGCTGGATGCCTATGGTAGCGTTCATGAAGGCTTCTACCGCGCTTTATTCCCTCGAGATGTACGCGCCTGGGCTGACGTTGCAGAAGATGGACCTTGGGACTTGATGCGCAAGGGCATTAGGGAGACGGTGTGCGAGCTTGACAAGCTGCAGCCAGAGGGTGGCAAGAGAGACATCAATGTCTGGGTCACAGGTCACTCCCTCGGGGCTGTCCTAGCTCAGATGTTCTTCGCAAAGGCTCTGCAAAGCGAAGACGAGTGGGTAGTGAAAGTCGGAGAGGCTGAGAGAGGATCCTCCAATGCCAATGGCGGAGAGAAGAAGGGACGATACGCAAAGGCAATCCTGCGCGACTCGTATACCTTTGGAACTCCCATATTCGGCGACGTCTTCTCCCGTGGGAGCTTCAACAATGCTCTATTTGCTCCCAAGAAGGGTCGAAGGCACGATGTATGGCGGTTTGTAAATCATGCCGACATCGTCGCTACTGGTCTGCCCGACTTGGGGGACCAGTCGTACAGCAAAGGTTGGCTGCCTGCCGCCATTTCCACCGCCTCAGACACCGGTGGTCTTGGCGGATTGAACCAATTCACTTTCACCCACGTGGGTGAGGAGGTCACGCTCAAGGGCGGCAGTGATAGCTACGTGGGACCAGGCACGCTGTGGCCATGGGGTACGAAGATCGTCATCAAGGGCGGCACAGATCAAAGGGATCCCTATCGTGTGCGGCCGTATCTTGCTTCGGTGCCCAAATGGCTGGTCGCTTTACAGCACGTGCCGCTCTTTGGTAGAATCCTGGCACACTCACCAATTCTGTACGCCTACCAGCTGGAGCAGTGCAGTGCCGCGGCGGCCGACGGAGAGGGTGAGGCGCTGACGTGGGCCACAGACTTCTGGTGGAGCCCCGCTGTGGATCGTTTCTTTGTTCGCTGAGAGTGAGCGATTGCCGGTCTTTGTCTTTTAGTACAATATTTACTGAAGCAATGGGTGCTTGTGGTGTGAGATGTCAGTGTCAGAAGGATGAAGCGACATGTGCTGGCGCGAGGCAAAAAGAAAAGAGGAGCAAAAACTTCAGCATCCAGGATTCCCGCGTGGTCCCCCACCGCAGTACTGACTGGACGGTACCTTGCTTAACTTCGCAGATCGGACGGGATGCGGTGCTTTCAAGGTCCTATGGCCGAAGATGGAAGTCAAAGAATGCGCGTGGGATATAGCCCCGTTGCAAGCCACAGAGATTGGGCCTCCCGCTCTGGCGGCTGCTGCACGAGCAAAAAGTGCAACAGCCAGAGACGTGCGTTGCGGGTCACTTCAGGTCAAGATCTTCCTACCGATCAGCGTGTGACTCTGCTGATCCTCACCCCTGAACGACTACAGAGAGACGGCAATGTCCCTCTCCTCGGGCAGCGCCTCCTCACTGCTCTCACCTACCGTCCTCTCCCACACGGTCCTCGCCATCTCCACCCTCGTCATCGGCTACTGGCTCGGCGTCGGCCGCTCCCTCTTCGCCTACAACTCCTCCCTCAAGAAGCGCTACGATCAGCTCGGCGCCGACTCTGATTCGGAGCTAGACTTGCAGGACTCGGATTCGGAAGGAGAAGGAGAAGGAGAAGGAGAGGAAGGAGAGAAGATGAATGCATTGAAGAGAGGATTGGGCAAGTTGAGTGGTGGGGAGGAATGCAAGATGGTTCTATGCGTGAGGATGGATTTGAAGATGGACAAGGGCAAGATGGCTGCTCAGTGCTGGTGAGTAAAGAAAGCTGCGAGAAGATCAAAGGGAGATTCGGCTGATCCGTATTGTCCTTCCCACTCTGCAGTCACGCAACCCTTGCCTGTTATCAGTCCCTCCTCACCACCAACCCACGCCTCCTCAAGCAATGGCAGCGTCTCGGCCAAGCCAAGGTAGCGCTCAAGTGTCCCACCGAGGAGGAGATGGACAAGCTCGCCGCACATGCCCGCTCGTTGGGACTCACAGCAAAAAGTATCAGGGATGCGGGACGGACACAGGTCGCTGCTGGATCGAGGACGGTGCTGGGGATTGGGCCCGGGCCGGTAAAGATTGTGGATCAAGTCACTGGTGAGTGTGGGAGCCGAAGCAGCACAGCAGCGACCCTTGCTCATCAGAATCCCATGGACTCTTCTCCCTTGCATCTGACAGCTCATCTCAAGCTACTGTAATTCTCGCACACAAACCGTACACAACTCGTCTTGCATCAGATTGGTATTCCTCTCACCTCCCTGCTACTCTTCCGGCTCCTTGACATCCACGACGAGCCTTCTTCTGCCAACTTCACTGATCCTCTCCGTGGGCTGCTCGTCTTTCTCACCTCCGCCCAAATGCAATTCCTCCTCGACGGCTCCAACGAAGGCATATCTTCCCTGAGCTAAAAAGCAGACGCCAGTTGTAATCGTCGCCTCCTCACCAGGTGGCAGAGGCCATGGTCGCACCGGAGCAGAGAGGCTCCCATCCGTGATGAGGACCTGAGAGAGAATTGCATCCGTCGAATGGGTTCCCGCTGCAGCGAGTGCTTGCCCGCCTGCTGGATTGGCTCCTGGTGCAGAGCTTGCAGAGGCAATGCGCTGCTGGTTGAGCGCAGTCGAGGTGAAGTCCGTAGAGGTGTCGAGAGCGGTGGAAGGGAGAGGCACCAGACGATATAGGAGCTTGAGCGGCCGCGAGGAATGATTCAGTATCGTCGCTCGGACAGTGAGGAATGACTCTGCCGAAGCAGTGGAGACCTTCTCTGCTCCAAGACCCCGAGATAGCACTTGGGCCTGCTCATCTAGTAGCTCCAGGCCCACTTCGATGTCTTCTCTCCGCAAAACGTCGACGTGCTCATCACTCAGCACCTGCTCTTCCAACCCTACCACTCCTCTCCTCCCTGTGCGAGCCTCGGTCCAGGTAGCTGTGAGCCGTCCGAGTATTTCTTGGCGATACCAGAATCTCCGTCTCTCCCTTTGCTCCTCAGCGGGACTCAACTTGACCCGGGAGAGAATGAATTGCCGCGAGGATAGAGACGGGATCGGAGCCAGTGCCTTCGAGTCTGGAAGGGAGAGTCTGGGGAGGGCCATGACGAGGTGCGCTGTCAAGCCAATCGGCAGAGAGCGCTGGAAGTGTAGCGGAGGACCATCGTCTGGATAATGCGAATGAATAGATGCGCGGTCAGTACGACACTGCTCTCTTCGACTACCGTTGCCACGACTCACCTCTAGCTAGCGTCAGCTCAACGTCCACTGCATGGTGGTGAACGTTCCGCACGTCCAGCGAGAGCAGGCATGCCAGATCAGCAGGAGAGGTAGCCGCTTGCTCTTCGTGCATACGGCTGTCCCCGTTGACAGCAATTCGCTTTGCGCCTTTCGAGGCGCCTCTGACAATGTTCTCCGCATCTCCGCCTCCAATGGTCCTAACATCTAAAGCGCCGCACTCTACGACAGGATATACGGTCATTTCAAACGCCATAGATGTCCGTCTAGTGTGAAAATTCTTCGTCTGCTCCGTCACCAGACCTCCTCGTCCAGGTGCATCCACATGAGCGAAGTCGACATGAATGGTCCCCCTAGTGCAATCTAGCTTTCCTCTCACGCTAATCGGCACGAGGACGGACCTCCCCGGCAGGACTTTGATCGAGCGTGGCCGACGGGCGCAAGTGAAGACCGGTTGATGTAGCAACTGCCATTCTAGCTGGTGAGCGTCAGCAGGGAGAAGATCCCCTTCCGACAAAGATGCCCGGATGTCCTCGCTAAGGTCATCGCTGAAGGACAATCGGGCAAAGTCGACTGGCAGAGACGAGATATTCGTCAAGCGCAGCTTGAGTGTCGTCTGCTCTCCATCGAAGAGGATCATTTGGCCATGCGTCAGCGACGGCGAGTCAACCGCGAGGAGCGGCTGAGAAGGCAAGAGCCGACATTGTAGAAAGTGCTCCTGTGCGGTGGCGTTGCTCTGCTGTAGTCTCTTGACTGCTTGGGAGACCTTGTCGTCACCTGCCTTGGCCATAGCTATAGCACGCTTCTGAGTCAAGATAGCGGGGCGAGCATCAAGACCTTGTGTCTTGAGTCTAGTCCGGCGATCATCAAGCTCTGCTTCGCGACTGAGGCGAAGTTTCTCGCTCGCCTCGTCGTTGAGGGCGACCTTGAATTCCCTCTCCAAACACCCAGCTAGGGTGGCGAAGCAGCCCCGGATGCTGAGCGTCCCGGCCCCCGCTCTCGGTATGCCTGTCAGGCGTATGGTGTAGTATGCGAGGGGCGGAAGCACCACATCTATACTATCGGCGTCAAATTCGCCTCCTGTTGTACTAAGGCGGACGTTTGTCAGCTCCAGTGGAGCCTTCAAGGGATTCTGTAAGGTGAGGAGGAACTCAGCTTGTTCATCTTGTACCAAAGGCATCTGCTGCTTTGCTGCGCCAGTTGCTCGCACCGGGTTCCAGAAGAATGGATTGTTGAGACCAGCTGCCTGGGCACTTCCTTGTGCTGCAGTATCGGCCTCTTTGTCGGCTTCGGCAAGGTCCTTTGCGGGATGTTCGGTCGGCAGTCTCAGAGCAGGCATGGGGACCGGCTCGATGCTACACAGGGGATCGGATGGGCCCCAGTAGTGAACTTCCAGGTCTTGAGCATCCTGCCACCGAGCTGTACGAACACAATTGGCAATGCCTCGAATCAGGTTGCGCTGCTCTTCACCAGAGAGAAGCTCGTGAAAGTCTCGCAACAGCACCGTAGCGAAGAAAGCCATGCCAACGTGGTCTTGCAGCATCTCTGCAACACAGATGGTGTCTTTGAGAAGGGCAATTTGTAAATCTGCCCACCCAAAAGCGGCCTCGTCGTGGAGTGTAGGACGATCTGACTCGCCCTTGCCCTGTGCTTGCGCACCACCTTTCTTCAGTAGCGGCTGTTGTGTCGTGGTAGTCTTGCCAGACAAGGCCGCTCTCGACAGGATGTGATGCGGCGGGATATTTTTGAGAGGATCAATATCGACATTAATGCCATAAGTCTCGCAGATCTGCAGAGCTAGAATCAAGACTGCGTCTGCTCCCTCTCCTAGTCCACTCGTCAACGACTGTGTAACCATCGTTCCCAAGACGGTATGGTCTGAGCCTGCTATTTGCTTCAGTGCACTCATGACGGTGACTGGCTCCCGAGGATTGAGCATAAGAGTCCGGGCTAAGAGCGAGACGACTGTGGCTTGTAGTTGCCGTAGCAGATATGCTTCTCGACGTGGGAATCCAATACAGCCATAGATACTCGCCAGCGAGCAGAGGACCGAGATCTGATCCGGCGGCTTCAGGGCTGCGACTGAATGTGATAGGGCAAGCGAAGTCGGGATGGCAATCTCATGCCGCTGCACGCCTGAGCTCTTGGAGAGGGCGGCATACATGGCCGGGCCTGGTCGAGCATCTTCCACCAGTGCCGGCGGCACTCCTCCGTAGATGAGCTGGTCGAAGCATTCACCATTCCAACCAGAGGAGGCCCACACGGCCAGGAGAAACCTCGCATAGGCAATACAAGCCGATGCATGTATCAGAGGGTGGGTATAATCTCGTGGTGTGTCGGGATTGACCGATCGTACAGAGTCCAGCAAATAGCGAGGTGGGGCCAGCGTCTTAGAGTAGATCTGGATCGCGAGGGAGTAGGCTTCTGCCACCTCACCCCACTCGAAGCGAGCAAAGGGTGGTTCATACAGCTCCTTGTCTTTGCCCTTCTCTTTGGTCCCGCCCGAAGGCAGAGAGAGGGAGGGCCCCTGTGAGACGATGATGTGGAGAGACGGGGATGAGTACGCTGATCACAGGAAGTTAGCGCCAGTATGCTTCTGCTCACCTTCTCCTCTAGTCCGCTCATCCGGAAGATCAGACATCTAGTGACTGCCCAGCCTTCGAGAGCACTAGCGTACCAGACGGCGTCCTGTCCACCCGCTAGAGCCCTTTCCTTGCCGAGCCATGTCATGCATGCATCGTAGTTGATGATAGCTGCCCAGAGATCACCGCTCAGCAAGGCGTAATCAGCTTTGATCTTGCAATAGCGACCGGCTCCACTGGGACCGGCCCCAACTAAGCTTGCACTCCTCTTCCCTGTAGTGGTTTTACTTGCGGAACTTCTCGATGCTGCCGTCTTTGAGTCAGAGCTTGCTCCGGGGCTGAGAACAGCTGGCAGGCTGCCGCCTCCCATGGGCGGCGAGGCAGACGCTGCAGATGATGCTGATGAACCGAACGAGCTGAAGAAGGACGAGGCACGGGATGCTGCCAGAGCTGCCGTACTTGATGCTGAAGATGTGAGACTCGAAGATGAGGATGTCGAGGAGGTTGGGCTAAGACCATCGAGAGTCTCTCTCGGCGTTTCCAATGGCTTGCCTTCGAGCCCCTTGACGATGCTGTCCAGTCCATCAAGGATGGAACCGAGGAAGTCTCGGAGTAGGGTACGTAGGTAGAAGCGCACATCTTTGCCATCTCTTCTCACAGCAGGGAAGATGACGAGACCTGAGTTGCCCCTGCCTGCAAAGCCAGCTGCCGTAGCTGCCTCTTCCAATTGCTCCATCTGAGCAGCCATGTCCTCTGACGAGACCGATACATCCGCCAAATTATCTCCTTTTGCGCCAGCCTCAGCGTCACCTTCCTTCTCGGGCTCCTTGGGCTTTGCTGCGCTAGGCTTGTTCGCCTCCGTATCGAACATGTAGGCTCGATGAACGATTGCATTCGGGTGAAGCTCACGCAGTGCGGAGGGAGCTCGCTCAAGCTCCATCTTGTCCACTGCAGAACTATACGAGCCCAGACCTAGAACGCCCAAGACCTGTCTATGCATGGCAAAAGGAGCGAGGAAGGCATGCTGAGGGTCGTACGAGGTGATGAAGGAGAGGTGTACCTCTCCATATGTATGCAGGCTAGACCCAGGCGTTGGTCCAGTCCTTCCCGAAGTACTCGGAGGCAGGTCTTTGATCCTGATGCTCTCGAATGATCTCACATAGCTGGACCATTCTTCGAACTCGGCCGGGGTGACGCTGGGGTGAGCGGGTGTGAGCAAGATGCGACACTTTGCCGGGGATACGAAGCTTCGCCCGCCCGCAGGGTCCTGCGTGGGGGCGATGTCTGCCATATTGGGCAAGGTCGAGACAAGGAGACAGCTAGCTAGCGATGAAGCTCGAGCATTTGAGAGGAAGTCGAGACAATGAGAGATCTGTGAGGGTCAAAAAGAGGGTCGCAGTCGTGGGGACAGGTACAAGGGGCGAAGCGGGGGTCGCAATGTGCCGGAAGATGTCTGTGCTCAAGATGCACACCGCGGCGGGCGCGTCTCGCCCAGTCCGCCTGGCCGTGCATACGGACCTCACAAGAGACCAGAGCAGCAGAGAGGCAATGCCGATAGTAGTATGAAAGATCACGATGGGACTACAGCAGAGCGAAGTACAAGTGGAGAGAATGCGGCACATCCCCTGCCTTCGAACGAGCCACCTCGAGGGGCCCATCCTTTCGTCTATTGGACACCAGATGCGATCTCGAAGGTTGCATCAGTCTTCTGCTTGACCTCCTCCACCGTGGAGCCGTTCAGCAATTCGACCAGAGTCAGACCACCCTCAGCAGACGTCCTGTCCACGTCGAAGACGGCAATATCGGTGATGATCCTTGACACACACCGGGCACCAGTGAGGGGCAGCTTGGTGTTCTGTACGATCTTGGAGCGACCATTCTGAGAGAAGGCAGGAAAGGAGGAGATTCAGCAATTTGCGCTACCAAAAAGAGTCGTAGCAGAATGCTCTTCTAACTACTCACCTTGTCAACATGGTCCGTCAATACCACCACCTTGGTGTGCTCCGGGGAGCTGACCAGGTCCATGGCTCCTCCCATTCCCTTCATCAGCTTCCCAGGAATGACGTAGTTCTAGGTGAGCGGGGCAGTAGATTGACGGGTCAGTCAGCTATCCGCTCTGTTTGTCTCTCTATAAGTCTCGCTTTTAGCTCTACTCACAGCCAAGTCTCCGTTAGCTCCACACTGCAGCGCGCCCAGCATGGTGACATCAACATGACCACCCCTGATCATACCGAAAGACTCCGAAGACTCAAAAGTGGCAGCTCCAGGCATGAGAGTTACAGTCTCCTTTCCAGCATTGACCAGATCGGCATCCAATTCAGCCTCGGTGGGGTACGGGCCCATTCCCAAGATACCGTTCTCAGAGTGCAAGACGACCTTGACGCCCTCTGGCAGGAAGTTGGGCACCAGGGAAGGCATACCCACACCCAGGTTCACGTAGTCTCCGTTGTTCAGCTCCTTGGCGGCACGCTTGACGATATTCTCTCGGCGCTCTCGAGCCTGCTTCTTGGAAGGGTCCTCTTCCGAAGCCGACGAACTTTCCTTCTTCTCCTGTCGCAGCGTCTTGACCTCAATCTGCTTTGGCTGGTCTGCCTGAACGATCTTGTCCACGAAAATCGAGGGCAGGTGAATGAAGTTGGGGTCGAGTTCTCCTACCTCGACGATATTCTCTGCCTCTACGATAGTCAGCTTGGCGTTCTTGCCGAAGGTAGGACCGAAGTTGGAAGCGGCATAGCTGACGTGAGAGAAGGTGGAAGCTGCGTCAGCAATAGTGAAGCGCATATATACATCATTTCGATGCTGTCTCACCGGAATTGACAGTTGCCCATCTTGTCGGCCTTCCAGGCATGGACAATGGCTACATCTCCGTAGATAGCCTCTTCCAGGATATAGCCCTTTCCGTTGTATTCCCTCGTCTCCCTAGGCTTAGCCCACTCCTCTGCCTCAGGCTTCTCAGTACCCTCTTTGTACTTGGTGATGATCTCTCCAGTCTGTACACTGGTACCGAAGCCGGTCGGTGTGTAGAAGGCAGGGATGCCGAAGGCTCCGGCGCGGACTCGCTCAACCATAGTGCCCTGAGGAGTCAGCTGGAGGGAGACCTGACCGGTCAAGTATTGGTTCTCAAAGGTCTTGTTCGAGCCAATGAATGAGGAGATCATGCGGGAGACCTGGCGAGTACCGAGAAGCTTACCTTGAATGGATGAGTGAATGCGAGAAAGCATGGTATATCAGACAAGATTGTCCTCGCAGATCAGCACAGCTGCGCCTGTGTCGTCTACTCACCCAAGCCCTTGTCTCCACTGCCGGCATTATTACTAACGCAGGTGAGTCCCGTGATGCTCGAGTTCTCGCTAATGGCCTTGATGAGTGTGTCTGGTGTTCCGCAAAGACCAAAGCCAGAGCTGAGTACCGTGCTACCTGACTTGATCGCCTTGACAGCTTCAGCCGGTGTGGTCACCTTGGAGTCCACACCCACCTCGGCACCTCCACCGGCTTGTGTAGCGAGCAGGCGGACTGAGAGTGGTTGCAGTGGCACGCGCCTGCTAGTCGAAGGACCAACATTGACGGAGCGGCGAATGACAGAACGAAACATGGTGATGGCGAGGAGTGATGTGAGGGAGATCTACAAGGTACAGAAGGAAAGAAAGGCAAGTGTACAAGCAAGTACAAGTTGGGGCGAGAAGAATCGCTCCCAGTCGGAGGTGGGACAATCCGGAGGTGCGGACAGCGGACTTGGACCTTCTCCGCGTCTTCCGCCCGGCGGGGGACGCCACCTTTTGCCCCGCCGACTCGGCGGCCACTTCCATGCCATCGGTGCAAATCGGTGCACCCCGGCCCCACGCAGTACGAAGGCTCGGGTGCATACGCCTCTCATGGCAGCAATGGCCGAAGGTCAGCATTAAAGTGACTGGCAACTCAGGCAGATAGTCGAGGAGGTTCTTTAGCATAAGTGTATCATAGTTCAGCTGCACAATCATCACTTTAGAGGACAGCGAAGGTATACGATCATTTGTCTTCTACTTGACGGACGGCTCAACAACCCCCACCACAACTGCCTCTACAGCCCGCACAGGTCACGCTTCCGAGGAAGCCGAAGCTCTTGCCGAAGAGATTGACAATGGAACCGGCTCCTTCCCCAAGAACAAATCCAGATGCCAGGATGATGATCAGGATCTTTGACGATGACTGGGACGATGCGGAATTAGAGGAAGCTCCTTGCCGCCGTTGCTGCCGGCGGGTCCACCAATAGGAGATCAGCCCGCCCAGGAAACGGGCGATGGAGAAATTGGGAGTGTTGAGAATGCCAACGGCAAAGGCGACACCAGAGGGGAGGTAGTATGCAAACGTTTCCCAGGTGGGAACAGTCGCTTTCTCGTCCTCATCTGCATCGGTGTCCCTTCCGGTTGCTCCGGCCCTCCTAGCCGCCTTGTCTTGCCGGCCCCTCTCAAGCTCCCTCGCTTGCACGAGTGCCTTGATACTACCAGTAACGGCGAATACCACGGAACAGCCGATCAGCCAGCCCTTTGACCCTTTCGGTATTGTCCCATCGCTGATAAGCCTAGCGAAGTTGAGCCACTGCTGGCTGGCTGGAGCAGGAAAGGAAGGCGATGGAATCTCATACACTTTGAGGTAGAGCTGGTATGCGAAGCTCGAGACGAAGACGCCTCCGATAGATCCGATGAGCTGCCCGTAGAATTGCGCTCGAGGTGAAGCTCTCAGCAGGTGACCTGCTTTGAAGTCCTGCATCAGCTCGCCGGAAGACATGGCGCCGGCCTCTGAGAGGGCACCGGCCACTAGGTTGGCCGTCAGATTGTGAGGTTGAAGCACAGCGAAGATGAGCTGTGAGATCTTGCCTAGACCGTTGACTGGGTTGAGGTCTGTCTGTCCTAGAGAGCGCACAGCCAATATCGAGAGGGCAAAGGCCAGGAGAATGGCCAGGAGAGTGGTGTAAGGCTCGATGCCTTCAACGCCGAAGAGGTACCACATGACGAAGAGGGCAAAGCAGGAGGAGAGGACGAGACCGCCAATGACGGCTGGAGGAGGTGGTAGGCGATGAGGGGGCTCGTCCACCTCCCCTGCTGGCACGACGGACGTTCCAGCAGACTGTTGCGCATTCTCCGAGGAGCCGTGAGGCGGTGACCCTGTCTTGCCCAAGCTAAAGATCTTACCAATATCACCGACTTTGGTCTCGGTAAGGACCAGAACAAGCAGTCCAATGAGGGATTCAGAGGTCATGATGGCCAGAGAGATCCACAAGATCCAACCTTTTGATCCTGTCTCCGCATTCATCGGTTGTCCCTCCGTCCAGCCGCTGTGGTGAGCAAGAGGACTCAGAAAGGCCCATCCAAAGATGGCACCAGCGATCATGCTAGCTGTCGTATGCAGGCCCATAATGATTCCTTGGCCTACGTAAGAGAGAGAAGGAGTGAAGTACCAGCCCCATTTGGCCGCCAAGTTGTGAGGTGGAAGAACGTCAAAGAGGGGAATGGCGTAGAGAACCGGAAAGAGTGCAGATGAGATGGTGAAAGTAATCGATACTGCAAATGAGGCAAGAAGGGTCTTCCAACCCAGGTCACCTTGAAGAACATCGTCTTCGCTTGCATCTTCCGGATCTATTGTGCGGTAATTCTGAGAAGACGAAGAAAGAGAGGCACTGCCCAGCAAACTTTGCTGCTCCTCTGGATGGCCAGCTCCAGGCCCATGTCGCCGCCGAATGGTCCTCTCCGGGGAAGTCCTGCGAAGTGTTGCGGTGCTCTTTCCTTGCGAGTCCTCTTCACCGTCACTTTCATCCCGCACTTTGACCCGATGAAGGACAGAGATGAGATGTGCTGTGGCAGTACCACTGGGAAATGTCAATCGCTCTTTCACGATGACCTTCTTCCTCAGTGGTACCGCAAAGAAGACGCCGAAGAGGGACAGAGCGGCGCTCCACAGGAGGAGGTCCGAGCCATCTAATCTGATTGGCATAGCTCCGTTGTCCCTCTCTGGCCTGATTTGCAGTAGAGCGGGAACGATTCCGATGAGGCCCACAGTCAAGGGCATTGATCCCATTGCGACAGCAGTGGTTTGTAGTACAACGTTTTCTTGAGGCGTGAAACGCCCCTTGCCGAACCAAGTCCAGAAGTAACGATCCATGGGAGTGTGAGAAGATGGAGCTGGAGAGTCGGGGAGCTGATCAACAGCGGAAGTAGATGATGTCCACGGCAAGAGCTGTATGAGTCCATAGCCAATGAGTGCGGCTTGCATACTGCTCATCGAGATCCAGCTGGACTGCAGCCCAAAGTAGCAATTGGTGAAGCAGATGAGCACACCACAACCGAGTCCTACGATGATCGCCCGCCCTGTGAGCTCCGGATGACTGTTTGAATGCCCATCAGAAGGCTGCGTAGACGAAGACGGCTCTACCATGGCGAAAGAAGGAGAAAGACGAGAATGAGATGAGAGAGGAGGAAGGCAGGAAGAAAGAAGAAGATATGCAGCAAGGTAATGGCAAGGCCAGCCGGCGACTGCGTCCTCTGAACAGGATCGCCTCAGCCAACCGGAAGCGCTGCAGAGATGAAGAGTCCTGATCTAGATGGTGAGACAGCTCATGGTGACAGAGGTAGATCGACGCAGTGATGGGGACCCCTCTTAGGAATGATGCTTGGAGAGGTGCGGTGAGAGGTGAGAGGTCGAGTGGAGCGGCGGGCGCATGAGCGGATCGGAGAAAACCCGGCCTTCTTTCCGACCGACAGAATCTCCGACTTTGACATTGTTTGGCGATGAGGGGTTCCAGGGTGCAGTAGACAGGCCCATCAGAAGGCTGTATCGAGGGTGCTGTCAGTCATTGCCCTCGTAGCCTGTGAGAGGGTGTCCTTGATGATACGTAGCTCGTGGGGCCTCATAGAGCTCCGTCGGACGGACGACAGACGGCAGGGTCCAATGTGGCAGCAGAGCAATTGCAATGAAAGCGCCGTAGGCAGTCGCCGCAGACTCAAGCATGCTCTACGTCTTCCACTCAGTATGCTCGTCACATGTTCACTCATTGTGCCTCAAGAGTCCATCGAAGGATGCGACGGTACGCGGTGCGATGCCGTCTGGTCTTGGCGTCGGTGCCGGCCACTTGAAGTGCGCGATGCGCAATGCAGGCTTGCGCCTCTGACTGTCTGCTCCCGTCAATTTTGTGGTGCTAGTGGATCCGAGAAGGAGAGTGGCACAGCATCACCTCCCACGACCATCTCTGCCCTCCTCACTCCTTCTTCTCGGTGCCACGTCATCTCCTCGTCTAACGTTGTGGACGACGGAACCTCTTTCGTCCTTCGCATTGCTCTCTGCTGCTCCATCTTGCGCCCTCACTCGTCTCGTTGCTGAGCACCGCCGCCCATTTCCCCGGCGAGACCATTCTTCCGGGCAAGGCGGGCCGCATCTTTCGTTACCAGCGGCGCTTGCTTGCTCTGCTGGTCGGCCGCAATTGCTACGCCCCTTGACTCGTTCAGGAGATGGACCGCCAATCCAGCCGCTCTGCCTTCCTCGGCACAGAGGGCAGCAGAGGCAGGGTCAACAGTAACGATGGCGGGGGCTACCAGCGCCCACAGGCAAACGTAGCCAATGGTGGCAGCGGCCTCAGCCGAGGTCACCTACACATGAACCTCTCAGGAGCGTTCACAAATGGTACCGGCTCCTCCGCTTCTCAACATCATCCTTTCGGTACGAGTGTACGTTCACCGCTGGCATCTCCGGCCTCCTCCTCTTTCTTCTCTACCAACTTGCAGCAAGCTCCTCCAACACCTACACACACCACGCACCCTCGATCAAATACCCTCGGCAATTTCGCTTCATCTTCATCTCTCGCGCGTGATTACAACAACACTGCTCAGCCAGCTCAAAGCGACTTCCCTGGAGCCACCCGCAGTAACAGCTCTGGACGAACCAATCTAGGGTCTACCTTCCCCACCGAGCTGCTGTCTTCAGAGCCATTCCCGCAATCACCTTCTGTAGCAGCACCGTTGCACTCCCCTTTCGACGCCCCAGAAGGCTTCGGTCCCCCAAAGAGATCCGCCACCGCCGGCGCATCGCTCTGGGGAAACAGCGCCATTGGCCCATCGTCTCCAGGCCAAATCGCCCCTCGAACGCGTGACATCTGGAAACAGCAGAACCAGGAGACCTCGTCTTTCTTCAGCGATTTGAGTACACCTTCTAGACAGAACAGCGGGAACTCTGAGTCGAGCCTCTGGTTGAACGACGCTTCTGATGTGAGTATAGTGAGGGCGAGACGATGGGCCTGGACGCTCTGCTGATCAGACCTTTCTTGCGCCGTCTGCATTTGCACTCGCATTTGCAGAGACTCTCCACCTCATCATTGAAGCAGATGTCTGCCAACCAAACTCGGGGACCGCCGGTCAGAGCGGCGACTTTGGCTACTGCTCAGGATGCGGGCTTCTATGGTCTAGGCGGCGGCAGACTCGTCTCTGAGCCAGATGCAGTCCTACCTGATGATGTGCAAGCAGCAATGACTGCTGCTCTCGACTTGGACGAGGATGAAGGACTGCGAACCGCGTCCCCTTCTGCTCTAGAAGGCGATAGGGCGGGCGCTACATTCTCCGATCTTGCTCCTTCGCCCGAGAAGAAGCCACTGGGCTCGAAGAGGGCGATGCTGCTGCAAGGCATAAGGGCGCCTCAGAGAGCTGCGACGCTAGACCCCTCCAACCATCTGCCTAGGCCTCCAGTTGACTCAGCTTCTTCTCAGCAATCCCGTGGAGCGCTTTCGCCGGTGCAGGATTCGTCCGAAGCCTCTACTACTTCGCGATCCTCTAGCCTGAACGCATTCGCAGGCGGGTTTCAAGAGCCAGACGCAGAGCAGTTGCGGCACCAACAGGGCGTCAACACATACTCTCAGATGCGCCAATACGAACAGAATGGGAGACAGGGGTCCCCTTGGGGCCCTGCAAGTAATGTGTCTGCTCATCAAGGTGAGCAGAGCGGTAGGGCACCAAATGCAGGCGCTTATCAAGGGTCGTACAGTGGGAGACAACGAGGTTTCCTTGAACAAGATCAACAGCCTCATCCCATTGCGTCCCACCGTCAAGCATACAATGCCTATACAAATGTTGCCTCACATCTGCCACCGGCCAATCGGGCTGCAGCACATGGTCATATGAGCGAGCCTAGCCATATCAACACAGCCGCGGTCCCCGGTCACGTCTACGGCAAAGGCCACAACGGTCCGATGGGGGCTTATCCCCGAGACCCCGTCAGGCCTGGCATGCCTCAGAATGGCCAGCATTGGCGCAGTGAGCAGCAGCAGCTGGGCCCTCACTTCGCACAGCAACGTCAACCAGATCATGCAGAGCAACAGCTGTATCAGGCTCTTGGCTCAATGAATCTAGGCTCCGAGGCTTATGCTGGAGCAGGCCAGCAACGTCAGCAGGGGCTTCATCAGGGCGGACCGCCTGGTGCACCTCTGAACGCCTATACTGGCTATTCGTCCCAAGCAAACGCTCCCATTCGTCCTCGACAGGTCCCTAGTCACCCTCGCATGGGACAACATCAGTCGGCTGCGTATCTTCCTTCTCAGCATGACAGCTTATCAACTGCTCATGCTCCAATGCTGCTCAACCCACCTGGCACGTCTGCAATGGTAGGATCACGATCGATGTTGCTTGAGGAGTTCCGCCAACGAAGAGCCGCTGCTGGTCCTCCAGCGCCGACGCCATCTGCCTTCCAGCAACCTCCTGGCTCCGGCTATGCTCAGCGCTACGCTCCCAACAGTGTCTTCACTACCTCTTCCAGCGATCCCACAGCCAATTGGGTCTTGGACGACATTCGAGGTCACGTCGTTGAATTCTGCATGGACCAGCATGGGTCTCGCTTTGCGCAAGACCGGCTGGATCATGCTTCGCGAGATCAGGTCAATTGGGTCTTCGAGGAGATCCGGCCTTCAGCCCGCTCCTTGATGCAGGACGTCTTTGGCAATTACGTTGTCCAGAAGATGTTCGAGTACGGTTCTACCGAGCAAAGGCTGTCACTGACCGAGGAGGTGCGCAATTATGTCGTGCCACTCTCTCTGAGCACCTACGGCTGCCGAGTCATCCAGAAAGCTCTGGATTATCTGCCTGACTCAGTCCGCCTAGACCTAGCTGAGGAGCTCAGAGGGCACGTCTTGGAGATGGTTCAGGACCAGAATGCCAACCACGTTGTGCAGAAGCTCCTGTCAGTCGTAGAGAACCCAGAGGATGTCAGGTTCATCTCTGACACATTCCATGGGCGTGTCGTCAGTCTGGGCGCTCACTGCTACTCTTGTCGAGTACTGCAGCGCATCTTTGAGAGATGCGGTCAAGCTCAGGCTCGACCACTCCTGGAAGAGTTGCATCAGAGCAGCGAGAGACTGATGGCCGATCAGTACGGGAATTACGTCATCCAATGGATCTTACAGCGAGGCATGCCACAAGACAAGATGAAAGTCATCGAGGCCGTGGTAGGCAAAGTCCTCGCCTTGAGCAGACACAAGTTCGCTTCGAACGTGGTAGAGCAGGTGGTCAGGGCTGCCGACAAGTCGCAGCTTCGACGACTGGCTAGCGAGATTCTGGAACCCGTAGGACCATCGCCCTATCCTTACGAAGACGAGACTATGGCTTCGGCGAATCGAGCGGCGAACATCATGATGACAGACCAGTACGCGAACTACGTCCTGCAGAGGTTCATCGAGCTCTGTGAGCCCGACCAAAAGATGAAGCTCGTATCAATTCTGCAGCCGAGCCTTATCGCTCTGAGGAGGGGAGCTGGTGGGCCTGGCGGATGGACAAAGCATCTAGCGGCCGTCGAGCGCCTCGTTGGAGAGGCTATCGCTGGGAGTGGTGGACTGATGGGGGAAGAAGTGCCGCCCGGAGTGTACAGGGGATACTATGACAACGGCAGGGCTGGTGCGGCGTCGCCTGCTCGGCCTTACGGCGCTGGAAACGGAGGCGAGGCGGGTGGAAGGTATGGCCATCCTGCCCATGGTAACGGCAGAGATGTCGGCGTGGCCTGAGCTCAAATGTCAAGCCCGAATGATCTTGGCTGGATCTGGACTGGGCCTCAATGAGCTAGGATTCTCGGACTCCAGAACTTGATATACCGGGAGAAAGACTGTTTCACGTTCTACCCTTCATTCCATAGAGCTTTGCTCATTCAGGTCTTACTTGTTCAAACACATTAATCATCGTAGATGTACAATACACCTGCACTTGTAATCAATCATCACAAGGTTCATAGTCATCGCTTGGAGAGTGGACACAGAAGCGCAAGATGTGGAGACGGGTAACGCGAGAGGTAGCTACATTGAGATCGATCGGTACTTCTTACGAAAAGGAGGGAAAAGTAAACTAAGACCCTCTTGTGGCTGACTTTGAGTCAGGGCATCCACTCTTCAACAGCTTTCCTTGGTCCCTCATCACTCAATACACGTCTCCAACCTCGTCCCAAAAGCCCACTCTCCCCCCACCAACCCTCCCGTAGCGCTCGGCATAGCCCCCGTGGCATTCCAAGCAGTGTTGTTGAGCCATATGGGAAGCCAATTCTCCATGTGGCAGCGCACATCGACGCTTGGTAGGAGGATGGTGCTCTTTGTCTCTTTAGTGCTTCCTTTGGCTTTGTGAGATTGATGAGCGTCCGCTTGATTCGTTTCAGCAGGGTCTTCTTTACCCTCTTCGCTCTGGCGTGCAGAGAGAGGAACGGGGGAGAGTGCAGAGGATGAGGCAGCTCGCAGGGTGAGACAGTTCCACGTCGATTCATCTGTGGTGATCCTCTGCAGAATCTGGGGCAGCTGAGCCGAACAATCGTCTTGCCTCTCTTTGTCCATCTTGTCCTCCTCTGCCGAGCGTGAAGTGGGCGTGAGGGCGCTGTCGGAGGTGGATGTGGATGTGCACGTGATGTTGAAGGAGAAGGGAGCGCACGTCTTCTTGACAGTGGGAGGAGGAGAGTAGCCAGGACATTGCATTGACTTTGGGACGTCGGTGAAGCCGGCATTGTAGGGATGACTGTGTTGGTGCGAGAGCTTGCGTACACCCAGGGGAAAGCCGCTGTCCACTGAGCTGGCGCGTGTCGATAGAGATTGCATGGCGAGAGATGCCAGAAGGAGGAGGACTTTCATGTCGGGTGCTTGTCGATGGTTGTATGAGGTCGGACGCTGTGCAGTCGTTGACCTTGCTCGCTGTACTTTCTTGACAACGACAGGGAGCTGGGGACCACAGAAGGTATACGCTGTCCAGGATATGAGACTGATGGCAGCAACAAGATCCCACGCCGGCCTGCATCGGCCCGAACGAGAGCGAGGCATTGTATGCATATGCCGGCTCAGGAGTGTGACGCTCATCGTTTACTAAGTGTAGTTGCTTGCAGGGCTGGGTCCAGGCCTTGCTGCCTCCCTAGAAGAGATGCGCCCATGGACTAAGGCACCATGCTGGGTCAGGAGTACTTTCGGACATAGTACGCCTTCTCCGGAGAGTCGCCAAAAGCCCGCGTTGCACTGTACCTGGATGGAATTAGCAGCCGCGTCGAGGGACTCGTCGAGAGGGACCCACCCCGTCAGTGTGATGCTACGAGCGTGAACGAGGCAAATTCTCAATTTGTATCCGCAGGGCTCAGCTTCCTCTGGTAGTGCCTGACCCTCGATCAGGCACCGAGAGGGGGCGCGAAGGACCTCACCGACGACCTCGCTGCTTGCCAAGGACAAGGTATAAACACAGGCTTTCTTGGCTGCCGTTTCCCTCTCTTCCCCTCCCATTACTCTCACTACCCTCCACCCCTTTCCAAAAACAGCCATCTACGACCCACCTTACCACACTCGTTCAACTTCACATACTCAACATGAAGCTTTCTACCTTCACCCTCCTCGCCATCATCGGCGCTTCCACCGTTCTCGCCACCAGCGCCCCATCCCAGCTTGACGGCCTCAAGGAGGACTGCGAGGAGGACAAGCCCAAGAGCCCCAAGCACCACGGCCACAAGATCAAGCACAACACCTTCAACCCCGACTCTTCCCTCAACCCAGACAATGATGCCGATGCTCCTGTCTTCCCTCCCAAGACCGGCTCGCCCATCCCACCTGTCGACCACCTGCCCACCGACCACCCGGTGACTCCCACTGGCACTCAGACAACTCCCAAGGCTACTACCCCCAAGGCTACCACTGAGGCTGCTTGCAGCTCCTCGGTCGTCTCTCAGCTCATTGGGTGAGTCTCTCTGTAGCTCGAGGGCTGCGCGATGCGTGTACTGATTCCATCCATTCTCGACTTCTCACTTTCATACACAGCATTGACGTCCTCAACTGTGCCAAGATCAACATCTTGAGCCACAAGCGAGATGTCTTGCCCCTTGTCGAGGGTCTGGACCCCGTCCTTGAGGACCTCAAGCGACGCAACGGCTTCGCTCCCGGAGGAATCTGTGACAGCGCCGTCGCCTCAAAGCTCGTTGCCCTGGGCATCCTCAACTGTGCCGATGTCAACATTCTCAACGCCTCTGACAAGGCCCTGGACAAGGAGACTTGCAGCTCCGAGGAAGTGAGCATGCTCGCCTCTCTTGGTATCCTCAACTGTGCCAACATCAACATCCTCTCTGGCAAGCGAGGTCACCAGGACAAGCGAGCTCACCAGGCCATGAAGCGTGAGCAGGGACGCCGAGCTCTTGTTGAGCGAATGCTCAACGTACGAGACTGTGCCTCGAAGACTTCGGCTCACCTCATCTCTGCTGATGTGCTGAACTGCGCCACGGCCAACATCCTGAGCGACAGCGCTGCTGCTGACAAGAACTGCTCCACCTCGACCACTGCCGACTTGATCTCCCTCTCGGCCGCCAACTGCCCCACCATCAACGTCCTCTCTGAGGATGATGACGAGGACGAGGACGACGAGTAAGCTGTGACCAATGAGACCACACAGGCGGTGCTGTCCCGTCCATGAAGCGCGCCTGCCAATAAGGGTTCCCTTGTCACCTTGTCTTGCTACCCCCTTCCATCAATGATGCCCTACCTTTTACTTGCTTCCATCTTCACCCGTTGCTCCGTCGAGGTCTTGCCGTTCTCGTCGTCGATGTCAGCCCCGTGCGGGTGTACAGCTATCTGTACACCCGCAGCCCCCTTTTCACCAATGCCAACTCTTTATGACTTTTCCACTGCGTTGGCTACAGACCCTTTGTGATTTGCTGCGCTCAATCAACCACTTTGATTCGTTGCAATGTACTCACGACGCTTGCTGTCGAGTGTGGTGGTGACATGCGAGTACCGCCACGCAATCTCTCCCCCCGGACCGGAGAATTCTAGCGCCACCTTTGCGGTAGCGAGCGGGATGAGGCAGATGGTGGCTGATTCTCCGCGCGTCCAGTCTAACGCCACCGCCACAGATCCCCTCACCCTCCGCCACGTCACGTCGTGCTTGTAGTTGCTTGTGACTGGACGTATCATTTACGCCACTGCGAGATCTAGTCAGATTCATAAAGGTGGACCGGACAGGGGCAACCGGCGGTAAAAATGGTCATCGGGAAGAACAGGCGCAATAGGGGGCTAAATCCTCCCGTTTCAGGAAGGTGATTGCGTCTGGTACTGCCTCTGTGGCACGGGCGTCTGTGGACCGATGCTCACCTCGCCAAGGCTCAAGCAACCTCGGCACTCCTGGTACCAAGCAGGCGAGGGCGAGGCAGGGGGAGCAGAGGAACGGCGAAGCGAGAGAACAAGGCCGGCCGCACACGCGGAGCAGAGGTAGTGTAACAAGCTTTCCTTCAAGCAAAGAGCCTCAAGGGCAAAGATCGGCAAGGCGGAGCAACGGCCGTCGTGGGCCCAGCGCGCGCCCGTCCCCCGTCCGCCTGGCAAAGCTGTCAAGCACCGGCGGCGGCGGCGGAGCGCGTGGAGTGGCGCCCGCCACATCGAAGCCGCTCGGGCGCAAGCAGAGACAGCCAAGGCAGACAGGCGGGCAGACAGGCAGACAGCCAAGGCACCCACCCGCCCACGCACCCAAGCCGGCTTGCGGGACCTTTCGCCGTGGCTGACAGGCTTCCCACCCGCTGCCACTCATCCCCTGGACCGACCGAACCTCCTCAGCTCCTCAGCTCCTCCGATCAAAGTTCCTCGTCTCTTTTCCCTCCTCACCACCCCAACTGCAAGCTCCCTGAACACAATATCTTCTGTGATCAGCATATACGCGGCACAAAGAGTGTCCACAGCCTCTAGCGCAGCCTCTTACCACTAGACCCAAGCTGCCCCCGTCCTTCGAATCGCGCCGATTGGCACCTCGCATCCTCTTGCCTCGGCGCGTCCACATCCCATCGCGCTCGCCAAGGAAGTTGGCTACGTCTCACCCCCATCTGAAGTCAGCTGCACAGGCAGAAGTGAGGTATCTGAGGTCCTCACGGTGATGAAGTAGACTAGCATACATTCACGACGCGATCCGACAACGAATCTTCGCCGTCTAGCCACACACTCCCTCAAAACCGCATAGGCGTATCTATCCAGCCACAGCATTTCTTCGACCCACAGGCAACGCGTCTGCCATGTCCACAGTCTCGTCGGGAGGGCCATCGCTGCCTTCGTATCATGCGCTCAACTCGCAGATCAAGAATGAGCACTATCATCATCAACATCAACAGCAGCAGCAACAACATTCCTCCCATCACCATCATCTCCCACCGCCTCCTCCTCCCCCGCCCCTTCATGCCTCTTCTAGTGCCGCATATATGCCCATGGCAAAGCATCAACATGGCGATGGCGGTGACCCACATGCTTCGCCCCATTCTGCCCATTCTTCTCCCTATGTATCGCCACGTCTACAGCCTAGTCATTCCGGCGAGCTCCCTCACGCGATGAGCATGCCGCCGGCAATGGGCAACGCCGGGCCACCCGGTATGCCCGGTGCGGCAGGCGTCTTCGAGCCTTCTCCCGTGGCTGCTCCTATGAGGAGGGGTGCAGTCAGTGGAGCATCTGGACCTCTGAGCTTTCCTCCTCTACCGCCTTTGAGGCACCCGAGCATTGGAGGAAGCGACAGTCGAGCTGCTCCCGGACCCTACCCGGCCTACGCTGCGCACGGCTATGGTCGCCCTGGGGACGCCAGTGTGGGCCCAAGAGACCACGACCTCAACGGAGGTGCGATCTACAGCACGCCGCCTCCTCCTCCGCCGCATCTGGCTCCGAACAGCTCGTCGCCATACCACTCTTCGGGCAATCTCTATCACCCCGGTGCCATCCCTCCTCATCGAGATGGCAGCGCTCCTGGCTCCAGCTACTCGTCCTGGTCGAACAGCCCTCAGCCTAGCGCTGGTGCCAGTCGTCCTTCTTACAGTCATCCTCATCATCAGCCTCCGTCGATCCTCGGCCCCTCATCGGCGGGCCAGGGACCGAGCTTCCCTCTCTCCTCTTCCTATTCCCTCTCTGCCGGTTCTCATCCGAGTCCTCAAGCTGCACAGCCCTCGCAGCTTGGACCACAACAAAGAAGAGGTGGTCTCAGCGCTTCCTCTGGTATCGGTGTGTACGGCGCAGCTGCTGCTCCTGCGCCTCCGAGCCATGTGGGAGCGGGACCTTATTGGGGACCCGGGGGTGCTCCCATGGGCCATGGGGGACCGCTACCAGTCGGAGTGCCTGTGGCTACGGGCGGTGGTTTCAAGAGGAAGCAGACGAGCGCAAATCCGCCGCCGAGGAATTATGGTTGTCCGGCTTGCCCTGCCAGCTTCTCTAGGAGGCATGACCTGAACAGGTGAGTCAAGGGAGAAATTCTGGTGCTTGACGGCGTTTGCTGATGCGACTGTATTTCATTTCCGACTCCTTTCAGACACTCACGCATTCACCTGGCGGTGAAACCCTTTGGCTGTCCCAATTGTCAGAAGACATTCAGCCGCAAAGACGCTCTCAAGCGCCATCTCATGGTCAAGGGCTGTGGGAAAGACGCCGAGGGCAAGCCGCGCAAGAGGAGAGGCAGGAAGAGCAATGCCGAAAAGGCTTCCGAGGCCGCTGCTCTGCGAAGCGCCAACGGTGGAGCCGGACTAGGCATCAGGAACGATGGCGATGGCTCAATGGGCATGGATGAAGATACTGGCGATTATGAAGGAGAGGACGATGATGAATCTGATGACGAGGAGGGGCCAGAGGGAGAGGGAGAAGAGGGAGAAGAAGGCGCATCTGGAGGAGGTAGTCGGTCACCGGAGGGTCAGGGTGCTCGTAGCGGAGTCTACGCCCATCCTGGACAGGGTGGCATGATGAGCTTTGGCGACATGGGAGCCGCCTGAAGACGAGAAAAGGCCCTCTCATCCTAGCTCACACCGATGCCTGGCCAGCTTGCCTTGACGAAGTCATCCCACCCTTCCAATGATTATATCGGGAGCGCGAAGGTATCTTACAAGTATAGTAACAACGAACAACGAACAACGAACATACCACTTTGCAACAGAAGAATGCAAATCATCTACCTATCTCTTTGCTTTGCCCTCGTTGTCTTTGTCGTTCCTCTGTGTGATCAGTGTCTTACTTGCAGTGCTGTGTGTGCGTATCGGGAAAGAGGCGCGGAGCTGTGTCGACTCGTTCCCTGCGCCTGCGCCTGCTGCAGCCTGGTGGGCGTGAGGCGTGAGGCGTGAGACGTGAGGGGGATCGAGCGAGGCCAATCAGTCCGTCCGTGGTGCGTCCGTGCGAGAGGCTCATCAACTTCATTTCGTCTTTATACTAACACATCACTTGCCGGAGCAAGAAACAGAGTCATCGACCGCAAACGTACAAGCCGCACTCTTTCACTCCCACTGACAAAAGGGTATTCAGCAGCAGCACCACCCTCAATCGAAAAGCCTCAGCGCAGCATGTCCTCCCCTCTCCCCTCCTCCTCCTCCTCCACCCTCCTCCAATTCAACCCCCTCCCAACAACCATCTCCCCCTCCTTCTGGCACGCCCTCACAAGTCTCAAGCTGAACCACCTCCGCTTATCGGAAGATGCAATCCCTGTAATGGGAAGCTATACGGTTGGAAGAGTTGTCAAGGATCGGAGGGGCGGAGAGAAGGGGAGGATAGTGGAGCTAGGCGGGTCTTTGAGCCTTTTGGAGGAGGGACTGGGAGGGGGAGCAGAAGCCCCAGCTGAAGGGATCTCGGTGGGGGCGCACTTTCCCACTTCTTCTGCTTCGTCTTCCTCGCGGCTCTCGGTGACTGTGAGGGGAATGCTGAGGAATTACAACACTGCACCTCAATTCACTTCTGCGGATAAGAATGAGATCTTTAGTGATCTGGCGCAAGAGGTGAGTGAGAACAAGTCCGTCTCTCCTCGGCTTCTCAGCCTTACTGACCTGACCACCCACTCTCGCTGCTCTCATCTCCACTATAGATACTCAACGATCTCCTCACTTCACCCGATCCCCTAGATGCCGTCACCCGATTCACCGTTCTAGCCTTTGCAGACCTCAAGAAATACAAGTACTACCACTGGGCGGCCCTCCCCGCCCTCATTGCCCAGCCCAACTGGCAGACGAGCTCTCCCGGCTGGAAGAGCCTGCAAGAGGAGTGGACTGGGAAAGGGGAGGAGGAAGGGGAGGTCTCGCCGAGACGGATGCAAAGCTTGGCAGAGGCATTCAAGGAGCACTGGCAACGCTATAGGGGTGAGAGCGAGGCGGGGTTCTGTCTTGTCAAGGTTGGATCAGAGGCATGTCAAGTCGGCATGGTGAGAGATTTCCAGACGTTCTTTGCGGGTGTGCCAAACGAAGAGGTGAGTTGCGGAGGGTCTGAGTAATGTACAGCCCTCAGATTCTGATGGAACGCTCTCCCTCTCCCTCTTCCTCTCCCATTCAGCGCGTCGTCCTATTCATCGACCCTTCTGCAACTCCTTCGGTTCCGGGCTGGCCATTGAGGAACTTCCTCGCCCTCCTCTCCGTACGCTTCCAAGTCAGACAGATACGAGTCATCTGCTGGCGGGACGAGCTGGACGACAATGCAGTAGGGGAGAGGAGCATCATTGGCAATGTCTTCCTACCTGCCGAGGAGGGCCAGAGTGGAAGTAGAGTAGTCAAGGGTGATGGTGAGTATTGTAGCGCGAGATTCACACCAAATTGATGTACTGACTGAATGCATGCTATCATTCCAGGGAGCTTGCCGATTGCAGCCACGCAATCCGACTCAGCTCGTCCCGTGGCGATTGGATGGGAGAGGAACACACAAGGGAAATTGGCGCCGAAAGTAGCAGATCTGGGCCCTCTGATGGACCCAAGAAGGTGAGTCACTACAGAGAAGGAGTCCTTTGACATATCATCTTACCTTTTCCTACTTTTCTTTAAAACATCAGACTGGCAGACCAGGCCGTAGATCTCAACTTGAAGCTGATGAGGTGGCGGATCATGCCCGAGATCCAGCTCGAGAAGATTGCATCGACCAAGTGCTTGCTGCTAGGCGCAGGCACGCTGGGTTGTTACGTAGCGAGAGTTCTGATGGTGGGTTCGAAGTGCTCAATCCACAGCCGACCACTACCCTGCTGATGTCAAAGAATACCCCTCTCCAACTTCCTCTCTCTAGGGCTGGGGCGTGAGGAACATCACGCTGGTTGACTCTTCCCGGGTCTCCTACTCTAACCCTGTCAGGCAGCCACTCTTCGAGTTCGAAGATTGCCTCGATGGAGGGGAGCCGAAAGCAGCGTGTGCTGCTGATAGACTGAAGAAGATCTTTCCCGGTGTTGTGAGTACGAATGGGAGACAATCGTACCACAAGGCAGCTGTTGACGAGGTTTTGATTGCTGGGCCCTTTCCTCTATCAGAACGCCGAAGGTATCATGTTATCAGTCCCAATGCCCGGTCACGGCCTCTTCTCCTCCTCGTCAACCTCAAGCAAAGTCGAAGCCTCAACGCGTCGCGAAGTCGAGCAGCTGGAATCCCTCATCGACTCACACGACGCCGTCTTCCTCCTGATGGACTCGAGGGAAAGTCGTTGGCTGCCAACGATGCTGGGCGCGGCGAAGGGTAAGATTGTGATCAATGCGGCGCTGGGATTTGATACGTACTTGGTTATGAGACATGGCGCTGGGCCGGCGCTTGAGGGTGGGAGTAAGGATGAGGTCGACAGGGACAGGCTGGGCTGCTACTTCTGCAACGATGTGGTAGCTCCTTCGGACGTGAGTAGTCGCGGGGACAACCGTCTAAACAAGAAGTCAGCACTGATATCGCGTCTGACGACTCCCCTCCGCAGTCTCTGACTGATCGAACGCTGGACCAGATGTGCACCGTCACCAGACCGGGACTCGCGGCCATCGCAGGCGCCTCGGCAGTTGAGCTGCTCGTGTCACTTGTGCAGCACCCAGATGGTGTTTCCGCTCCAGCCCCAACACCAAGCACCTCCGGAACCTCCAGCAGCATCACCACCTCCTCAGCAAGCTCCTGCCTCGGCCTCCTCCCACATCAGCTCCGCGCCAACCTCTCCACCTTTTCGACCCTTCCCCTCACCGCACCCGCCTACGCACGCTGCACCGCCTGCTCCTCCGCCGTCGTGCAGGCCTACCGCACTGAAGGCTGGGAGATGCTTCGAAAAGCTCTGGGCGCTGAAGAGGGCTACTTGGAGCGATTGACGGGACTGGATGTCATGTATGCGGAGACGGAGAGGATGCTGATGGAGGATGGAGGGGTAGAGGAGTGGAGTGAGGGAGAGGAAGAGGGGGAGGGGGAACTACTTTGAGAGGAGAGGAGAGGATATGATACCCCTGGCTGGCTGAGGCGAGCTTTCTCGTAAAAAATGACTTCACTTTCATTTTCGGTCTGGTGAGGTGGGATCGATAAGTAGAAGAAGTCAAGTAGACGACAGACCTGGCACCTCATCCTAGATTGATGAGCTTTCGCATCTTAGGGCGTGCTTCAGGCGTGTCAATCGCCTTCCCTTTGCCCTTCTCCTTATACGTAGCCTTTCTGTCACCACCCTTGCCCTCTCCAATGGCCTCGCCCTTGCTCTCGCTCTCTTCCTTGGTCTTGCTCTTCTGCTTCTTCTTCTCCTTGGCATTGAACTTCTGCTTTGCCTGGCGAGTGGGAGTCCAGTCGCCATCGCTGTCACCGCTATCCTTTTGCTGCCCTTTGTGGCCCTTCCTTCGGTAGTATAGGTGAGGTCCTAGGATCGGGTGTCCCTCAAAGGCAGAGAGAGGGGGAGAGTCGGCTTTTTGAGGGACAGTAGCTTTGTGACCAGCCCGAGCATCACCGCCAGTGTCAGCAGCGTCTTTGGAAGCCTTCTTCTTCTCTCGAAGCCTCTTCTTGCGGAGGTAGAGGTCCACCGCCTCCTTGCGCCGTGCTTCCTTATCGAGAGGAATCGACTGCTGTACAGGTGGTTTCTTCGCCAGATAGGCACGGGAGCGCTGCAGCTGGGCCGAAAGCGAGTTGAGGTCCGTCCTCAGAGCCTTTTTCGCATAGTAAGGATCCGCATTAGCGCGATTCGATCGGGCAGGTCGATGCTTGAGGTCCTCAAGACGGACGAAGCGGTTGAGGGCATGAGAGAAGGGACCGGGGCCAGTGCCGTGCGCAGTCATGGGTACAGGGCGGCGGATTGGAGAGCTGGGGTTGGAGATGGTACGCTCCGAGTCTGAGCTCGAGGACGCCAGCGTCTTCGAACAGTAGGTGAGGCAGAGCAAGAGAGCAAACAGGTAGTGAAGCCTCATGGTCAGGTAGAGATTGAGCGAGTCGCAGACGGCTGAGGAGCACGGTACCCTCGTGATTAGGAAAACACTGCGCCTTATATGTTGGCTCAGCATCCGTTGCAGTCCGAGCCCGCCGACAAAGGGCAAGCAGCAGCAGCCGTAGCAAGTTGCAGACCGCAAGATGACTAGCAGCAAAAGTGCCATGCAATTCGCACGTCTACTTTTTTCCCCATCGGACCATCCGGAGCATGGATCTTCTCACATACCGTTGTGAGCACAATGACGCCAAGAAGCCGTTGCTTCTTTGCTCCACCGTTGACAATTTAACGCAGTCCACATGGTACACACGATTCGAGGCTCAGCAAGCGCAAAGAGCACAGCTGAGCGCGATGGACAAGTGGTGCAAGGGATGCACGGCACGGTGGCTCAGGCCATTTTGCCCATCAATGGATTCAATAATGTCTCATTTGTCTCTCACAACTCTTGTGTTTGAGCATCACCTTCACAAAACAATGAGCAATCCACTCTCTGTCTACAAAGTTTGCGTATTCTAGCCCTGTCTGACGCATCTTGCCACTGCAAGCGGTTAGATCAGCGCCCTCACTTCTCTTGGGCCGTCCCATCGTCATTCTGCTTCCTCATCCCAGATCAATCAATTTACGCATCTTAGGACGAGGCTCAAGTTCGGCCACTGCCTTGCCCTTGCCCTTGTCCTTGTAGGCCGTAGTCGCTTTTGCCATTGCCTTTTCTTTAGCCTTCTGCTTGGCTTCGGCCTTCTGCTTGGCCAGAGCTCGATCGCTCGCAGGAGTCCAGTCCCCATCGCTGTCACCACCACGCCCGGCGCCGCTGCCCTTGATCTGGGTTTTCCTCCTTTTCTTGAACTTGTATGATTGGGGCCCGAAAATCGGGTGTTCCTCGGAGATGGGGTGTCCTGCTAAGAGCGGGTCTCCCTGTGAGGTCACGGGAAAGTAGAGAGTGAGGGGCCGGACCGGAGAGGCAGAGCCGCCGGCAGGAACACCAGCACCAGTAGGTTTTGCTCGAGCAGGCTTATTGTTGACGTAGACATTCACCGCCTGGCTGCGCTGAGCCTCCTTATGGAGAGGTGTCCATCTTGCCGCCGAGCTCTTCTCTTCTCGCTCCTTTCTGAAGTAGGCGCGCGAGCGCTCCAGCTGCGCTGAGAGGGAATTGGGATTTGGCTCCCTGGTCTTCTTCACAAGATGAGCTGTCGGAGTAGGGCGTGTCGGGCGAGTTGATTGGCCTGGACGCTGGACGATGTCATCGAAGCGAACGAAATGAGTGAGGGAAGGGGCGGAAATGGCAATGGTGGGAGAGGTCCGCGGTGAGGAGTGGCGGACGGGGGAGCCTGGATTCGAGAGGGTGCGCTCCGAGTCGGAGCTCGAGGACGCCAGCGTCGTCGAGCAGCAGAGGAGGCAAAGAATGGGTATGAAGAACTTGTGGGTCTTCATCGTGGTACAAAGATAGAGTGAACAGGAGGTATTGCAGAAATTCACTGCTGCCGGGTAGGCAATGACTGCTTGGTCTCTTATGTCGGCTCAACGTTCGCCACATTGGAGCCCGCCGACAGGGGGCAAGCAGCAGCCGTAGCAAATCGCAAGACGACTAACAGCAACGTTGCCAGTGAGTCCCCACGTCTACTGGACCTTTCCCACAAGACTATGATCATCTCGCACTGTACTTCGCAAGCGCAGTGAGGCCAAGAGCCATTGCACTTGCGCGCCACCGGGACCGTTGTCGACAGCTTAGCTTAGCTCACACGCCTCAAACCATTCAAGGCTGACCACACAAAGCTCGAACAGCACAGTCCACAAGATGGACAGGTCTTTGCTTGCGATTGACTGCACGGTGGCACCCGCGGATTCTCATAACGACATATTGATTTGGTTGTCCTTTGTCTTTCACGTTCTGATCATCTGGAGTCTCACCCACACGACGCAATAGGAAGCTGCAGGCGGTCCAAGGCCTTATGCTTTCGGATGCAAGGGAAGCGCAGTATGACCGAGGTTACCCGCTTGCCTTGCCCTTGCCCTTGATCTTGTACGCCGCACTTTCTTTGCCCTCGCCCATTGTCTTGCTCTGGTTCTTCTGGTTTACCATTGTGCCATCGCCAGCAGGAGTCCACTCGCCGTCGCTGCGACCACCACCATTGCTGCCCTGGCTCTTGGCTTTACTGCCTTTTCTCGGCTTGTAAGGTTGAGGTCCGAAGATTGGATGTCCCTCTGAGGTCAAGGGAAAGTGAGAGGTAGGACGGATGGGAGTGACAGCACAAGTCCCGGCAGCCTTTGCACGACTCTTCTTCTTGCGGAGGTAGAGTTTCATCGCCTCCTGGCGTCGTGCCTCCTTGGAAAGAACGACTGGCGGCGCTTTGGCGCTCTTCTCTTGCTCTTCTTTCCTGTAGTAGGCGCGCGAGCGCTCCAGCTGCGCTGATAGGGAATTGGGATCTGGTCTCTTCTTTGCAAAGAAGAAGCTGGGGCGAGCCGGGCGGACCAATTGTGCTGACTGAAGGACTTGGGTTGGGCGCGTTGGTTGGGCTGGCTGGGTCGGATGGGCCGTTTGGGCCGCTTGCGCTGGGCGCTGGACGATGTCATCAAAACGAACAAATCGGGTGAGGGACGGGCCAGAGGTAGGAGTGGTGGGCGAAGTCAGCGGCGAAGAAGGACGGACGGGAAGGCCTGGATTGGACACTGTGCGTTCTGAGTCTGAGCTAGAGGACGCCAGCGTCTTAGAGCAGAAGAGGAAGATGAGCAGGAGGGGGCTGAAGTGGTGGGTCTTCATGGTCACGTGGAGCTGGAGCGAGTCGCAGACGGCTGTTGAATCTGGTTCTGTTGGGCGTGGAAGCTGCTGGGTCTTATACGTCGGCCGGTAGAAGAGCATCGGTTGATTTGAGCACACCGAAGAAGGGCAAGCAGCAGCTGTGGCAGGTCGCAAATAGCAAGATCACTAGCAGCAAAAGCGTCAGTCGACTTGGAATTCTACGGTCTGTTCGCACCTCCCCATCCTGAGTATGAATCATCGCACAATATTTTTGCAATCGCGGTGACGTCAGAAAGCCATTGCCTTCGTGCTCCGACCGGAGCCCTTGTCGACAGCTCAGCTTGATCCGCATGGTACAAACGATTCAAGTCTGAGGACAAGGAGCACAGCTCAGAAGAATCTGCAGTGGTCATGAGGTTCAACGCACGGTGGCTCACGACAAATTTCGCATCGAGCAAAGATTTATTTCTCCTTTATGTCTCACAATCGCATTATTTCGATCATCATCTCGACGACAAAGTCGGGAGACGTAGGCACCTAAAGGACTTTTGATCGCGGCACACGAGGGGACTCTGGTCGGATCGAAGTGACTTCCGCCTCGGCTTCATCTGCTCAAGCAGACCAATCAGAAGCTCAACTTGAATCCCTTTTTCTTGCCCTTTGCCTTCTCTTTCGACTGCAAGTTGTTGAGCAAGGTGATCTTCCCTTTGCCTTTGCGTTTGCGTTCACGATGGCTACGGCCAGTGCTGCTGTCTGTATCGGCGTCGGAGTCCGTCCTTTCGCCGCTGCCAGAGGTTGCTGGTGCCTTCCCCTTTCCTTTCGATCGACCAGGCGGTGCAAGAGTCAGGGTCGTGGAGACATCAGGGCTAATGATGGGGGTGAGTGCGATTTTTTGTGGACTTTTTCCGCGGGGAGAAGCAGGCGCTTGCCCGGAAACGCCAGGCCTCGAAGCCTGTCTTCCCGCTGCGGAGCTGTCTAAGATGAATTCAGAATTGGGACCGATGATGTGTGCAATCTTTCTTGCGGTGCGAAAGTCCATGACTCTTGGAGCCGACAAGGTACGCTCAGAGTCTGAGTCACCAGAGGACGACGCCAGCGTCGTGATGCAGAAGAGAAGACCGAGCAGGATGGAAAGGCCCAACTTCATGTTTGATGTGTTCTGTGAAAAGGAAATCTTGAGTGAGGGGACTCTGGACCTCTGAGAAGCCTTGAGCGGTGGGCTTTTAACTTTCGCCAAGTGGGCGCATCTAGGCGCACCGTCAGCAAATCCAGGACATTCCGAAGCAACTGTGAGGAAGAACATTCATGGACGCTGCTGCGCAAGCAAAGTGAAGAACTTTCCACATTGTCTTTCAGGCTGCTCAGTACTCGGTCAGTGCACACTTTGCGACTCCATATAAGATGATAGCAAAGCAACATGGATAAACGGCACCACTGCTTTGCGGCCGCAATCGCCCGGATTTGCTGGCAGCATCGTCACGAACGGCAAAGGAGCAAGCAACAACGTACCGTGCAGGTATTGATTTTGCGAATGTAGCACTACCTCCACGTGTGTGAATAGATCACATACTGTTTCACGCAAGAACAGAATAGCTGGGCCATATCGTTGCTTCAAGAGTAGGTCCTGAACATCTTCTGCTTAGCGTTGTACAGGCGCTCCCGGAGCTGACGGACGGGACCAGATCGAAGGACCGATGGGCGTATTCCTTTAGCATGCTCCTTTGCATCTTTGCCGTAGAACAACGTTTTATGCTTCCGGATATCCATGTGACGCCAATGATGAGGAGGTCTCAGGGCGCCATTCTTTACGAAGGGTTCACTGCAAACGTGCTTCTCCTTCTTGAACCACCCCGTCCAAGTGTTCTTCTTGCACTTTGTGAGAGTCCACGTGGGCGAAAGCTTTTCATCTGCCTTCGGCGAAGAAGGCTGGGATTTCACTGAATCCGGAGAGGCCCGGAATGAGCCGAGGGAGCTAAGTGAATGATACGACCAAGCAGGGGATCCAGGCGAAGCCGGCAGAGACTTCGACTTTCCTGGAGGGGGCTTTCCTTTGCTATGCCCTGGAGACGGGGGCTGAGATTTAGTCCGAGGTGGCCCGTTGTGGAATAACGACCTCCAGTGCTGGACCGGCGATGAATGCGGAGGCGAGTCATGCACCGATGTGGCAGGGGTAGAGGAGGAAGCTCCAGAGGAAGATTGAGCGCCTGGCAAGAGAGACCTCCATACACGCATTCCGCTCTTCACACTCTTCGAATTGGAGCCTCGAGGCCCAGCCCTCTTGGCGAACTCGAGACCAGCACTTTGTACGTCGCCAAGAATCAATTGTGATCGTTTCAGAGCGGGAATGTCTGCAGCTGCGAGTGTGATGCTCTGCACGAGTATCGTCCCCAGGACAGCCAGGGCCGTAAAACATCGCAGTCGCATAATGTTCACTAGCAATCTTTGCTAATTTGTCTTCAGTGTCCACAAAGGCGGGGGAAGGCCGGCTTCCCAGATTCAGCCGTCAATATGGTGATGATGGTGACGAAAGGCAGGTAGGGAAGACAAAGGTGTAGGCGTGTGAACGTAGCTGTCACGAATGTGTCAGGCCTCAGCTGTGATGACGGTTTGCTCTGACTGGAATCAATTAGTATGTTGCAGTTGCGCCAACCCGAAAAGACGATGTAATTAGAGACCGGTGGTCCGTCGCAGTGGAGTCATCGCCGGGCGGTGTGCTGCGTTTGCCAAATCAATGTATTCCAAAATGAACGAACGGCGAGCGTGAATTTATCCCGTCTTTCGAACCATAGGTAAGGAGTAGCTCTCGCTGATCAATGGGGCTTGAGCCCACGGTATAGTGTCTGGAATTGCTTGATGGCTTACTAGCAATGAAACTGCTCAGGTCAACGTATCAAATGTCATCGGACCGAAACAAGTTTAGACGCAAACGAAAGAAGCCGAAACAACGGTGGGCGCCCGACTATCCAAACTCTTTTCCAAGCTTCTTCGCAGTCTTGACCATCAGTTTCCTCAGTTTCTGCTTCTCATGTCCCTCTTCAGAGCGAAGAACAGATGGTCTCACTATTGTAGCAAATTGCTTCGCCTTCTTACCGTAGAAGAACGTCTTGTACTTCCGCGTCTCCTTGTCATGCAGGTGTGCCGGAGATCTGATCTTGTCATTCTTGTACGTCGGAGCAGCGGTGATATGTTTCTCCTTCTTGAACCAGCCGAACCAAGTGTTCTTCTTGGGCTTTGTCAGAGTGTACGTCCCACGCTGTTTCTTTCCCTTCAGTGGAGAGGGGGGTTGAGACTTGACTGAGTCGGGCGAAGCTCGAAAAGAGCCTAGGGAGCTGAGTGAATGATACGACCAGGCGGGCGTGCCAGGCGAAGTCGGCAACGACTTTACCTTTCCTAATGCTTTCTGTTTATCATTCTGAGGAGATGCTGGCGCAGACTTTGTTTGAGGCGGCCCGTTGTGGAACAAGGACCTCCAATGCTCTACCGGCGAAGAGTAGAGAGGGTGTTTGAATTTATGCCATGGGACTGGATCGGGCGATGATGGGACAGAGGCCGAGGTGGGAGAAGGAAAGCTCGGGAAGAGCGACCTCCACGGTCCAGGCGACTCCTTGGTTCCTGAAGTAGAGGCCCCGGGGTCTCCTCCTCCTCTCTTGAGAAGCTCATTGTGGGCGGCCGAAGCCTCTTCGAGAAGCAATGAATGTCTAGTCGGCCTTTGCAGAAGTGGGGAGTTTGCGGCCAGTGTAGGGACAGTATGCGCGAGCACAACACTCAAAAGTGCTAAGGTAGCGAGCAGGTGCAACCGCATTGCGGTGACTGGCCAGTGCCCAAACTTTGTAAAAGGAAGGTCGGCGAAGATGGAAGTCCAGCTTCCCAGCGTGAGAGGTAGAGCAGGTGACGGTGGCGAAGGAACAAGGCGATCAAATAGAAGAGACGGGCTTTAAAGTAGAGACGTCAACTTTCTCTCCCTGAATTGTGGGGGCAAATTGCGCCCAGGTCATACAATGGTAATGTTGCTATGACCGTGCGGTAGCAAACAGGCAGGGCTGCAACGAACGACGCGGCAACTCGGTGTTAGGTTCCGCCACAAGACCTTAGAGCAATGTAGATCTCACTGCTGTTTTCTCCAGAAGACTCCCGTCCCACCCCGACTCAAGACCTTCTCCCTGAGTCTCGTCCACGCAGTGTGCGTCACAGGATCCCAGATCAGCTTTGGCTTGTTGGTCTCCTTCTTGAACCAGCCCATCTTCTTCCCTCTGGGCGATGGGACTAGCAGGACTGGAGAGGGAGGTCCGCCAGATTTGGGCGAAGGTGGCTGTGTGCGAGTAGGCGATCTTGCTGGGGAGGAAGGGGCGGAGGAGAGGGGGGAGAGGTGGGAGGGGGAGGACCGGCCGGGGGAGAGGTGGGAGTGGGAGCACCGGCCGGGGGAGAGGTGACCTGGAAAGACCTCGCCGATGGAGGGGAGCATCAAGCCCGTCTGAGGCGCCTTTCCCTTGAAGGACAGGCTGGGGGTACTATAGGAGCCACTTCCAGACGACTGACCTACCTCCATGCTTCTCACCGTTGAAGCCATCAAGAGGAGAGGTAACGCCAATCTAATCAGCTTCATGTTTGGCGCCGGCACTGAGTTCGGTATCGTGATGTTATGGGGCAGAGGAGCAGAAGTCCGGCTTCAATTGTAGTGGCACTCGTGGGCGCTACACCAAGGTGAGAGGCACGCTTCTACAATTCAGCGACTGATAAAAGGTCCATGGTGGCGGAGCATATTTGCCCGAAAGGCAAAGCAAACGCCTGATCCTCCTTTGCTCCTTGCTGATACCGCTCAAGCTTGAGTCCTTTGCAAACGATCGTTGGGCGTGGATACTCCGGTGACGGAACCGCAAAGCAAAGACGGCGCGGGGTTCTTTTGCTGTGTCAAGCTGAGACACTATGAGAGTCATGTATTGTCATGCACCTAGGCGTCGGTCCACAAGAGGCGAGACTGATGACATGGTACAGCAAACTTCAGATGACATATACGTATACCCTTTCCGGCAGCCTTCTCTGGCCACACTGTCCCCTATCACCGTCGATCTCTATTTGTCTAGTCCTGCAGGAGCGTCCCTCCCAGTGAGATCGCTCACAGCAACATTCGTAGGCAGGTCAAAGCCCGAGAGGAATTGCAGGAAATCCTCTTGCCAAGCATCGGATCTCTGCTCACCCGCCTTTCCTCCACCTTCTGCACCCGCTCCACCGCCAGCAGCTACTTGGCCGCCCAGCTGAGCAGACATAGCACTGGTCTGGAAATCCGCTGTATCGTTCTCTGCCATTTCAAATAGCTTGAAGAAATCCAGATTGACGTCGTCCGTTCCGAACCCGCCGGACCCGGTGCCGAGGATCCCATTGGCATCACCGTAGTTGACCTCGGCGTTGCTCTGCGAGAAGGGATCGGTGAGAGACGCCATACGATCTCGACTTGGGGAATTGTAGCTCTGGAAACCTGAGCCAGAGCCAGAAGCTTGCGGCCAGGTGTTGTCCGTAGTGCCGAAGCCCTGTCCAGTCACGCTTCCAGTGCTTCCCAAGAGACGCTGGGCAAATTGCGTGTAGGCCACATTGTGTCCAGTCGGCGATTGACCACGGCTTTGGTTTCCTGCCAGTCCTCCGTTTGCCTTCCAGTGCTCCAAGGTGAACATGGTAGGGGATGTGGCACCCGAGCCTGGTCGACTCGAGGTGAGAGAACGTGTCGAGGCACCAGCGCCAGCGCCTGAGCGAGAGGTGCTCGCTGTGCCGCCAGCTTGCCAAGGGTAAAGGGCCGGGCCATTCGTACGAGTATAGATTCCAGAAGGACCACCTTGTGAGCCAGGGAAATTTGCGACATTAGAGGAAGCAACATTGTACGGCCCTCCTGTTCCGCTGGCGGTCTGATTATAGGTCGAGCCACGGCGCTCGTGGGAGAGCGGAGAGGCGTTGTGCAGGCCCGAAGGTGAGAGGGCGGTTGATGCTTGTGGGATAGAATAGCCAGTTTGCTCCTGGGTGACCGAAGGCTCTGCTTCAGTAGACGACTGCGAATCTTTGAAAGCCCACTGTTGCAGCCTGGCCCTCTGCTCCCCGTTGAGAGCAGGCAACAGCCGGGTTGCAATGCGCTGCAACACTCTCCACGCCTTCTTGAACACGGCTGAGCAATACCTGTCATCGAAAACCATCGTCATCATCATCGCTGTCCTCTCGATCAGCCCAGCGTCTGGCAGAAGATCCTTGACGTTTTGAGTGACGTGCCATACGGTGAGCAGGAAGGTGACTGCGCTCATGAAGGCTTGGGTGAAAACGAAGACCATGTTGTTCAGATGTCCTCCTTCATACAAGTCCAGTACAGTGGTCAAGCAAGCTCGCGCGTGGGCTGTGCACTGCGGTCGTAGCATGTTGTAGAGGAATGGGTCGGGCAGGAAAGGCTTGAGGATGTAGAGACGGATGTCGTGCCGCCCGCAGGAGACAATGCCTGCTTGAAGCTTGAAGGGACTTGTGGCGAGGTCTTGCAAGTGTTCAGGCGTCTCAGCGACCCACTCATCCAGACGCTTGCAGAGTTGAGCCATGGCCTTGTATTCGGGCTTCTTGAGAGATGATGATTTGGCGCCCTTGTTCTTTCCCTTGCTTCCCTCACCCTTGTCATCGTCCCGAGAGCTATCTTGCTCGCCGCCAGAGTCTACCGGACCGACTCCAGGGTGAGCCAGCCAATCAGGTTGGCCGCTGGTCCTCCTATGGGAGTACAGTATCTTGACCACATCGTGTACGAGGAGGTTGAGTTTGACCATATGACGGAAGCCAGAGGCTACACCAGGTCTCGGTAGTCGGGTCTCCCCATCCTTGGCCTCAATCTTCACCTCATCCGACGCACGAGATGAGGTTGCCATAGGCTGTCCACTGCTCTCGCATTCCGACAACTCTTCATCGGAGACGTCAAGGGGCAGGTGGACATTACAGTCATCCAGTTGCAATGCATTCGGCCTACCTAGGCACACAGCAAAGATGCAGTCCAGGATGAAGATCGACCAGAAGGTCCTCCTCCGCATCTCCTGATCAAAAGGAGTGAAGTCTGCATTCGCTCGTTCCTGGTGTAGGCCAATGTCTTGGAGAGCTCGAATGGCTGTTCCCAGAATCGTCCACGATGAGCCTGGCCCAATACTGGCATGCATGAACGTAGCAGTCAAGAGAAGAACCTGCACGTTGATGAGGCTGGCTGCGAATGCTTGATGATACAGCCTGCTGCCAGCTGCCCAATGATCACCTGCAGAAAAGGGGTCCTCGGGATCTGCTAGCACTCGAGGGTCGTCAGAGAACCTCGAAGAGATTGTCATGATACAGAATACAAGTCCCCTGAAAGCCGTGTCGTGCGAAGCTCTATTGTTCCGGATGTCTCTCCGGAAGGTAGGTGGATGGATGATCGGCAAGAGCGGGTGTAGATGTGGGAAGTAGATGTCATCGAGGAGGTGAAATACCAAGTCGTTGGATGGCAGCATGTGCCTCGTAAACCACTCGTCCGAACAGATATCGTCTCGGCCAACAGCCACGGTATTCTTCCTTCTAAGCAGATGAACCCATTCTCGAGAATTGCTCGGGTACAGGGCTTGGGTGCCTGGCCCGAGCTTGTGTTCGCTGGTGCGCTTGGGCGTAGCAGGATTGTTGATCGCCCCGCCGCGCTTCAAACCACTTGAAGGTGGCCTCATTGTTGTCCCAGAACCGGGGCGAGTGCTGCCTCTGATGAAGATGTCTTTGTCGAGCAGCGTACTCGTCCCTTCATCGACGGCGGATTCAGCTCCGTTGCTCCTTTGCTCCGGCGGCGGACTGACCGAGGGTGGACGACTATCAAGAGCGTGAAAGTGGCTCAGCGTCGAGCTTCTACCATAGAACCTCGGCCTACCGTCCTCCAGATCTGGGACCATAGGACCAATGCGGGCTCCAGCATGAAAAGGGCCCGCTAAAGAGCGTATCGAAGGGAGGCTTGGACGAGATGCTGCTGGCAGAGGTGGCAGTATCGTTGCCACTTCGAATGCTGAGGCACCAAGACGAGGTCCTGCAGGTGCGCTCCCAGCAAACACCTTGGAAGGCCTGCGCAAGCCTTCGGTGCCAGTCTGGGCAGGAGCTGGCTGAGGCGCCCTCTCGAGCCCTGTCCAATCTTCATTCGGATGTCGGCTGCTGCCACTTGGACCAGTGATGTTGAGCTGCCCCCTCTCATATTCTTCTGCTAGGTGAGGAGCTACAGACCGTAGCGCTGCTAGAAGAGTTTCGGCCTTGGACTCGAGAATTTCGTATTTGCCTCGAGAACGATCTTGGTCGGCAGAGAAGGTACACTTGTAGTTGTATGCTGTGCAGTTGTCGCACTGGCGGACCAACAGGGACATGTTACGTTGAGTCTCGATCCTTGCATCCTACCATCATTCTGGCAAAGTACTCACCGTCGAGGTAGCATTGGGCAGTCCCCTACACTTGACTTTCTTCCTTCTACACGTGTCACAGGCGACCACGACCCTCCTCCGCCTCTTCTTCTTCTCACCGCCTCCCTCTCCGTCGTCGTCATCCTCGCCATCCAGCGCCGCTGTAGGGCTCTTTCCCCCTTGAGCTTCCTTACCCTTCCTCTTGGTCTTTGCGCCGCTTGCACTGGCTTGATTGCCTGCCTGACTTTGAGAGCGTACAGAGCCGGTAGAAGAAGCCGCGGGGGACAGGCCGCTGGCTGCACTTGTGCCGGTGCCGGCCGCTGCGTGAGTGGTGTTGTATGGATCCACAGTGTAGTACGGCTGATTCGAACCAGAAGGAAAGAAGAGTTGTGAAGAGGAGGATGAGGTAGAAGGCCCTGCGCCTTGGTGAGCAAGGCCATTGCTGTTATTGCCGTTGCTGTTACCTCTGTTGTTGTTGGCTGAGAGGTTGAGCGAGGCGAGAATATGCGCCGGGTGCGTAGACGAGAAAGTGGGCGAATCGTGGGACATCTTGGCGGTATGGATGCCTCCAACAGGATGAGCGAGTAGATACGCTTTCTGCACCCAGAGTCGGCGTTGGCGAATGGACCTGTGCTATGGCTGCTGTAGTGGATGACGACGGGGATGCCAAGGATGAGAAATCAAAGACCACGAGAAGCTTGCCCTGCTTGCCGGCCGGGACACCGATTCTCGGAAAAGGCCACGAGGTTCGGCGACACCACTGAAACAGCTAGGGAGCGCCAGCTGTCGACGTTGCTGCTACCTGTGCAGCGGTCGAGGCTTCTTATCAGCGCACGAAGAGGCGAGGACGAGTGTGGATGCGATCGGCGCTTAGGAAAGGGCGCAGGACGCAGGACTAGGCGGAAAAGGGCGATGCGGGGTAGCAAGATCTCAAGAAGCCGTCCTCTCCATGATAGCCGGGCCATTCCAACTCCGCCTCACCACACGGCCGCGAAGACCGCAAGCACAGCAGTATTGGTTCGATGACGATCGGGGGCAGACAGACTAAAGCGCACACGGCATAGAGACAGTAGGACGGGGAAGTGCGCAGAGATGCTAGAGTGAATTGCATGAGATCGAATCGGTACACGCTTCAGCTTTCCTCCTTCCACACCTTGATCGACTTGTCACAGCATCCCGTCAGCAGCCTCGTGCCTGTCCGATCGAATGTCGAAGCCATGATACCAGACTCAGCATCAAGGGACCCTGGCTGAGGAGTATCATCGAGAGTCTGGAAAGGTATGCCAGAAGTGTAGTCGAAGAACTGTATGGACACCAATGGGAGAGGGTCAGACTGCAAGCTCCTGGTCTGGCATGTCTTCCCGCTACAAACTAGACTCACCTTCATGCTGCCATTGTCGCCGCCCGAGAAGAGCACGCCATCTGCATTGACGCTCATCGTATTCACAATGGTCTCATGAGCCATGTTGCCAAAGAGGGTGCCCTCAGGGCAGACCCATGTCTTGATGTTGTTACCTCCCGCCGATCCGGAGGCGAACGAGACTGAACGGGGGCAACGACAGGCGTGGGGTTCAGCATGTACCGCAAAGGTCGGCCTCTCGATAGGTACTCACACTTCGTCGGATGTGTTGCAATTGCCCTGACACTCTTCTTGTGATGGGTCAAGGTGGTCATCGACTTGCCTGCTGCCAGATCCCACAGTCTGACAGTGCTATCCATACTTCCAGTGATGACCTGAGGATCGCTGTCTTGACATTGTACGCTTGCAACAGTTCCAGTATGCCCTGATAGGACGTGTACCTGCGCCCTGGTCCGCATATCCCACACTCTGGCAGAAGCATCTCGACCTGCTGTGACTAGGACATCCAGTGTGGGATGCAGCGCTAGCGAGTAAATGCCGGACAGGTGCCCGTGATACTGTCTTATCACCTTGTTCTGCTCCAAGTCCCAACACTTGACCATCTTGTCTTCACCACAACTGAAGAGGTAGGGGTGACGATCGCTCACTGCCAGACCTCTCACTGCCGAGATATGACCAGTGAGCGAAAGCTTCAACTCTCCGGAAGCAAGATCCCAGATCTAAGCAGAAGAAGGGACGATGAGGTTCGATGAGTACGCTCAGTTCCTGTGTGAGGTGGCCTTCCCTCTGTACTCACCTTGATCATTCGATCTCCCGCTCCCGTAGCGAACCACTGATTTCCCGGATCTACTGCAATGGCGCGTACCCAACCCAAATGACCAGCAATGACCCTGCTGAGCTTCCAACGCGGATGGTACACTTCTGGCTTGGCTACATTGTCCAATTGTCTCCGCTTGAGCTGCAAGGCCATGCTGAGAGAAGAGCTACGATCATATTCACCCGGCGGTGGCAGCTTTTGATCCGAGTGCTTGATCAGAGCACCCCCATTCGCGGACGGTGGAGGGGCGACAGATGGACCTGCTGTTGCACCATTTGCGCCTCTCTTCTTCTCGATGTCCTCAATCCATTCCGACTCCAGAGTATTACTGCCTGCCGTCCCATCATCCCTTCCCTTGCCCTTTGCCGGTCTGCCTGGGCCTGCCTGGTTCAGCTGCTGGGACTGTATAGCCGGATGGAGAATGGTAGCATCTCCATACTCTCCCACAATCTTGCTTGCAAGGTGAGCTTTCGATGACTCTTCGAATGCTGAGGAGCGGGAAGTAGACGTGATTGCAGAGAAGGGAGAAGAAGACGAGGCAAAGAGAGACTGCGTCCGCGAAGCCGAGGATGCGAGAAGGGAGGAGAGGGAGGGTAGAGAAACGCCGGTCGAGCTGCTGGCCTCGGCGGCAGTTGATGCTGAGCCGTTGACATGCGGATGGATCTCGGCCGCCATGATGATCGAGTGAGGGTGAGCCTGGCGATGATCCCTGTTCTGGTATATGCGGATATAGACGATGCTCCCAGCTTCCAGGAAGAAGGCGTCCATCCGTCTGTGGGCGGCCCGTCGCTTCGACTCTGAGGTTGACACTCCGCGCGGTCCGGCAGGCGAAACGTGAGGCGCCTCGTACGATACGGCCAGGCCAATGGATCCAGCTCTGCCACACATCCTCTCCTCCTCGCCATACCCTGAACTCCCTTCCGATATATACCCCGCAAGCGTCTCCACGGGGCTTGTCTGATCACAAAGATGCCATCAGCTACAGCTCTGTCGGTCAATGAGATCAGGACACTTCACAAGGAGCTCGGCAAGGCGATGACAGATGAGTCTGAGAAGGACATTCTGTCACTCCTCGCCAAGCTCAAGGAAGGGGTTGTGCCGACCGAAGATCTCATTAGAGTGAGTCATAGCAGGAGCAAAGATGCGAAGGGCTGCCTGTGCTGACCTTGGTTGCCTTTCTACCTCGTTACAGACTACAAAGATCGGACAGATCGTTGGAAAGCTGAGAACGAACTCTTCGGCATCGGTAGCAAGCCAGGCCAAGGCGCTGGTACAGGGGTGGAAAGCCATCATCGACAAAGAGAGGGCTCAGAAGGGAGGGGAAAAGGGGAAGACGCTGCCAACTTCAGCAAAGGCAACGCCGCCAGCCGGCAAGACCTCTGCAGGTGCTACACCTCCCGTTTCGTCAGTCGGTAGCGCCAGCCCAGCCCCCAGCTCAGCTGCCCAAGAAGCTGTCGCCTCCCCTGCCGCTCCAACGAAGCCAGCAGCGCCGCCTGCTGGCAAGGCGCCCGACTTTGAGATCCTGAGAGAGAAGACGAGAAATGCTTGCTTGAAGCTCATCTTTGACGCTCTGAAGCTGGCAGATGTCAAGGAAATCAGTGAGTGTAGACTGCTGAGCGGTGGCGAATCCTTCGTGATCACGCTCGCTCATCCTCATTCCTCACTTTTTGTCTCCCCTCCCAGCCGATTCGCAACTGTTCTCTTTGGCGCTGCAAATTGAGAGTTCGGTGTACAAGAAATTCTGCGCAACAGAGGACACGGTCAATGCCGACTACCGCAACAAGATGAGGAGTCTCAGTCTGAATCTGAAGGACAAGAACAACCCACAATTCCGCCGCAAGGTCGTCGAAGGTAGAGTAGATGCAAGCAAGCTGGTAGATCTGACGCCCGCAGAGATGGCCTCTGAAGAGCGTCTGGCAGAGATTCGTACTCTGGAGCAGCAGAATATGCTGGTGGCACAGAGTGCTGCTGAGTTGGAGGCAGAGACGGATGCCTTCAAGTGCGGACGATGCAAGCAGAGGAAGTGTCGCTACTATCAGAAGCAGACTAGAAGTGCTGACGAGCCGATGTGAGTTATTTTGATAGTAGACGTGATCCCTTGCCAGGCACTCAACTCTCTACCTTGATCCTCCCCCCCTTGCCAGGACCACTTTCGTCACTTGCACAAATTGCAACAACAAGGTGAGTGGAAAGGCGTCAAGGCATTCTCCTCTCCGGATCTCAAGAAGCACGCTGACATTCTGCTCCTCTCCTCGTCTTGTCTCACTCCCAGTGGAAGTTCTGTTGAGCAGTTGGAGAGCAGACCAGCCCCTCTGCCTCTCAGCTCGACCGACGCCCCCCTACGTAGCCACTCAGCTTGCCCTCGTCCCCCTCGCCCGACCCTGCGAGGCTGCGACGCTCACCATTGTACCATCAGCGTATTTCGACAATGTACGATAGCATTTACCGTCTTCTGCTCTGCGTTGTGTGGTGTGAGGCTCCCGACCGAGGGGGGGAGGATGCCTGGGCAGACTACGACTGTCGCGTGGCTCTGAACCTCGGTGTTGCTCTTTGCTCCCTTTCCGTTGTGCGTCTGCCTCGGCGACTGAGCCGACGCAGGGACCTCCTCCTCCGCCAGTTGCTCCTTCCTCTCTTCTTCTTGCTCCCCAACCATCGCAGCTATCGCCAGTCAGCATTCATTTTTCCCAAAGCAGTACGGCGTTAGCTCGGTCAACGATGGCGGGCGCAGGCGTCTTCTCTGCCCTGGGCGCCATCCTCTCTACACTGGGCATACTGTGGTACATCTTCATATGGACTCTCTGCCTCTTTGGTCTGCACAGGGCCAGAGTCGTGTTCGCTCAGCCGCCGCGTCTCTTAGCATCTCAGCAGCTTCCTTCAACACCCGGTAGAGGAATGGAGGAAGAAGAGGACAGGGCAAATCTTCCTGGAGTGTCTATCCTCCGCCCTCTAGCAGGCTCAGATGCCAACCTGTACGCCAATCTCGCATCGACGTTCCAGCAAGATTACCCAGCAGCCAAGCACGAAGTCATCTTCAGCGTGAGCTCCGAGGAGGACGCTGCGCTTCCCATTGTCAGGCGGGTGGTGGCAGAGTACGCAGCTGGCGGTACAAGCAGCGGCAAGGTCAAGGCGCAAATCATCGTAGGGGACGTCAAGGCTGGTGTGAACCCAAAGGTCAACAATCTCTTGCGGCCTTACAGCCTAGCCCAGCACGATATACTTTGGATCGTCGATTCGCAAGTTCGTCTATGCTCTTCGACGCTCCGCTCAGCCGTAGCGCAGCTTCTCGCGCCCTCACCAACTCCTTCACCGACCTGGCTGCACAGACGACCGCACGGCTCCCGCGTAGGGCTACTGCACTGTGTCCCACTCGGGGTAGACCACCACGAAGGGAGTCTGGCTTCGCTCGTAGAACGAGTCTTCTTGAGTACCACACACGCAAAGATGTACTTGGCAATGAACGCACTGGCAGTGGAAAGCTGCGTCATGGGCAAGAGCAACATGTGGAGAAAGAGCGATCTGGAACAGGTGCCAGACTCCTTCTTTGCGGTCGGCCTGGACGGTAGTCGTGAGGAAGACCCGGAAGGGGCTCTAGGCTCGCCAGCCTTTCAAGTGGAGACTCAATCCTCACAGGCTAGACCTTTCGTCCTTGATGACGAGGCAGAGGAAGGGGCAGAAGAGACAGGGGAAGAAGAGTCCCTCTCGATTATCCGGCAGGCGCGCCCACTAGCGCGCTTCTCCATCTACCTCGCCGAAGACAACATGGTCGCCACCTCCCTCTGGCGTCCACCCCTCTCCCTTTCGCACGTCCTCGCCTCCGGCTCAGCATGTATAGCTCGTACAAATGTGGGTGAGATCCGCACCCTCGCAGACTACATCGGACGGAGGAGCAGATGGATCCGAGTTCGCAGACACATGGTCCCCGAAGCCACTATCGCCGAACCTCTTACCGAGTCTCCCCTAGCTGGACTGGTGGGGTTCTGTAGCTTGAGATTCTTTGGCCTCTGGCCGTCAGGACTACTCGCTGCGACGCTCTTCTTCCTTGTGCACTTCACGGGGTGGTATCTCGTGGATTTTGCAGTCCTCGCTGCCCTCGAAAGCGGGAGTGGAGAGTGGTCCCCACAGGCGGAAGAGCGAGGATCCACTTCTGGGACGCAGGCAGAATCACGGGCGCAGCATACTTCTCCTCCTCCTGCCCCCCGCCTCTTTACACGCAAGGGAGAAAGATGGGAGTTTACAAAAGCGTGGATATTGCGAGAAGCACTGGCGCTGCCCATCTTCTGCTGGTCCATCTGGGGAGGGAATGAAGGTGAGTCCCGCCGCGCCACTTTTCCCTTGCTTGCGTCCCCCCCCCCACCCCCCCTCCCTCTCGCGAGTCTTGTGTCGCTTGCGTACAGAAGGACTGACCTTCCACTTGCCCCTGCGGTCTGCATTCGTGCCTCCCACTCCTTCTTCACCAAAAGTCAACTGGCGAGGTCAACCCTATCGGATCCTCTCCGACTCTCGAGCAGCGCAGATCCTTCCCCATGCCCCCACAGGAAGAAGAAGAGGGACTGGCTTGCGCACTGTGAGAGGTGCAGGCGCAGGCACAGGCGCAGGAGGTGCTTCTGCGAGTCGAGCTGAGTACCAGAGTTTGCCGAGTGAGGAGTAGGGTGAGGTCAACCGTACAGTCAGACATGGCACGCGCAGGATAGACCCACTTAGAAGAAGATATAGATGGATGTTCCATTAAGTAGGACGGGGAGGCTAACATGATGATACCACTCGAGAGCGAGGCGTGTCCCTTTCTCTCATCTACCACAATCTGAACTAGTATAGACATTCTTCCGAATCGTTTTCAGCACAGACATACTCTTCTCTTCTCATCTGTCAAACAGTAGCCCCCCCCGCTGCCTTCTCCAACATCAGCCTCTCCTTTGCCTCTATTCCTCTGCAGCAGTCGCTGGAGGAACGCGTCAAACTTGCCATCCTGGAAAGCATCAAAGATCTTGCTAACTTGCGCGCCAATCGTCTTACCACCTCCAGGAGGCCTGGCCTTGTAAGCCGCCTCGAACCTCCCGTCTCTAGGACCGGCAGCGAACGCCCAGCTGTAATCGGCAAGTCCGCTGTAGGCCTCTACCTGAAGCTCCTCTCTCACAAAGGACCAGAGTGAGCCGGTCATGGATGAGGAGAGAAAAGGATGATTGTTCCTTCCACTGTCTGCCGGGATAGAGGGGTTGCGAGGCTCGGCGTCCAGAGTGTGGCAGCCAACGTACGCGGCTTCCAAGGACTCCGCTAGACGCTTCTCAGCGTCCTCTTCCGGATCCAAGGAGTGATCCTCTTCGTAAGGACAAGGATAGAGATCAGGGTCGAAGCTAACGCTGAGATTGATTCCTTCTTTGCGGGCAACGTGGCAGAAAGCCCGCGCGGCGCTTGCTGATCTTTCCTGTACATCGAGGTGAGAAGTCTGCATCAAGTCCAAGATGATCGTGTGGATCAACATCGCCTTCTTCTCGTCGGAGAAGATCAGGAAGCCTTCACATGACAGACAGCGCGACTCCAAGAGATGCGCGACTAGTCTGCACATTCCCATCCTCAGGTCGATGGCTTGCAGAACGCCATACACTGCATTGGCCATTAGCTTCTTGAGCACTTCAGCAGCCATGACAGTGAACCTTGCAGAGATCAAGGCGAGGCTGTTGACGGACTGGTTATCCATCTCAGCGGACTGCACAAAGTGGTTGACTCTGTTGGCAAGGAAGTTGAGCTCCGAGAGGTACGAGGCGTTCGCGATGTCTATACCCTTGAGACCTCCGTCCTTGTTGGGTCCAAGAGATGGAGCAAGACAGGTGGGCAGACCATTGGACCGTTGTGGATTCAGTAGCTCGCTCTGCTGAGCGAAGATCAGACGACCGATAGTTGAGAGTCCATCGCGGATCTTCTCTACAGCGTTGGTGACAGCGGCAGCTTGGAAATTCCCGCCGTGGTACAGCTGCTTGCTTGTGGGGTCAAATAGAGGATTGTCGGTGGAGCTGTTGAGCTCTGTTGTGAGCGTCTCATGGGCAGCGACGAAGTCTTCTAGGACTGGGCCCAGCCATTGAGGAGCTGTCCGGATAGCGTACCTGATTAGCGCGGGGAATCCTGATTTCCGTCAGCCGCAATGTCGATGACGTCCGTACAGCTCTCAGCCTCGAACTCACCTGTCTTGTTTGAGGAAGTGCGCCGCCTCCCTCTGGCAACTTTTGCTCTCTGGATCACATTGAGTCCCGAGTATTGCCGAAATGATCATTGACACCGGTCCCGGATATTCAATACCCGCACTTTGTTCCCTATCTTGCAACATTGAGCTATCGCTGAGCCAGTTCCGGAGATTCTCGGCAATCTGACATTGACCCGTGTGAGGTCGAGCAACGTCGTGCAAGAAGCTCTCGAAGGGGGCTCTGAAGCCCAACATTGCCTCGGTATGGACGACGGTGACGACTTGCGCGAGCAGGAGTAGGGTATGAGCTGAACCTAGGGCATCGGCTGCTACAGCGGCAGAGACGGCCGTGCCATTGATGAGAGCCAGGACTTCCTTGGGTGCAAAGGAGTAAGGCTGAATACCCGCAGACCTGAGCGCTCCTTGTGCCGTGTCTTGCTCGGATATTGGTCCTGGTTTATAGATGGTCATAGTTAGGGAAGGATGTCCGGCGAGGGCAAAGGCTACATACGCCAGAGGGGCTAGATCTCCCGATGCTGAGATGCTCCCTTGGAGCGGGACATTTGGCGTGATCCTAGCTCGGAGAAGAGCAGCGAGCCTCTCGATGAGGTCCCATCGTACGCAGGAATGACCCCGAAGGAAGCTATTGATACGGATGAGGATGGCCCCTCTCACCCAGGCACAGGGAAGGACGTGCAGGTCATGATTGCAAGGAAAGAACTTGCCGTCTTCATAGAGCTTCGGTAGAATACCAGCGAGGAGACCTTGCAATGCTACATGTACAGCGTTGACTTCCTCTTTGGGCACTATACTCCTAGCATTGGCGCCGAAAGAGGTATTGACTCCATAGACGGTTCGGCTTGCAAGCTGAGTACTGAGCGCCTTTCTACTTGCCTCGACTAATTTGCGTCGGCTTGTATCGAGCTTGAAATCAGCATCAAAGCGGGAGACAAGGAGGAGCTGGCCTACTGAAAGGCCCTTACCTGTGAGCAGAGTGGGAGGGGCGGCTCCTTGTGGCTGATCGGCTACGAATTGAAGGTAAAGAGCGTTGTGGGTGGGGCGCGAGCCATTCATTTTGCCCGCAAACGGCCTTGGTGTAGTATAGGATGACTTCGTTATGCTGGGGAATAGAAGGAGCAGAGTGTGACGAGCGAGGCGAGCTGAGTAGTGGTGGTACGAAGGGAGGAGGGGGCTATAAGGAGGAGAGTTGGCAGAATTGAAGGGCAAGCCTCTACAGGTGGGCGCTTACCTTCAAAGCCCCCCGGTGCCCACGCACGATGACCAAAGATCCCCGCGGGCGGACGATGGACGACGAACGTAGGCACCTGCATCGGACGTGTCAATCCTCCGTACCTCCGGCCATTGCCGCGCCTGTGAAACCAGTCAACGCTCCGGACCACGAACAGAGGCACTCACGGTGAATGGATAAGATGATGTCCATTGCTACGTAGATGAAAGGATGAATCCACATCAATGACGTGAGACGGTAGAAGTACACTGGCCGCAGAGTAAGCGAGGAAGGGAGGAATGAAGGTTCTGACTGCCCACTCTCTCCTCATGGGTCAATCTCCATCTTGTTCCTGGCGGGATCGCCGCCAGGTCCAACGTCTTCGCTGATCCTACGAGGCGCCTCGTCCAGCCCACCATCAGTCTCTTCCACTTTGGTCATCTGCACCAGAGGAGAGCTGAACGCCTTGCCCACATCTGCCGCTCCTGCACCTGCTCCGCCGGTAGCGTAGGTCACGCCAGGCCAGCCAGTTGCAGTACTGCCCACGACGGGCTGCTTGTGAGGCTCTTTGCCATTCAGAGCATTGGAGTGGCCTGCTGATAAGGTGTTCGAGGCAGGAGAAGCCGACGATAGAGGCCGACTCGCGCTTGTCGGTCTGCCGATGCGGAGATTCTTGCGCCCGGGGATATGTCGATAAGCGGCAGGTCCAGGAGTCGAGACAGGTGTTGCGCCGCCGCAGGGACTGCTACGACTGGCGGTATCGGGAGAGAGGCTGCTCGCAAGTGGCATGTCCAAGGGTCTAGCACTTGGAGACTGATGCTGTCCCGCCGCCGCCAGTAGGTGACTGGGAGTTGCTTCCTGACGAGGGGCCTGCGTGACCAAGGGACTTCTCGGCCTCGACAGTGAGCCATCAGCCGATGGGCTGGCCGCCTCGCTGGGAGTGTCTTGCCGTCCATCCGAGAAGGGGCTGCCTTGCTTGAAGGCCTGCCTGCCTGCTGGACCCGCAGAGCCACTATCGTCTCCGCGACTCCGTCTACCTCCTCGCTGTCTCTTTCCATCTCCACCAGAGCTCACAGGAGGCTGAGAACCAGAAGACTCTCTACCTCTCTTGGGTGAAGAGACAGCAGGGCTGCCAGAGGCAGAGAGGATGGTCGTCGGTTCCCGCTGTGTCTGCTTCCTTGTTCGACTGCCAGCATCAACGCCCGCGCTCCAGAAGGCAGCGAGGTTCTTGATTGAGGTCCTCTCGGTTCCATGAGTTGCAAGGACTGGAGCTTGGACGCTTGGCGAAGGCGCAGAAGGAGCTGGTTCAGGAGGATCCATGGCAGCATCGACAAAGTCCCTCTTCCTGACTACCTGAGGCAGCGGAGAAGAGGCGCCGTGAGATGCAGTAGCGGCTTTGTGGGGCGAGGCAGGCTTGACATCACTGGCCGCAACCGAAGATGATCGGGAAGAGACCTTGCTACTTTCTCCGACATTTGCCTTCGGCGTAGAGCCTTCGCCACTGGTCTTGCTCTCCCTCGAGCCACTCTTTCGCTTCTTTTTGCGCTCCGCATTGCCTAAGCCTTCTTCAACTTCATCTTCCTCGAAGACCGAGACTGCCGAGACGCCGCTACTGGAGCGGCGATGGGTCCGAGAAGACTGCCTGCCCACCCTGTCAGCCAAACTGACAGGCCCGTTCATGCTCTGCTTCCTGACTCTCTTCGTCGCATCTGCGTTACTGATCCCCCAGTATTTAGCAAGCTCTTCAGTCTTTGCTTCCTTGCCAAGCATCTTAGGGCCAGCGGGTCGATCATCGCCTCCACTAACGCTGCTGCTGGCGCTAGGAACAGATGGATCTCGAGTGGCCTCAGTTGCAGCTACAGAAGAAGGTTCAGTGAGATCTGAGCCCGAATCGCTGAAGGCGGGAGCGGCGTGAATCTTGCTAGCTTTCGAGCCCGCTTGCCCATTCCTGTCGTCCGCCAGGGCCTTTGTACGAGGTCTTCCCACTTTGCGGCTGGTCGATGGCTTCGAGATTTCAGGCTGAGGCTCCACGCTTCCGATGGGGCGAAGGGGACTCAGGCGAATCGGAGTATCTTCATTGGTCGAACCTTCGATCGAAGTGAGGCTGGGGGTAGGAGTTGAGACTGCAGGAGTATCGTTGTTCTTCGATGGCCTTCCGCGCTTCTTGGCAGGAGGAGGGGATGCAGCCTGAGTAGAGTTGTCTTTGCTTTTGCCCTTCCCATGCGCATGACTCGAGCTCGCCTCGCTATCCTCAACGCCACCTGCACCCGATCCGTTGTGTTTCCGGTTCTTCTGAGCCTGCTCGTAGAGCTGAGCGTATACCCCCTCAGCCGGGATCCGATTGGGCCAGTCTGCTTTGAATATCCTGTAGTGCCTTTCACATCTCTTACATTCGTCCGGTAGCCACCAGCTTTCGGGGGCATAGAATGGCCCCCCACATGTGGTGCATTGACATTTTGGGCCTGGCGCAGCCACTGGATCAATCAGCTCTCGGTCAGAGGGTGCATTGGTCTTAAGTCCCCCGCTAGAAGCTCGCGAGGAAGCTTTCCGATTGGCGTATTCGGTTTGAGGGGCCTCAAGACCAGGCTGACTGGGTCCAGCAGCAGCACCATTGCCATTGCTTGTTTGTCTTGTAGGCGAGATCCCATCACCTGGAGGTTTGATTCGTCTCGAGGGTGCCCGTCTGCCATCGGAAGGTGCCTCGTCCTCTGCAGCATTGGCAGCGTCTCGTTCTTGGTCTTTCAAGCTCTCAACTCCCTCCTTGGTGAAGGCTCCCTTGCCTCTCGCCTCGCAGGTAGCACAGAGACATTCTGAATTCTCCCAACCAAAGTAGTGCTCCCCATAGCCAACCAGTATTTCCTCGTTGGTCTTGATCGAGCGAGAGACCTTGAACATCATCTGTTGGCCACTTCGGTAAAATTGGACAGAGGGATTGCAATCGTGATTGACGAACCTTGCCGGACCGAGTAGTAATTGGGAGCAATTTCTCATGCTGCTCTTGATGATGCTGAAGTCTCTGCCCTGCCCGAGCACGCCGCCATAGGTCTGATCGTCTGGTCTTCCCCGATTGGCAGCAGCTTCGTTCCTCAGAGCTTCGTCTTCACTCTTCGAGAGATCTTTGACTCCACCCTTGCAAGGAATGATCTCTCCAGGGACCATGTCGCGTACAGCAACCACGCATAGATCGGCCTTGCTTCCGGCTGCAAGTGGAGCTGCCACCTCACCGGAGCGCCTGCCCCGCGCAGGCTTCGAGGGACCGGCGTGATGGTCCTTTGCTTGAGCATTAGCGGCAGCTCCAGCGGCGGAGCTCTCGGCTATCGACGAAGCATCGGCGAGCGAAGATGCTAGAGGAGCCGTGGAACGCTTGTACCGGTTGGTGATTGCAAATTCAAAGCCACTGTCGGGCAGGTAGGCCTCAAGATATCGTCTAGCGTGACTCATGAATGCTTGTGACTGTCTCGGTGACTTGTGCTGTAGATGCTTCTTGACGACACTCATACTGGCAGAGCGCGATCATGAGAGAGGAAAGGGAGATGAGCCAACCTTGCAGAGGGATGTCCTTCAGACGCAAGCCCCTACTCACTCGCACAGTTCTTCCACTGCCTTTGCTACGTCTCTCTCGCAAACGATTCTTCTCCTGACGAGGTCATTGACGAAGTCGGTGGAGTACCTGGGCGACCGATATGACTGGTTCATCTTGTGTGTCGAGATGGCCGGATCGAATTCAAGCGAGCTGGACGTACACAAAGTGCGCAAAGGATCAAGGTGGGGGTAGAGAGGCGAGGTGAGCACCCGCAGGGGTCATGACCGGATCAAGGGTCCGTGAGCGGGGTCACTCACTCTAGGAGCATATCGCTGAGGAGATCATCGTCGGCGGCGATGTCCTCCATTGCGACTGCTTGCCGTCCTCGGCGGCGGTATGAAGATGGTGGTGGGGGGCTAATCCGAGGAGTAAATGGATCTCGTTCAAGAAAGACAACGAAGCAGAACGGCGGGGAAGTAAGAGCAAGGGTATGTGAGTCGTGAGTGGGGGGAGTAAAGAGTGGGAAGACAGGGAAGGGGAAAAAGGATGTATGGGTCCCCACGAGGGGGTAAGGAGTGCGTCGTGAATGGTATGGTGCGAAGGGAAGGAGGAGGAGACGAGATTGGATTTGCCAGTTGGGTCAAGTCGAGCAGTGCACGAGCGCCTCGCCTCGCCTTTGGGGGCAGAAGCCCGCGTCTGTCTCAGCTCAGTCCCGCTGGGACGCTGGCGGATCGGAGCTTCGCCAAGCCCACGCCGCTTCCGGCCCGGTCGCGTCTCCACACGCGCATGTCGGACCGGAGAGGGGGAGAGAAAACAGAATGACAAGGGTGCGTATATTGTAGCCGAAGCAAGTCGAAGTCATGAGGCGCGGGTGACACAGTGCCACTTGCAGCTACACGGTGCTCTCTTCAGTTTGACTGTGCTCCGTGATGGTCACAGCAGAGGGAGAGCGGGGTGCTTCAAAATCACTGCCGGCTGCCTTCGCCTTACCCTTGTCCACCTTGAGCTCTCCACTGTCGCCTTCTTCTTCCGAGGATGACTCGATCTCAACGGCTCCGCCGCTCTGAGGACTTCCGCTGCCTGGTATCACGCTCAGCGCACGGTTGAGCTCTACTGACACCTTCCAGAGACTGCTCTGCGCTCTTTGTACCACCCTCAATTGCTCCTGGATGCCTCTTCTAGTCTGCAGAGCCAGGCGGTCAAACTCCGCTGGCGTGAGAGGAGTGTCAAGGTCCTCATCACTGATCTCCGCTTGAGCGTCCATAAGGTCCAGAGGTGAGGGGTGGTGCGATGAGGGCCAAGTGGCCGTAGGGACTCGAAGGAGACCGTCACTAGAGCGTGGGACAGCTCCGGTAGTGGCATTGGCTGCAGATGGGGGAAGACCGAACCTCCGCAGAGCAGCTTGTCTAGCGGCATCTCGTGGGTCCTGGGGATCATTGTCTTCGTTAGTGTCGTCTTCTGCATCTGTACCTTTCGTAGAAGCCCCGGCCGCTTCCCCACCATGGTCTATACTACTTCTGGCAGGTTGGCGCGGAGGCAGGGGCAAAGCCAATTCTGGCAAGTCGAGATTTGAAGGCACTTGCAGACTCGAAGGAGGCGGCGGCATCCAACTTGAGCGGCGTCGGGCTCCATTTGACGAGCTAGGCATGCTGTATGACGACCGCGAAGAGGACAAGGCAGCGCGTGGCTGGTCATCGGTGCCTCGTCTTTGCATCTCACGCGAAGAGAGCTCATCTGCAGTCATGGTAGTGCGCAAGGGAGAGCTGGGACGATGGGGACTGTCCACGCCGAGGACCTGATTGAGCAGACCTTGCAGATGCTGGCGCCCTCTGTTGGGATCGCCGAGAGGGCTGCTGTTGCCGGCGGAGCCATGCCGTGCTGGAAGGCGGTGAGCACCTCTCGACGCGGGGATTTGTGCAGCCGTTGAGGTGGGGGTCGGTACCCCAGGAGGTCGAGCCACACTTGCTGCTGGTCCGTGTGCCTGCCCATTCTCTTGCGCCGGAGGTTGAGGTGCTACTTCTGCAACCGGTGCGGCGGCTGCTGCCATCGGCGCTGGCGTAGTCTCGAAGACGGTGCGCCTGCAGGTAGGACAGCTCTGTTGCCTTTCTAGCCATGCTCTTAAACAATGGAAGTGGAAAATGTGTCCACAAGCCAGCTTTTTTGGCGTGTCATTTGGTCCATCTCCACTTCCAGCAGCATGTGTAGGACGGTCTTCGGAGCCTCCTGCTTCGGGTCCGGCGACGCCGTCTTGAGGGTCTGCTAGCGTAGGATCAGGACCCCTTGCCACCATCTCGTCTCTGCAGATGATACAGGTACCGTCTGTTCTCCTCAGGTCTTCATGTGTAGCGTTGGGGAAGCGAGTGTCCATGTTTCTTGTTGCAGCACGATACCTGATCAAATCCCTGATCCTGCCGAAGAAGCTTCTGGCTGTGACATAGACGTCCCGCACAATGTTGAGCGGGAGACCATAGTAGGTGAGGATGAGGCAGAAGAAGCAGACGTAGGTCGCTAGTTTGAGAAAGTCGGTCACTAAATCGACTGCTGAGACGTACATGCTCTTGGCTTCCCATGGCTCGTCGGAGCGCATGTCCTGGCAATTGATGATGTACTTGGCGATTGTGGCCCAAAGAGTTGCCGTGAGAATCATGAATTCGCTGGCGAACATGATCATGATGCCCATCCGCTGTTTTTCCAAGACCAGTACCTCGATCGCAAATGCAACCAGGAAGAGGTCCAGACAGAACAAGGTCCAGAGAACGCTGATCATACGGGCGTGGAATAGTCTCGAGACCGACGGTGATTGCTCCATCTACAAGCAGACAGGAGTACGTTATGAGACAAAACAGGGTCTCTCAGCTTCGGCGAACTTTCATCGCATAACTCACCAGCTCCACTCTGTCAGCACAAAGCCAGTGAAAGACCTTCAGGAACAACAGCGTGCCAAATAGCACCACAAAGCTGCCATCAAACTCGTCCCTAAATATTGTCATGGCTAGCAATGTCTCGGTAACAGCATACCATGACCTCTCGTAAAGATGCTCAACCTCTGTCGGCCTGAGAGACCCAAAGAAGATTGCCTGGCATACTTTGCCGAATATGAGAGTGATGAAGACGCCAAAGTTGAGTAGGACAAGCATACATCCGTTGCTCCTGCCTAGCCAGACGGCGGCGGCATAAAAGTTGGATCGCTCCCTGAAGGCTCGCACTATGACTCCTCCTGCAGCTGCTACAGAAGCTGCCCCATAGAAGACGAGCCTTTGTGGAGTGAAGAGTGGAGAAACTGCTTGAGGCATAATGAGCGTAGACGAGATGAGGTTGTAATAGAGGTGAAGGCGGATGCCACCGCTTGCCTTGTGGATGAGATCCAGCTGCTAGAAGGCCGGTCTGAGCTCAGGTCGCCATCGATTGAAGCGCCACCGTTTGCTCGCCGTGGACGCAGTGTTTATACGGGTCAGATGTCAAGGCGGCAAGGGGATCTGTTCTCAAGCCTGACGACGACGGCGATGATGGTCTGAATATCACAGTGGTGATGGAGAACAAGGTGTCGAGGGGCGAAAGCGACGTGGAGGCGCAACCCAGCCACGCGGCAATGCACCGCCGCCACTCTGAGTCCAACACGCCCCCACTTCCGTAAGGCTCCGGGTTCCCACGCCTAGAGTAGCACACCTCGCCTCCTGACCGTCTCATCACTGAGCTCACTGCTGCTGAGCATTGCATTACAGGAGAGCATATAGACTCCCCTACGGTACCTCGCTCACCTCTCATGGTCGGCGAACCGGCCCATGCAAGGCGTTTGCAGAGTCTGCATGTCACACTCATTCGCCATGGCCAATCCTTAGACAACCTCACAAACGTATGGTTAGTCGCAAGCTTCCAAGAGGAGTCTGTATGCGCATGAGATAATCCCATAATGACCATAGATCACCTTTCATCCCGTATTGACCGTCTACAGGGCCGGTCACAAGGACTCGCCCCTGACATCTACCGGCCTGGCACAGGCGAGGGCACTGGCCGAGTCCTTTGCACAGATTCACATCGATGCCATATACGCCAGCGACCTCAAAAGGGCGAGTCAAACCGCGCATGAGGTGCTCAATGCCAATCGTACAATACCTCCGCCTTTGATGGTCCAGACGCAGTCGTTACGAGAGCAGCACTTCGGACTTGCAGAGGGTAGGGACTGGACCGAGGCAGAGTGGACCAATCCCAACAAGAGCAAAGGGGCCGACGCTCGAAAGCTGGCCTTTCCCGAGGGAGAAAGTCTCGAGGCCGTCAATGCCCGTTTGACGACTGCCATCAGGAGATTCATCGTACCTCGTCTCGAAGCGCTGCGAGGGCCAGATCTCTGGTCCGGACCGCCGCCGCACGTGGTCATTGTGGCCCATGGTATTTCCATTGCAGAGGTGAGTAGGCTGCACTGTCACGGCCAATTATCAAATTGACAAGTCCTGATGATGACCAAAGTACTGTTTGATCTTGCTGCAGATCCTTCGAGTCCTCATGTCCTACCACGACGTCGAGTCCAGCTACCCAGCGCCATGGCCACATCCAGCTCTGGCCTACAAGCGAGTCAGGCTCGACAACACCGGGTGGACTCGATTGCAACTCAGTGTGCCTTTTGGACATACTTCGAGTACTGAAAAGACAGTGCCGCCCGCAGAAGCTCCACAACTCCTTGGCCCTGCAGGAAACGGTGGCAAGGCAGACAGCGGGAGCACCTCACCCACGCCCGCTGCCAGGATACCAGCACAGCTGTCGACTGCAGATGGTGGAAAAGCCATGCAGTCGGCGGTCGAAGGCGAGACATCAGCTGTCCCCATCGATCCTCCTTCTTTGATCTCTCAGCTGCCAAAGCCGCCACGGAGAGACATCTTTGTCAAGTTCGTTGGTCATCAGAACAATATCGACCATTTGGCAGGATTCGCCATGTCGGGCGGCATTGGATCTGCAGCAAATATCCTAGGAGGTGGAGTAGCAACAGACAATGGCGGTTCGAGAGATGTTGAGAGACATAAGGAGACGAAGGGCGCTGGGAGAGGTGCCGTTGGCGGTGGCTTGACCAGGCCAGATTCAGGTCATGGCAATACAGTGCGCTCGCGTCTCAATCAGAGCACAGCCACTTCCACGTCCAGTGGCCTGGCCACACCAGAAGGTAGCATTGGGGACAGAAGGCCCTCTCCCACCAACAATGCATCATTTGGCGGCTCTCCATCTGGCAAGTCCGGATCCTACTCAGACAAATCGATACCCTCATCTTCCTCAGATCCACTTGGGCACAGTGGCCTCTCCAAAGCCACGGGCAAGCAGCTCAGCTTTCCTTCACCAGCTCATACACTTCAAGCACCAGGAGCCTCAAGTGATACCTGGAAAGGAATTTGTTCAAAGATCCTACCTCTGTTTGGTACTGAGGGTCTCAAGACACCCGTTGAAGAGATTAGCGAAAGCGTTTCGATACACATCAGGCGGACACTCGATCGTGGTCCTGCCAGGGCTTGGAGCTCTCTGACACTCGACCTACGGCAGCTGATAGGTACTGGTCTCTTGGCCCTAGAGAACAGATTAGGCGGTGCGTCTTCTCTGTCGGCGGGCGAGGACAGGCAACTCCTCATGAAGCTAGCAGATTGCTGGACGGCATTTGGTCAAATTCTCCCGTGGATCGAAGCGGCCTTCCTACCCCTTGCAACTGACCCGGTGCTGCTCAGCCTGGCTACGGGCGGATCTGCGAATGGGAGAAGCCTGCCAGCGCAAAGTCTGTCCCCATCGGACAGCCACCACATTCTCTCTTCCCCCGGCTCAAGCAACACAAGTCATCAGCAGCAATCACTACTCCGCTCGCAACCAGTAGACGTCAAGAAGCTTGGTCTGTCCGTCTTCCGAGACTCGCTCGTATTGCCGCACTTTGACAGGCTGGTTCAGCTCTTTGCCAAAATGGGTGAATTCGGTGGCGCCATGGCGCAGGAGGGTCACTATACTGGTAGCGCGCCAGCAGCATCATCTGGAGGGCGTCCTAGCGCTACTGCTACACATTCCAATCCTCTCCTGGAGGAAGACGCCACTTCCTCTTCTCCAGGCCCCCTCGTGACCAAGCTCACACAAATGATTCACATCGTCCGCTCCGTTCAATCTGGTGATGACGCTCAGCAAGGCATCGACGGTCTACTGCGTGCGCTCAGAGTGGGCACATCGAGGGAAGGACGAGCCTCGGTGGCGTATGGCGGAGGAGGGATCCCAGCCTCCTGTTCCATGGGAAGCACAAGTGGGAGCTATGATCGTGCCAATAGAAGAGGGTGGGTCCCACCACCTTCGGGAAGACGGAAGAGCTCGTTTGCCGCTGCGCAAGAGAGGGGAGAAGAAGAAGTTGCAGCGGCAGCGGCGGCGACGAGTGGTGAAGCCGTCGGAGTAGCTGGGAATGTAAAGCGCCAGGGCAGTAGTGGGTCTACTAACGGCCACGGGGTGAGCAGCAGTCTCGCACCTCGAGGAAGAGCTACAAGCCCCTCTCCCTCCCCTTCTCCTTCCCCGGGCTCGCGCTCTCCCCTCGTACGTAGAGGAGGGGAGGGCGAAGGAAGCACTACAGGCGGAGCATCCAGCACGCAGGAAGTGGAACACCCCCTGCCGGCAAGCCTCTCGGCAACAGCACTTCCAGCGCCACAAACTCCCCGCAGCCCCCTCACCCGCGGTGAAGAGGAGCGCCCCCCAGCAAGTGGAGAGGCAGTCTCTTCTCCCCATTTCCCTCCACAACTCTAGCAGCAGCAGCAGCAGTAGTAGTAGCAGCAGCAGCAGCAGCAGCAGCAGCAGGGTACACCAGTACGATATGAGATGAAGTGAGATGCGCCTTGCTCTCAATAGCGCAAGTGCGGACTGCGGACTGCAGGCGGGATTGGGACTGGTAGCGGTATCGGTAGTAAAAGGGGCGGGCGAGTGGGGCGTCCTGAGGCTTCATGTCTTGTACCATACGGGAAGTATAGCCACTCCGCTATACTACGCTACGCTTTTCTTTTTCTGCCAGATGAAGCACAGAGCTGCTTAGCGGCGTACTTGGACTAATGCCACTGCCACTGCCAATACTACTGCCTCTGCTACTGCCAATACTACTGCCGATGCCTCTGCTGCTTTCAATGGCTCTGCCGCGTAGATCCATCTCTTCGACTGACCGAAGACCAAGACCAAAACCAAGACCAGGCGAGGGACACTGCATCTGCTCCCTCTTTTAATACACACACACACACACATCCTCTCTCTCTATTTGTGGCATCTATGAATCCTTTTCAATTCCTGACTGGTTTGGCTTGTTTTCTTGAGTTCGAGGTCATCTCCCTCCACTCCACTCTACTCTACCTCTCCCCTTTCATTCTACTCTTCATCTCTCAAAACTCTCTTTCCTCCCCTTACCCGACGGCTGAGTCCTCAAAGTCTGACCCCTTGAGCTTCAAGTGCGGCTTTTCTAGCATCGGCAAGCCTAAGTCGCTCCTCGAGTTGCTGCAGCTCTCTTGCTTGCGATTCTACGCTCTGAAGTCTGCGGGGCGGGGCGAAGCGGGGCGAGGCGGGGGAGAAGCGAGGCGAGGCGGGGGAGGAGCGGGGCAGACAGAGGAGGGGGATGCGCACAGGTTGGAGAATGGCAGAAGAGGGAAAAGAAGGTCAGCTTCTCACCAGCAGGGACGAAGAGGGTCCATGTATGGAGAGAGTAGAGCCGTACTCACTTTTCGGCTACTTTTCCCTCTAGTTCTGCAAGTCTATCGCTACCACCACCCGTGCCAACACCACTCCCACTACTGCCACTAGACGTCCCATCCAACCGGCCAGCAAGAGCACTCTGTCCGCTGCTTGGGGCTCCAGACCTGTTGTGAAGCAATGCGGTCGAGGGAAAGAGACACGTAGTGATCAGCATCCGATCTTTTCTCTGCTGCCTCTCAGCAAGACCGGCAAAGAAAGATCCGAAAAAGGGCGGGGTGGGGCGCAACAGGGAAAGCAAAAAGGAAAGGGGGGAAGAGGTGCTGGGCTGTTTTGAAGAAGCTTGCAAGACTCTGGCTCTCTCGTCTCTCTTGTCTCTTCGTGTCGTGTCTTCTCTCCCTCTCGGTCTTCCTTTGCTCGTCCTTTTGGGCAGCAGCCTTTTCTCCCTCTCCCTCTCCTCTTCCAATGTCAAGAGGAGAGCTCTACAACCTCGAATGGATACGATGATGGATATACGTACGTTCATTCCTGTCCCAAGTGCTTCTACTCACAACTTCCCATCGTCATTTCCGGACTTTCCGGCAAATTCGGTAGAAGTAGGTTGCCATCCACCCGCCGTGACTTGCAATCCTTCAGAAGTGAGGAAAGCCTCATCCTTGTCGACCCAAGCGGGGTCAAAGTCGTAGGTTCTGGCCTCGGCGTTGTTCCAAGCGTGGGTAGAGTTGCCGTGAGGGCCGGCAGTGATGCGACGGAGGATGTCACCGTGGGCGACGACGAGGATGGTGTCCTCTGTGCGGGAGCGAAGCCATTGACGGACCCACTGGGCTCGCTTGTTCAGCGAGGCTTCGTCTGCGGCGAATTGTCCACGCTTGGATGTCCAGTCTGCAGTCAGGAGGGAGAGGTCGAAGGAATTGAACTCTGGGTCGGCCTCGAGGACCTCACGAGGCGAGCCGGTATCGCATGGGCTGTAAGAGAGAGAGGGGGGCAGAGGCACAAGAGGGAGTGATTAGAGTCATAGTCGGGTAGAATCATCAAAGGCAAAGTGGGAGATCCTCACAAGTCGTTGCATTCTGAGGTTCGGTAATTACCAAGATGAGCGGGAGGAAAGTCAGACTATCAATATCTCCTGGTACGGTGCTCATACTCCCTTTGCCTCTCCCCTTTTTTCTCTCCCCCTCACTCACCCTGCAACTGAGGCAAACAAATCACCTCTTTCCTTCCTCCCAATCTCTCAATCGTAGGACCCCATCCAATAACACTAGTCTGCAACGTCCTCTTCAATGGACTGCTAACTACCAATTGAACTTTCTTTTGCAATTCTAGAGGAACAAATTCAGGAAGTTTAGAACATTGTTGTTTCCCTAGGTCAGTAAGGGGAGCATCGGGAAGAGAGTAGTCATTGCCGACATTGTGAGTCGCTTGAGCGTGACGACAGAGGATGATGGTCGAGGGAGGCATGGTCAGAGGGAGGGTTTGTATGAGTGGTGAGGTTGAGTAGGATGGATACAGAGGAAGGAAGGAAGGAAGGAGGGATGGAAGCACGACTCATGGCCTTCGCCTCGCCTAAACTCAACCAACGCAACACTGCAATTGCAAGATTCACACTCCGCTCCACCTCCACCCAACCCACGGTACGGTCAGATCCCTTGGGGTTGGCTACGCTATGGGAGCATCACATCACATTACCATCGTACAAGCACAGGCACGAGCATTCGCGCAGCTGAAAGCAGACGGACAATGGTAATAGTATGTACATTCAGAACGACACCATCAGGAGGTCTTACAACACAACACGCGTACCAAGAGGTGTGAGCGCCAACGAGTCCTTCCCAATTGCCTTCCCGCAGAGATCTCCTGTCAGGAAGATTTGGCTTAGCTCCTCAATCTTCATTAGCAACAAAGAGAGTGTGCCTTTTCCCTCCCGGACCCCAAACCAAATTCCTCTCTGCCTCTCTCAACTCTCCCTCTTCCTCCATCTCTTCGGCCTCGGTAGACTGACTCCACTTGTTCTCACGTCTACTCCCCTGAGCCTGAGCCTGACCCTGAGTAGTGCTCTCAGACACGCCAGAAGGAGTCGTCACTGCGTTGTCTTCCCCTCGAAGTACAGGAGAGATGGAGCGCGAAGAGGGCGCTACAGACGTAGGCTTCCGGTCCAGGTCTACAGGTGGGTCCAAACGGGTTGGGGTGACACCCGTGGAAGGGGTCCTCCAGAAGTGTTCCGAGTCCGAGGGCGCAACGCTGGGAATATTGAGCGCGTTGACGCCTTGTAGTGAAGTGTGCGAGGGCCGAGGAGAGACAGAAGGGCTGACAGGCCTCAAGTTCGGGGAGAGCTGACCGTCGGGAGCCGTAATCGCTGCCGCTTCTCCTCCGTGGGTGCGGTGGCCGGCCATATCGAGATGACCGTATCTGCTAGGCGGCCAATTGCCATCGTAGGAAAACGGCGGTGGACTGGCCGTCGCTCGTCGAGGTGTAGCAGCAGTCTGCACTCCGAAAGCACTCGTAGCTGCCAGGGCTCCCGCGGTTGGCATTTGGTCTTGCGAGGACTGTCGTCCGCTTGCGTGGAAGCTCTTCCTCATCTGCATCAAGTTACCAGAAGAAGCATTGCGTGGCCTCGGTGGTGGCAGAGCTCCAGGAGAGTCTGTGCTTCCTTGCGGCGCAGGTGTCTTCCACATGAGCGGAGAAGCGGCTCGTGGCGAGAGCTGGCTACCCGATGGGAGCGCCTTGGCGGGATTGCCGGCCGAGGGCGGACCAAAGGACGATTGGCGGAATCGCGGGGAGAGGTGTGTGGGAGGGGAGCTAGGCCTGGATGGTGGTGAGAAGTGAGGAGACTCTCCACCGGCGGGGGCTGTACCCTGTCGTGCAAGAGACCTGTCCAGCTCATCGGCAATCGATCGCGGCCGGGTCGAGGCAGGGTTGGGGAAGTAACGCGGCGAGGCGAAGAAGGGAGGCGTACCGACGGAATTCTGCGCACCTCCAATATGGGGGGTCAGTGGAGGTGATGATGGAGGCGAGAGGTGGATGCTGCTCGTGGACTGACGGCCCGTCGAAAGTGGTGGCCGTGACCCAGCTGCCATCTTCGCACTTTCTGCTAGGGCAATTGGCGGTGTGCCTTTGCGATCGGGAGCGTCGTGATAATAGCTCAGTCGACTGTTGCTGCTGCCCGAGCGATCAAGAACTGGATGTACTGGGTATGCCGGCACGTAGGGGTTGTGAGCGTGATTACCCTGGGAAGAGTTGGCTGGAGGTGAATACGGCTGCCCATTGGCGTCATAACTCTGAATAGCCGCTTGTGTGTCGATGTTGAGTGGCCAGGCGGGAGGGAAGGTCTGGCCACCATAGCTTGGAGGTGAGGAAGGCGGCATGCCGGACGCTGGCTCTGTCGAAGGTTGCGAGTGATGAGCCAGAGTAGGAATTGCTAGCGACGAGTGTGGTTGCTGTGCCAACTCGGCCATGTCCTCCTCGACGCTCTGATCACCGGACGAAGTCTGTCCGGCCTCTACGCCCTTCGAGTATTGCGAATCGTCTCGCGTCAAGCCTCGTCGCATGGTCCCACCTTCGGCCCTCGTTCCCATGTGTCCATTCGATCGCTGGAAGAGGTCGTCCAGTCCCTGTTGGTCCTTGTACCGCCTTCTTCTTCTCAGACCAAACCAGACCAGAAGCGCCAGCAACAGTAGTCCTGCTACACTACCGACTGCCCCACCGACGATGGCACTCGTGTTGTTGTGGCCTTGGGAAGTAGTAGTTTGAGTCACGGACGTCTCGCTAGCAGCCGGTCCCTCGACGACTGTTACCACAACTGGGGTCATGCTGGACATGGTCTGCGTGTAGGTGATGAAGACAATGGACGTGGAGCCAGATTCATCGCTGACAGTGGCCAGAGCAGAGGTGACTGTCGAGGTAGACTGGACCGTCGAAGCAGACAACGAAGTGGCAGTGACCCTTTTGGAGGAAGCAAGGGCAGACGTGGCCGTGGGTGCGGACGTGGATGCGACGGGACATTCGCCAGTAGAGTAGAGGGTTGCAGTGGGTATCGTCAGGACGGTAGCATAGGAGGAGGTGATGGTAGAGAGTGCAGTGGATGTGGACACCGAAGTGGTGGTATAGGAGTCATCGTCATCGTCTGAAGAACCGTCGGCAGGGGCGCCTCCTACAGCCAGAGTGAGTGTGACTGGGGTAAGGACCGTCGAGACTACTACCGTGGGAACAGATGTGGTGGTGGTGCGAAACAAGGTGGCCGTAGCCACGCTGCTACCACAGGAAGCCATGCTGTTGGGTGGGGTTGAGTAGCAAGGGGAGAGGAATGGCGATGGAGAATATCGGCTTTTGTCTGTCGATCTTGGCGAATGTGGTCACGGCGGAAGCGGGTGCCCAGAACCGCAAGCAGGGAAAAAGGCCCGGCGGAGAGGAGTGAGAAGGGTTTAGGAGAAGATGGGCTTGTTCTCTCGAGGGAGGCAGTCCGAAAGGAGAAAAGGGAGAAAGGAAAGACGGGAGCCCGTCGTCGAGCAGTAGCCCCTTGAGGAGGAGATGTGGTGAATAGAAGATTCGAGGGTGAAGATAACAACGCACGAGGTGAGGATCGAGGAATAGGAGAAGGGCAGCAACGGACGGTGGGGAGCGAGCAGCACGTCGGCCGCACCGGGGGGGGGCGGGCGGCCTTGTGTGTGTGCGTGTGTGTGTGTGTATAGGCAGTGCGGCAGGAGGAGCAACTTCTAGACCGATGGTGCTGAGCCCGACGAGCGGAAGTCGCGGGTTGAATCTCCGCCTTGTGGGTCAGCCGCGTTTGGAGTGTGGGCTGGTGCCGTGGGAAAGGAAGCGTGGGCAGGGGCGTAGTAGGGTCAAGTCTCGGCTGCACCCTCGGCAGCAACGCGAACCAAAAAGGACCGACGCAGACACGAGGACAAGAGGCGACACAGGCACTTTACCAGAGGAAGACGATGCAGCCACGCAGCGGAGCACAATGGCATCCCACGACCACGTGCAGACAAGACCCTGCCACCCAGACCACTACACACCTCGAGGCCATACAAGGCACGCGCCACTCGGTCATGCAGCAGACCGTCAGCCATCGGCCGGGGGAATCGTGCACACCCGCGGCTACAAACACGACTCACTGCTGCACCTTCGGCAACTGCAACTTGCATCCTCAGATCGCCCGACTGCCCGCACAGCATCAAACAACCAAGGCTTCGCTCTCCACCTGCCGACCAGCACTTTGGCACAATCTTCACGTATGCCTTGTTCTTACGCCCCTACTTGCCGACTGTGAACCCCTCCGAAGCCTACTAGAAGGACAACTTCAGTCAAAGCTTTGCCAAATCAGCGTGGAAAGACAAGCAGTATGGTAGGGACTAGATCACTGCATGCATCGAAAAGAAGGACACAGCGAGGTACTCGTCAATGACGACATAATGTACTGATAAAGAGAAAAAAGAGTTTGGACAGGACAAAAGGGGCCGTTCGTCTCTGGAAAAGACCCGTGGCCTTCGCACTCGCACTCGCACTCGCACTTGCACTCGTATCCGCTTTCTCAATTCGGCTTCTGCATATAGAAGACCATTTCATTCTCCAAGTTCCTCGGGCTCATGCAAACCACCGTATCGGGATTGTTCTTGTCCCCACGCACCTGCACACTCGGATCCTGAGCGTAATTGGCCGCCATTAGTCCTTTGACGCAAGTGTTTTGACAACCGTGTGCTGGATACCAGTTGCCGGAGCCACCGGGGGCGATGAATTCGACAGTGGGCTGGAAATACCAGTAGTAGAGGACGGTGAATTCTGTGGAATGGTGACAACACAGAAGGAACCTCATTAGAGCACCCACTGCTGTCTAGCCTAGCACTTTCGCTACTCACTTTCTTTATGAACAATCTTGTAAGGCAAGGGGCCCTTCTTGTACTGGATACCATCATACAGGCTGAGGGACACAGGCAAGGATAAGGGGTAAGTGCCCAATGCAAGTCATCCCACGTCTTAGCGCTGCTCCGCTTGAGTGGAACTCACATAGCACAGACAGTATGAGGTGTGCTGCACGTAAAGTGCCACTTGGACGCAGCGTTGGGGTCAGAGGTGGCTTTCTCGTCCGTCACTGCTGCACCACTGGCCACATCTCGTAGCTTGATTCCATGTTCGCCCTGGGTAAGGTAGGTGATCTCCTCGTGAGGCACCCTCTCCATGAATTCATCGATCGTAGTAGCACCAGACTCTTCCCACAAGCGCTTGTGATGGGCCAGTTGCTTGTCCGCCTTTGAGGAAGTTGCCCTCTCGAGGAGATTACCCGATCGCTTGCAAAACGTGTACTCGGCACTGACTCCACTCAGTCCTAGGCCGAGAAGTGCAATGGCAAGAATGGAGAGGGTCTTGGTGACGTGCATGATAGTGATGCAGGATGAGAAGGATGGGAAGTCTTGCAGGGTAGAACAATTGTGAATGGCCGTTGACGCTTCTTATAAACCCGTCGTGTAATGCTGAGGCTGTGTATTGCGTTGAGGAATGAAGGGCAACATCGGCATTGTATTCGGTGCCCCGTGATCACTTCACCAGAGGGCGTCGGCCATAGGTAGGAGGTAGTAAAGTGCCTCGTCTCTGTGAGAATCGTCATGCCAGGGACCATCCGATTCTGCCTCATTGTGAGGCGAATGGCTAGTGATCCACTGTTCCGGGTCCATGTACCTGATTGCCTTCAACAATTTTGCCCATAAGAGTCCGATACGGCAATTAGGTCCCGTACTCGGATCACACGCCTAAACCTCGATATTCCGATGCACTCAGGAGGAGATCAGGCCGCAATTGCAGGACTAGTGATAGGCAATATGTTCCGCACGGCCCGGGACATTGGTACTGCGTCTTGCGCCGTCAGCACCGTACCTGACCACAATGACCTCGGAGATCCAGAAACAAATGTTGTCCTCGGGCAAAGTCAATGACGTCTACAGCTCCTCTCACAGACCAACAATTACCGAGATGCGCTCTACTGACTCCTCTTGTGCCTCTCGATCTTATCCTTCTCAAGTACCCCGATGGTCAGGGCGCAGTATTGCTCCACTTTACGGAGATATTCCTCGTCATTCAGCAAATCCAGTCTATCTCCGGCTGGGATATCGAGAGTGGCAGCAGCCCCATAGAGCGGCCAGTCAGGGCTTGTCTCTGGGATGGCCGACTGAAGGGTCAAAACATCAGGTGGCAAAAGAACGTCGTTGCTCTTGCCTTCCAAGGAGCACGTTGACCGGATGTGAGCTCCTGGCGACTGGCGTCGCGCATTGTCACCATCTTTGCGATCGACCGGTTGCTCGGCATCAGCCGTCCCTGGCTCGCCTTCGCCCTGTACGTGCACCTCGGCATCTGGTGGTGCGCTGCTGTGACCGTGGCCACTACCTAGGTCGAGTCGACCGAGAGCAAGAGCCGTGATGGCAGTCCAGCCTCTTGCAGCGTTTGGGGAGTTGTAGCCACCACCTCCGAACAGCAAGACTTTGATCCCAGGACGTTGCCGGGCATACCTCAGCACGTGATCCACCGAGAGCAGAACACTGTTCAGGTCAAGATTCCATTGCTTCATGGGATCGCCAGCTAGACCATCTAAACCACACTGGACCACGATCGCTTCTGGTTCGTAGGCAGCCAAGACTGGCATCACACAGCTCGACCATACTCGAGCCCAGCTTCCTGGCCCTGCATCCGGGTGAAGGGGAAGATGCAGCGAATGGGCATCTTTACGAGCATCAGACGTGTCTTTGCCCTCTTCGAAGTCATTCCTGCCAGTGAGCACATCAGGAGCGACCGGGTAAAAACCTCGAGCTCGATTATGGATCGAGAGAGTGAGGACAGAGGAGGAACCTCGGAAGGCTTCTTCGACCCCGTCTCCCCAGTGCAGATCTAGATCCAGGTACAGAAGCCTCTCGAGACGCTTCAAGACCGTACGACGCTTCCTGCTAGCCAGTGCAGGTGGCTTGAGCCCGCGCTTGTTGCCATTGGTTTTACTTTTGTCATGAGCCCGGATGATATCCTCGGGTCGAGCACCGAAGCCAAGTTGTGTGCTTGCAGACGACGAGGCAGAGGCACTGGCAGCGATCTTCAGGCCTTCAGAAGGCTCGTGACTCTCATCAATGACTATCTTGCGAGGTTTGCGGAGCTCGAGGATAGCCAATACAATATCATTCACGTAGCAAAATCCAGCCGCTCGAGACTTGTGTGCATGATGTCTTCCACCATCCCAATTGATAGCTATGTCTGCTGTATCATTTGCAAGGCACTTGGCTGCTGTTATCGAAGCCCCTGCCACAAGTCGAACATGACCGGCTAGCTCGGGAAAGCGATGACAGTCGTCCACCAACCCGCAACCCTCGTCGTTCATAGGTCTCTGTTGATCTTTGCCAGAGAGAAGCACTTCGATGTATGTCCCGGAGTGAAAGGCTTGCAGCTCTTGCTCGGTAGCAGGTTCGGGAGTGATAACTTCAGCTCTCTCCAGGTGATCGGCAACACTTGTAGCAGCCGCATGCTCTTTGCCGCTGCCATGTCCGTCTTGGCCTTCGCTCTGACCGGGATTCCCTCCAGCAAGCAATCTGACCAGTGTGGAGGCATCCTCTTCATGCTCCTCAGAATTTGCTACTGATGTTGCTTGATTCTCTAGCGCAGATGGAAGACCTAGCAGACCAAAGTGATACGCGAGAGAGTGTACCATCTGTGACCGGCCAATATTGGAAGGCAAGGCATTCGAGGCCGAGATGAGGGCAGGAGAAAGCGCATAGCATACACGCGGGCGAGGCGCCGACAGTGCTTCTGTGGAAGCCATCACACTCTGCTGAGCCGCAAGTCAGATATAGCTTGCGGTCTGCGTGAAAGGCTTTGCAGCATGACTTGTACACCTGCGGGTGACCAGACCAGTAGGGACAGGAACGATGGGCAAGACGTTAGGAAGAAGTGAGCCTGGCATTTCGAAATTGCGCTCAGGCCAATTTTGACGGAAGTGGCTACGCCAAGCCTCAAGACACGCGTCAGGCAGTCCAGTCAGGCAAAAGACGAATTTGGTACAAGAGACATGTGTGTACAAGTGATGCAGATGAGTAGCGGGGAATCGATGAATATATGCAATGCTGAACAGCAACCTTCCTCGTTCAGCTCTTGAGGTGCAGCCTCTCGACGAATCCCCCCAGGTCTTCTTGTCGAATCTCGACGATTCCGGTGTCGAACCAACCTTCGTAGCGACTCCTCGCACCGGACTTTTTGATAGCATCTTGGAATGCCAGTCCGAAGCGATTGCGCTCGGTGTCTCCATACTCGTTCGATCCCACCAGTCCAACAACCAGGTAGGTGCCCGTAGTCTGGTTCAGGGCACACAGCACGAATGGTAGCGATCTAGCCGCGAGGGCCTCGGCCGTATCCTCCGCATCGCCCTCATCGTCCACATTCTTCCTCTTCAGCCTCGCCTTTTCCTTGCGCAGCTTTTTCGCCTCGATCTTCCTTCGGTCTTGTTCATTGACAATGTCTCTCAGCGCATCGGTCAACCAGAGCCCGAGCCTGGTGAGCATAGAGGGCTGCGCAGCGAAGAGGTCGAGGTGAGGTCCGTCGCGTAGAATTGCGAGACGGAAGGACTTCATTGACCGGATGGACTGCTTGTCGATGAGCGATGTACCAACACTCAAGATCGCTGAATGTAGCGAGCGGGCCAGACTGAGTGAGGAATTGAGGAGGGACAGGTTGCCGGACTTTTTGGTATCCAGTGCTTCATATGTGGCAAAGAAGTTTCTCACCCAAGCAGCTTGTTGTTTGGACGGGTATGCGTCGGACTCGCCGAGCTGCTCACCCTCCGCATCTTCTCCCTCACCCTCTGTGCCAGTTGCGCCGTTACGAGGAGGCGCATTGTTCTCTTTATCATCCCCCGACCGGCTGTCGGCACCACCTCCACCGATGCTCCACAATCGCTTTGCGCCAAAGAGCTCAGAGCTGACTGGTGTGCCTTGACCCCCATAGGCTCCTCTACTATCCATTCCGATGCTTGAGTTGCCGGGAGCTGCACCGCTGAAGGTCAAAGCTTCGTCTTGTACTTCGATCTTGATTCCAGTCGCAGCGGTCAGAAGAGCGTTGAGACCTTCTACTGTATCCATTGCCGAGAGTGGGTTCGAGCGATAGCCAAAGGAGCGGATGAAGGATTGGAAGACCAGCTCAGTCAAACCATACTCAGGCGCAATACTGTCGAGACGGCTGATGAGGGAATTCCGCAAGTCGAGAGGCATGTTGTTGTAGTGTTGTCTGGAGTGTATTAGGGAAAATCCCATCTTGGCCAACAGGCCTCGAATCTTGATCAGGCCCTTCTCTCTCCAGACTCCAAGCTTGCCAGCAACGTAGGGCGTGTGGTACATTGCGCTTTCCAGACTCCAGTGCCGATACAGAGTGAACCGCAGCTCCTCTTTCACCACTCGTATCCTACCATCGTCTGCTGTTGCTGGTTTGGGGAGGTGATCAGTGGGCGCAGCAGCTACAGTGTGCCCATTTGTCGTCGGTGGAGGCGGGTTGAGGGCTAACACATCCGAGCCTAGCGAGGAGGCGTGCTGCTTGTACAGGTAGTACGGGACCGCATTCGAGATGTACTGGTGTGTGAGGCCCAGAATGGCGAGCCAGAGACCTTCGTTCTCAGCCCGGCCTAGAGCTTCGGCCAAGGTGAAGATCATGCCCGCCACGCTCATACCGAGACCGGTACCGCGATGATAATAACGCGTGAGAATGGCTCGATAGACGTCTCTTTGTTCCCTGCTCACCCGCTTGACAGGTGACTTGCGAGCCTTCTTGCGCCGACGAGAGCGACCCGCATGTCCTTCCCCCTCCTCGTCCTCTTGACTGCCTACACTGCTGCCTCGTCTCTGCTTCCTTTTCCTTCCGAGGCCGCTCGAAGACCCTTCTCCGGCAGAGTCTGCCTCGCTCTCATCTTCATGTTCACTCTCCTCATCCTCCTCACTTTCGCTCTCCGAGTCAGATTCGTCGTCCTCGTCACTATCGACGTCAAATTCGAGGGTCTCATAAGCCTCCCTCTCTTTTTGCATCTTGGCGACGATGTCTCCATCGTCCCAGACCCAGATTCGGTCCATGATTTCGTTTGTAGCGAAGAGGTTGTCCAGATTCCAGGGCCGATGTGAGTCTATCAGATGGATATGTGTGGCGTTGGTTAGGGGCAGAGCATCAGGTCCAAAGTAGGACGGCAGGGAGAGGAGGGATCCAAGGTTCAAGAGAACAAGGGTGTGTAGCTGTTGCAGAGACAAATTTCGTGGTTAGCGTCTGAACATCTTCTGAGCCATTCACCGAACGCATGTACCCACATCCTCATTCCCCGCAACATCCTCTGCCAATATCCGTTGCATCCTCTTGAAACCGTCTACTGGCGCGATCCTATACATGATCTCGTCCTCGGTCAAGAGCCTCGCCAGAGCTCTAGCCGCACAGATCGCATCTACGTCCGTGGCCACCAGGATCAACACCGCTCCTGCAGCAGCAGAGCCCATTGCGGACTGTCTCCGTGCGGACCTGAGGATGTGGTGGTATGCATGAGAGTAGTCCTTGGCCGAGGAGGGGAGCGAGGTATGGGGGTTTGGAAGGTGCACGAGCACCATGGTGAAGGAGCTTACGAACAAGCACCTCGGCCTCCGGAACTGTTGTGCCCGGACCGATCAGCGATGCGTGCTATTCCCGCCGAAATGTCGCGAGGAGCAGCAACTGTTTACGTGATGGTGGCTGCTCGGGTGGGAATGACAAAAGTGTACGCTGCAATGCTCTCAAGCAGGGAATCTGTGAGAGATGAGCGCCGGTGCTTGGAATCCAGTTGCTGCGTGGGGCTTGAAGAGATGAAACGATGCTGCTCGATGATGCTGGTGTGGTGATGGGATCTGACAAAAGGAGAGTGGTAGGCCTCGGGTAACTGGCGTCGCCTCTTGTCCAAAGTGACACTTTCGTGACGCGAACCAATTTCGCTTCCGCCTGCCAGGAAGGCGCCCCGCCAAAAGCCACGCAGCGCGCACTCGGATCGGAGGCAGCCAGCCCCCCGCCCGACCTGGTCTGATCCCGAAGGTCGACGAGCGACAGCCAGCCTTGTTTCTTCTCATCTCAAGCAGCCTCTAGCGAGCGCCCACCACTATACCCTTCCCTCAGAGCTACCCTGCTACACCAGCAGTATCATCTGCGTAGTCTCACTTGAGAGATCCTGCTTTGGTGAGCTCGTCCGAAGCCCCGCCTTCGCCGCGGTGGAACCATCAAGGCAGATCTACGGCAAAGAGCCCCACCCGTTCCTCCTCTCAATCCAAACGCGCAATGGACGAGGATCCAGCAGACTTCCCCACTCAGCACTTCCAGGACGACGAGGAAGGAGGCGGAGAAGCGCAGGGTAACGGCATGGGAGAGACAGAAGACTCGCCTGACAATGCCCCACCACAGCGCGGCTTTCAAAAGCCCAAGTCACGCCCCGGCGATGGAGTCGTGAACGACTTCGATGACGAGGAAGAGGACGAGGATGAGGAAGAGGGCATCGACCTCATGAAGGAGGACGGAGACGACGATGACTCAAGCGAAGAGGATGACGAAGATGACCCAGAGGAAGCCAGGCTCATTGCCGAAGGCTTCATCGTCGACGAGGAAGACGTGGAGCAGAGCGATGACGATGCAGCCGAGAAGAAGAGAAAGAAGAGGAGGAGGCTGCGAAAGCTGAGGAACAAAAAGAAGGAGAAAGGTGAGACTTCTGACACAGTCCAGGCTAGCCAGTCCCCCCATGCTGACGTCTTCCATTTAAACCCCTAATCGCACAGATGCAGATGAAGAGGATCTCGATGAGGATGACCTGGACCTGTTGGCAGAGAACAGAGGCGAGTCGAGGACGCAAAAGGTAAGCAGGGTAGACTGGGCTGTTGCGAGGTCATCTGATGATGAGACTTATAACTCATCCTGCACCAATTCTACTGCAGAAAAAGCGCTTCAGGAGGGGCTCTGGCTCACCCGAGCCTGCGCAGTCATCATCTCGGAGTCGCGACCTGGCTCGCATCTTTGACGACGACGATGACGACGACGAGGCTGCCGCTCCCCCTCGTCGTCTAGCCATTGACGATGAAGATGACGACGAGGAGGACCTGCCATCGGTCTCCGAGGCGCTTCGTCGGGCAGCTCAGCGAAAGCCCAAAGAGCGCCCGCAAGCACCTGTCCCGGCCCAAGCCTATGCCGAGGATGACATGGACGACTTCATCGATGATGACGATGACAGCGATGAGGCCAATGAAATGGAAGATCTCGATGAAGACGAGAGGGAAGAGCGTCGTAGGCAAAAGCGGGAGCAGAAGAAGGCCGAAAAAGCAGCCAGGAGAGCCACGCGAGGAGCCTTCGCTGGTGGCATGGACCCGAACAAAGCTGGAATCGATGCAGACGCCTGGGAAGAGATCAACGATATCTTCGGAGACGGCTCGGACTACCAGTGGGCTTACAAGAAGGGAGACATCTCCGACGATGACGGTGAAGACGAAGAAGACGCAGCAGAGGTCGACGCCGATGGCCTCCTGATCGGAGATGGCAAACCCAAGAAGAGGGTCGTCGAGTTCAAGGACATCTTTGAACCTGCTGCCATCAAGGAGCGAATGCTCACCGATGCCGATGAGCGGGTCAAGCAGATCGATTGGCCCGAGCGATTCCAATTGGCTCTTCCCGGCGAGGATGGACTGAAGCTCCTTGAGACGCCTGTCGAAAGTCCCGATCTGGACCGAGCTACCCTGTGGATGGCGCCTCGCATCTCGACCCGATGCACAAACGACTTCAATACCCCGGGTGGGACGTTCCATCATCTACGTCAGCAATGGTTCGCTGCTGTGAGACTGGTTCTTGAGTACATCCTGATAGATCGTCTCGAGGTACCGTTTCTCTACGCACATAGGTCAGATCAACTCACGCACGACAGCCCTTACGTGGACCCAGTTTCTGGGAAGCTGCGCTCCATTGATTACCTCACTCGGCGAGAGCTTCACACCGTGACCAGTCTGGCTTTCAGGTGGAAGACGCTACACGCTCGAAAGCTCGCCATTCGGCGGACATTCGAGCAGATTGGCATCTCGGAGGGCGGTGACGTAGGACAAGGTGTCGCTCAGACCCTGCAATTTGAGAGCATGCTAGACCGAGTCGAAAGCCTCGAGGAGCTCTCTGACCTCGCAGACTGGCTCACAATGCGATACGGCCCGCGCATGAGGGATGCGCAGGCAGCCGCGCTTGCCGACCTCGAGATCACCGGTCACACCGGGACAGTCGCCCCTTCTACTTTCAAGAGACCGGGTGTTGTGGGACAGTATGAGCGCATCAAGGGTACTGCCATCTCCGATCTAGCCAAGCGGTTCGGCATATCATCTTCAGAATTGGCCGAGAATCTGCTTGCCGGATCTGCAGCTCGGCGTTACTTCCCTGAAGATGAGCTTGAAGCTCCAGAGACCCTCGCAGAGCAATATGTGGACTTCCAATCCGGTGTCCGATCTGCTGACACTGCACTGGAGATGGCAAAGGTGCTGATCAGTCTCGAGGTGGGACACGAGCCTGTTCTCAGGCGAGAGGCAAGGCGGCTCTTCCGTGAGCACGCGCAGGTCACAGTCCGTCCGACCGAGCGCGGTCAATTGAAGATCGACGAAGAGCATCCATTCTGGAACTTCAAGTACCTGGAGAGCAAACCAGTGAAGGAGTTTGTGGCAGCAGAAGCTCCTCCTCGTCCACAGCCATCTTACGGAGGCCGCCAGCCGGCACAACTCGTACCATCTCAGACACAATTCTTGCTCATCCTGCAGGCAGAGGAAGACTCGTCCGTGACGGTCGAAATCGCCTTGCCGGACGAGGTGTTTGACGACTTCCGCGAGAGGCTCAACCAGGCATTCGCCTCGGAAGGTGTCAGCGAAGTGAGTCAGAAGTGGAATCTTTTGCGAAAGGACATCATCGAGATGGCTGTAGAAGCCAGCTTGATCCCGACGGGAAGGATCTGGGTGCGAGAGTGGCTGAAGGAAGAGTGTTCTGAATGGTTGTGCAAGAGTTGTGAGGCTACTCTGGATCGAAGGCTGGACGCTCGGCCATACGAGTCAAGGAGCATGGCTGCTCGTCGTCGGTACCCTGACGACAATGACTCGGATGCAGGCGACGAGGGCGACACAAATGCGTCTAAGAGCATTTACACTCCGTCTGTCCTAGCGGTCTCGCATGGGCAAGGTGACCCGAGAAGAGACGCAATCGCTGCTGTCTTCCTCGATGCCGCCGGCCGATTTCGCGCCTCAACGACTTTCGACCACATCAACACCCCTACTCCCGAGCAGCAAGAAGCTCTCCAAGTCACTCAACAAGCTGAGGAGGCTAGAGCAGCTCGGCGTGGAGAGGCTGCTCCGGATCTGGTCACGCCCAGGCAGAAATTCATCAAGATGCTGTCGACCTATCGACCTGACGTCATTGTCCTAAATGGCTTCAGCCCGCGGACTGTACAGCTGAAGCAGCAGTTGGAGGCAATTGTGGAGGAAGCGAAGGAAGCGATCATCGCCGAACAGAGGATATCGCTGCAGCAAGCGGACAAGGCTTCCATCGACGTCGTTTATGTTCACGATGACACCGCCCGCCTGTTCCAGCACTCACAACGAGCAGCCGACGAGTTTCCAGATCTCAAGACCCTCCACCGATACTGTGTCGGTCTCGCCAGGTACACCCAAAGTCCTTTGCTTGAATTTGCTTCCCTGGGCGATGACTTGCTCGTCATCAATTTCGACCCTTATCAGCGCTTAGTGCCCCAGGAAAGGCTTCGCACGTACCTCGAGCGTAGTATTGTCTCCTCCACAAACGAGGTCGGTGTGGATCTCAACAAGTCTGTCGGAGATGCCTACTACCGACAACTGCTGCCTTTCATCTGTGGCTTGGGTCCTCGCAAAGCCAAGGCGCTCATCGATGCGATCAGCCGACGTCTGGAAGGCACCGTCATCAACCGACGTGCACTGCTGGAGAAGCAGATCATGAGCTGGCCGATCTTCTCCAACGCTAGCGCTTTCCTCATCATCAACTTTTCTGGTGGTGTTGCTCCTGCCATTCGGCCGGAGGCTGTCGAGACTGAGGTGGTGGACAAGGAGAAAAACACTCCCGACGTTCTCGACCGCACTCGTATCCATCCTGAGGACTACAAGTTTGCGCGAAAGATGGCAGCCGACGCTCTTGGCCTGGATGAGGAGGATCTGGACGATGAGCATTCTTCCTATCCTTGTGCCTTGCTGCTGGATGACCCTGATGCGGGGAGGAAGCTTCGAGAGCTCGACATCGACTCGTATGCAAGTGTGTTGTTGAGGAAGCACGGTGATCGAAAGAAGCTTTCACTGGAGCAGTGTACGGACGAGCTCCTTCGCCCCTTCGGCGAGCTTCGTGGCCCCTTCAAGCTTCCGACTCAAGACGAAATGCTTACGATCCTGACCGGCGAGACGCCTCGTACACTCGATCGCGAGTCCATTGTCAATGTCACTGTCCATGGCATCTTCCCGACCCACATCAGCGTCAGGCTGGACTGTGGTATGGAAGGGACAATCAACGAGCAGTATCTCGTCCCGCTCGAGCTCGATGAGTACGCTAGCATGGGTGAAAAGCCTCCTCGCCTCCGCTCTCTTGTCAAGCGGGATCAGACGCTCAAGGCACAGATCATCGACATCGACAAGGACAAGCTGCAGGTTGAGCTGACTGCTAAGCCCTCTCATCTTCTGGCTGCGGAGAACATGAGGCTACAAAACGTCAGTGTAGCAATCGACCCCAGATACTGGAACGGCGAGCGAGCCGAGAAGGACCGGCGGCAGGCAGAGTTCAAAAAGCAGGCTGCGAAGAATCGAAGCAGCACTTCGCGCTTTGTCAAGCATCCCAACTTCAGAAACTTCAAGGCTGGACAGGCAGAAGAGTTCCTTGCGAACCAGCCTCGCGGGGCTGTCATCGTTCGCCCAAGCTCGAAGGGCAACGACCACCTTGCCGTCACCTGGAAGGTCGACGATGGGGTGTATCAGCATCTGGATGTCCTCGAGCTGGAGAAGGAGAACGAGTATTCCCTCGGCAAGATCCTCCGTGTGATGAACGTGACATACAACGATCTCGACGAGCTGATTGTCAATCATGTCAACCCCATGGCCAAGATGGTGGAAATGCTGGTGAACCACGAGAAGTACAAGGGCACAGAAAAGGAGCTGGAGCAATTCCTCACCACCTGGTGTCTCGCCAACCCTACTCGCTCTACGTACGCTTTTGGCATCGATCGGGCTCATCCCGGGTGTTTCAAGCTGGGCTTCAAGGCCAACAGGGAGGCGCCCATCCAGTACTGGCCGGTGCGAGTACTACCGGGTAGATTCAAGCTGCATCAGGCCGATCATCTCCCTGACGTGGCATCTCTGTCAAATGCCTTCAAGACTCAATACACTGCCATGTCCGCTAGTGCAAGAGGAGGGGCTACTCCGGCAGTAGGCATGGGCGGTGGCAACAATGCTTTCACGCCTCATGCAGGCGCCAGAACCCCCTATGGTGGTCGGACGCCCATGCATGGCGGTATGACCCCTGGCAGGATGGCCGCTGGTGTCGGCGGTGGTATGACGCCTGCTGGAGCTGCGTACGGTGGCATGACGCCGGCTTACAATGGTGGTGGTGGTGGTGGGCGGGGTGCTCCGCCTGGACCTCCTCCCGGTGCCCCTCCTGGCCCTCCGCCAGCATTCCCTCCTCCTGGAGCAAACTATGGCTATGGAGCGCCGCCGCCCCCTGGTCGACCACCGATGGCCCCTCCCCCTGGCCGAGGATGGTAGGGCTGTTAGTTTTTTCTTTGGGTCTCGTTACCTTCGTCGCGCCTTTGTCGTCACATCTGAGCATTCTCTTCAATAGCATTGCATTGTTCTGGTTCTGTCTGCGTAGTTGTATTTACAATGGGCGCGGGAGTGCACCCTCGTCGCGTGAGCTTACGCTGAGGCGGATGAATTCCGCGCCTGCTCAGCGCAGATTCCGCGCCTGCCGTTCCGGGAGACGGCGACCGCGATGCGCCGCTCGGCCTGGTCGTCAGCCGATGGCCACGCTGAGTCCCACGGCCATCCACCTTTCCCACACCTTCACCGCCATCCTCACCACTCATCCAACCACTCGCCGTACAACACCTTGTAGCATATATTCGTACCACGTCGTCGTAGATAGTCATGAGCTCCACAGCTCCCGCCAGCACAAGCGTGCCTTCCAGCACAGCCTCGCCCGGCAGCTCCACAAACAACGGCAATGGCAGTGCACCCTTGAGCGTATTTGTGAGTAGCAATATCCCCATGTCCCCATGGCAGCAGTCTCCTATCGCAGCCGCCTACTAGCAAGAGAGGAGTATCAACCGCAGCCAGGCCATCCCCTGCTCCCATACGGCCTCCGAGCTGTCCAGAGAGGGCTATGTCCTGTCATTCCGGTGCTTCTTTGCGTACTCCAAAGATGCGTATTTCAACGTATACTGAGGCTCCGCTTCCTCATCCCTTCTCGCATCCCTTTTGGCTGGCCCGTCTCAGACTTTTATCATTGGTTAGTACTCAGCAGTCTGATTTCCTCGTCTTCCTCTCTTCTCTGCCTCCCCTCGCCATCCGCACATCCGTTTGCCACTTCCTGCCGTCGCCACGACGATGCCTGCTGTCTTCTTCATCAGCACCTCGTTCTGCGGCAAGAAAGCAATGGCAACGGTGCTTCGGCAACTGCCATGCCGCCGCCTCCTCCCCCTCCGGCTGAGTCAGGTGCCTCGACAAGCTCAATGGGCAGAGCAGGCGGCGGTGGAGGCGGTGGCGGAGGGGGAGGCGGCGCAAACAACGGAGCGCCAGCCATTCCTTACCCATTTCTTTCTTTTGCCCTCGCAGCCATTGCACTCTTCGTTGTGGTGCTGTCCTTCATCCTCGTGCGGATCTGCTTGAGGAATAGGAGGATGAGAAGATACGGCATCCCTCCAGGGGACAATGCACTGGATCGATTCCTGACCGGACAAGGTACCATGGGTTTCAGAGGTCTCGGTGGTGAGGTCGAAGACACCGTTGTGCCGCCAAAGCTCTGGGAAGCCAAGGTTGTGCCACAAAAGACGGATATGAGCGAGAAGGGTGGATGGCAGAACTTGATGCCCGTTGCAGCTTCGCTTCCTACAGCTCTTTACAACACGACCGGAGCGGCAAGTCTTCGGAAAGATGATGAGAAGGACAAGGATAAGAACAAGGACAAGGAAGCAGCAGCAGCTCTAGATGGAGATGCTCGCATCTCGGGCTCTGTAAATGTGTCGGTCCTCATTGCTATGCCATCACCTCCCAAGGGCGATGGTGAGGAGCTTCCAGAGCTCATGCTTGGCACAGCTGCTGTTCCCATTTATACGCGCACCTCACGCACACCAGCAGCACCGGCAGCAGCATCTTCGGCTGCCGGCACGAGCTACTTCCATCCTTCACACGCCAATACTGCACCCGCTACAAGTCATCCAACTCGAGCTCAGCTACTGAGTCTATACAAGGCAGCGCAGGACGCCAAGGAGGGCAGGAAGGAGCGAGCAGCAGCAGTTGCGCAGCAGCAAGGGGAGAAACGAGCCGCAGAGGAGACACAGCAGCAATCAGACGAGGCTAGCGCCCCTGCTGCTGCTGCTTCGAGGAGCAGACCGACGCCCATTGGCAGTGAGGATGCGGACGCTGTCCGCGCCGCCAGTCCTACAATGACGGCCGATACGATCACGACTGCCGGGGAAGAGGCAACACCGGCTACAGCGGCGGCAGCGGCGACTGCGCCGGCGGTGGATTCAAATTCGTCGATACCGGCACTGGCACCGGCACTTGTGATGCCCAATACGGACACATCTACGACTCGGACGACGGGTCGGACCCCTCTCGCCGCCTGACGGGCTTCTTTAAAATCATGTCACGATTCTCAACAAGGTCTTTACGACGTCATCCTTCCTTGTGGGCCCGCTTGCTTCATATTGTATCTCAATGTCTTGCACTGTATTTTATCTTTTTCCCTTCTTTCGTTACACACACACCAGCAGCAGCAGCAAATGCAATGCGCTTGCACACTCTCATTCTCTGTTTTTCAGTCTGTCTGAAATTGTTATACTAGTACAAGAGTTCGCTCGTTGCCTTCCTTTGAATTCCGCCGCACCCTGCCTTGGCCCCTCATCGACTCATCGCCTCTTCTTCCTCGCTCCTCCTCCTCCACCGCCACCCGTAGCTCGTCTCTTACCACCCCTACTTCCAGGTCCACCACCACCACCAGCTCGAGCACCACGTCCTCTCCTCGAAGAGGAAAAGCCTCGGCCTCCATTCCCGCGATTACCGCCGCCTCCGTAATCTGTAGTGGTGGGCCCATCGTTGGGACAGTCAGAGGACCAGTGACCCTCCTCACCGCACTTGAAGCATTGTCCGCCACCTCGGGAGATTCCTCCTCCCCCTCCACCACCACCGCCGCCGCCGCCGCCGCCATTGTTGCGGCTGCGAGAAGGACCAGCAGAAGTAGAAGCAGATTCGCCTGGACAGTCCTTTGCCCAGTGTCCCTCTCTGGAGCACTTGTAGCAGGAACCTGACGTCCCTCCGCCACTGCCACCTCCGCCTCCGCCCCCGCCCCCATAGGCGCCAGCTCCTCGTGTGCGCTCGCGTGCGTTCTCATATGTCCACCCATCGTCACCACCCTCGTCTTCTGCATCATCCTCCCATTCAAACATCCTACAGCGCACCGAAGCATTCTCCTTTGGACAGCAGTAAAATCTTCGTCCCTTTGTGGGCCCTTCTTTAGAGACCGTCTTGAGACTTGCTTCAAGACCGCAGTCGCAGCGCTTTCTTCTCTCTCTAGCATTGCCATTGCCATTGTCATTGCCGTTGCCGTTTGCATTCGTCTCACCAAAAGTCGAGGGGGAGGAACCTCCGCCTGTATCGGCGGCGAGATTGGCAAACCATGCGCGGTACGCCTCGATACGATCGGCGCTATCGTCGAAGCCGTTTTCGTTGCCTTGGGAACTCATGGCGGCCAGCTCGTCTAGGAGGGCAATGTCGTCGTTTCGTGCTTCGATTTCCTCTCGCGACAGAGTCTGAGCTTGAGGTGCTGGATGCGAGGGGGCTGATCTCGCAATGCCATTGCCGTTTCCGTTGAGGTGATGAGCCGGAGGTGGAAATGTAGGAGCAACGGGGCCTCTGAGTCTTCGAGGAGGACTAGCTGGACGCAGGACCGCAATCTCAGGAGACGGACTGCGAGGTGCAGGAGCAGCGTACGTGGCTCTGCTACTAGGGCCATTGTTTGCACGCCGAACAGCCCAGGCAGGCAGAGATTCGTCCTGCTCATGTGCGCGCGAGGTCCAAGACCCTCTACTGTTGGTGTCACTTGCTCTGCTAGGACCTGCTACAGCCCCTTGATCGTCGACTGCCCAGTCGAAGAACCCACAGCTCCCCTCTGACTGACCTTTTTCGCAGCTCCAGAACTTCTTGCCTTTACTGGGACCTTCCTTCACCACCGTCCGCTTCACAGCTGCTTCGCCACAGCGACACTGTGGGGGCTGATGGTTGTCTTGCATGTTGGTGAAAGGAGGCCGCATAGAAGCAGAGGCCGTAGACGAGGTGCGTTGCAGAGGCGGCGGAGGGCGAGTGGGGGCGGTTCGCGCTGTTGGAGCGGCAGCCGTAGCGACGGATCGTTGGTGTGATGACGACCCTCGGCCCTGAGCAGCTGAAGCACCACCGCCGCCTCGATCGTCATCGTCATCGTCATTCTCGTCATCATCTGAAGATCCATGTCCAGGAGCTCTACCATTCGCCGGCCGCGTCGGCCGCCTTTGAGGCACGCTGTCGCTACCTTCTTCGCCCTTGACATATCTTCGCACACTCTACAAAGTCAACAGGATAGCTGTTATCAGCCTCGCCTGTAGCAGCAAAAGTGGTCTCAGCTCACATCATGATACTCACATCGATCAGCTGTGCCAAGTTCTGCTTGGTCTGTAGGTACATAGCTCGGTATTCTGCAATACTTTCTTCCAACGTCTGATCTTTAGTGCGCTGGCCTTCGCAGATGAGGTTCATCCGAAATTCGGTCTGTGCATCAAGAGCAAACAGGTCCGGTCAGCAGCCGCTCCACGGAGTCCTTTCCAGCAGGGGCATTGTCGGGACTGACTCACCTCTCTTCTCAACAAAGGCTTACAAAGACTTTTCTCAAAGTCAATTCCATTATAGCCGTCTACCAGGCCCATGCCCAAAGTCGAAGGCATCAGATAGGTAGTCTTTCCCATCTGTCGCGCCTCTACATACTCTCGTGCAATGACTTTCGAGATATGCTCAGCGATCGTGGCATCTGTGCCGATACCATTCTTGTCCATCAAATTGACAAGGTCGGCCTCCGTGAGGAGATTGGGAGCGCTGGTAGAGCCCTCTTTGAGTACACACGTGCTGGGTCTGAACCGCTCGCCTTCCTCAAATGGAGGCAAGAGCGAGTCTCCCCACTTGTCGTAGGGAAAGACGTCGAGGTAATTGCGCTCGTGAATGACGAGACCTAAGAAGATAAGTGTGAGGTTGGCGGATGCACGTTCCCGATCAGTGACTGCTCCTGAACAATGGCATCCAATAAGCTCACTCACCACCTGCTCCAAAGTACTCTTCCGCAAGTTCGATTTCGATATTAGTCTGCTTTCCTGTAGCGTCCTTGGAGCAACTTGCCAGGAAGCGCCTGGTGACATAATCGTACACTCTCTTCTCATCAGCTGAGAGACTGTTCGCATGGGCAGTTGGGTGGATGGGTGGGTGGGCCTTATCGTTCTTCTTGCCATTCCTCGGCCGCTCGTAGGCGTCCCCGTCAAGAAGGCGTTGGGCGTGCGCCCCCCACTCTCCATCTGATGTCTGCTTCCGAATAAGAGAGTGGAAATCGAATTGCGCATCGTACTGGTCTGTCTCTGTTCGTGGGTAGGACAGGAATCCCTTGTTGTACAATGCCTCAGCCAGGTCAAGTATTCTCTTGGGGGCCATGCGCAACAGACGTGATCCCGACTTTTGCAGCTCAACCGTAGTCAGTGGGTATGGCTTGAACTTCCTCGTCGGTTTGCTGGTCACTTTGGTGACAAGTGCATCCATGCTGTCCTTGCAGCCTTCGTAGAGCATTTCCACCGTCGGCTTATCGAAGAGATGCCCTCTGCGCCAGGTGAATGTGACCGTCTGCAATGGCAGTCCCGGAGCTTCTCTTCTCTTCAGAGTAACGGAGATGTGCCAAAAGTCCTCAGAGACGAAGTTGCGTACTTTTTCATACTGATCGACGACGAAGCCCAGAGTTGGAAATTGGCAGGGTCCTGACAGGTGGAAAGGAACGGTGAGGCCTGAGCCGAAAGACTGGCTATTTTCTTTGTGAGAAGTAGGTGCAACTCACCATAACTCATGACTCTCCGGCCCAGCTCCGGCAGTGCATTCTGCAGATTCGTCGTCTGCAGTCTCGTCAATGCAGCCCCAACTCTCAAGTCCAGCTCCTGCCTCGCCTCTACAGCCGAAGCAGCAGCCCAGTCCAATTCTCCAGCATCTCTGCAGGCAGCATGGATCTGATTGGCAATGATAGCGCTGAACCTAGCTCTCTTGACTTGGATCCGCGGGTTGGCCTTGCGACATTCTCTCACCACTTCAGCGCCGATATGCTCGCCTTCTCTATCGCAGTCGGTCCAAATCATGAGCATGGTAGCCCTGCGAGCCTCTTGACGGAGATTGGCAGCAATTGCTTCGCCATCCTAGTCCAGCAAAGAGACTCAGCATGTTCAGCAAGCGCAGCTCAAAGGGCTCCTCTACATCTCTCATTCGTACTACTCACTTTACTCAGCTTCGTCTCCACCGGCGCCTCAAATAGCGCCAAGGGATCGCAACTGCCCCACTGTCTATACCTCTCCCCAAAGTCATTCTCTGTCAAATGTCCCCTCACGCTCGTGACAGTCATGTCCACCCATCCATCTCTGCCGCCCCAATTGTACTGCAGGTCAAAATTGCGACAGAACTTGTCCTTGCCAGGGCGAGATTGAAATCCGCCGTCGTGGGCTAGGATGGAGGAGATGCTCTTTGCAATGGAGGGCTTTTCGGCTACGCAGAGGATCTTCATGCCTGCTTGCGATCGCGAGGGTGCGCTGAAAGGGCAGCGCTACCGCCCAGTGGCTGCAGATCTTCCAGAGGGTGGGGGAAAGAGCAGATGATGCTGAGCAGGCAGGCGGCATATAGGCCTAGACGCTGACCATTCTGCCCGTGGAAGGCTCGCAGCCAAAGAGGAGGAGAGCGCAAGAGACAGAAGGCGACTTCAGCACCACAATGTATGCAGCTCAGACTCGGGCGCTGCCTATGCTTCTGGGGTGATGTTGTAGTGGCAACTGATATTTTGTCGGGAAGAGTGTTGGGCGGAAAGCGGGGCGCGGGTTGCAGTGGAGCTCAAGTGCGTGTCGCGTCAGGCGGAAAGAGGGGCGTCCAACACCGCCGTACAGTAAAGAGCACAATGGCATTTCCAAATGCAACAACAAGAGAGGTCACGAATGGTCTACGTCGGCGATTGCCTGTCGTCGCGGGCTCGTTGATGATCGCCATCATCATTGTCGTCGTCGTCGTCATCTTCGTTCACCGCCCTGCTCTTGCCCTTGGCACTCGCCGAGAACCTCACCGTGTCTGACGACTCTCTGCCGAGCATCTCCATGGCCTCTTCCTCATTACCATCCTCGACATCCTCGTCGCCATTTCCATGCATTGCACCCGATCTGACTATCCCTCCTATATTCCTACCTCCACACCACTCCCTCGCCTTCACAGGCACAATGACCCCTAGCAGACCTTCCCTTGCTTTGCTTACACTGAGGAAGTATGCTGGCAGACCTGTGGCCATGAACAGGAATGCCGCCCCTGCCTCAACAGGCGCAGAGGCTATCGGCATCACCAGTAGGAAAAGAGCCGTTGTAGCAAAGAGCAAAGGTGTGGGGAGAAAGGTCCTGTAAGGCCGGTGCAGGTTCGGCTCTTTGAAGCGGAGCACGACGAGTCCCAAGACTGTGAGGAAGTACCAGGTGTAGGAGCAGACGCCGTAGAAGGAGACCAGAGAGGCGAAGCCCGAACCGAAGAGGATGAAGATGAGGATGAGCACAGCTTGGAAGACTGTGGCGGTGACCGGAGTGGCCGTTCTCGAATTGATGCGACCGAAAACGGCAGGCAGGTATCCCTCCTTACCCGCGGCATAGACCAGTCTCGCACTGGTGTAGACTTGCGAATTCAAGGCCCCAAAGCAGCTGAAGGAGACTAGACCCGCAAAGACGATCCCGCCAGTTGTACCGAAGATGACAGAGCCAAAGTCGAGAGCGACTGTGTTGGTCCCACTGACTAATGCTGGTGGTAAGACTAGGAAGTAGGAGGCGACCATGAGGCAGAAGAAGGTGATCACCAGCGACATCGAAGAGTGGATCACCCTGGGGAGATCACGGGTGACGTTCTTCATTTCGCCAGCAACGTAGCACGATTGGTCCCAGCCGTCGTATGCCCACAGACCTGAATACAGCGCAAGGGCATAAGAGCTCGGTGAGGTCGACGAGCCTTCGAAGAGAGAGCCAAAGGAGGAGAAGGCTTGCTTCGATTCAGTTGGCATCTTGCCACGCGCAGCAGTGACAATCGCCAGGACAGGAACGGCAATAAGTGCTGATGAGGAGAGGAAAGGACGCAGTGTGCTGTCAGTATTTGAGCAGTCTTTCAATCTCATCCTACCTTGCCTCACCTATCAGCTTCACGGTCGTCGTCCCCACCTGCAGCCTTGTTCCCAGCCGAGCGCTAAAAGCATTGAGTGCCGAGATGACCACAACGATTAAACAAGCAATGAGCTTGACGGACCAGGCCGGTATACCATCTAAGCCCTGCTCATGCGGGTGGTCCGCATCAGCCGTAGTGGTATGGAAGATCACCCGCGCCAGGTACTCTCCAAAGATGATTGCGATAATTGCTCCAGATCCAGGCTTGAGCGCTACGATTGCCGTCCAGCTGAAGAGGTACGATGGGAGGGGGCCGAACGCATAGTTCAGGTAGGCCTGAGCTCCACCGCTCTCTGGTATAGCTGCACCAAGCTCTGCAAAGGAGGAAGCGCCAGACCAGGCGAGGAAGCCAGAGAAGATCCAGACGATTAGACTTGCGCCCACGGAGCCCGTATTGAGGGTCACTACGCCAGGGGAGGAGAAGATGCCGGAACCAATCTGCAGACCCACGGTCAGGGCAATTCCTGGAGGCCAGAGACGTTTGCAAAGAGTCCGTCAGCATGGAGACATTTCTCGGGGAAGCCCATTTTTTATCTATTTTATCTACTCACCATCAATCAGCCCCATTCTCCTCTCCGGATCCTTGTACCTCTTTCTCCGCACACGATGTCTCCCATGTGTACCAGTGATTGCTCCTTCCACATCACCATACTCCTGTCCTCCTCTACCCCCTCCAGCTTCGCCTCCCTTCTCGACCCTGTTCTCCTCTTCGTAGTCATCATCGTCATTCCCGCTGAGGCTGAGAGGGAGGAGATTGTCCCGGAAGCCAAAGGAGACGCTTTCGAGGCTGGAGCGATTGGAGAGAGAGGGGCTAGGAGGACGAGGTTGTGCTTGCTGGGGATGCATGAGATTAGAGAGGGTAGCGGACCATCTGCGTACATTGGAGGCAGCGGGGCCCGGAGAGCCCTTTGTACTCGGAACACCCTGCGAAGCATCATAGACCACTAGGTCCTCCTCGTCTTCATCCTGTCCTTGCTGCTGCTGTCCCTCTGACTGCCTCTGCTTTCCCTTGCCAGGGGACGAGGAACCCCTCAGCGCCTCATCAACCTCCTGTGTGCTATGTCTTGTCCGATCTGAAGTGAGATTGAGCGGTTGATCGTCCAGACCTTGGGTCACGATTGCGTCTCCTAGCGGGTCTGCTCCGTGCGGGGCAGTTGGGCCGGAAGAGGAGGAGGTGGAGAGCATTGCTGTGTGAATCGCTTCGGCATGGAGTCGATTTCGCAGCAAGTAAAGACGATGTGAGATTACTCAAGGCAGAATGTTTCTGGCCCTTGCTGCAGGGAAGCTTGAATGATAGCGAGGAGTGGGAAGGCAAAAGACTCCCCAGAAGCGTGAGTGTTGGTTTGGTCAGTCGGGGCCACTTCGTTGCCTTTTTCCCGCGGCGGGCCCTCCACGCAAAGTTGCCTCCTCATTCAACACAGGCGACAAAGCCCGGGAATCAGTGGCAGTAGTCTAGCAACACGCCAAGTAGAGAGCTCAGAGGGAGCTGCAGACTGGTCATTGACTGACGAGGTATTGTATTCATTGGATGTCCTAATTACAGCTGTGGTCGACGTGATGATCTCGAATTCGAAAGGAGGAAGATCGTGACAAAGGAAGGTGAGGCAGGACCCCGCTACCCCAGAACAACAACTCTTTCCCTTGGCCCCCCTTTCCCCCTTCCAGCGCATGCTCAAGCGGTCTGTTCCCTTGCCTGGTAAGGCGAGTCCTCATAGTGAGGCGTGGAGGACCTGGGTCCCATCAGCGGGCTTGGGTCTGGACTAGCCACCCTTTCCAGTATGCCATTTCTCACCGGCCCTCCTGCTCCCGCCGAGCTGCCAAAGCCCTTGGCCGACAGAGGCGACGCAGCATAGTCGCCGGAGGGGGATACTGCGCCGGTCCTCAGGACAGGAGAGTTGGGCGTAGAGTTGTCCAGGAGATTACGTCCGGGAGGTGGGCCAGCACCGAGCGAAGTATCGAAGAAATTCGTCGTACGGCCGTCACTGGAAGTGCGTGGAGAAGAGTCTTGCCGCGGCGAGTTGAGGGATCGACGAGGCTCGCCGTGAACTACCACGCCTGCTAGGGAGACGTCCCTGAATCGATTACTCTTGCTTTCCGAAGAGGTGCGGTCATTCAGCTCCAGCGAATCATTCCCGCGCGAGCCGGCTCGCAGAGTTCCGTTCCTACCGAGGGAAAGGCTGCTCATGGAAGCAGTCGCACTCCTCAGATCAGTGTACTGCACATTGGCGCTACGCTCTCGCTCTGCCAAGGCGGCCGCATGGACAGCTCGGACGTCATCGATAGTCGGCAGGTCCAGAGCCTGAGATGGTGCAGGCGGCGCTCTCCTCTCGCGCTGGGTAGCCGAGGAGGAGCCACTAAAGTCACGCTGCTTTTGCTTCTGGATGGCCGCTTTGCTTGTCGAAGGCGGTGGAGACAAAGTGTCTGCCAAGCGGCGCTCATTCATCTGGTTGTCACTGGTGGGCGAGAAGGGTCGTCCGTCGGTGGGCAGCCCTAGGCCAAGTCCTTGTCCAGCTTGGAGAGGATGAGGTTCGCCTTCTTCAGCCTCAAGTGTAGGTTTGCGAAGCCCAGAGCTACTGCCCTCGCTGCGGTCGTCAGGGGCAGAGAGTCTAACGGTGGGCGTGCCGGGAGCCTGAATGTTCTCCTGCTCCAATTGCTGAGCTTCTTCCACCTGCCCTATCGGCATACCTGATGGCAGACCGACTTCCTCCCAGCATCGCATCGACCTATCTGCCCACGCCTCGAGGACGGGCCAGCCCTTGTATTCACCTGCCAATCGGAACCCTGCCGATCCCATTCCACCACGATCACCACCGCCCTTGGAAGCGCCAGCTCCTCCACCAGAGAAGTATGATTCGTACCCAATAGCATCTTCCTCGTCGTCGCTCCCCCCGCTGTTGTCCTCCAGTGTCCACATCTCACCGCTCTCCAATTCTTCTGCCACGTACTGCAGGAATCTGCCCCATCCGCCCTCGCCTTCTCCTCTCCACAGGACCACCTTTGTGTCGAAGTCGCGACCGAAGATGATGACTTGTCCTGGAGATCCTCCGCCGGATGGGTAGGGTGTCATATCAACACCAATGTAGTTGCCGACGTGATCGGTGATCAGTGGGATCCAGCCTTTACACGAGTACTCAGGCCGGACCCACTTGTCGGGACAACTGCTCTGCCACCGACGAACTTCGTGACTTGCTCCCGAGGTAGGATCATCATCGACTGCCCTCCAGAACTTCCATTCCTCAGCAATCTGCTCGAGACTGAGGAGTGCGAGACCGAAGAAGATGCCATCACTGCAAGACTGATTTGACTCGAGCTCTTGACCATTATGGCAGAGGTACGAGTCTCGTACAGCTGCCGGAAGATGGAAGCCGATGACGCTTTCGAGTTCTTCCACTTGCATCTCGGTAGCTGGCCAATTGAGTGTATCCTTGAGCTCAAAGTAGTGGTTCTCCGACCAGTCGTAGATTCGACCCCAAGTCTGACGCAGTGGCGGGAAAGACAACGACGGCATCGATATGCCAGCGGGACCACGAGCTTCTGCGAGAGAGGGCCGACCAGGTGGCACGAGGGTGTGTGTAGACGCAGAGGCTAGGTTTGCTAGGGAGTCGTTGGCACCTCTGCTTCCCAATGGAGGATAGGCGGACGAGCCCGAAGAGGCGGATCGAGAGCCATCGCTATATTCTTGGTAGGGCAATGACCAGGCGTCGTCTCCGAGTTGTGACGGTCCTCGACGCGCAGATGGGTAGCCCTGACCGAAGGACGATGAAGCAGCGGGTCGTGACCGCGGAGGGGCGCTGTTAGAACCCCCAAAGAAGGTGGAGACGGAGGAGAGAAAGTTGGAGCCCGACATCGCAGAAGAGAAGGGTGGGGTCGGAGAGCTCGGGACGGTCTCTGTCGTTGGCAGAAGAGAGAGAAAGGACGAGAGGAGCGAGAGTGTCAGAACAAGCGTCATCAAGCGGCCGCCGATCTTCTCGAGTCGAGACCAGCGTCAACAACGAACGCAGTCGCTCATTTGAGGACTTTCGACTTCCTTCGCGCGCTTGTAGGTGAATCTATCACCCTGCAGACCTGACCATCCAATCTGCTTGCCGCGCCTCCTGAGGGCCAAGTACTCACCCTGCGGTCTGTCCGGGCTGTGACTGCTACGTGCCTCTGCGATCGGCGCGTGTCTTGGTGAGCCCGGTGTGATCTTTGGTCCGCTTCGTCTTCTCACGATTGCGAAGGAGAGGTGCTGGCAGGAAAGTCAAGAAACGAGTCGAGCGGGAACAACTGTTGCGGTTGGTGAAGATGAGCGGATCGACTTGACACGGACAGGTAGGTGAGATGAGGTAAAGAGAGCGTGGGCGTGTGGGGGGTTCCTCGAAGAAGCAAGGGCAATCGGTAGAGGCTCTGACGCGGCCTGTGTTGGGTGAAGAGAAAAAGGGCTGATGGGAGGATGGTGTTGCGCTCAAAGTGGAATGAATGGTGGTGGTGATGCGTGTGTGTGTGTGTCGCTGGGTGTGTGCGTGTGTGTGATCGTGCGGTGCGGCGCGGGTTGGTCGCTGGCTCTGCCTCTGCCTTTGCCGTGGCCGCCTGCCGTGGCTGCCTGCCTGCCTGCCTGCCTTTGGTGTCTGGCCGATGCCGCCTGTTGCCGCCTGTCAAGTCAGAAAGCGCGCTGTGTTGATCTCGCCCCGTCGCCTCCCAGGAAGATTTGGGCAGCCGATGACGACAAAGAAAGTGTCAGCCACAGGAGCACAGCAATGGGATGATGACTTCTCTTGTGCGGAAACAGCAAGACCTTGCCTGCACTGTCAAATGGGCAACTACCAGTCACCGGGTATGTGGGAGAGAACATCAACGACGCAAGGGGGAAACAGATGACTAGCGAACACGCGCGGCCTACCCGCCTCCAGACCGCCGGACCTCTGTTACAACTGCTAGATGCTAAGCGCTTGGTCAACTTCAAGAAGGAGCGTTCAAACAGACACAAAGTAATATACAAAAGCAGAGGTAGCCTGTACCGCTTCTTTAGACAGCGGTGGACGTGTGGCGGCCACTGGCCTCTCCATCTCCAGCCCTTCCGCTTTCGAGATCGCCCGCTGCATTGTCGCATCCTCGCAGGAAATGCTCACGCTCTGCCGGCGTCATCACCAGGCTACTGGGAGGAGCAGATGGCTTGTACGGTCTGTGCCCATCGCCTGCCCACAGTGGAGGGTAGTACTGATGGTAGATGCTGCTCGCTACGACCGCTCCTAGTATCGCTCCGGCAATGACATCGGTGGGATGGTGTCGATTGTCCATCAGGCGCGAAATGGCAATCAGACAAGCACCCAGAGGTGGCGTAGCGACGATCCACGAGACCCATACGCGAGCTCGATCCCCAAAGAGGTGGAAGTGTCCAGCCAAAAACCAGGTCAGGAACGTTAGACCTGCAAAGGCCGCGGAACTATGGCCCGATGGAAAGCTGCGGAATCCATCCTTGATGAGGGCTGAGTCGAGAGATGTGGTGCAGATCGCTTCGCTATTGAGTCCGTAAGGAACGGGGTCAACGGCTCCCACGGGGGGTTGGCAGCGGTCGATGAAATCGGGGCGAGTCCGACCCACCGAGATCTTGACACAAGTAGTGACCGTCAGAGTGATACCATGGGTGAGGAGAAGTCCAAGAGCAGACTGGTGGAAGTCGTACCAATCGAGTCTGCTGAGACCAAGAGAGACAGTGGCTTGTAGCATGACCGGAACCACGAAAGCGCAAGCTATCAGGAGAGCGGTAGGCACTCTCTCGTTTGGTATGTGTCTGTATTGGATGCTCTTGTCGTCTAGGGAAAATGGGCTGTAGACATGGCAAGAGCGATCAAAGGATGGAGTCGATCGATTGGGGAAACTGTCAGTATGAACGGCATGTCTGTGTAGTGACGAGCACTGCCTGCGCATCACCCGCAAACGTACCTTCTGAATCCGTAAGCTCGATTGAGAGACCAGAGAGTGCCAGCCAGCAGAATCGTCAGGATCCAGTCTCCCGCGTATGCTCTAAGCAGTCGAAGAGCCCTGGCCCAGACACTGCCAGCTGGCTCATTCTTGTTCTGCTCCCAACTTCCCTGGAGCGTATCGTAAGATCCCTCTTCCTCGGTGAGTCCGGTGCGGCTGTCGGGCGTGCCGGGTGCTCGGGGAGACATGAGTGGCCAATGAGCGGGACAGAGATGGAGGACGAAGCGAAGAGAAGCGAACAGGTATCGAAGTCAGACAGAGAGGCAAAAGCTGATGGAAGTGAGATAGGAGTACAGGCGCTTCCGAAGCACAAGGTCGAGGATCAGGCGGTGCAGTGCAAGGGAGGGAGGAGGCTCCCGAAGCCTATCTGCAACCGACTCCAGGTCTTGGCACAGGAGACAGGCGGAACGAGGTATGAGGCTGAGCGTACCTCCACACACTTCCGTTCCGGAACCCCGCACGCGAGCACCGATGCAGAGGCCTTGTGTAATTGAGGCGGGTCGCGTCTCGCGCGTTGATGATGCGAACATCCAGAACCGCCACTGCCTGTAGTGGGAGCAAAGGCGGCTGAACAGTACCACGGCATCCTTTCCTGGATGATCCTTGCAACCTTCGATTGCCTCGTCCTGCCTTGATTCGGATTCCTCTCCTCGATTAGCGCTTCCACTCCTTCCTGCTCCTATCCCTCACACCCTCCGGAAGAGCTCGCCATGGCTGTTCCCGCTAAGCCAGAGTCACAGGCAGACGCAGACGATGACCAGAGCGTCGACGAGGAGCTTCTCGCAACCGCACGTGCCCTCGACGCCGATGAATCAGAATACAGAGAAGGTGCAGGCGAGGGTGTTGGCGACGAAGCACCGCAGCACGCTCACGGGAGCAACGGTCATGCTGCCAATGGAGCCAATGGAAGTAGCTCTTCTGCGCAAGGCTCGGGCCGCGGTCGTAAAGCCATGACGGAAGAGGAGAAAGAGGACGCTAGGCGGAGAAAGAAGCAACAGGAGGAAGAGGAGGAAGATTCGGAGGTGGGTAATGTATCCTTGCTCTAACAATGTCTTCGACGGATACTGACTAGCTGCTCTTGTCTGGCTCCTCACAGGTACACAAGCAGCGAGCTTCGAAGCTCAAGTTTTTGCTTCAGCGGTCTGGCGTCTACTCGAAGATCATGGCAGACAAGATGGAGAAAGAGCGCAAGGCTAGAGCCGAGGCCCAGTTGAAGGAAAGCAAGGCTAACGCCAATGGTCATACTGGAGAGGACCAAGGCGGATACTCCAAGGGAGTCGCCAAGGGAGTGGCTGCCGGGCGCAGCACCCGAGCCGGAGACGCCGATGAGAAGAAAGTGGACTCTTCATCTGCCCCTCGTCAGAAGCGAGCCAACGCAGGCAAGCGCAAGACGGATGACGATGATTGGGAAGTCTCCAAGTACATCACAAAGGACGATCTCAAGAGTGGAACCTCCACACCCGTTAAGAAGCTGAAAAGCCAGAACGGCACACCTTCCTCCAGGCCATCCACACCTTCCTCCTCTCGGTCGTCCAGACAGCCAGCTCTTGTGACGGGAGCTGAGCTCCGGGACTACCAGATCGATGGCTACGAGTGGCTCGTGGGTCTGTATGAGAACGGTCTCAACGGTATTTTGGCCGACGAGATGGGTCTAGGCAAAACGCTACAGACCATCTCCTTCCTGGCCCACTTGCGAGGAAAGGGGGTCTGGGGTCCCTTCCTCGTCGTCGCCCCGCTATCCACGATTGCAAACTGGGTCAACGAGTTCGAGCGCTTCACACCCGGCATTCCTGTCCTCCTGTACCACTCAAGAGGCAAAGCCGAGCGAGCAGAGCTGAGACGGCATCTCAAGTATCCCACCACGCCTGAAGAGAAAAAGGCTTTCCCGGTCGTCGTGACCAGTTTCGAGGTCGCCATGATGGATCGGGCGCACCTTTCGCATCTAAAGTGGAAGTACATTGTGGTGGATGAAGGACACCGATTGAAGAATATGAATTGCAAGTGAGTATGGGAACCAGGACATGCAGTTTCCCCAATATCACTGCTTGCTGATACTGATCTCCTCCTACCTATGTTCTAACAGATTGATCCAAGAGCTGAAGCGGTTCAAGAGCGCACAGAGATTGATTCTCACCGGAACTCCGCTCCATAACAATCTGAAGGAGCTGTGGTCCCTGCTCAACTTTATTCTGCCGGACATCTTTGATGACCTCGAGACTTTCGAAAAGTGGTTTGACTTCTCTGACATTCACAACGAGGGCGGCGACAACAGGCTTCTCTCCAAGGAGGACAGCAGAAGTGTCATTACGCAGTTGCATTCTATCCTCAAGCCCTTCTTACTTCGACGCTTGAAAGTCGACGTAGAGAGCAATCTGCCGCCCAAGAAGGAATACTTGCTCTATGCTCCGCTGACTGCCCTGCAAAAGGAGTTGTACGAAGAGTGTGTTCACGGTACCATTCGCAAGTGGCTACTCGAGAAGAAGACCGGTCTTTCCTACGCAGAAATTCGCAGTCTTCTGGGCGAGAGTCCGCCCGTGGAGACCATCGAATACAACGGAGCTAACGGCAGCGATGCTAATTATCAGAATGGCCATGCTGAGAGTCAAGGACCTACCGGGTCTGCTAAGCGCCGAATCCGCTCTCGCGGCAACAACGTCAGCTACGCTGAAGACGAGACGGACGATCAATTCGCCGACCGCATCGAGGCTGGAGATGATGAGGAGCAGGAGGAGGCGGAACCTCTCAGCGCTAGTGACCAAGAGCGAGAGGGCAAGCTGTACGCTATCAAGCAAGCTCAGAAGGACATCCACAACATGAAGCTGCAGAATCTCTTTATGCAATTGAGGAAAATTTGCTGCCACCCCTACCTCTTTGACTGGCCTAAGCAGCCCGACGGGCAGATGCTGGTCGACAAGAGTCTTGAGACTAGCAGTGGTAAGATGTTGATGTTGAACAGGCTCTTGGACGCCTTGTTCGCCAAGAAGCACAAGGTCCTCATCTTCTCTCAGTTCACTACTATCCTCGACATCATCGAAGACTGGGCGGACGAGTACAAGAAGATCAAGACCTGCCGCATCGATGGTACCACGTCTCAGGAGGACCGAAGGATGCAAATGAAGTCCTTCAACGAGGACACCTCGGATGACTCTGTCAAGCTCTTCTTGCTCAGCACGCGTGCTGGTGGACTGGGTATCAATCTCGTTGCAGCAGACACAGTCATCTTCTATGACAGTGACTGGAACCCACAGATGGACTTGCAAGCCCAGGATCGAGTGCATCGAATCGGGCAAAAGAAGCCTGTGCTCATCTTCCGTCTGGTATCTGCAAACACCGTCGAGTCACGTCTGCTGAAGAGGGCTGGTGACAAGAGGAAGCTGGAGGCGATTGTGATCAAGAATGGAGAGTTTCAGCTGCCGGCTGGCGTGTCAGGAGCAGACCTGCTGAATGGCTCGGCAGCTGGTCGCTCGACGAGTAAAGGCAAGCAAGAGTCGATGCAGGACATGGCTCGGTCACTCATGGCCCTCGAAGGCGAAAAGGTACAATTGGCCGAAGAAGGGGACGAGATCATCAGCGATGCTCAGCTAGAAATGTTGCTCGACCGTTCGGATGCCGCGTACAAGAGACAGACTGGATGGGTTGCATCTGACGCCAGCGGCAAGTTCGAGGTGACAGAGACTAATGCAGATGCCGCCAATGAGGATCTGGCCAAGCTAATGGCAGAGAGCTAGTTGTTGAGCAGTCCGGCAGGGGTGGAAGGAAGTACGATGGCAGCGATACATACATGGTGATCTATTAGACGTTTCTGGCTTTCCTGTCTTGCTTGTTTCTATTCCTCACACAATACCATCATCATCTTTCAGTCCGCTCCATTGTTCGTGGCCCTTTGTGTCAGAGTCGCGCCTGGACGGAAGGCGGAGTACGGAAGCAATTGTCGGCTGCAGTCGCGTCGTTGCTATCGTCTGTGCCATACCACCCTGCATTGGTAACTTCTTCCTCCTCACACTTGCGTCCCTTCATTGCTTTTGTGCATTTGCACTTCTACTCCTACTCCTCTTCTTTGTCCACGCTCCTCGGCATCTCGCTGTTGCCCGGTAGCCTGTCTCCGCTACCCTCTTGCGCATAGACGTGCAGCTGAGATTTGGAGGCGCTCATACTCGGACCTCCTCTTTAGCGCTTGTCCAGGCTGGCAGCTCAAGAGAGGGAGATCAGGTGCGGCAAGGGGCCCGAGCTGCGTTCCTGAGCTTCTCTTCCATCCAGACCTGTCTCCTTCTGGCAGATTGGTCGCACCTTGTGCAGCTTCGGAAGCAGGGCGGTTCCCGGGTCCTTCCCTCGGGCCCCGCCTAGAGCGTACACAGTATGCCGTCCCCATTCAAAGCAGGCAATGGCAATGCTGCCTTTCTTCCACCTCCTTCCGCTACCAATCCTTCCGGTAGACCCCTGACCTCATCATCTGGTACGAACAACAAGTCGAGTAGTCCCTCCAGACGCTGGCTCTTCAACAAACCATCATCTTCCGCCTCGGAGGCTAACTTCTCGGACCTCCGAAAGACGAGCAGCCGCACTAGCAACCCGCGCTCGATCCTCTCCAGCGAGACCGATCGACATAGCGAGAGAGTAGCAGAAGAACCTGCGGCGGTCGCTTTGCCATCCACTTCCTTCAAGCCTACGGCCTCCTCTACCACAGACGGATCCGCTCCTGTCGCTTCGTCATCTTCAGGTCCCCGTGTCAGCTCTGTTCCTGGCGGCCGCACTCTCAGCGGACGCAAGACTGGTTCGCAAATTGGCAAGAGTTTCGAAACGCTTCTGGCTAGTAATGAGACTTGGGTTCTAAAGAGCACAACAGCAGAAGAGAGGACAAGTTCTCCTGAATCTACAACCGCCGCGTCTTCTGATCTTAGCCCGCATTCTCCTGCCAGTCCAATGCCCGGTTTCAGACTGGGGACATCATCCGGTCACCGCCCATGGCGGAGTCCACGGACGGAACCTTTACTACCTGCCTCGTCAGCTTCCCCTCTGCCCCCTTCAGAAGAAGAAGGTGGTCTGGCTCCCCCTCTCTCAACTTATAGTCTGGCAAGTCTCACCTCACCTCGAGAGGGGGAGGCGGGCGAGACAAGCGCTGGCCCACAGCGCGAAGAGCCTCCTCAATCGCCCAGTAGCACCAGATTTGGCACCACTGACGCACAGAGTCAAATGTCTTCTGCCATGCCGCCTCCCTCGTCTTCGAAGAACGAAGGTCGCGCCCCAAGCATGGGCTTTCGCCCCGTTTCACGCTCGAAGTTGAATAATGGGACCGAAGCTTCAGCTGAACAGTCTAGCGCTGCACAAGAAGAAGGTGCGCTCAGTAGCAGCGGGCCTTCCTCGGATCCAAGCGGAGTCAACGTTCAGAGTACGCCTTCCAGCTTCAAGGACCGATTCAAGAAGACTAGCGGCTTCCTGAAGCGGTTCACGGCCAGGGACTCCAGCAGCAGCAGCAGTAGCACCAGTGATGAGAAGAAAGTGTACAGCAAGCAGAGCTCATCGGGCGCCCGACAGAGCACACACTCTCTCCACCAAAGCGCAATTGTGAATGACACTGCTTCTCACACGGGCTCCGCGTCCCTTCCGCCTTCACCTTCCTTAGGTCGGTCGAGAGGGGCTCCCACCTTGGACCCACCTCCCTTGCCGGTACCAGCGATCCCGGCAAAGTATGCTGAAGGCCGTCCACGAAGTCTCAGTCGAAGTGGCCCAGGGTTCATCGGTGAATCTGAGCGGCACACTGCCACCAAGGCAGCTATACCTCTCGCCGAGACGACCTCTTTGCAAGGCCGGGCGGCAGGGCTGGCGGCACCCATCAATCTGTCCTCTGGCGTTCGATCTGTCTCTGCTCCAGGTGTACCTGTAACATCAATGGCGTTTGAGCCGATCTCGTCTTCGAAGCCGGGGATCGGAACGAGCAGTGAGGCTGCCTCGAAGAAGGGTGTCACACCGGTCTCCGTCTCTGCAACAGAGCTTCGATCCACCTTGAAAGCATGGGAACGTGAGATGGATGATACATTGAAGGAGAGTGCGCAGGACCTTGAACAGAAGACCAAGATTTCTGAGAAGACCAGCTGGGGGCCAAGCCCGACTTTACCTAAACTTGAGCTCGGAGCGGACATGGATGGTGCACCCGGAGGTGCAGACGGCGCTCTTTCTTCGCTTCTGGGAGATGAGCATGCTCAGAACAGGATCAACGGCACCTCGAGCGCTCCCAGTACCCCGACCATGCCGACTGCCAATTTGCAAGCGCCAGGGCCGTCGGCGAAGAATATGAGGCCGACCACCTCGTTGGGCGGATCTGCCGTCATTGTGGAGGGCAAGCCAGTACATCGGCCATGGGAACGCAGTCGCAGCCCCTACCTCTCTCCCGGAGAAGAGGGTTCTTCCCAGTCAGGCGCAACAGAGATGAACAGCACACTGAGTGCTGATGGTCACCGTCTCCCTCGCTTGCCATCTCGCGCCCCACTTGCCCCCGAAGACGCCTCCAAAAGCAGCCCTACTCAGATCCCCACCGGCCAAGCAGACCACAGGAAGCCACCTCCGATATCCACCGCTTCCGATGGAGCCTCGCTGGCCCTGTTGCCCTCGCCTCCAGCATCCGCTTCTCGGAGCGAATCTACTGTCGAGCCTCGTGCTGCTCCTTCTCTACACAGTAACAAGCCTCGAGACTCGGTCAGTGGAGCCAGTATGGGCACATTTGAGACTGCAGACGAGACCAGCGAAGCGCCTACACTCAACGTCGGAGCTGAGCAGGCTGCCAATGGAGTCGATCCCGCAGATGTCGAGGACGATGATCCGATCGAGATTCCTCCAGAAGAGACTATTCGGCTCATCACCGATACTGGTTCCGGACAGCCTACGTCTCCTGAGATTGTGGAAGACTCAACACTGACAATCACACGATCGTGTGAGCCTCAGATGGAGGCGGAGCCTTCAGGGCATCAGATTCGAGAAGCATCTACCCTTGCACCTCTTCCCTCTGACTTGGCCGGACATCGGCTCGGAACCTGGACATCTCCGTCGCCAGGTTCGGAGGTACAAGTATCCCGAGCTTCCCACAACACATTGCCCCGATCTTCCTCGCCATCAAGGCCCCGCCCTTCTACTAGCCAAAACAGACGCAATCCCTCCAGCGCCGCATCTCCGGGTTCTGAACCGGAAGCTGCGCTGGACGATGCAGCGCAAGAGCAAGCTAAAAAGCTTGCTGATCGCTGTTGGCAAGAAGACGAGACTTGGATGGCAAAGGAGAAGATTGCTGAATGGTTGGGAGGCCTGGGGACTCTCAATGAGGCGGCCCGAGACTACTACTTCGAAAACTTCGACTTCACCAATCTCCGAGTGGATGCTGCGCTGAGAATCTTGTGCGATAAGCTCTTCTTGCGAGCCGAGACTCAGCAGGTTGACCGTATCCTGGCTGCCTTCAGTAGGCGATACTGGCTCTGCAACCCTGCTTCTGTCTGTGGGTCAGCCGATAGCGTTCACGCCGTTGTGTTCTCGCTCCTCTTGCTCAACACCGACTTGCATGTCGCCGACATCTCAGAGAGAATGACAAAGTCGCAGTTCGTCAAAAACACCTTGTCAGCCCTGCGCGAAGCGAGCAGTACAGATCAAGAGCTGGGCATGCCGCTCAGCCCTCCCAAGTCTCACAATAGAGGTGCCGTGTTCGACCCGACTCTGTCACAACATTCAGAGATGGATAGCGATACCATGAGCTTCCAGAGCAGGAGTTTCCGACCTGAGCAGAATGATTCGTCTTCGCTGGCAGACAGCTCTAGGCCCACACGGAGAGATAGCATCAGCTCATTGACGCCCCAGCACCAGGGCGGTGGCGGTGGCAGCTTCTCAAAGGGGACATTCTCCCGCAGTAGCCCTGTGCCTGGTACCCACTCGAAGGGTGATGCCGATCTTGAAGCAGTTCTCAAGGAGATGTACATCGCTGTAAAGAGCGACCGTATTCGACTGCCAATGAGCGAGGTAGCTCCACCCGAGCACCTGAAATCCTTCCCTGGTCGCAAAGGCAGTAGACCCAACCTCGGTCCGCCCTCAGCCTCATCGAACAGCTCGAATCGAGTAACGCAGCTCAAAAGAGGCAGTATTCGAGGTATGGCGGGTCTCTTGGGGGTCACTTCTGCTATAAAAAATGAGGATCTAGGCTCGCAGAGCTCTTTCGGATCCCGCTCCGTCAATGACAGCTGGATGACTGGAGGAAGTGGGCTAGGTGGAAGTCAAAGCTCCGGAGGGACTTCGATGACAAGCGCGGGCTCTATTCCTCAGACCCATGCTGGTTCTCTAGGCTTTGCCAATTCTCTCTTGGCCCAAAATGTCATCAAAGAAGCTCGAGAGGAAGGGCGAACCAGCGACGATCTACAAAGGCCAGCTTCGGTTGCTTCCACTGTCGATGAGCTCACTGACAACGAGCTTGCTCTGATCGGTGCTCCTTGGGCCAAAGAAGGTGTCCTCTCCCGCAAACAATACTGGGAAGCTCCACAGAAGCGAGCGAAAGACAAGAATTGGACGGAGACCTTCGTCGTGGTGTCAAAGGGCATCCTGTCGATGTTCAAATTCGGAGAGAGCTCTTCCTCTGTCGGAGCGAAAGGAGGCGCTTCGTACGGCGGCGGCAACTGGCTTTCTAATGCAACGAGTCTGGGCGAATTTACGCTTGCTCATACACTTGCAAATTCACTGCCACCGCCCGGATACAATCGAGCGCGCCCGCACGTTCTAGCTCTTACCTTGCCTTCGGGAGCCGTCTACTTCTTCCAGGCAGGTACTGAGGATCTAGTGCAAGAGTGGGTATCCACCTGCAACTACTGGGCCGCCAGGACCAGTCGGCCTCCCTTGGCCGGCGGAGTCTCGAACATGGAGTACGGATGGAACAAGGTGATGCCCGTCCCTGACGACGAAGAAGAAGAGAGCTACGAAAGCACAGAGCCTGGCGAATACCTGGCAGACGATGCAGCTTCGAGTCACGGCGATACCTCTACCACCACTTGGTCTACGCTCGCCACCCCGCCCGATGGCAGCATCTACCGCTCGCTCACGAACAGAAATGCAGCTGCAACTGCAGACAATCGAAGCATCATGAGCGGACGGTCGGGTCGATCTATGGCCTCGAACGTGGCCAACTATACGAGTTGGCAAGATGCAGTAACAAATGGGCTGGGCGGCGACTCGGTCGGCAAAGCGCGCCTCGGCAGTCGTACTCCGAGCATTGCATCAGGCTACACCGGTGCAGGCGTTGGGAATGTTCTGTCTCCACCTTCACATCGAAGTCGTCCTCCTGCATCGATTCGCAGTCTATCGTCTCTGAATCCCTCTGGTGCCGCTCGATCAGCCAATGACCGGACTCGCATCAATGAGTGGAAAGCCCCTGTGGCTCCCAGCATGCCCAGTGCACTGCGAGAGGAAGAGCAAATGGAGGCCTGTCTGGCCTACATCTCCCGTACTGAAGCCGAGCTGACCTCACACAATGAGCTCCGTCAACCCATGCTAGCCCTGTACAACCCTCGTGGACCCAATTACGGCAAAGCTCTTGCAAATTGGCAACGCAAATCTAACCACTTGCTAGCGGAATTGGTCAAGTGGAAGGGATATGTAGAGTCTTTGAATTCTGCACTGAAGTTGAGAATGCAGAAGAGAGATGAGAGGGCCATTGAGACTTCGTTGACTCGTGCGGATGAAGAAATGGCAAAGGTGCAGGAGGAAGAAGAGGAAGGACCGATCCTCGTCTAGGGCAGGGCTGCTGTAGAGGCGATTTGCGTAGCGGAGCAAGGGAGGAAAGGAGTGGCGAGCGAGTCGTTCTGTAATTTCCTCTATCCATAGCTTGGACTTGATCTAATGATACCTCTGCATGCTGCTAAGCGCTACTACTACCATCCATGGTCAATGTGTGCTTTTCGCTTCTCGCCTCTTGGCTTTGCGTACTCGGCTGGCCGGCATGGATCGGAACGGAACGGATGCGTGGGCGAAGCGCTGTCTCCGCCCACTTGCACAGTCGACTCTCAACGGCAAAGAGAAGCTCAGGCGACGCGGATTGGTCATATGGACTTGAAGGGATCGGAAGGGCCAGCGCAGCGCTCCGTCATAAACTTCCACCTTCCACACCCCACGGAATTAGCTTGAATGTCTCCTCTTGAGCAACATCAAAATCAAGGGGACTCAGTCGGTATCAACGAAACCGGAAAGTGATCATGTGACGCTAGACCAGCGGCGAGAGGCGAGGGGCCAGGGAGCGAGCGCTCACTGAGATGCAGGTCAGAGGTGAGGGAATGGCACACATGGAGCAGGGGCACAAGGGCACAGCAGCGAGTCTGAGACGATGACATTGTTGCAATGTCGAACTGGAGACGACAATGACGATGATGGTGGTAGTAGTAATGACGATGGTGGTAGTGGTAATGACGATGACAATGTTGACAGTGACGATAATGACGTTGATGATGACTTTGTGGTTGATGATGAGATGGTTATAATGATGGCAACGATGTCGGTATTCGTGCGACGTGCGACAACATCGCTGCGGGAAACAATGACAGAGAGCAGCAAATGAGGAAGATGTGGAGAGGTGAAAGAGTGATGCAGCTGGTCTAGCTTTACAGTGTAGGAGAGTTGGGGGAAGTCTGGCGGTAATCAAGACTCTACGATTTCGTAAAGCCGAAGGAGACAGAGTACCGTATGAATGGCTCACTGAAGGTCGTGCCTTTCTTGCGCTGATGGAGGAGAAGATGGGCATGCCGACAGCAACGCTCTTGTTGGGTCACAATGATGGTCGCCTTGTACCCGCACTTGAAAGAAAGAGCAGCTTGCCAGCAAGCTAGAGCTTCCCTTCTCATCTCACCACGTACTCATCGTACCCAAGACGATCCTTTGCAGCGGCGGGCCATATTAGCCGTCCAGTGGCGCCCGACGGTCAACCAAACTCCTGCAATTTGCAACATCGGCTGCGAGTTTGCCAGCAATGGGCCATATATGACTAGCAGCGACGAGATGGCTATGTGCAAAAGCGAGGTTGCTGAGCACATTGGAGTGCCTCCATACCACCGAAACATCTGTGGCGCTGCTTTCACTGCTTTCCCCCTCCGATCGATCGTCCTTGCGGGAGCTTTGCGGCAAGGTGTGACTATCAGCAGCTTTGCCAGGGTCTTTCGCCAAGGCGCTGATCAGCGCGCGACTCGTGGACTCTGCTCTGGCAGCCGAAGCGAGCTTGTCATCGTCACGACGATAAGGCGTCGTGTCAACCAGGTCCTTCCAGAGGGCAGCTGCCGCCACGTACGCAAAGCTAGCGGTCAATTGTGATGACCCGTGGAAGGGAGAATGATTGAGCACTGGGGTGACTGGCAAGCGCGCCGACCCGTAAAGGTTTGGAAAAGAGACTCGAGCGTTGTTGTCGGCGCGAGTAAGCTGCACGATGTTGTCTGCGGCCTGGTGAGACGTAAGGGAGAGCAATGGCCTAATCAGTATCGATGATCGAGACTGAGACGACACCTGCCCGTTTCGCGTTGGACTCACCTGGATGATGGTCTTGATGGCAGCTCTGGCGACCTGAAGCGGCAAAGCCGCAACCAGACTAGCCTTGCCCTGCACACTGTCAACAGGCATGTCAGGTACCTCCAACTCATTGTACAAGGTAGGGAAGAACGTCATCCTGATGAGCTGGATGCGAGCCGAATTGAGCATGACATAGGCTGTGTATGTCATCTCCACCGATTCCTCCGTAAGTCCGTTCTCGAAGCGACGTCTGGCCGACTGGGCAATCTCTGTCACAACACCGTTCAATGCTTCGAGTCGATTCAGCCTGGCGCTCGGATTGGGCGGGACTGACTGTACCGATTCCAGGAGGAGGGAAGCACACCTGACGCGCAACCCGTAGTCGGACTCGGAAGATGGTGGCGGGGAGTCCGGGAAGGTGACGTCGATGGGAATACCGGAACGCAGGAGACACATGGAAGCATCCCCTGACGTTGCAGAGCAGAACATTGTCTGGATGATGCACAGCTGCAGAAGAGATGAGAACGGTAGGGGTGAGGGTTGGCATCAATATGCTTTGCTTTGCTTTGGAACGTCCAACATCCTCTCACTCACCTCCCAGAAGCATCGTCTGACATCATCAGCCAATTCCATCTCCGGGACTTGAATCGCATTGAGGCCTGTGGATGGTATGGAGCGCTCACGGTCGCGACTAGTCGCGACAGGTGATGCTGAATCAAAGACTGAGATGCCAAGGTCGATCACGATGTCGGCTGCCTTTTGCAGGTAGCTTCCACTTCGATCAGTATCCGCCAGAGCGTACTCCATGGTGCTACCTAGCAGTAGCGCCTGAAGGCAGCTGACGAGCTGAGGAACGGAGCAAGACTTGTAAGCGTCCGACGGTCGGGAAAGGATACCACTCAGGCCGTCACGAGCCTGCTGTAGGAACAGACTGTGCAGTACACCAGCCGCGTCATCGCGCGAAAGCTTCCACCCTACAGCAGCAAGCACCTGGGATAGAGTCAAAAAGTCTTTGGCTTCCTCTGGTAATTGTGACCGCGGCTGCTCCGCGATCAACCAAGCCCACCGCTCCAGCGCTGCGAAAAGCCGATATTGCTGACAGGGCGCAAGAGCCAGGCAGTACCGTGGCGTGCTTGCAAAGTAGAGTTGCATTCCGGTACGGATGGTGATAGGGTCCGTATGAGAGTGAGCTGAAGGCGTTATGGCTGTACCAGTGGCCGTCAGAGGGATAGCAGGGGATAGATGAAAGGAAGCACTGTGGCTTCCTGGTTGATGTGGTCGAGGCATCATCACACCATGACTTCTCATTTGAGGAGGGAAATGGGCGGCAGCAGAATATGACATCGAGCCGGGTGTCGAGCCAGACAGTGATCCCGACAGCGAACCGGAAACGGTCCCAGACACAGAGCCCGTGGGTGAGTCGGACGATGGCGATTCCGAAGGAAAGGCGCTGGAATGAAAAGTGCTTGCCAGTGCTTGACTGTAGCGGGGATGAGGATCGGTAGAGTACTGTGGCTGTCCCCTGTCCACATGGTATTGTGCATCGAAGAGGTTTGTGGGGGCATGGGGCCTTGGGTTGACTGCACTCGAGAAGGAGCTCCAAGCACCTATCGGACTTGTGCGTAGAGACGGCGGTGGTGGCGGAGACAATGGCCGATGCATCTGTCCGGAAGTGCCTAGCTGTTGTTGCGGACGATACGAAGACGAGCTCGAAGCGGGGCCCGCCATTAACGGCGGCAGAGCAGAACGCGAATGTTGGCTGAAGGGGTTCACGGAGTCCGCGTTCTGAACGAGGGGTCCTGAGCCTAGGGGTACGTTACCGTGTCCGATCCAGTCAGATCCGAGCGGTGGAGACTGTATTGACTGCCGCGGATAGCCATGTGGGACCGACAGCCAAGACAGCTCATCTTCAGATGGACTGGAAAAGGGCGCGGGGTAGGCTGAATGAGCAGGAGGCCTGCTTGTCGAGTGGACGGACGAAGAGGTTGCTAGCGGCGTCTTGCTACTGCTGACACCTCTTGAACTCCTTCCAGAGGCTTTGTCGGCGCCTCCAAGTGGAGCTGTGGCACCGATTGTCTTCTTCGCAGGCCTGCCCAACTTAGCTTTGGGAGCCCAGAGACAGTCGATGTCGTTGAGGTTGCAGCGCGTACATTGTTGATCGGCAGGGTAGAGTGTGGGTGGAGGAGCAGAGCCATCCAGCATGAGTTGTCGGGGTGGGGCTGTAATCGGTGCGCCAAGAAGTGCGGCCGGTGACTGTCCGTCGCACCTATGCTTTGCTTCCCGACAGGCTACACATGCCATGCTAGCTCGATTCATTGCAGCGACTTTGCGACTACTGCCCTCTATTGGTCCCCCACCCCGTGCTGTTGACTCGGACGCTAAAGAGTGAACGCGTGCGGTCATTTCGCCCGAAGAGGAAGACTGGTTGGATCTTGACGATGCGGACGCGATAGGTGAGAAGTGAGTCGATGGAGGTGTGTTCATGAGGCCACTGACGGCTAGAGAAGAAGAGGATGAGGATGAAGAGGATGCAGCTTCTGGATTGGATGACGAAGCTGAGGACCCAAAGGAGCCAGAAGGGAGTTGCCGTGGGGCCGGACGACGTGAGGGACCCATCCGGAGCGGCTATGTACAACGTTGGCTAGTACGTATCCAGCTGTTGTACAGAGGCGACAAGGTAGGAGAGGCTAGAACGCGACTTGTACAGCGAAGTCAGAAGCTTGCTGCTAGAGCAGTGCCTTCTGAAGACGCTTGAATCGACTCGAGAAGACTGTGAAGTGGGGGAATAGAGTTGCAAAGTACCGCTCATATCTATGACCTCGAAAGGCAAAGATGTTGCAATGCGTATACGCGAGCGCGTCCAGAAGGAGCAGGAGTGCGAGGAGGAAGAGGAAGGAGAAGAAGAGACCTCGTCGAGAGGCAGGAGGCAGGCCGAAGAAAGAGACGAGGCGAGGGGGAGACTGAGGCTACCTCTGTCGGCACTAGCGTGTATAAAGTGCCGGAGACGTTTGAAGAAGAAGGGATATGCAAAGGCAAGATGTTGACGAGAGGCAGATTACCTCACCGCGAGGGCGAGGTGATGTGCCTTGCTGGCCGGACTTAGCCTCTGACTGGCGGCTACTTTCTGTCGTCGAGCTCAGAGTCCGCAAGGAATTCGCAATATCGGGCTGTTGTGGTATGCAGAAGGAACCGCGAAGGGTTATGGTCCGAAGCGGTAGTGCCACAGCGCTGTGGGTAAATGGCGGAGATGGCGGACACTCGGGGAGCTTCAAGTGAGGCCGTGAACAAGGTAAAATGGTGGCGGAGGAGTGGTATAGGTCTGAAGGGTTGAGAAGATGGTTCAGTCTTGGTACCTCGCCGATGTCCCTATTCGGCGAGAAATGGCCCGGGGTTTCAGTCTCTAATGGCCCGGACAGGTCGCGATCTCTCCCTCCATCTCTACATACCGCCTTGGGCAAAGCAACCCGCTGTCCCACCTGCCTTGGCTCGGCTCCCAGAATTGCTCTACACTGCCTTCCGGGCCTTTCCTGCCTGACCACTGCAAGCGTCGGCTGCTCTGTCTATCTCATCTCAACCTGTACCGCCCCGCGGATACCTCGGTGTCTGGCAGTCGCACTCACCACTTGGGCGTCCACCCGCGTCCGCCTGATTAATCCACCACGCCCGTGCACATGTCGCAAAAGCCCAGGCCAGGTCAATTCAGAATAGAAGGAGGGAGAGGCTCACGTCTGTCTTTGGCCTGCAACTTCAAATCCGCTGCTGCCTGGCAGGGCCGGGCACGCATGGAAGGGGGACAAGGCAAGGTAGGTGGGGCGGACAAAGCTTCAACGTGGTGCGGATGCTCACGCAGAAGCAAAGGAAAGCAAAGGTCTAATACTGAGCATCTCTGCCACGGCTTAGTTCCACCTTCCAAAGTGCGTTTGCAAGAGCCAATCCTATCAGTGGTGGCAGAGACGTCGAACAGCGTGAGAACTTACGGGGCCTAGGCTCAGACCGCATTCCGGGTGTCCACCGCGTAGAACAGGCACCAAAGGAGAAGCGGCAATGGTGATAAAGTAGCCCGAAGCCCTTTGCCAGATCTGTTCAATGATCCGCGATAGAGCTTTTCCTCGCTTATACCATGGGCGCAGGCTCTACTAGGCTTTGTACGCATCCATCTCTCCACAATCTAGGCCCATTTGGCCTCCTCGTGGCACACTACCGGCGGCTTGGTGCTTCAATTGACGCAGCCTCGGTATCCATCTGGCGTGCCCCACGCCAAGCTTGGAAGAGGCGTACGAGGGCGCAATCTGCGTGCAGGCTCCACAGAATCAGGAAGCATAGGGGCCGAGTGGCGTCCTCTATGACATTCTGTTGGAGCCGCTCGCTCACCGGGTCTTTCACGAGTCATTCAGTGCGCCGGAATCCGATGGGTTTGCTCAATCAGCTTCGATACGAACAAGGCGAGCGACATGTTGCGCCGACTACTCGACCCTGGCCTAAAGGTAATGACTCCGAATCTTCTCTCTGAGCCGAATCGATCTTTCTGGGTTCACGCGGTTGCCGAGAAGCGGGGCACGCCCGTTCTACGGCTTCTGTGCCATCAGTCTGACCCGAGAAGCCACGAAACGTCAATCTCGGCGAGGCGCCCCCAGCGTCCCTGTTCTGTTCCTAGTCTGGGACCTGGGGACACCGAGAACGCGCCGGTAGTTTGCACGTCGCAGGCGATGGGCAGAATGGCTGTGGCGGAAGGAAAAACTTATGGTGAGTAGAGGTCGGGAGCGGTGTCAGTCTAGCTGGTGTGGAGGGCGCTCTCGAGGCACTGTGGGAATCTTGGGTGCCCCGGAGGTCTCGTGGTCGATCTTCGGCAAGCCTTTGCATGACGGATGGGAGCAAGTGAAGCAACAGAGGTACAAGAGGCGCTGCCCGGAAAGTAGGAACACTTCAAGTGGAGCTCTGGTCAGACCGAGGGTAAGGAGGATGGCCGACTACCGCCTCGAGCTGCAACATGGAGACGCTCCTCACACCAGAACAACTGTCCCCTCCCGGCGCTCAGGCGATCCAAGGTACAGACATAGGCCAGAAAGTTCTTCCAAGGGGCAATGCTGAGCTCTGGAGTCGTACTTCTGTGGGCAATGACATCGCAGCGTCTCGTGCGTCCTTGATAGATTTGCGTGAGGTCTTGCTCCATTCACTTCACGGCCACCGTAAAGGGCCTCACTGCCACGTCAGCCGCTTCGTTGTATGGTTCGGATGCTGTGTATGTGCACCATGAGGCTGCCATTTACTCGTCCCCTCGCCTACCCCCTCTCCTCCATGGAAGAGGTAGAGAGCGGGAAGCGGGAGGAGAAGTCTCCTGCGCGCGACGGCACACGCGCGCGCCATGATCTACCGAGGCTGGGCTTCCCCACTTTGTCGCCTGGCTGATCTTCTGGCTGCTTTTTCCGGACTCGCACAAGATCGACACAGATCGTCACATTAGCTGGCAAGCCGCTACCTGCCCTACCGCTTCTCCCGCCCCCTCTTCTCGCATCCTCAGCTCACTGCCAGACCCGCATCGTTGTCACAGGAGGGTCAGCCAGCTCAAAGGCATCACAGCTTTGGTCGCGACCAGCGTGACTTAGTCGGTGTAAGGGGCTTCCATACTTCACCCTCATCGTGAACTATCGAGAGGCAGGCGGTAGCATCTGCACTCCTCCCCGATCGCTTCCTTTGCGCCAGTGGGAGCCCTTGATTCGCTCGGTATACTTCCGGGTCATCTCAGTGCTCCCAAAGAGCCTACCTACGCCAGAGTCATCCAGACGCAGCAGCTACGCTGTGACCCTGGCTTGCCAGCTGAGTCCGAAGGCCCTGTGCATCAGCTCGCGCCAGACTCATCCTTTTGATCGCGACTAGCGAAAGCAGGAAACGCCCGGAATGGCGTCCTCATCGGGCTGGGCGCCCCAGGAGGAGGGATTGGTACAACTGGTCGAGCTCTTCAAGAAGAGTCAGACAGCATATGGCGCAGACCAGGCAGACATTGCAGACGTGAGTCGCACAGCGACGTTTCAATGTGGCAACCATACTGACTGCTGGCTTGCATTGCCTGACTATTGCGCCTGCTCGGCCTTGTTCCGCACAGCGCCTCGATACCCTGAGCAACATCCCCGACTATGCCAACTATCTTGTGTTCACCCTCACCAGCCTCACCTCGGAAGAGCCATCGGTGAGGTCTGTAGCCGGCCTGATTCTAAAGAATCACCTCTTCTACAATCGCGAAAAGGTCTCACAGGACTCACTGCAGTACATCAAGATGACTATTCTACCTGCGCTAAGTATGCCCGAAGACTTGCTCAGACGGACGGCTACGCAGGTCATGACGATGTTGATGGCCATTCAAGGTCCAGCAAATTGGCCAGAAGGACTGATCAAGTTGACCGAGCTAATGGGTTCGCAGAACATTAACGAGGCCGAGGTCAGTCCGGCGATGGTTGCAACCTGTGAGGAACTTCGTGCAGAGCTGACGTTTCTGCTTGACTTTCACAGGGAGCGTATTCGACTTTCGCCAAGATGTGCGAAGATATGCCGCATGAGCTTGACGAATGCGAGATCAACGGCATGAAAGTACTCGACATTCTCATCCCCAAATTCATAGAAGGGAGCGACCACTCGGAGGCTCGCATACGCATGCACGCTTTGAACTGTCTGAACCAATTCATCTCCCTCGGCTCTTCAGCTCTGCAAAATCACATCGACGCATTTCTCTCTTGCCTCTTCAAAAGGGCTTCCGACGAAAGCGATTTCGTCCGCAAATTTGTTTGTCAAGCTCTGGTCCTCATCCTCTCAGCTCGGCCAGACAAGCTCATGCCTCAACTGCCGAATGTCGTCGACTTCATGCTTTACTCGACGCAGGACTCAGACGAAGACGTAGCTGTCGAAGCTTGCGAATTCTGGCTGCAATTTGCCGAGGATCCAAACGTTCAGGAACATCTGGCGCCCTATCTCGCTCGAGTTGCGCCAGTCCTACTCAAGTCCATGGTGTACAATGAGATGGACCTCATCCTGCTAGGTGGAGAAGAGGATGATGCCGCTGTGCCTGACAGAGCAGAGGATGTCAAGCCTCAACACTACTCTGGAAAGTCCCACAAGACTGAAAAGATGGCCAGTCAAGACAATGGCGCACCAGCTGCAGCAGGTGCCGCCAGTGGCAGCGCGCAAGCGAAGTCGAGAGCAGCCATTGAGGGACAAACGACAGCTGAAGATGACGATGAGTACGACGATGACGACGATGACGACGACGACGATGACGACTACGATGACGATGAGCAAGTCGAGTGGAATCTACGCAAGTGTGCAGCTGCTGCCCTTGACGTGATGGCGTGTCATTTCGGAGAGCAGCTCCTAGAGATCCTTTTGCCATACCTCAAGGACCGCCTCTTCTCGCCGGACTGGCTTCAGCGGGAAAGCGGCATTCTCGCTCTAGGTGCTATCGCGGAAGGCTGCATTGGAGGTATTCAGCCCCATCTGCCAACGCTGGTGCCATTCCTCGTCAACAGCCTCTCAGACTCAAAGCCTTTGGTCCGATCAATTGCCTGCTGGACTCTCGGCCGGTATTCTTCCTGGTGCATCGCGGACAAGTCCCCCGACTTTCAGAGAGCTTACTTCCTGCCGGTCATGGAAGGACTGTTGCACATGGTCATGGACAACAACAAGAGGGTCCAGGAAGCCGGATGCTCTGCCTTTGCAACGCTAGAAGAGGAGACTGGCGAAGATCTTGCGCCTTACCTGGAGCCCGTCCTGCGAACTCTTGCTGCTGCATTCGGCAAGTACCAGCAAAAGAATCTGCTGATTCTGTACGATGCCATCGGAACATTAGCTGATTCGGTCGGTGCTGCTCTGGGTACAAGGGCTGAATACGTCGATATACTCATGCCGCCCTTGATCGGCAAGTGGACTGGTCTAGCTGATGACGATGCTCAGTTGATTCCACTGCTGGAGTGTCTATCGTCGGTAACCATTGCCTTGGGCCCAGCCTTTGCTGCTCATTCGCCGCCGGTCTACACCCGCTGTCTCAAGATCATCAATGATAATCTGCTCGCAACACAAGAAGAGCTGAGCAAACCGGAGCCGGATCGCGAGATGCCCGACGACTCATTCGTTGTCGTTGCTCTGGATCTGCTCAGTGGTCTCAGTCAAGGACTAGGAGGTCACTTCATGGAACTCGTGGTCAGCACGAGCAACGGAGGCGCGGGGCAGGTCCAGCTTGTGCCTTTGCTAGGTGGATGCATCACCTCTCCTTCGGCTCCCATCCGTCAATCAGCTTATGCACTGCTGGGTGACCTTGCCATCTCCGCTTTTGGGCTGCTACGCCCTACTATCCCTGAGCTCATGCCGGAACTGATATCTCAGATCGTGCCAGAGCCTTCGATGGGCAATGTTTCGGTGTGCAACAATGCTGCTTGGGCGGTAGGTGAAATTGCTCTTCAGTACGGAGCCCTTGAAGATGAATCAGCCACACCATCGACCAGCACTGGATCAAACGCCGCTTCTGGAGGGGGCACCAAGCAACCTCCGCCTGACTTTGCACAGTTCGTCGAGCCGTTGATACAGAAGCTCATACCTGTGCTACTGTCGACCAAGAGCGTCAAGTCGCTGACGGAGAATTCAGCGGTAACGATCGGCAGATTGGGATTGGTAGCTCCAGAGCTGGTGGCACCTCACTTGGGCGTCTTCTTCGAAGAGTGGTGCCAGGCTTTGTGGGACATCAAGGACAACGAAGAGAAGGACAGCGCTTTCCGAGGACTGTGTGAGATGATCAAGGTCAACCCTAATGGTGGTGAGTACTTAGGATCAAGGTCGGCTCAAGGAGATTCCCTTGAGTGTCACTGCTGACCACTGCTCGCCCTATACTCTTTTACACCATCCTCTGCAGCGGTCAAGGGATTCATCTTTTTCTGCAACGCTGTGGTGCGGTGGACCACGCCGTCGCAACAGCTGAACGAGATGTTCCACACCATCCTGCATGGCTTCCGGGAAATGAGCGGAGCTGGATGGGCTACGATGCGGCAGCAATTGCCTGAGCCAATCGCAGTGAGGCTAGCAGAGAGGTACAACATCTGAAGCAGGCACGAAGGGGAATACGCGTAGGTCTGTGTGACAGCGGTGGCGCTGGTCGACAGCAGATGAGATGAGTAAGAAAGTAGGAAGCCGCACAATCTTTTTCATCTCCATCAATTCCCATTCCCTCACTACGTCATCGAGGGTCTGAGCTGAGCTTCTGAACCATGAGCAGACACATATCCTTCATACAATGAATGCAGACGAATAGATTTGCTGCCTGCGTCAATGTACCGAGGGCGGGAAAGTGACGCAGCTACTCTATGTTGAGACTGATGGACGCCTCGTTCTTTGCCGGCTACTTTGTCACGGCAATCACGGATGAGTCAAGCATCTTATGGCTCGCATCTTTCTTTAGACTTTGTCCCTTGATTCAAAGGGCCGCAAGGTTCCCGCGGTCCATTTTTGTTTTTGGCCGGTATTGCAAATTGGGCGCCAATGTCCGGTGGTCTGAGGCCGAGTAGGATGAAGCGAGGGGGGTCCAGGGCTTGTTCCATTGCTTTGCGGGTTGAAAAAGATTGGGCCGTTGGTCATCTTAGTCTAGACTACCTTACACGCTCACCCTGACATCCAACCCTACCCTCCGGCCCCTCGGCTTCTGCATTCTCTCTCCTACCTCGGGCACAGCCAATCAGCGCCACCATCTTGTCTTGGGGACTTTCTTCATCTCTCTTCCATCCAAACACCGTTCAATGTGCTCCGGACCCCGCTCCATCCTCTAGCTCTTGCCCTTGTCCCGTTGTTCATTTAGACGCGACACGCCGCGCATTTGGCACAGCGAGGAAAGAGGCAGAGCCAAGGACGCGACGCCTCTGCACCTCGTCTTGCCCCCGTGCACTCAAAGTCACCCAACACTCACCTCATCCACTGCCCTTTGCCGCCCTTGCCGCCTCCATTGCCGGCCCCCCTCCCCGCTGCCCTCCATCTCTTGCGCTGCTTCTCCCCCGCTAAAGTCGCCGAACGCAATCAATGGCGGCAAATCCTCACGCTGAGGAGACTGACACTGCGAGTCAAGTCCAATGGGGAAGGGGTAAGTTGCTACCGATTCATCGCGCATGCCGTTGCTCCCCGTCCGACTCCCGAGAGGAGAGAAAGCGAGACACCCTACATCTCGAATGGACAGCACTGCTGACACCTAGGCCTACATTCCTCCAACTCCACGATACGCATCGGTGGCCATCCCTCATCCAGTGCTCATTGCAGGAGGCACAGATTGGCCCAACCTCGGACGGAAAAGCGGCAAAGTAGCTGGCGGAACCCCAAGGTGAGAGGTCTACCAGCGTCCTTTTCTGTCCAAAAGGGGCCCGTGAATAATAAATACCAAAGCTGCAGGCACAGACGCAAGTATTTCCACACCTTTGCTCCCACAGTGATTTGCCTGCCCCGCACATCCTCCGCGCCATCTCCAATCAGCGCATCGTAAAGATCGTCGCCGGACATAGCGCTTGTCATGCTTTGTTCATCACCGCCAGCGGGGATGTCTATTCATACGGAAGGAATGAAAAGGGTCAATGCGGTGAGGAGAAGAAGATCGAGCGAGCCGAGTGGTACTGGACAAGTGACCTAACTAGGGAAGCGCTCTTCCTCCCTCGGCACATCCAGGTGTCCCTGCCTCCCAGACTGCCTTAGATGAGCCGCTGCGTCTCAATCGCAAGACTCATTTCTCGCCATCATTGGATGCTTCTGCGCGGAGCGACATCGTACATGCGACATGTAGTCGCTCACATACCCTCTTGGTCACACGAGGAGGCTCCGTCTATGGCGCAGGCTCCAATCTCAACTCTCAGCTGGCCCTTTCTAGGGGCGGTGATGTCGTAGCCACCTTCACCCGGATCGAGTCCGGCCCTTGGTCAAAGGCAAATGACCCCGTCGTACAAGTGGCTGCAGGTCTGACCTTCTCTCTCTTCCTGACCGCCAGCGGCAGGGTGTACGCAAGCGGGTCGATGGAACGCGGTCAACTAGGCAACGGGCGGACCGGGGAGCACTTTGTCTCGGGCAACAGGCTTGCCTTTGCCGAAGAATCTACACCCATCCTCGTCAAGGGTCTTGCCGAGCACAAAATCGTGGAAATCTCCTGCGGCCAGCAACACTCCATTGCGCTGGATGACCAGGGCTTCTGCTACGTGTGGGGCTTCGGAGGCTACGGTCGGCTTGGGCTGGGCAATGCCAATGATCAGATGACACCTGCACTCGTGCCGCAATTTGCCAGAGAGAACCAAGCTAGCAGGGCGGCCACTGTCGTCGCAGGCCCCACGAGCTCTGCCGTGGTGGACAGGTCGCAGACCTACTACTTGGCAGGCAAGTGGAAAGTTAGCGGAGATGGTGGCAGCGGGCAAGGCTGGACCTCTTTCCGATACATGCAGTCCCTGATGGGGGTCAAGGTGCGGAAAGCCGCCATGGGTGGCATGACATTATTCGCGATTGGAGACGAACTGGAAGCTGGGGCACCCAAGTACGCCACGATGAACATCGTCTGGGGTCAGAATGCTGCCAATGGTGAATTGGGACTTGGCGAGGGTAAGCCCAAGAGCGCTACCCAACCTCAGCGCTGCGATCCACTGGACAAGATTGGTCTGTTGGACATTGCCGGAGGGCAGAACACGACCTTCTTCCTTGCACGGCCCGAGGGCGACGCCTTTTCCTCGCTGCCAAGGTACCCGGAAGCGGTGGAGGCGAGCGAGGTGTGTCTGATCTGCTCAAAGGAGATGCCAGAGGATGTGGTTACGCTGGAGTGCGAAAAGTGCGAGAATGCCTACCACTTGCGCTGTTTGACACCCAAGCTGGACGAGGTGCCAGATGGCGAGTGGTTCTGCCCCGAATGCGAAGAGGGTCAGGATGGTAAGACGGAAGGCATAGATGTGGAAGAGGCAGAGGCAAAAGGCGCGACAAAGGGGTCTACGGGAAGGGGCAGAGGAAGAGGGAGGGGTGGAGCAACATCGACTGCAGCTACTGGGCGTGGGGGCAAGAGGAAAGCAGATGGGGATGGGACAGGTGCGCCAGCTGCTGCGAAGAAGGGCAAGGCGAGTACGAGGGGTCGAAGCTGAAATAGTACTATCGCCGTCATACAACGTCACCTTACCATCATCTTTGGTCCGAGGTTGCGAGAGTGTGGGTGTCATGCTAGACTAGTATCCGTGTCTGGCCCGGCGTGGTGATTTGGCTGTGCGCGTGACCAACAGGGTCCAGCGCAGGAGATGGTGTCCCTTTGCGCGTGGGCGGCTTCCACCCGCGTCATTCTGCAGCGCCCCCAGCGCACGGCCACTTGGCAATGGCATCGGCAGTCCACTCCACCCCAAATGGGCACGCCTGCCTGGCGAACATCGTCGTCTGATAGCCTCCATCGCACATCTTCCTTCCTTCTCATCCTATCATCGCCTTCCTGCCCTCTTTGTGATCCTTCTTCTTCTTCTTTCTCCTCTCCTCCACCACCTCTGTGATGTTCCGACCATCAGCTCAGGCCTCTCTGGCCAGGAGCACCATCACCTCCCGTCCACGCATCGCCAACACGGCAAACCCCCTCCGAGCTCACAATCCCCTGCGATCCACACTTCTCCCTGGTACTGCTACCGCTCCTGCCTCTCCTTCTGTTTCTACCTCTTCCCCCCGTCTAGCGCTCCCTTTCCACACCTCGACGGCTCGCTTCGCTCTCCTTAGACCCTCTGCACCCCTCTATGCTGCCAACCCTCAATCGGGAAAGCCAGCTAGTGATAATTGGAAGGTGAGCCATAGCTGAACGCACGAGTGTTCAATGGAAATACATGCAAAGACTGATCACCCTCTCTCCCTCCACCCCCTCTGCCTCGTTCGCTTATCAGCACACCGCCCAGAACATCAAGGAAGAGGTGGGACAGGTAAAGGACTCCCTCGAGTCGGCCGTCGCTGGTGGTGACAGTTCTAGCCGTAAAGGTTCCAATGACAAGAGTACCGAGGGTCAAGACCCAGGTATGGCTCAAATCCTGGGTGACGCCAAGTCCATTACTTCGGAAATGGCCCAGGTGGTTCCTCAGCCAGCTCTGCTTTGGGGTGCGGCAGGTGTGATGCCCTACGTGGGAACGGCAGGTGCTTCCATCTACCTCTCCCGTCAGGCCAACTTGGTTGCCAATGGTCTCGATTCTCACATGGACTTGGAGACGGCCACTGCCCTTTTGCTGCACGCGCAAAACATTCAGGTAGCCTATGGTGCCATCATCCTCTCCTTCCTCGGCGCCATTCACTGGGGTTTCGAGTGGGCCAAGCTGGGTGGTAGGGTAGGCAACTTGCGATACGCCATGGGTGTAGCACCTCTAGCCTTGGCATGGCCTTCGCTTCTTCTGGCACCACAAATGGCCCTGATTGCCCAATGGGCTGCCTACGTAGCCGTATGGTTCATCGACCTTAGGGCCACCACCGAAGGATGGGCACCAAGGTGGTACAGTACCTACCGTTTCTGGCTCACCGCTGCCGTTGGCACCTCTATCATTGCCACATTGGCAGGAACCCAATACTACGACGTCTCCCCTTCGCGCTCTTCGGCCCGCTCTGCCGGTTCTAAACTCGCATCAGAGATTCGTGACAATGCCGCCCAAAAGGCTCAAGAAGCTCGTTCTACCGCCGAGGGTAATCAGGGGACTCAACCCTTGAAGGGTGACTTGAAGGGTGGAGACGTATTTGCTGAGCAATCTTCCGGTGAGGAAGAAGGTTTTGTCAAGATTCGAAATCCAAAGAGGGTAGAAGAGGAGAGGAAGAAGAAGGAAGAGGAGGAAAAGAAGAAGAAGAAGGAAGAAGAAGAGAAGAAGAAGAAGGAAGAGGAAGAGGAGAAGAAGAAGAAGCAGGAAGAAGAGGAGAAGAGTAAGAAGGAAGGAGGTGAAGAGAAGAAGGAGGGTGAGGGTGAGGGAGAGGGTGAAGAAGGAGGTCAAGAGAAGAAGGAAGGTGAGGGTGAGGGTGAGGGTGAAGGTGGTGAGGAGAAGAAGGAAGGTGGCGATGAGAAGAAGGACAAGTAGAAGATGGGCGTGTGTGTGTGTGTGGCCCCATCAGACCAATCGGGCGGGACGCCGCCATACAAAGTGTTCCGTTCCTCTCCCACCCTTCTTCTTACTACGTTACCAAGACGCAATGCAGACGAAATGCATCTGCATCTACATCTGCAATTGCAAGTTCAACGCAAGAAATACCAAGTTCCTTTGTGTAGTAGCAAGGCGAAGAATGTCACGTCTGTGAGGCAGCTCCGAAGAAGGCTGTACCGCGGCTTATACTTTGAAGAAGATGAGATTGAGACTAAAGAGTGAATTGAATTGTCCATGGTATTGGGCCATCATGAGATGGCAGAGGGGCAGGGCAGGAAGATACAGAAGAAGGAGGAATAAAGATACAGAGAGGAAGCATGTTAGGCGTTTGCCCCAGGCCACGCACGATACGATACGACACGACACGACATTGCACGACAGCAAACGGTCCAGATCCAGGTCCAGCCTCGACCATTCCATTTTCTGTGTCTGTGTCTGTGTCTGTGTCTGGAATAGAGTTCCAGACTGAATCCTGTCTCCTCCTCAATCCTCAAAGCGCTCCAGCTCCACTAAGCACTCCTCTTAAAACATTCAACTTGTTCAATCTAGCCAATTCATCACTTCCACCTAGTAGTCTTCCTCGAGCAAAGACGGCGGGAAAAGTTCGATGACCACTAATGGCCGCTAGAGCTTCTTGGAGTGAGCTGGCATCATGAGGTCGTTGGTCCACTTCGTAGACGGTGTAGTGAGCGCCGAGAGAGGTTAGGAGGGACTTGGCTTTTTTGGAGTACTGGCAAGGCGGAGAGGGAGATGCGAGAGGGGTAGAGTGGGTGAAGAGGAGTAAGTGATCAAGCTCCTCTGGGATATCCTGTGGGAGTGACACTTTGGTCTGGGCGCACAACTCACGGGACAGTATGACTTGCTGAAGACGACGAGGGGATGTTGCTCTCGATGCATAACGTTCCACCTGGTCCGGTCGTCCTTGTACTGGCAGAGAGGAAGGAGTGATACCATCAAGGTGAGACCCAGAAATGTCTGACTTTGGAGCAGACCCGCTCACTCACCAACTTTACATCATCAATGCCCTCCGCTCCCTGCACCTCTGCCAAGCGACTAGCGAATTCACCCGGGCTCGCCGGCATCAGCTGACTCTTCCATCCATCTTCCGGAACGCTATATCTGTAATTCGTAAGTGCTTGCATGAGAAGCAACATCTTCTCTTCTGATGTGGGTGGGCCGGTGAGGACTTTGGGGGCAGCCAAAGCGGCCAGCCGGTCGGTTTCGGCGGGAGTGTAGCCTTGCTCTGCTGCGAGCTTCCGGAAGGCTTCGGTACCTTGGCCAGTTGTAGGCTTGCTCACATGGACAGCTGCTGCTACTGCCGCTGATGTACCGGCTGACACTGGAGCAGAGGCCGACTTGACTGCCGCAACGGCGTTATCCACCACCGGCACATTCCCACCTCCCACTTCCCCAGCGCCGGCGCGGGACGCTGCCTCTTCTTCTGGTGCTCCGTTTGTCTTCATCGAGTCCTTGACCCACCGAATTCCTGAAGAAGCCCCAGGAATGGCTTCGCGATGCCATAGAGCTATGAGTCCGAGGGTTACTAGGAGAAGGAGTACAAGAAAGCGCTTGCGCCGCCGAAAGGCGGGGAGGGGGAGGGGGGCGCTATTGTAGTTGCCATGCAGGCCTTTGGAGGCGCCTCGCTCGAGGTCGATGGAGACTTTGGGCATCGGTCGTGAGATGGTCGAGAGTCCTGATAATCTGATAAGGTATACGATCAGTTGTGGATTTAGTAAGGGCGATGGTCAGGACGCAAGTACAGGGGAAGGCAGAGTCTTTGTGGGGAGCAACGGTGTGCCGAAGCCTTGGAGGGTGTTGGCCTCACGGGCCTTGATTGCTTGGCTCCTGCAATCTCGGATCGGAATCTAGAGCCGCTCCGCGTTGCGCCCCTCGGGCAAAGTCGACTTGGCGGGAAGAAGGCAGGCAGTCCTTCCACCTCTGCCCTCACTGTGTCTCCCTCCGTATATCCGTACCCACCCACTTGCCGACTGATACGACATCATGGGAGCTCAGACGTCCAAGCCTGATGCTGGCGCCAGTGCTGGTCCTGCCCCTGCTGCCAAGCAGCCAGAGGAGAAGATCTCTGTGAGTACGCGTAGGGCGGGCCGTTGTGGGAGAGAGCGATACAGCGCGAGTGCTGCTATTCCGGTACTGATCTCTTCCTTGCTCACCATCTTGGTTCTCTTCCCGACTCCTTAGCTGAGCCAGTCCCTCCTGAACAAGATCACTTCCGAGGCCAAGATCACAACCGATGCCGGCACCTCTTCTTCCTCCTCCGAAAAGTCCCCATCTTCCTCGTCCTCTTCTTCCTCGTCCTCCTCTCCCTCGGACCCCCTCCCCTCATCTCGCCAGTCCTACCTAGATTCCTCCGTCCGCTCCGCAATCTCCTCTGAGCTGGCCCGTCTGCGTAAGCAAGAAGCCGAAGTGACTGCTCAGATTCAGTCCAAGCTAGAGGCAGAGAATCTAGCCATTGAGGAGAAGCACTCTTCCAAGTCCCAACAATCAAAGAGCACCGAGTCTGATTCAAAGAGTGGTGGTGGAGGAGGAGGAAGAGGAGCAGGAAGGAGCAGTGATAGTCTTCGCAAGGAATTGGAAGAGGTCAAGAGGAAGATTTCAAGGCATGATTCTGGAAGGAAACAGGTGGAGAATGCACCTGGTGTTAAAGAGGCTAGGAAGAGTGTCATTGAATGTTACAAGGAGGTGGGAACTTCGAGGACATTGGATTGTTGGAAGGAGGTAAAGGCTTTCACCGATGCTGTAGAGAAGGCAGAGAGGGTGAGTAGCGCAGCGCTGTAGGAGGCCCTTAGATGGAATCAGGTCGCGGTAACCATTGGCGCATGAACTCGCTTGCTGACCTTCTTTCCCCCCTCACCAAACGCCCTCGAACAGAACTACATTGCGTCGCTTAGCGAGTAAGAGAAGAGGGACACGGATGTTGAAGGGAATTTCGACCTGTTACAATTGGTGACTACCCTCACCAGGCGGTAGAACGCTTTCAATACAGCCATCATCCCTACCCTGAGCACATTTCGACCACTTCAGACTGGGCAACGACGTCTAAAAGTGGGCAGATCTGTACGTTTCATTACGCGCCATCCGTCCCACCCTTCTTCTTGTTCCGTTTGCGACCTTTCCCTCCATTCGCAGATGTGGCTGCTCCAGGAACTGCTCTGCCCTTGGCGCCTTCAGCCGACCCTTTCCCACCTTGCTCTTTCTCCATGTCCTCATCCCCTTCTACATCGCCAACCTCGTCATCCGTGGGCCGCTCCCCTGGCGGGAGGTACCTCACCTTCTCCTCTTTTGTGTCTTCCTCGCCTGCCCACGACAGGTAAGGGTTGAAGAAGGCTCGCCCAGGCACACCTTCGGGAGGTACGCGGTGCGATTCAGGGTCCTCACCGGCATGCAGGGCGTCCTCGTCTTGATCCAACACGTAGCCCAGCCTCAACAATTCCTCTGCCTCTGCTTCGTCGTCGTCTTCGTCGCTCTGCGGATGTGTAGCTTCTGTATCCTCTTCCACCTGTGACCCCGTTGCCTGCGCCGCTTGTGCCGAGGCCGACGTCGTGGCAGGCTGCTTGCTCTTGGCCACAGCGGGCTTCTTCGTGCTGCCGACGGTGACCTTGCCCTTCTTGCCGATAGTCAGGACCCTAGCCTTCCTCTCCACTGCTCTCATCCCACCATCGTCCCGAGGCTTTCTTCCCAAGGCGATACTCAGTTGTCGGGCCCGCTCTCTCGCTGCCGCGTCGCCTCCAGACAGCTCGGGGAAAAGTTCTTGAGACGCTACTGCCCGCTTTTCTTCTTTGGCCCTCTCCCTCTCAGCACGTACGTGCTCCACGCGGGCTAGTGCTCGCTGCTCTGCTTCGTCCCGTTGGGATATGAGCGAGGAGAGGAGTGCTGAGCGCTCAGCGGGTGGCAGGAGGATAGTGGAGCAGGACGGGCAGCCTGCATCAGGCGAAAAGGGAGTCGGCGTGTTCATCGAGCAGAGCAAGAGGCCACAGGAGAGACAGATAGGTCTCCTCTTGAATAGAGGATGGACTCGACCTTGGCAATAGCATGTCCTGCTCTTACGCTTCGGATTTTGAGCGCTGATGCTCTCTCTGCCGTCGCCAGTCAGCTCAGCGATCTCATCGTTCAGCATCTTCATCTCTTCGGAAGGAGCCAGCTGAAAAGGTTGCTGCGAGGAAGACGGAGCCTGACCTGGAGCGGCCGCATGCTGCTTGTCTCCAAAGTGACTCGAGCTCCCAGCCGAAGATGTTGTGACGCCTCCGATGGGAGGTGTCTTCGTTCCAAGGGGAGTATTGGCTCTTGAGAGACCCTCCTGAGGCGTCCTGGCAGCACTTCGCGGGGTATAGCTCTTCTGGCCGCGATCCTTCACATATACCGCTCCGCTGGACCCAAAAGCCTTGCTGAGGTCTACAGGCGCGTTGCTTGAACTCTGTCCACTTTTCGCATTGGAAGAGGAGCCACTACTCTGTGTCGGCTTTGAATGGCTGACAGGCTGAGGAGGCGGTGGAGGTGGGAATTGAGTATCCACTAGCTGCTTAACGAAGGTCGTCTGAGCAGAGCCAGGACCAATCAAATCCTGTGCACAGGGTAAAAGGAGGTCGATATGAGTCAGACAGACAGACTAGCACATATGGGGCCGCTTCCGATGTTTCTGACAATGAGGTGATGTCGCAAGGCTTGGGCATCTGGCAGCTTCTTGACATAGGGCAGGATCTGCGTAGAGACCGTCTCGTTGTCTAGCAGAGATTGCAGGAGCAAATTCGTCAGCACATTCGTCTATCGTAGGACACTAGCTGCCTACTCACCGAGGCCAGTAAAGCCCGCAATCTGCTGCACAGCAGCCTGATCGCTCAACACCATGACCCTCGATATTAGCGGAGGCCAGTTGAGAAGGAGCGAGCAAGGGCCACAATATGGCAACGGAAAGAGAACTGGCTTACATCAGCAACGCGGCGATTCTGACTCCAGACAGTGCAAGCAGATGGGACGATGAAGCCTCGTAAAAGTCGTTTCATTCATGCTCCTTCTCCCAATATTTTGACCATGTGCAATACAGTTCATTTCGACCGTGCCCTTACAAACCAGTGTCCTTGGGCTTCGTCGTGTCATACAATCGGATCAACCTCGCCTCCTCTCCCTGCTCTCCGCCCGAAAAGGCATATCCTCTTGTCCTCCTCATCCTCTGCACCGCCCGCACCTTCCTAATGGCCTTTTGGAACTCGCTCATCCTCGGTCGATGATCCACCAAATTGTACTTCTGGATCTCCGCAGCCACATGTCTACTCTCTGGCCTCCAAGTCCTCTTCCAGAATTTCCATACATAGTCTCGCACCAAGCAGGCTCCTGGCACGAGGATGATGCAGAACCAGAAGAGAGGCGAGCCAAAGATGGCTCCTAGCTGCCCTTGGTACTCCTCAGAGAAGCCGATGATGGGCGCTACAATGATGTAGACGGCCAGGAAGGCCAGCGTGAAGAAGAGCGATCCTGGAATAGCAGCAAAAGTATACTTTGTCCAGAGGTCAGACACCAGTGCTGCTTTGCCCAGCACGGTCGCTAGCACAGCCATGAATAGCGTCGTACCCCAGACCCAAAGACCTGGCGTATAGCCATCAGAGCCCTGAAGACTAGTCCAGAAGGCAGCAGTGACGATGATGTACGCCAGTAGGGAGTGATAGAAGGCATTGATGGTCCAGCCCCAGAACTTTCGTCGATTGAAGAAGACCTCGCCATACAGCTGAGGATAACGATCCAGCATCCTCGCACTTAGGTACTGATCAAAGATGCCGATGACCAGTGGTGGTAGTACAGTGAAGAGGACATTGTAGAGCGATAACGTCCAAGACTCAAAGGGCACCTGACCTGAGAAGCTGCTCTGGAAGGAGAACCAGAAAAGCGTCATGTACAAGGTGATGTTTTTGTAGAAGGAATACAAGATCATCTTGCTCAGCCGGGTATAGCTCCATGTACCGTGAACGAGGAGAAGCTTGCGAAGAAACCTGAATTGAGAGATGGCAACGTCGGCACTTCGTGCAGCCTGGAGACCTTCCACACCACTGATACCAACACCGACGTGGGCGGCCTGAATCATGCTGACATCATTCGCGCCGTCGCCAATGGCAAGCAGAAGAGCCTTGAGATTCTTCTTGACCAGCTTGACCACCAGCGCTTTCTGAAGTGGGCTGACTCGACAACAGATCACGGCCTTGCACATCATGGCCAGCTCGAGGAAAACCTTGCTCAAGTCCTTCTCAAGTGCAAAGGCCAAGCTCTTGCCGTCAATGATCAGGGCGAGCTCTTCAATCTCTCCTGCTTTGCGCTGGTTCTTGATAGCAGCGAGCCTCTTGTTCAAGAAGTCGGCTGTTGCATGAGCAGATTCCTCATTGACGATGACGAGATTCATAGACTCGGAGATGAGTCGGCAGGACAGCCCAATGTTGATGGCAGTCTCTTGTCGATCACCCGTCAAGACCCAGACTTTTATACCAGCCGTCTGTAGTGTATGAATCGTTTCTGGTACACCCTCTTGTAGCTTGTCTTCGATGGCTGTCGCACCCAACAGGAAAAGATTCTGCTCGATGATTTCTGCTGCCTTGTCAAGAGCTTCGCTTCGACCAGTGATCTGGGCCGCGGCGGACTCGTAAATCTTTGCCCATTGTCGATACTCCTGCTCAGGTACTTCCCTCGATGCCACGCAGAGAGTCCTCAGACCATCGGTGGCGTAGTCTTCCAGATGGACAAGGGTCTGTTCGGTGAAGGGCTGGTTCTCGCTTAGCCTCTCCATGATGACAGTGTCCGCTCCCTTGCAGTACAGCTTAATCTTTCCATCTGGACATCGTACTACTGTAGACATCCTCTTCCTAGTAGAGTTGAACTCGCAGACTTGTAGAATCTCGTACTCTTCTTCGACTCCCCTCACTTCGATGAAGATAGAGCGAGGCTTTCGGGTAGTGAATTGATACCCCAGCGACTCTGCTCCGGCTACAAGAGCAGCTTCATCGGGGCTAGAGGCTTGGAATTTGATTTTGTCGCCTTGACGTTCTGGAATTACGGTGTGGCACACTGCCAACAAAGTCAGGAACTCGTCGATCATTCCGCTACTGCCATCGTCGGGTATTGCGCCTGACATGATTGCCTTGAGCTCGTGCCATGTCCTTTGACCACCAACCTCTCTGCCGTCAGGTCCAATCTCTCCGGTGCCTTGTTTGGCTTCATCTATCACATCAGTGTATGAGACGCCTCCAATGGAAGCCTGCTTGAACTCCATTTCGTTCCTCGTCAAAGTGCCCGTCTTGTCAGAGAAAATATACTCGATTTGTCCGAGCTCTTCGACCAGACTCGATGTGCGGCATAAGGCGGGCGTGTCCGTTGGCGCATAGTACATGTCTAGATCAGAGTTGATTAAGACCGCTTGCTGGTACTTGATGACTTCAATTGTGACGATCAAAGAAATGGGAATCAGGTTGTTGTAGGCAATGATGAAGGTCAGAATGTCCTCGACAAAGATCCTTGCGTTGTTCCTGCCTTCGTCTGCGAGGAGCAGATACTGCATCGAGCTGGCGAAGGACGTGTTGCGAATGATACTGCCAATGGATGACGCAATAGAAAGTGCCATCAAGAGTACGAAGAGGAGCAGAATCTGCACGTTGACCATCTTCTCAACAGCAGTCCTCTTGATCGGAGCCGCCGTTGCGTTACGCATAAGCTTTGTCTCATGTCCGGTAAACACAACCAGGCCATAGCACCAAGGTGTGTTCCGCAATTGAGCACCTCGCAACAACAGCTGATCTGGCCCCAGTGGGATCTTCTTCATCGGTGTTCCGCTGAAGCCGGGGGTTGAGCTCATCTGCAGATTCAGCGTAGCATCGAAAGTGTACAGACTATTGTTGGGGTGCTCGCAATTGAGCTGACCCCGCATCGAAGCAGCGCTTTGAGGTGTGGTGATGCGGCACGTTTGGGAGCTTGCCTGTTTGATCTTGAGGTTGGTCTCCCCATCAAGATTAGCGGTCTCTACATAGCACAGCCCTTCGGGCTCAGAGCTGGCAAGCAAAGCCAAGTCTGCTGGGAAGAAGTCATTTGACTCCACACGGATGATGTCGCCGACGCGAAGATGGCGCCATCTTCGTGGTTCGAAGTGATTCGTACCGGGATTGAGCACTTGTGCGACCCTCCCGTTGAGCTCGGCGTCTGATTGATGCCGCTTGACGTCTTCTTTGACCTCCTTGAAGGCACTCGCCAGGAGGACGACACCGAGAGGCACGATTGTGGTCCAACGGTTTGTTGGTGACACGCCGGGTATTTGTTGGATACAAGCCGTGAAAAGGAAGAAGAGATTGGCGTACTTGGAGAATTGTTCTATCGGACAAAGGAAAGGGGAGTCGCAGCAATGTCAGCGTGGGCATTCGATCCGGGAGTGTTCAGAGTACTCACCTAGCAAGAATTTGGGAGTGAATGTGATGACGTTGAACTTGCTTGTAGAGATGTAGTTGTCTCTGAAACGGCCTTCTCGATCATTTGTGAGAGGGTCATTCAGCCGCACAATACGCTCTCCCTCTGGCACCTTGTTCCTCGCGGCTTTCCCCTTGAACATATCACTCATATCGTCCTTGAGCCCTCTATATGACCGCTGGACTCCATCGAAGAGGCCGTCTCTAGGCGGGCCCCTGGACTGGCCAGCTGCAGGTCCTACCGAAAACCGACTCTTCTTCGTGGACGGAGCAGGAGGTGCATTGCCCCTACTTGGCCCTGCTGTCGCAAAGTCAGCATAAGGGACGGATCCTGGGTAGGGTGAATCGACATCATCGTCCGCCTCGATGCTCTTGAAATTCCCGGACGTGTTGGACCGGACAGCGTAAACATCGGCGAAAGGTCCGGCAGCTCGGGAGGAACCAGCGGGATCTGCAGCATTCTTGGAGAGAGGTAGATCGCTCTCTTGGGAGTATGTGCGACCCCGTCCATTGCTGTCCGAGTATGGAAGGCGCGGAGCTGCCAGACCCATCGTTGTCGTATCCTCATGAGCCCAGGAGGACGTGATGGAGGCTGGATAGCCGGACTTGCTAGACGCCTGCCTCTCTAGGTTGCCTCCCCTGGCGTAGCGGTCATTGCCATACTGGCCTTCGTAATCATCGTCGTCACCGAGTAAGTCAGCATCATCATCGACGAGAACATGAGATGGTCCAGCGGAAGAACCTGATGGACCTGCCCTATTGTTGGCATTGGAGAAACCTAACGAGTCCGTGCTTGCGAATGGGTCAAGAGGGCCCCCAGCTCCGTACGAGTATGGATTGGACTGAGCAGCTGGACGATGAGATGCTGTGCCTTCTGGTGGCGGTTGTCCAGTGCGTCCACTGGAGGAGATGAAATCGTCAAAGTCGTCCATTTTTGCGAAAGGGGAAGCTCAGAAGTGGGTCCTCAGAGGAGCATCAGAACGCGGCGAAGGCTCAACGCTGTGAAGGCGAGAGGGATTGCTCGGCAGAAATGGAGACTGCTTGGTATCAAGAGGTGCACGAGATATGTGTATGGCTGCGCACTACAGCGAGGCACAAGTGACGTGAATGGAATGCTGGTGGTATGATGGGATCGAGGGAAGGTGAGGCGTGGAAGGTGTTGGTGCTGGGCGTTGGTCCAACTCTGGCAGCCACCGCCCTCTCCGCTCGACGAGGCCGTCACTCCGCCCGCCTTCCGCACCGCATACGACTTCCTGTCCTTCCTCTGCAGCTGGTAGAATAGCTGGCGGCCCAAAGCTACATACTATCGTAGTCAATCATCAATCACTATGGCTACCGAAGAAACTCAAGCGGATGCAGGACCATCGACCAGCTCAGCCGTGTTCAAGAAGCGGTCGCGGCCCGTGGCTAGAGCACCGCTCAGGTCCACGAAGATCCTCCACGACGATGCGGAACCGCAAAGTTCGGATGGACCCAAAGAGGCCAAAGGGGCAGACGCTGAAGAGGATGACGAAGAGGAGTGAGTATGAGTGAGATTGGCTGCGTGAGGCAGAAGATTCGTCACTGCTCGATAAGCCCGCGTCTGACTTGCTGTCATCTGTTCTACAGAATATCGGTAGCAGACTTGGTTGCTCTCCGCAACCTCCAGCGCAAGCCGACGGGCATTGAGCTCGACAAGCTCAATCGTGGCGTAAAGAAGAAGAAGAAGAAGGCAGGCAAGGACAGGAGCGCTATGACAGACGAGGATCGCTGGAGAGAGCAGATGGAACAGGGTGGGCTTGTAAGACCGGGAGAGATGCGGGGCAAGGCAGCCGGAGACGATGATGAGGATGACAAGTGAGTAAGGATCGAGTGCGGACGGTCTGGCAGGACCTCTGACTCAGTCATCTTGTCCTCTTAAACGACAACAGCGAGGGAGAGTCTGTCAATCGATCTCGTCGCCTGGTCAGACAGGACAACTTCCAGGGAGAGACGAATGTCATCGACGTAGATAAGCACATGTAAGTAGAGACGGACCTCATCGCGGCCGCATTGCAGCATCTGACAGCCTTGTCCCTTGGCTACTCACATTGCTCGCTCCAGGATGACATACATCGAAGAGGAAATGCGCAAGCGAAGAGCAGCAGCCGGCGGATCACTGGATGCTTCAGCTACAGCTTCGCCATTGGACGTCAAGGCCGTGTTGTCCAACCCTGAAGACGAGCTTTACAAGGTCGCAGAGAAGTACACTCGTTTGCAACAAGAAGCCAGAAATGCTGCTACGGCTAACAAGCTGATCAGCAATAGAGCCAGACCGGACGATGAGGAGGGCGAAGGTAATGTTGGTCTAAGCAGTGCTATGCTTTCTGGCATCCCGGAGGTCGAGCTGGGCATGGAGTGAGTGACGAGGTCCGACAGCAAGAGCTTGGGAAGCGGCCAGTGCAAAGACTGACGGGACCCACTTGCCCTTCTTTCGTCACAGCTCACGATTGAGAAACATCGAGAACACAGAGAAAGCCAAGCGCGCCATGCTGGAGGCGAGAAAGCAAGGCAGACCCGACGACTCGGATCAGATGTTGGCAAATGCTCGATGTGAGTACAGTCGCTGCGTGGTTTGCCTTGTTCCCACACTGCCCATCGCTCAATCTCTTGTTCCACTGTCCTTTCTACAACCAGTCTTCAACAACCGCAGAGACGCCCAATCCGACGCCCAGGCTCTTGCCAGCGCAAGAGCAGCTGCTTCTGGTGCCTCCGCCTCGACGGTCAGCCGAGCTGCGCAAGGTGGCTCGTCCTCCTCTTCTTCGGCAGCTGCCAGTGGTGGACAGAAGCGTACAGGCGACCGCCGCGAGATGGCTACAGACGACGTGGTGATGCAGCGCTTCAAGAAGAGGCAGATGAACGGGATGAAGAGGTGATTGTGGATTGCCTGAATGTTCTGTCTCTTTAATCCTCAGCTATCCTCCTTGCTGCTCGTAGACTATGTATGCCATCTATTACCATGCTCCTCTCGTAGAGACCCTCCCCGCACGCTCTCCGCTTCCGCTCCGCCTGTGCGGGAGTTTTTTCGAAAGCGCCTCTTTCCGTCTTGTCCATCGGCAGGAGTAGAGGACTACCGCCGCTAGTCTACCTATCTACCTACCTTTCTGGTCATCGTCTCCCTCTGCTACCTCGTCTTGATCTTCCTCGAAGATGGATCCTCCTCTCGACCCTCCTCTGCGTATGACCTTTCTCCACCCAGGCAAAGCCCTAAGCGTCGCCGAGGCCCAAGGGAACATCACTACTTTTCTCTCCTCTCGCTCTGCTCTATCCTCTTCTTCCTCTTCCTCTTCAGCCTCAACTTCAGCAGCTGCAATGGGTACTGATGGAGCTTCAGCGGTAGTGACAGGAGTAGGAGCAGAAGGGGGGAGCTCGATTCATGCGCCGTTGCTGAGATTGAGTAATGCGTTGAAGGAGGAGGCGGAGAGGCAGATTAGGGAGGAGAGGGCGGGACGGTAAGCCGTTTTTCGAGGTGGGGGAAAGCAGACTAGAGGGATGACGTCTGCAAAGACTATAATAGAGTTGGAAGTCGGCTACACCGGTTCTTCAAGATTGTGAGTCGGCTAGAAGAGCTCTCGGGACACAAGACCCACTGGACCTGACAGAAGGTCTTTGCGTCTTGTCTCCTTCGCAGCATCACAATGGTGACCATCCAGGAGGCTACAAACGGGACACAAGTCTCTCCACTCGCCTTCATTGCTCAGCTTCAAGGGGATCGGCAAGCTCGGGCTGGAATAAGGACTGAGCACCTTGCCGACCATGCCTCTCGCACGGCGGTGTGGGGAGGACGCTAAAGTCTACGAGCGGGCAAGGCTGCGCTACTCTCAAATGACATCCGCACTGGCGTCGACACCGCCTCTGTGCGGTCTTGTAAAATATCAATGTACTACCTACCATTCGTCCCGTCAATATCATCAGTCACATTAGCAGCAGCAGCAGCAGTAGTAGTAGTAGCGCTAGCATTCGTTAGCCACATCCGGCAGTAGTCTGTTAGCCCTCAGCAGGTTGCGCATCGTTCCGGGTGGGTTGGTACGACGGCGCTCCACCCGAGCAAGGGGACGCCATTCCTCCTGCCACTCGAAGGGCAGACCTGGTAACCATCTCATCTGACTCCCAGACCCAAGCTGCAAGCGAAAGCGGCACAGAGGAATAGGCAAGAGGTTGTACGGACAAGTTTACTTTTGGATTTCTTCACTTCATTTTGAATCTCCTGCCTTCCTCCATTCCCTGCTAAAGCTATTCTCCTCCTTCGTCTCCACCCCTTCCTTTCTTTCCATCAGTAATCCTTCTACTTGCCTGCTAGCTATTCTTCCAAGCGGAACCCCTTCTCCTCCTTACAAATGCGCAACATTCTATAGACACGGGAGAGGAAATGGATGGAGGAAAGGAGATGGCGATAAAGAGCGCCTTAGATGGTGTGATGTGATAAGGCGCTTCGGCTCGTCTCGGCTTCGACTTGTTTCAGCGAGGTGCTAAAGACCAAGGGCAAGGCAAAGCCCAAGCCGAGAAGAGAGGAGAGGAGAGGAGAGAAGAGAGAGGAAAGAGCGATCTAGAGAGATCTAGAGGGGACATCGTGACGAAATTTGATGATACAGGGACAGGTGAGACTGCCGGAAGGAAAGGAGGAAAGGAGCGTGTACCACTGGAGGCTCTATACTACGAGAGTCGGAGAGGGTGGAGAGCGGGTACTCTTTTTGAAGTCCAGATGAACTTGTGTATCGTGTAGGCGGTGGTGGTGTGAAGGGCGAGGAGGTATTTTTGGTAATGTAGGGAAGAAGCATTGCTGCTCGTCATTTTGGAGTAGATTCATCTTGGCGTCATCATCATCGTCGTAAATTTGTGTTGCGTTTTGTCCTCCCTTCGCCCTTTCGATCGCGTCTGTTTCCTGCGAGTAGATGCAGCTGCCCTCCTGCCTACAGTACTAGTCTTTCGATGCGACATGCACCCCTACGTACGTTATGCGAGAGTCTAGTTTCGTGACTTTGCCTTGCTAGCTCGGCCATCGACGTGCTGCGCAGCCGCCCTGTTGATTAGATTGGCCAGCTCTGCCTCGTTCTTGACCAATCTCTTTCCACTCAAGCTGAACTCCAGCTCAAGAAACGACATGCCGTAGTCGTCATCGTCGTCAGTTTGGAAGGTCTTGCCGCTGCCTATACGCTGAGAAGGCGTAGCGGGAAGCTCGCTGCTCGAACTAGTCGGCGTTTTGACACCGGCATCTTCGAAGATATCATCAGAGTGACTGCTGCTTGGCGATGCGACTGCAGTGGGTGAGGATGGAACGGTCGAGGGCCCGCTGCTGCTAGCAGAGACATCTCGTTCGCTCGCTCGGTCCGTTTCGGCAAAGGCACCTCCTTGACGAGTCTGGGCCAGGAAGAGCTTCAACTTGCGAGGAGCACTCGTACGATCGTTCATCGCCGTGTTGGCCTCGCTGGGAGTACCAGTACCGGAGGCAGCTTGGCCATCGCCTGTAGCAGCTTCCTCCTCATTATCAAGAAGGATGAAGGCATTTTGCATCTGCTGCTGGCCCTCCAGACCCTTCCATTGGCCCTGGCTTGCGCGCTGCTGAAGTCGCTCGAGAAGTGCCCTTCGCGCCTCTTCAGATCCACTGGACACGTCGTCCAGAGAGCACATGGGCAGAAGATCCGCAACGTCATCAAGCTGAGACGCGACACTGGCCGGGAGGTGCAGAGCTAGGTCGCTGGCAGAGAGGTGAGAAGATGGTCGGCCATCGCCAATGTCCATCTCCTCGTCGTCTTCTTCCTCCCTCTTGCGGTGCAAAAAGCCGAGCGGGTCTGGCCCACTAGACGTCGCGAGAGGGTCAAAAAGGCCGCCAACGGACGAGAAGGCGCTGTGAGAGAGGAGGTCAGTGTGAGTGAGGTCAGTATACATGTTCTTGCAGATGACGCCCTGGCGTGCGTTGCTCACCCGTTCATCGGGGCCAGTCTTGTCATACCCATCCTTGGCATGTCACTACCAGATGGAAGACTTCCGGATCCAAACAGGGCAAAGCCGAAGAGCAAGACCATGAGGGCCATGCTGCTGGTAGCCCGGCGCGTGGAGGCCGGAACGCCAGATGCTGAAGTGGGAGCGAGAGCAAAGCCTTGCGAGGAGACTGTGCTCGACAAGGGCTGTGATGAAGCGCGGGAAATGTCGCGAGACTGCTGATGCTGTTGTCGATGTGCATATCGCGATGCGCCGTCATCCGAGCGACCTTCACGCTTAGAGGAGCGATCGGGACGAGGAGTGATGGCAGCATCGACGTCGGCGGCAGTGAGTTGAGGGGCAATGGTCAGGGACAAACCGCTTCCGGCTGACCGCCCCTCACGAAAAACCCGTTCCGAAGATGGAGCAAAGGCAGACGAAGGATCGATGAGGTGGGACAGACCATTTGCGCCTGCACCCGGATGCATAGGATAGAAGGGTGGGATGATCTGGCCTGCAGAGCCATCCAGGTCCGAGGGAGCTGCAGCCGCCGAAGGCATGGTAGAGGCCCAGCGGGTCCGCTCCTCCGCGAGAGTCGTCCGAAGACGAGTCTCCCGCTTGTGAGCTGCTGCCAGCTCACTCCTCAGACTCTCTATTGTGGCTGATTGGGAAGACTTGTCTCCACTGCCCTTCTCCTCTTCTCGCTCTCTCTTATGGCCTGCATTAGCACACCCTCGGGAGGGAGAAGCTCTGTTGTCGGCAGGAGGCGATGACTCCTGTCGGCTACTGTGAGTACCATTGGCGATGCTCTCCTCAGTCGGAGCGATGGAAGCGCCTTTGGCAGCGACGATTTGCTCCAAGCAGTCACGAACGTCGGGAGATTCTTCAGCGAAAATGGCAGGCAAGACAGTTTGCTCTAGCGCGTCAATGTCTGCGCCAGGTCCAGCAATCGTCTCCCACATCCTCCACGTCAATCGACAAATGCTCTTGCATTGCTTCTCAAGCAACTCAAATTGCTCGCGCTTGCGCTGTCGGGAGAGGAAGGCTGCCGCTCGATTCTTGACGAGTCGCGCTTCTCTCTTGGTCAGACCAGATGTGTCGGGTGGTACGAACAAGCTTGAGTGTGCCGCCGATGTATCGATGACCGGGAAGGGCTTGCCAGACTCTGTAAACTGGCTGGCCGAAGGCGGGGGCTTTTTGCCCTTGGCTGCTGGCTTGCGGGTCGCAGCACCATTGGACTCGTCCTGCTCGCCATCGTCATCATTTGACTGTGCGTTGGACTCGTCTGCGCCTGTCACTGAGCTGCAGTCGGCAGATTGATCCTCTGCGCCATTGACGGAAGCGCTACCGGACTGAGAAGGCTTACGCTTGCTGCTTGCCTTCTTAGAGGCAGCGGTAGTCTTGGACGCAGTACTGGCATCCTTCTTTGCAGCGTTAGCCTCCTGTTCCAGCTTACGCCTCTTTTCAGACGGAGGCGTAGCGGCTGTCTGGTCGGTGGCAGCAGCGGCAGCGGCTTCATAGACTCCGGTGTGATGAATTCCTTGAAGGTGTGCATCGTCGAAAGGCATGTGGTCGTTCTGCTCCATCTTGATGAAGGGCTGCTGTCCACGAGACTGAGGTGGCGCCTGGGCAATGAGATCATCGCCCATCGAGGAATGAGGCAGGTCATGGAGATTCAACGACACCGATCGCCCGTGCATGCTGCTCATCCCAAAGCCGCCGCCAGTAGTGGGGCCGTCTGAGGAGTAATGGCTAGGATGAATCGCAACGTCATCGAGAGACCTCCGCCCTGTAGCAGAAGACCAGCTGGAAGCATCACTGGGAGTGCTAGTGGAATCATAAGCGAGACCTGGCATGCCATGAAGGTCTGGCTGTGATGCTCCTGGCAGGCTAGCAGAGAGGGCCTGATGAGACAGAGATTCTCCGTTGTGGTTGCCATTCATGTCATCCCACTCGAAGGAGAGGTGATTGAGAGATGACTCGTTGTGGTGTCCGCCCATTGCACTGCCTCCGAAGGAAAAGCTCGAAGCCATCTTTGGCGTGTTCGGCAGCGAAGTGGACATCGGCATGTGGTGATGAAGGTGCATCGCATTTGGTGCACCGGTGCTCAGGGAAGCTGATACCGGCGGAACACTGGCAGCAGGTTCCGATTGAGCGTCGTGCTGCTGGTCGGCACTGTCGTTGTGATCGGCAATTGCGTCTGCGTCGATGAAGGATTCAAAGGACACATCGTGTGGATCGTGATGGTCCCCGAATGCTGCTACGCTCATGATCAGTGTATTGAGGGAGGCTGCAAAGCTAGAGGTCGCGATGTTTCGAGAGCAAGGTAGACAAGATCACCTTGGAATTGCAAGGAGTCTTCAAGTAGCTGAGGTGTCTGGCGTGTTTGCGGCCCACTGAGCTTCTTCTTGCTGTTACGTGGTCGTGGTGCTTGGCGTTGATCTCCAACAAGGTGAGCAGCGAGCAGAAGATGTGTGCGAGGAGAGGCGGGCTCTTAAGATGTTCGCAAAGTGGCCTGTGAAGGAAGCAAAGTCAATCCGGGAGGGTATCGGAAGGTCGAGGAACCAGCCTTGGTGTGTGCGTGGGGCGTGGAGCGTTTGGGCCGTGGAGGAAGGCTCAAGATGCTTGTGAAAAGAGTATGAGTTTGGAGTGCAGTCTTGTCGTGAGCTCAGTGATCGTTTGATGTTCGTGAAGTCGCGAGTGAGAAGGAGTCCTGGGCCTTGGAGTGGTGTTGGGGACAAAGGGGGTGAGGAAGGAGTGGTTGGGTCGATGGGAGGTGTTGGGCACAGGACGTGGGTGGTGGAGGCCCGCGGCGGGACGCAGCGCAGGTTGGCCCTTGGGGGACAAAGGCAGGCGCACGGCAGCAGCAGAGGCAGCAGCAACAGCAACAGTCAGGGGGGAAAGGGGGACCTTGGCAGCAGCAGCAGCAGCAGCAGCCCGGCGGCGGCGGCAGCAGAGACGGCGCAGCACCGCTCCTGAGCTGAGCTGCAGCACGGGGCAGCACCACATCGGGCACCAGGCCACTCACACGCGCATCACCTCGGCCCGGCGCGTCTCCCCGTCCACCCCCGCCTTGGTAGCCTACCCACGCACATCGGGCACTTAGCGTTAGCCTTGGCCCATCGGAACTACCATGAAGGTTCGACCACCCAAGCCACCCCATCTCCTTGCGGCCACCTCGCCTCTCCACACGCACACACCCTCTCATCTGCCGACGCGAATCATAATCACCGCCGCGCTAGGCCCCCCCTCTCCTTCCACCGCCCCCTTGCCGATCTTGAGGCCCGCACCCATTTTGGAGCTCAGCCCCCGCCCTTCCGAAGCCTTCATCCCTTGCCCTCGAGGACATGAGTAAAGGTCGTCTAGCATTTGAGCCTGTTCGCACCCGCATCTGAGCCAACAGCAGCCAGAACGGCCTCTGGGCTACCCAAAATAGCCGCACTTGAGCTCGACGGTGTACTGTGATCGCAGCCTGGCCATGTTTCCGTCGTAGCGGTCTGTTCTCTGGGGCCCTGTTTCCCGTCCTCACTTCGGCATCTCCTATGCCAGTGAGACGAGGAGAAGACCTGATGTGAGCTCTGTTCCATCGGCACCATCACATCACTTGCCAAAGTGTCCTCTTGCAGAAGCCGAAGCAACAATCGCGAATGATTGCAGACCCCTCTCCGGCCTTTTCTTCTTCCCCTCCTTCCCGATTGCGCCTCCCATCCTCTGGCCCCTCGAGGTCACACAGCAGCGTGACCACAATGACTGCTAGCAAGATCATCTTGACATTCACGTTGTACCGGAGTCCTCGCCATCTCTCCTGATGTACTAGTGGCCTTCCCCTCTGCCGCTCATTTCAATACACTTGCGATAATGCGCACAGAGTGAGCAAGCGAGCGAGGTGTGGAGAGGGAGAGTGTTCCTCGGGAACAAATGAAAGGGGGCCGTGCGACAGAGGAAAGAGCCCACCATCGGAACGGAGCTTAACAAATCTCTCTTCCCGCAACCTACCGCTACCACTACCCAGATCTCCTGCAGCCGGCAAACAAAGTCTTCCGACCTTCTGAGCCAAAGAGGAAGCGCTGGCTGTAAAGTAGAGGCGCTTTGATACCGTAAGCTCGCTCGTTTGAGGCAGCGGATTGATACGGGCCGAAGATGTCGTTTGGCAGGCCTCCGGGCTTCACTACCTTCAGCGTCACGCCGCCGGATCGTGGATCCTTCCCACTCGACCATGAGGGTGAGTCAGAGAACGCCATCGGGCCAGATCGGAAGGCTCCAGTTCTGGCTATCTGCAGGGCGGTTCGTACGAGTCCTGGTACAATCTACAAATGCAAGGGACAATTCCATGGACGGAAAGAGCTCTGCCCACATCCTTACCTGAGCTTACCCTCGAGCCTATTCCGTTCCTCGCTCCCTTTTCCCTCTCCCTCCTCTTCAGGGGAATGCACATCGGTCATGCGAGAGTATATGACCTGTCTCAAGCAGAACAAGCAGGACAACGGAAAGTGTCGCCATCTCAGCAGGAGGTACCTCGAGTGCAGAATGGAAAAGTGAGTCGCCTCACTGTTGTACTTTCAAATCTTCCCATGGCGGGAAGACGCTAAGCTGAAGTCAGCCGCGTCCGTACGCTGCTTCCATGCTGACTTTCCCTCGTTTTTGACATGTCGCGCAGAGGTCTGATGGAGAGAGATGAGATGAGCAATCTAGGCTTCCATGGTGATGAAGAGTTGAGGCAACAGAGCTCTGGAGGTAGCGCGGGAGCTGGAGCTGGCATCGACATGAAGCAGAGCGCAACGGAGAGGCAGCAGAAGCAACAGGAGCAAAGCCAAAGGGACGCCACCGCCACCGCCGCGATGCCATCGCCACCCTCGTCAACATCGCGAGGGACAGGCTGGTTCTCTTCGTCGGGACCGGCAAGGTCGAATCAAGGGGAGAGGATATGAGCGGAATGATGTACCAAGACTTGCCACATAGCAAAGACGTTCACAAAAGGAGTAGAGGGGGGCATGCGTGATGATTGGGTGAAAATGACAGATGCATAGGAGAGGTATCCGGAATGACACGACAATTGCCAATGGGCACCTCAACGGCCGTTGGACGTCGAGAGGCTCTTGCTCCACTCGATGACTCGCGGGTGCGCCATGACCTTCTCCGCTCGAAAGTTCAAGACTTGAAGTCCTTCGAGGCATGTAGCTCTGGACAGCGCTACGTATGCTTGGCCTTTCTCAAAGACCTTGCCCAGATCGATGCGGCAACAGGGGATAGTCTGACCTTGGGACTTGTGGATTGACATGGCCCAAGCCAGAATCAGAGGCACCTGCGTCCTCGAAGCCTGCACCTCTCCATTGGGCAGCTCGTTCTTCCACGTCTCGGGAAGGATCAGCTCGGTCCGATGCCCTCCCCCAGGCTGAGTGAAGCGGACCAACGGATACTGTTGACCCGGCTGAGGGGCTCTGCCCGCTTTCGTGAGTCCACTGCCAGCCTCGCTTCCCCTGCCGTTTGGTTCTGGCGTCCCTCGTGCGCTACCGCTGTTCATCGCTCCTTTGATGGGACTCGTTTCTCGCAATCGTCGCTCTTGGATGTCCTTGCGCAGATCAGCAAGATTGTGCTCCTCGAAAAGGTCTGAGTACTTCTCGAGGGCAATCTTGTACTCCCAATTGTCGCAGAAAGCCACAACCTGTCCAATGGACCCATTCACCAGGGTTTCGTCCAGATTTTTAATGAGCATCACCTGAGCCCCAATCTTGAGAAAGATCTTCTGAGGAGCCATGAAGTTGGCTAGGACCTTCTCCCTCTGGTCAGGGGGAAGTTCGCCTCCATCTTTTGCGTCGAAGTTGCGGCCACCCACTTTAAGACCCGCTAGGCGACTTTGATTTGCTTTGTCGACATCTTCACGATGCGGGTAGAGTTGGGTGGGGACGATGTTCTCGTCAACTTTAGGCTCACGCGAGAGTTGAGAGAAACGAGTGATGGAATCTTGGCTCAGTTTTCCGTGCCTCATTTCATTCAGCATCCTGACAAAGGTCTGGTCCTTCTGTCTGAAGACTTCGGTGAGGTTCACCTTGTAATCGAGGACCTTGTCCCACATTTCGGCTTCAAAGGCAAATCTCGTTTCGCCATTCTTGGTCACGGGCGGCAGTTGAAAGAAGTCGCCAGTGATAACGATCTGAAGGCCTCCGAAGGGCTTCTCCGACTTTCGTAAGGAGCGCGCAATTTGCTCGAGCTTGTCAAGGAGAGAAGGCTCCACCATCGATACTAGCAGATCAACACATCAGCACTGGATCAGCTAGCTGCAAAAGAAACACATCTTGTTCGTGGTATGTACACTCACTCTCATCGATGATCAAAACCTGCGTTCTTACCCATCGTCCAACCGCCTTCCGATTCTTCTTGATCTTCAGAAGCAGAGCTTCCACTTTTTCATTCCCTAGGCCTACGCCAGCGAAGCTGTGAAGAGTCACGCCGCCGATGTTGCAGGCGGCAATACCCGTCGAAGCAGTGGTAGCTACTGCTTCGGCTCGCTTGCTGAATTTCTTCTTCAATAGCTTGATGATGTCTCGCAAGAGAACCGATTTTCCAGTTCCTGGTGTGGGGGTCAGGCATACCTCAGCAATCTTCAGACTCAGGCTCAGCACCTTCGACAATGTTCCACTCACCTGCTGATCCAGTGAAGAAAACGTTCTTGCCTTCTTCAACGACCATGTTCCTGACGCGGAGCTGCTGCGCGCTCAATCTGAACATGCCGGGTACCGATGCCTCCTTCTCCTTGTACTCGTCTGCAGGGTTTTGCGGGCCTACGCTTGCTGGGCGGGGTGGCGGTGGCTGCTTGGATAGGAAAGATGGTCCTTGGCCATTACGACGGCGTTCCTCAACGAGCTGCTGCTTCGGCTTGCTCTGAAACCCAGGAGGAAGCTGTCGCTTTTGTGGCACTCCTGCTGCTGCAGGAGGCTCGCTCGAATTTGACCTGCTCCGTGATGGTGCCACGTCAAGCCTGTCGCTTCTCGACGAGGTTGAAGACGAGGCTGGAAGCTTCAGCTTGCTGGAGCTTGCTACCGAGCTGGACAGAGAGGCTCCAGCCTCGTGGTCTTGACTAGTGGTACGTGTGAAGCTGCGCGAGAGACCGGATACTCGCACACCGGGCAGCTGACGCTGGCTGGCTGTCACGGCGAGGCAGTCCTCGACGTTGTCGGGATCAGCGATCTTAGGCCGAAAAACGTTGTGCGCTTCACTTTCATGATTCAAAGCTACGCATAAGCAGCACAGCGGCAGAGAAAAGTACATTAGCGCCTGCTGCTGTAGCATATAGAGTCGCCGGGCCACTCACGAAGTGTATTTGTCCTGCTCCCCTGAAGCGACTTTCGTATGGCCTCCTGCTTCTCAGGGGGTGTCATTTCCCAGCCGTCACTGTAGTCAGCTGGACTGCTAGCTGGCAAGATGTTCTCCTTCATTCGTCTTTGAGCCTTGGTGGGAGCGATTGACACATCCTCGCCGTCTTCACCAAGATCATGGGCACTGCCCGACCAGGCACGCTTGAGGCCATGAAGACCCGACATACCACTTTCAGGCCGCTGAGGAACAGCCTCTCCAGATCTCGTGGAATGGCACGCTGCGTTATGAGGACAAGGTGTTAAAGACGGTACGGACAGGTGGTATAGCAAGCGGGAAAGCCACAGGCAGAGAGTGCCTTCTGCGTCTGAGATTCCAATCGCGTCTCGGAGCCAATGTCGTGTTTCGGATCGGAAGCGAGAAGCGGGGGAGGAGCGGGGGTGGACTGGCCGGCAGGCCGCATGCCCGGCCGGTAAAGGTGCTTCTTCCTCTACCATCCGCCCTTTGCCATTCATCTTCCCACCCTTCGCATCTGTCCATTCGCATCGCAGTCAGGGAGACCGGCGGGTCCCGGTTCTGTCAAACGTTGCTCTCTTGCAATCTCTGATCGGAGCCTCTCTCTTCCTGAGCAGGCGGTGATTGGCATCTTCCACTACCCGGAGCTGCTTCCTGCTTGACCCGCACTGCCACCCGACTTGCTGGCTTCGCCTCTGATGGAGGGTCTCCAATCGAATCAAGCTGGGTCAGACGAGGACCAGGAGCCTGGTTCCGATCCATTCGTTGCCTCGCTATATGCCAAATCCAGGCCAAGGAGCAACAGCCGTCCTCGCACTACGAAGCGTCAGCAGCACCCTGGCTCTGCAAGGGCATCGACATCTCAGGCGGGCTCAAACACATTTGGAAAGCCTCCGATGCCCACGATAGACGGAGAGGTTCAGAACGAGGCTGTTGAATACCTACCTCCGCTGCTGGCTCCCACTGACAACCGCCGCTCGAGACTGAATTCGAGTGAGTCATGGGGTAGTAGTGTTATGCCAGCGGCTTTGCCATTCTTTCAGCAGCACCGGGTGCGGGCAGGTCAATCCGAGAATCCAAGGAACCGCTCCAAGAGCGGACAGAGAGACTCTTCTCAGACCCAGAAAGAAGACGAAGTACCCCCTTTGCCCGTCGTTGGCGCTGGTCTAGAGAGCTGGCTGCAATCACAGAGCTACCTTGCGCCTACGCAGACGCTGACAGCGCATAGCGACGCTAGACATCAATCCTCTCAATTCACGTCCTTTGCTCCCCCGGGACGTGTCAGGCGCAGAGTCGGGTCTGATGCTGGCTCTGCAGCGGGCGAGGGGAGTTTAGGGGGATGGTCGAATGGAGTCGTGAGCGCTACGGGAAGGCGGCGAATGATGGGCAAAGGGAGCGGAAGGGATGCCACCCGGCCCGCCCGGCCTGGTCTGCCTCTTTGGGAAGGCGGTACTGGTCTTGCCGAGCAAGAAGAACCGGAGAACAGTGGAGACGGCGACGTGAATGGGAGGGCAGGCTCCAGCTTTACGCGAGATGCTAGCGTCTCAAGCAACCTCAGCAGTGTACTCCAATGGAGGGATTCGTCTGCCATACCATCCTCTGCGATGAATAGAGACCTTCATCGAGGACCACAGTCGAGAAAAGGGCTCACAGTCGGCCCGAGCAGCGGAGGCGGATCTTTAAAGGCTCCCTCACTTGCTGGCTCTGTCCTTCCGAGCAGCGCTTCACGCCAGTCTCTGCGACCTTTGGATCTAGGGCAGTCTCGCTTGGTTCAAGACGTCAGGAAGAAGTCGGAGGCAACGCCGCTCCGTACCTTCGTGCGAGGGATGATGAAGGAGAGGCTGTCGTTCTCTGCGCTCGTCAGCACAGGTCTCTGTATCCTGCTCCTCGTCAAATGGGTCATTGCCGCTGGAGGATGGTCAGGGAAGGTCAGAGCTGGGTGGGAGACAATCCGACACTGGATGTCACTGACCGCCAGCCTTCCCCTCGACGAGTGGTATGTCTTTGACGTCGACCATCATCTTCTCAACCGACCGCCCCTCGCCGGGTATGTGAGCAGCTTGTTCGGATCTATGTGAGTCTCAAATGAGATCAGTATGAGCTTTGTCTGTGTCAAAGCTTCTGATGCTTGAGCTGACTCGTGCCTTTTCTTGTCGCAGTGCTTTGAGACACGACGCGCTATCAGGCGCTTTCGTCTTTCCTCCTTCGCGCGATACCCAGGCATCAGCTGCTCATACCTACATGGTCCTCGTTCACCTCATATCCTCGCATCTGCTCTACGTATTACCCATTCTCTGGTTTCTGAACAAGCGCCTCTCGGATCGAGGCCGTAGGACAAGGGCGATCGTTGCTCTGACAGTCCTGGGGCAACCGACCCTTCTGCTGGTAGATTACGGCCTGGGCGGATGGCAGTCTGTGTCTCTTGGTCTCATCACTTTGAGCCTGGCCTTGTTGCATAGTAGTCTCCCCAACGCAGAGGATTCGGGCACCACAGAGGTCATGCGACGGAACCAGATCACCAATCTCTCGAGAAAAGTGAGCTATGCCTACGTCGCTGCTATCACGGCCTTCTTGTGGGCTCTATCCTTCGACCAGACTGCCCTCATCTTGGTCCCTGTTGTGCTCGCCCTGTTCCTGGGTCGATGGGCTGGTCTGAACAGCATCGGCGCTTCAAGAGGGTGAGTCATTGTCTTAACTGCGTCTGCATTCGCCCTGATCACTGACCTGGCCGCGCAATGCATATATTACTGCCCACAGAATGGTCTTCCTCGGCGGCATCGCTATCGCAGTCAGCCTGACCTTTCTGGCCATGTTCTTTCCCTGGCTTTCCTTCAAGACGGTCGCATCTCTTCAACAGGTCTTTACACGACTAGGAGGGGCGCTGTCGAGCCCTCTTGTGCCTAGCGACATTGACGCATTGCCGGTCAGGGCTCGACACATCGGCGACTCTTTGTCTGAACATTTGCCCTTCGATGCGAAGGTTGCTAGATCCGCAACTGCAGCTCTGGCATTGCTCTTCCCTTGCCTCATTTGCTTCCGAGCCGCAAGGGAGACGGTCAAGATCGAGATGCGACTTGCTGAAACGGTCGTCTCAAAGGAATCATCGAGATCGACTGCGTCAGCGAGTGGCAGCGTCAGCGGTCGTGGCATCCCGCCTCTCAAGCATACGCCTCGACAGGTAGACGCGGTGAGTGGTCATCGACAGCACAAGAGGTCGGGTTCACAGGCTCCGTCCGAAGCTGGAAGCGACTTGCGAAGTCTTGCCGAAAGTCTCGTGCGAGGCGAATCCTCTGCACTACCTTCACAGCGACCCAGCCTCGACACCGAGAGTCCACGGCAGCGTATGAAAGATGACGAGATCAGAGTAGCCTCCTCTTGCCCTTCACCAGCGGCTGCGATATTGCCCTATGCAGCCGCAGCAATCTCCTTGGCAACCTACCTTTTCCTTCCCTTCGGTCAAATGTGCGAGTCAGACGCGACCCAAGTACTCTTCCCTTTGCTGCCACTCACACTGCTGACAGTGGCCAAAGGCGATGAGTGGGGAGGAGGCGCAGGAAAGGTCGACTGGGAGTGGATCATTCTAAGCAACAACGTCGGGACATTCAGGTGAGACAGACCTCTCGCTTGCGCATCTCTGCTCAACACCTGCTGACTTGCTAATCCTTGCGCTTCTGCTCTTTCGGACTGTACTGCTCAGTCTCTGGCCATTGACTCGCAGAGACGGACTGCAGCTGCAATACATCTCTGTTCTATTGCTCTGGAATTTCCTGATTGGATACCGTCCCTTCGCAGATCTTTCGGGCACTAGACAAGGCTTTGTAGGCAGGCTCGGAGCCGCGGTACATGGGCTGATGATAGCTGTACACGCCGGCTCCCTGATCTCCCTTCTCTTCGATCCGCCGGCGCTTCTGCTGCCTACCCTGGTCGACGGCGTCTCCACTCTTTCGCTTCTCGTCGTCTACCTCTGGTCGATGAAGAGACTTGCAGAGGTCGCATTGGGCAATGGACTAGAGATCGGACTGAGTTGGCGCATGGGCAAAGCCAAGAGCAGACAGCTGCATCAGCAGCAGCAGCGCGTCGTGAAGAAGGCGACATGAGCGAAGCACTGCCACCATGCCGTTCTGACAAACAGATTCTTGCGAGAGCCTTCACCGTACTCAACGACACTGCTTGCGTAGCAACAGCGAAAGTCATGAAATTAATTTATACCGTTTTACCTCGCGAGTTGAATGCCTGTAGCAGAGTTGAAGTCGTCCGTCGTGAGATGGTCCAGCAGCGCTATCTTCCGCGTTTCCTCTACACTCACCTTTCTCATGTCTTTTGGCATGGCGCACTTTGCCAGCTTATCGTAGTCGTAGGTCACGCAGAGTGCGTCGGCTACGCAGACTGGGCCCGGCTCCCGGCTGCCGGACTGCGATTGGTGGGCTTCCCAAGCTTTGAGCGAGTAGGCGGCCGAAGACAGCGTGAAACGATCCGTGCCCTCCTGCAGTGGGCAATCGGCCTTTGTGCCGATGAGGAGCGTATCGGGATATGTGACCGGCCTCCGGTATTTGATGTTGATTCCCGCCAAAATGAAGCTCACACCTTTGCCGGTCACGATCTCCTTCTGCCTCTCTTCGCCCAGGTCCCTTGCGATACTTTCGGCGAATACCATCCGCTGCGACTCAAAGTATCGTACAAAGTGAACGTTGTTCACATGATTAAAGGCATCGTGGCTTCCCCACACGATCGTCTGCGGGTACAAGGTCTCCGCATCGTAGCCCATCTCTTCCAGGCGGCTCGCCAATGCCCTCAAAGATGGCGAGGGGCCTTGCAGAGCTGAGAAGCTGCGAGTGTACCTCTTCAGCAGCGCCTTCGGCCCTAGTCCGACTGCATGAGGGCTTTTTGTAAGCAGCATCGCTGTAGTTTCGAAGCAGAAGAGGCCAGATTTGGGTATTGCGGGGAAAGGTGGAGAAGGTCCTTCGCCGGCCTGTTCCGCCCTGTCGCTCCCCTTTCCGTCGCGGGCGCCTTGTGCTCGGTGTTGCTCTCCATACTGCTGCCATCGCAACCATCGCTCCCTCCCGCTCCCTCTACTCATCCTGCCCTTCGCTTCGTAGCCGTCATGGGTTCCGTCAAGGAATGTACCACCAAGTCGGGTGAGTCACATCTTGCACCCATCTCTGCGAGTCTCAGGAGGGCCACGCTTTACTCACACCTTCCCTCTCTGCGCTCGCCTTTAACAGACTTCGATGCTGCCCTCAAGTCGGCTGGCAGCAAGCTCGTCGTAGTAGACTTCACCGCAAGCTGGTGTGGACCTTGCAAGATGATCAAACCCTACTTTGATGAGCTAGCTCGCAAACACACGGGGTCTGTCTTCCTCAAAGTCGACGTGTAAGTAGAGGAAGGGTAGTAAGGCATGTTCACTAGTTACATCATCTGGCTGCTGACAAGCGTAAAGACATCTCATGCCAACAGCGACGCGAATCGCGCAACAGCTCAAGCATACTCGGTGTCAGCTATGCCAACTTTCCTCTTCCTCAAGAATAGCTCTGTCATTGATACGCTCAGAGGCGCCGACAAGAATCGCCTTTCCTCTAAGGTCGAGCAGTACTCGTCGGGCGCCTCATCTGGTGCAGGATCGGCCTTTGCTGGAAAGGGAAATACACTAGCCGGAGGCAGCGTGAGTTCGTCGTCGTCACGAGGTAGGGCAGGTACTCGTAATATGGTCCCGTCTTTGCAGAATCTGGGAAGGGACAACCTGCTACCACTGCTCGTCTTGGCTGCCTACCTGGTGTATGTCTTCTTCTTCAAGGCATGACGATGGGAGCAAAGGCTTGCGGTGGAAAGGCAGGGTCTGAATCTGCAAATACGTAGACAGCGTCATCTTCAATCGATCAGCTTACATGATGTCGCCATTGCAAGAGAGAGATGACCGTGCCTGCAGATAGTACAACAATGACCCAGACGCTGATCTACATCCTCTTCACCTCATCTCGAAGCAACCTGCCTTGCGCCGCCACAATCCTTTCGGAGAGGAGTCAGACGAAGAGGAGGGAAGCGTTGATCCGAGCAGCAGCACAGCTGCCGATTCTGTCGATCCAGAAGTCGAGGCCTTTCTGGCTTCCCAGCGCAAGACGCTGCGGCCCGACGACGATGACATCGATGCTCGCATGCGAGAGGAACGCATACGTACTGGCGGTCTCAAGACGACAAAGTCGAGATACCAACGGGAGAAGGAAGAAGCCGAGAAGAAGAAGGCGGTCCAAGAGGAGGAGGCAGCTCGAGCTTACAAGGAGTTCGTTGAGGCTATGGAGGGCGGAGCAGACAGGGCGGGACGCAGCGGCAGCTCGCGATCCGTGGGTCCCGCTGGTTCGACAGCGTCAAAAAGCAAGTCTATTGGCTTCGTCTCCGCGGGAGGTAAGATTGATGGGCGCAACGTGACCACTCGAAGCTTTGCTGAGCCGATCACTTTCGCCATGACCAGGTGGCAGCTCTTACAATCCTGCTCGGCAGCCATCCGCTCGTAGCCCAATGGCTTCAACTGTATCTGAAAGCGCTGCAGTCTCGGCTCCCCGCTCTGTTGGAGGGATGTTTGGTGATGACGATGATGACGACGACGAAGAGAACAAGTCGGAGCAAAAGGTATGCGGTCCCTTGCCTCTGTGACTCGTCAACTACCGTCTGGTACGACTATGATGGTCTTCTCTGATGTTGAGCCCTGATACAATTCTCTGCACCTCAGGATCAGACCTCCGCTGCCAAATCTCGACGTGAGCCGCCAAGCAAGCGAAAGGGCGTCATGGGTGACTTTCTTGGCGAATTGCAGAAAGAGCAGGCCCAAAGAGAAGAGCGATACAAAGACAAGATTGCAGGCGAGTACTTCAGAACGGTGACAGGTCAGAACCCACAATGACCTTCTCTCCCGCCATATGCTGGGATCTGATCCCTACAGAAGGCAAATCAGTCTCCTCTATCCTTGGTGAGCCCATTCCCACCTGCCTCGCCACTTCCTCCACGTTACCTTACTGACAATCTGCGCTTCTCCTCTCCGCCAGCTCTTGAGGGACAGAAAGTCGGCTCTCGAGATTCAGGCGATCCTCTGACCACTAATGTCTGCGCTTTGAATTTGCCGGCCAACATCTCTGAGAAGGCCTTGGGTGACTTCTTCTCCCAATGGGGAGACATAGGTACCGTCAAGATTATGTGGCCTCGAGGCGATGACGTGCACGGGGGTGCCGGAGGTGGTATCACTTCGCTGCGTAATACTCGTTCCGCTGGTCTGACTGGTTTTGTGTGCTTCATGGAGCGGGCAGACGCAGAATTTGCCTGTCGGGAAGCGGACGGCATCACGTGGGGCGGATGTATCCTCCGAACGAGCTGGGGTAAAGCTATGCCGAAGCCCCCCAGACCTTACTACGGTGAGCGATGACGCTGATCACTGGTCGCGTAGAATCGTTATATACTGACCAAGGGTCACCCCCGTTCAGTGCGACCGAAAGGCGCCGAAAAGCGACATCGGTCGCAATCTGCTTCACCTCAGCCGTCATGGGCAAAGAAGCGGTCATCGGCATCGCCTTCGTCCCGAAAACATCGGCGGATGGCTCGCAGCCCATCACCTCGGACTCAAGTGGAACAGCGTCTTGAGGGCAGCGAAGATCAAACAGTCATCCAGAGCGTCGCAGCCCGAGTCAAAGAGTACGGTCCTTCTTTCGAAAGTATGGTCAGGGAGAAAGAGTGGGATAACCCAAAATACGCCTGGCTCAGGGACGACGAGGTAAGTTATCGTTGGGGTGACTGCACCTATCCTTCGGCTGGCTGCTGACAGGGACCTCTCCATATGCGTCTCCCGCAGTCGATGGAAGCACAGTACTACCAGACTCTTCTGAATCCTCGCTATGTTCCCGAGCTTCCAGCTAAAGCCTTCGAAGACGATGTGAGTGTCACAAATGTATCTCACCTGAGCGTAACGGTGCGAGCTGATATTTGGCGATTCTCGATGCATCACACAAGGGCAACGCGTCTCTGTATGACAGCGACAGTGGAGAAGATTCTGAAGCAGAGCGCTTGCGCAAGCAGCGGAAGACGGACGTGCTGGGAAAGGCAACACGACGGCGATTCGAAGCTATGCTGAGGGGGATCACGCTACGCAGAGAGCGGATCGCAGGGGTGATGCTCTTCGCGCTCGAGCACGCGCATGCAGCGGACACGGTACGTCTGAGAGGGTCAGCAAAGGGGCAAGAAAGGGATTTTGCAACACAGAGATGCTGACTACGCTCCGTCGAAAACTCCTCGCAGATAAGCGACATTCTAATGCAATCCTTGCTCATTCCATCGACGCCTGTACCGCGCAAAGTAGCGCGGCTGTATGTCGTCTCGGACATCCTACACAATTCAGCTGCACCATTACCGAATGCCTGGAGATACCGATCAGCCTTTGAGGCACGCATCGGTGCCATCTTCTCTCACTTTGGCGACGTCGCCAAGTCCTTTCCCGGGCTGATGAAGCAGGAAGGGTTCAAGACGCAGCTCAGGGCCCTGCTCGAGGTCTGGGACTCTTGGATGGTCTTCCCCCCTGCTACCCTCGAGGAGTTGAGCATCGGGCTGGAGCGAGGGAGCAAAGGGGCAGGAGAAGTGGAGGCTGCAGCAAGTGGGCAAGATGGGGCTCAGGGGAAAGTGGCAGGGCATGGGGCGGACGACGACGACGAAGACGGTGCCGAAGCTGATGTCGACGGTGAGGAGCTCGGCGACCAAGAGGATCATGCACGCCAACCTGCAGACATTGAGGAAGACGAGGACGTCGATGGAGAAGCACTCTGAGCCCCTTTGCTTTCGAGGAGACTGTCTGTACCTGGTTCGTCGGTCATGTATGTTCCCCATATCTTGCCTCCCTCCATCCATGCATGACCAAGTGTCATTCTTCCTTGATTGACAATTGACCCAATCGGGATCTCTCTTTGGGGGCTTGATCCCTCCTCGCGTTGGGCGCGCCATAGGGGCAACTGGTCTGTGGCATCCGACCTGTCACGCGTGTAGCTGCCCGAGTGCTTTGGCGGGAGGCCTCGGCCAGAGGCATGTGAAGCAGCCCGTGTCCAGGGCCGGTGAAGGCCGAGGGCCAGACAGACAGACAGACAAGCAGAGGCTTCCATCTGCGCGGGTTTTGTGTGCCGACCGGCATCGTGATGCGGAATCCCGACGTACGGCATCTGTGCCGAAGGATGGAAAACAGCCTCGCTTATCTCTGCGGGCACTGGAGCGGTCTCGGCCTTCTCGCCTTCTCCACCTGGCAGCGGTCGGGGTTTGCGCGTGTTGAGTGTTTGCAGGCAAACTCTGGCTGTGAATCCGCAACGACTGCGCCTCCCAGCGGGTGCGGGTAGCCTACCCCCAACCCTTGGGCGGGTAGGCCCTTGGTGCCGAAGGGGAGGGGGGGATCGCACTGCCGGCGGCGTAGCCGTGGCATGACGAGGACATGATTCCGCACAGCACACAGATCCAATCCCCTTGGAGCTGCTGCACAAGAGAAGCACACACACAGTTTCTCCTCAACACCGACAAACACCGCTTCGCACTCTTCATCCCTCTGCCCTCTGCTCTTATTTCCCTCGCAATCCAACTGCGCTCGACTTTAGTCCAGACATCAGATTCTCTTCCCCCCTTTTCTACCTACAATCCCACGACAGTCTTTACCTCGATTCCTTATTTACCCACACCCACACCCATTCATAGACAGGCTGTGCAACCTCTTTCTTACTCGTCTCGTCCAAGCTACTACTTCTACCCATCAAGATGCTGTCCATCAACAAGGTGGCAATTGGCGCGTCCATCGCCCTCTTTGCATCCAGCGTTGCAGCACATGCTGGTCACGGCGGCCCCAAGCCGGGCGGTTCCAAGACCATGAACGTTCACAAGCGCGCTTCCAACACTGCCAGCAACTACCAAGCTGAAGCATCCATCACGAGCACCGCAGAAGAATGCACTGCTTACTACATTGAAGAGGTCAATGCCCTCGCCAGCGCATACCCCACGATCTGGACAATCGCTAGCATCCCCACTGCCGACACCTACGCCTCATCCGTCTTCAATGCCATGTCCTCTGGCATCCCCAACATTGCACCTCGTGGTACATCCAACGGTGACTTCAGCGGTGTGACATACGACACATCGACTGACCCTGACTGTTGGTGGACACAAACCGGCTGCACAAAACCCAAGGCGGCGGGTATCCCAGACGACGTCATCACTTGCCCAGAGGCAAAGACGTGGGGATTGAGCTTCGACGATGGACCCAACTGCACCCACAATGCTTTCTACGACTTTTTGCAGACCAACAACCAGAAGGCCACCATGTGCTACATTGGCTCCAATGTCATGGACTGGCCTCTGCAAGCTCAGCGTGGTATTGCCGACGGTCACCACATCATTGGACACACATGGTCGCACATGTACATGACCTCGCTCACCAACGAAGAGGTATTTGCTGAGCTGTACTACTCGTCCAAGGCGATCAAGGACATCATGGGCATCAGCGTCGAGGCTTGGAGGCCTCCTTACGGTGACGTCGACGACCGTGTGCGATACATTGCCACTCAGCTCGGTCTCAAGACTATCCTCTGGGACAACGACACCGACGACTGGGAGGTTGAGCCCGCAGGAGACTTGACTCAAGCTCAGGTTGAGGCCAACTACCAGGACATCCTCGGAAACGTTTCCTCCTCGCACGGTACCATTGTGCTGACCCATGAGATCAACGAGTACACCATGGAGCTGTTCATGACCGAGTACTCCAAGATTCAGGGTGTCTACAGCCACATTGTACCCCTCACTGCTTGCATGAACTGGACCGATCCTTACCAGGAGGGAGACATCACCTACCCCAACTTTGAGGATTACGTCGCTGGTACCACCATGCCTTCGGGATCCCCTACCACCTTTACCATCTCCAGTGCCTCTTACTCCCCCTACCAGGGTGGAGGCTCTTCTGTCGTGGCCGCCGAAGGTCTTGCTACCGGTGCTGCCAGCAGTGCTTCTTCCTCCGGCTCCAAGGCCAAGTCTTCCTCTGGCTCCTCTGGCTCCGCCGCATCCGCCTCGTCGGGCTCTTCCGATGCCAGCTCCACTTCGAAGTCGAGCGCCTCGGGACTCACCAAGCCCCTTGCTGGTATCGCCGCCGCCGTCTTCGGAGGTGTCGCCTTTGTCATCTTTGCTTAAAAACGCCAAAGTGGCAAATCTTGCGAGCTCTCGACGTCCCGACGAACAGAATCGTCGTCGCGACAGACAACGGCGCTTCTGCTGGTCAGGGGGCGTCTCCGCTCGTTGTGCATAGTTTTCCCGCTTTCCACGTTCCCCCATGAACATCATTTCTTCTTTACTCTGCACCGAAATTCTTTCGCTGCTCGAAAAAAAAGCCTCTTTTCTCCATTCATATACATGTATCTACATCCTGTTAGCGCTTTTGAGCTCTTGATTCATCAGGCCTCACGCACGGACAATTCAACCCTTCCACAAGATTTATGACTGTATTCGACCGACGATTGATTTAGTGATACAAGTTACAAGCTACTGTGACAGAGTAGCTGAGACGATACGCGTTCTACAGGGAACAGTCGGTGACGTAGTCTTGTCCCCTCAAGCCAGATCATCCCAGCCTTGCAGTACATCCGCCTCATCTCCGCCTGGCTCTGCCACTTCTGCTGTTGCTATTGTGGGTCTGCCACCAGGCTTCTCTGAAGCTCCTGAAGCACCTTGTGCGCCAATGCTATCCGACGACGACGCTGCTTCTTGGCTAGGTACGTCGATGCTGATAGAGGCGGCAGCTGTCGCGCTCTGAACCCTCTTCTGTAGCATCTCGACCGTCTTTTTTCGAGCATTGAGGAGCCGCTCGCCCTTCTCTGCATCGACCAAATCGGCATAAGAAGCGACCTTGTCTGAATCACCCTGGCTTGAAATGGACGTGGCAGCTGATGCGCCCGAGGCTATCCGAATCCGCAGAGCAGCAATGTTGGCGTCGAGAGCCTGTAGATCTTTGCGCAAGGGCACGAGCGTCTCCTCGAGCATATACGCCCTGATGGCCTCTCTCGCACACAGCGCGATATGGTCAAATCTGACCGGGCCGAGGTTGGTACCTCCATACCAGCGGCTGACCACGACAAAGACGTCGACTGCACCCATCTCCTTCATTACCCTCAGCACCTTCTCCCCACCCCATCGCTCGCCATCGTCGTCCTGCCCCTCTTCAAGACCAAAGTCATTGGGTCCTGCAAGACCGTCTCTGCCTCTTTTCAGCTCCAGCACTCGCCACGCTTGAATGTCATGCGAGGAACCTCGGCGCTTGGGATCCAAGTGAGAGAGCATGTCCGGAAATATATTGGCAGGCAAGGTAGGATGGACTACCGTCGAGAGGTGGTTGAGGTGTTGTGCGAGTGTGGAAGGTGTGCTCGATGTGATTGGATAGACAAAGCCGATGAAGAGCGAGTCACGGTCGCTAACGCGTGCAGCCTCTGGAGATGTTGGCCATGGGATGGCTGGTAGACCGAGCCAAGAGTTGAGCGAGGCCGAAGCACCCTTTGATGCTTTCGCGGAGGAGCCAGAAGATGTTTGGACGACTCCAGCCGCCGCAGGCACTGCTTCGCCGTTCTCTTTGCGTTTTCTGACCTTGTCCCAGGCTGCCTGAGCCTCCTCTTGCAGCCTCGCTCTCTCTTCTTCGGTCATCTCTTCCTCGTCTTCGGCCCCTGAGCGGCTCATTCCATCGTCAGCGAACGCTGACATACGGGTATTCTTTCCGCCGTCATTGATCGTGGTGTCCTGCTTTCGAGAGGCCGACTTCTTGCCGACATCACCCACTTTGATATTGACTTTTCTGCGCTTCTTCGGCTGATTCTCGTCGAGGCCGGCTTCCTCAATCCCACCGAGGGAAGGATCTTCCAGGACACTCCCATCGTCAGACGACGAGGTGCCTAGTCTAGCATTGCGTCGCTTTGTAGCTGCTTTCTCCTGCTCCGGTAGCCATTCGTCTTCGCTCTCACCATCGCTTTGGCCGGACTCCGGGCTTGAAATTGTCTGCTGCCAGTCGTCCTCGTCTGAATCTGAGGTCCGGTCCACCTCGTCCTCTGCAGAAAGAACCGCCCTAGACGGCGCAGGTGCCTTTCTTTCGCGGAGACTTTTGCGAGGCATTCGCTTGGTGAGGATATGACGGGTTACAAATACTTTGGCATTGGCTCGACTCCACAGACCTGAGACGGCCACCCGTCTGCCTGACTACGTTGCCAGTCCGCGCGCAATAAGCCGGCGATCCAAATGCTGCTCAGCAATTCGTCGGTTTTCCCGCCGAAGGAGGGAGCAGTGGTAGACGAGAATCTCGGAGTACAGAGGAGGAGAGCAAGCGAGGACACTCGAGCAGGCCTCCTCAGAGCGTAGGCGAGAAGCCGTGGCTGTAGGGGGTTGCGATATGCGGCACCTGGGCGCGTATGACGAGGGTGGCAATCAAGCCGCATGGCCCTGGAGTGTCTGACCGCCGGAACCTGGAAAGATGAGATGTGGAGTGGAGCCACTGGACCCTGCAGGCAGACAGGCAGGCGAAGCACCCGCTGACATATGCCTGCAGCATCGCTTCCACCACGGAGCCTCCCCACACAGGCGTCAATTGGATATTCCTCAAGGTCCGTCTGCCGACGCCTCGGCTTCCAGTCCATCACACCGGAGGATGATCTGGTCAGCGTGAGAACCATCGCACGAGGGCAGAGGGCGCCACTCACCACCTCACATGCTGACGTCCTCGTGGGCTCTGTAGTCGAGAGTAATGTGACAAGGAGGGCGAATATATGAAGCAAGGGTGGCAAAGTGGATGAGAGTGAACCTTCCTACCCAGTACTGTTCGTCCTGTCTACCTCCCGTCGCCTTCACGATGCGTTTCCTCACCGCTTCCTTCCTCGTCCTTGCTACGGCATTGACCACCACTCTCGCTATCCCCTCCTCTCCCGTTGGCTCCGACAGCTTGAAGTTTGACGCCCGAGGCGCCGAGCTTTCTCGCCAGATCCAGGAGCGCGACCCTCTCCTAGAGCCAGCCTTGGAGGCTCTCCACGCCCGAATGGCCGAGCGAGTCAACAAGCGTGACGTCTCGCCCATTGTCGACAGCGTTCAGCTCGGCGCTGGAAGCACCCTTCACGGAGGCCAGAACTACACTGGCTACAAGAACCCCATTTCCGCTGGTTTCACCAAGGACCCACACTACGCCGCCTTCTCCGCCTTCGACTTCCACTCCTTGAATCTTGGTGTTCACCAGGAGCTCATCGAGTTGGACCTCTTCAACTACATTATTGCCAAGTTCTCCGTTCAGGAGTTTGCCGACGCCGGTCTCTCTGAGGATGACATTCACCTGCTGCGATTCTTCGCACAGCAGGAAGTTGGTCACGCCGTTGTGCTGAGCAACCTGCTCGGCGCCAAGGCACCCAAGACTTGCAAGTACTCGTACCCCTTCAACACAGTGCGTGAGGCTCTCCTCTTCTGTGAGGAGCTCACACGATGGGGAGAGAGCGGAGTCTACGGCTTCCTTCCCAGCCTCGACAACAGTGCCAACGCACAGATTCTGCTTCAGTCTATTGCCACGGAGGCTCGTCAGCAGTACACCTTCCGTCAGTGGCTCGGTGTCAATTCCGTCGACATCTGGTTCGAGGCTGGTACCCCTCAGGCCTGGGCATGGACCTTGCTCAGCCCCTACATCGTAGAGTGCCCATCTCACAACATCCCCGTCGCCTTCTCGATCTTCCCCAAGCTGACTGTCCAGAACCAGCCTGATCTCATCGCTGTCGGTAAGGCTGCTGGAGGTCCCGCTATTGCTTCCAACACCACCGCACTCAGCGCCGCTGGTCGACAGGTCTTCTTCGAGTGGGATGCACCCGGAAAGACCCAGGGACCCTACGGCGAGAAGACTGAAATTCTTGCCGACGACAAGACTCCCCGCTATGTTGCCTGGCTCCAGAGCTACAACGTTACTTACAGTGACCTGGAGAATGTCACCAAGACCTCCGACGGCAAGTACAAGGGCTACACCTACCAGCCCGGCGGACTGATCTACCCTCATAACAGCTCCACTCAGGGAGTCATCAACGGAACTATGTTCACCGCCATTACCAACTCGAACTCCATGTACACCCCACTCAACCTGACCTTGATCAACGGCGCCACCATCGCTGGTCCTGCCATCTACCAGGCCGGATAAGCGCAAAATGGCGAGACAATTCTCCCACACAGTCTCCCACAATTGTCTCGTGGCTCACTGTACATCATCTTCTCTCCTACTCTTTTGTCTTCATGCTTTTTTCTTCTTGAATCTGTACTTTGCTTGTCTGCCTCCCCCCGATGATCTAATGCTGTAGCGACAGACATTACCTGACTGTAGTCTCCTCTGTCTTTTTCCTTGGGCGGAAGCCCCTCCATTCTGAATACATGATCACTATTCAACCCTATTCCGACTGTAGTGAACCTATGAAACTGTACGTACCAAGTCGAAACATGCTGAGTCACCCGAGCAGGGTCATGGTAGACACTGCCGACGTCCTTATTACCGCGTTCACGTGCATAGGCATGAGCATTGGCGGCCTGAACGTCCATTGCGAAGCGCATAGACACTATGTGTGCTCGCCAAATTGCAGACGAGGCTTTCGGCGGGCGAGAGTCTGTAGTTAACTGCTCGTTGTGCTGATCGAGAAGGTTCAATGAGCGTTGAAGTACGCCCTGAAGGGCGCACGCGTGGGCTGCTGACGTAATCCCGCAAGCAACACAACATCTCAGTCCTGCTTCCGTTGCTACCCTCCCGTTCCCCGTCATCTATGAGCAATCCCCGCGAGGTGCCAGAAGCCTCTGAAAGGTTATCTCACTCACTGTAGATCATTGCTCGGTGTATCGGTGGCCAAGATGCCAGCAGGGAACAATGCAGTGTATCTGCATCTGCTCAAACAGCATCATGCTTCTCTATGTGCCTCCTCATCCCTCGCCGCTCCGCACTATGCCCTCGCTGTGCAGTCCTTAAATCGATGCCCCGTTGCCATGGACTCGATCGAGGAGCTCGATGCCCTGGAAGGCTTCTCTGCAGGAGTGCGAAGACGCCTGCACGAGATGGTTGAATCAGCTGGTGGTTTGGAATCTGCTAAGAGGGCAATCGAGGAGGAGCGCATCAAGAAGCGCGGTAGAAGGAGCTTGGTGCAAGATCTTGACGAGATGGAGGCGCAGGAAGAGGAGATTGCCATTCAGGCCGACATTGCTGGTCCTTCAAGACAGACTTCTAGCAAGCGGCAAGCGACCATGGCAAGAGCCAAACCTCGAGCCTCATCAGAGCAGGGCATTTCTAGGACCACTTCAGCCTCATCGTCAAGCAAGTCACGCAGATCAGAAAGCACTGAAGGTGACGAAGGACGAGCATCTACGACAACAGCTCAGAAGCAAGTGCAGAGTAGACACAAGAGTGCCTACATGCCTGCTCCCCGTTCAGGGGCCTGGGGCATCCTGATCGCCATGTACCTGCTCTCTAGCGAGGAAGGTAACGCCGGCGGGGCCAGCGAGACGAGCTACCACAGCAAGGAGTCTATCATCTCCAGAGGCCAGAAGTATTGCCGGGCTTCGTACACCTACACCGTCTCTCGTAAATCAGGTTCGAGTTCTGCTTCTGCTGGAGGAGCCAAATATCTGACGGCATGGAGCGCGATGAAGACTCTGCTCAACAGAGGCATGGCATGGCAGAAGGGCAGGCCTGCTACTTTTGGGCTCAGCGAGGAAGGCAGACAAGTAGCAAGGGAGATTGCAGTGAAGGAAGGTAAGGAAGACGAAGAGGAAGTATTCGAAGGCGGATGGGGAAGGCAAGGAGCACAAGTAATTGAGGCGGTCAGAGCGGACGAAAGTAGGATCCCTTCTATGACAGTCCCTAGATCAGCGCTTCTTGAGCAGCTCGAAGTTCTGGAGACGAGCTCGCTGGTCACCACCGGAAAGCGCAAAGCGTCGGCCAAAAGAGCAGTTGCTCCCACCGACTCGGTACGAACGCCGGCGCAGACAGCTAGAAGCCGACAGCCCAGCAAGACCACTGCATCATCCGACGCCTCTGACGACGAGGCTCTCTTCAGCTCAGACAAGGAAGCGACGGAAAGCACTAGCAGTGGACCTCCTCCACCAAGGCCGCCTCTTGCATCGCTAAGCAACCGGACTGTCAAGACTACCTTTGCACCACTCAAGCTACCTCCGAAAACCAAAGCCAACCCTATCACTGCCCTGTACCTCCCCACGAAGGAGCGGCCAAGGGCCCAAAGTACGCTGAAGCTGCCACCACGCACCTACGATGCTCAACCGCTGGCTCAGACCCGAGTGCCATCGTCGTGTACGGAAGTGATTGTCATCGACGACTAGTGCAGATTCTCACTTTCCATGTCTTGGCTCTTATACCCAAATGTATTTCATTGTCGTTGTCATTGTCGTTGTCACTCTTCGTCACTGCAATGATCATTTCAAGTCGCGTCCCAGCTCGCGTCGCCTCCCGTTCTCTTTCCGCATGTGAGCCTTTTGATTCCGCTTCGTGCATCTTTCCTATCATCCTCCTTGTCCCTCGACGGTGCCCGGCTCATCCAATGAGGTCTCTCGCTCGCTCAGAAGGATGACAAGCGATCCTACCACGCCCTCTGCGGTGCAGCAGCACTCGACCTTCAAGCCCCGCCTCCTCTACCGAGGCCCACTACGGCTGGCCGATGGCACCCTCTTACCCGGCGTGGCCTTTGTCTCTACCGTCTCGCCCTTCGACTCGAGTCCTTCTTCCAGCCAGGACAAGGGCGATAATTATGATGCTGAGATTTGTCTAGCTCTGGAGATGGTGAGGGGTCAGAGGGTCGTCGGTATCGACTTGCTTGATCAAGCCGACGTGAGAGGGACAGGTGAGAGGGGTGGGGTGGGGGATGGGGTGAGTGGCCGACAGAAGGTAGATGGGCGCGAGGTGGATGTGACGATCGAGGCCACAGGAAGAGTCAAGATGTAAGTGCACTGCACGATCTGAGTCCGAAGATAGCTCTCTGTCTGCGTTGTCAAACGGACTTCTCACACAGACTACGACGTACCGCTTTGCACCCTTGTGGCTCTCAGGTACATTGACCCTCGGGAACAAGCCACTGCTTCCTTCTTCGAGCGACACTTCTGCTGGCGAGACGACTGGAGCAAGCTCGATCGAATTAGAGGTCGCCACGTCTTTGCTCTCTCGACCGCCCCAACGAGCCACGACTTTCAGTTCTCTGACTCTCAGTCCCAAGACCCCTTCGTGAGCTCCTACTCGCAGGGTTTTGGACCTCCTGCCGTAGTCGACGGGAAAGCGCATCAGCTGATACTCTTCGCCCGTCTTGCGGATGAATCATCGACGTCTGAAGATGGAAGTCGCGGGCTGGACATCGTGGTCGGAAGGCGATTAGTGAAGAGGAGAAAGGCAAAACAGGCCCTTGCAAAGCAGCCCCGCCCGGATGACCCTCTCCCAAGGGCTGCTGCCCTCGCCGACTTGATGCTCTCACAGCGGGGTGGTCCTCCGCCGAGGTCGTCCTCCCCTGCGGATCTACCCTTGCCGGCGAGGTCGCACGCAAGCAAATGGGCAAGAACGCCCTCACTGGGGGTTTCTGCTACTTCTGTCGGCGAAGTCACGGGAGAACATTCACAAGGCCCAGCGTCAGCAGCTGCACAATTGGCAGAAATCGTGCCTCGCGCTCGTAGCGCAGGCGGTAATCACACCCCAGGCCGCAGAGGCGAGAAGCGGCAGAAGGCAGCAATGGGCGCAGAAAGGGAGGGTGGCACCCCTGCACCTGGCAGCCCATCACAGATGCTTGCTTCACCCTCGAAGCGTCGGCGAGCAGACGAGGTGGATTTGACAACTACATCGAAGCGGCGAATGGAGCGGACGTCTTCCTCTGCCTCTGCTGCCGCGACTGCTAGCAAGAGCCAATCCCTCAGACCCCCTTCCCTCACTCCCTCGAGTCGCAAGAGTAGGAAAGTCACCCCCTCGAGCTCTGCGGCGGTCACGCCCGAATTGCCAGACTCTGCCGTCTTCTCCAGCTTCGAAGAGGCAGACGAGTCGTCAGCAAGCAGGACCGAGGGAGTGAAACCGATCAAGGGCAGCGGCAGCAAGACGGGCGCTAACCCCTCCTCCTCTTCCTACTCGGCCCTAGAGACCCGCAACCGCGGCACGATCAAGAAGCTCGTTCAGCACCAGCTCCTGGGGCGTGGGCTAGAGCGGGGGGACGAGGACTTCGAGCGCTGCTTCACCGCCGCCTACCACGGCACTGCTCTCGCACTGCGCCATACCCTTTCGAACATGGCAGTAGAGAGACTGCAGGCGGCACAGCTCGTGGCTTGCCATCTGGGCATGTACCTCCCTGCATCTCCACCCATCCTGCCTCCTACTGTTGGAGTGGGGGTGAATCCGGGTGAGAGTCAGGCGCAGACGCTGAATCAAGGGTATTCGTCTCGAGGGGTCAAAGTGGAGATCAAGGACGATGAGGGGAGCGAGGATGAGGCGAAGAAGCCGTTGAGAGATGCACTGTCGCCCTTCTGAGAAGTGGAGTAAGCATCGAAGCTCTGCTGCCCCACCTGCGGCGCCCTCCTGTGCAGGGCTGCCTTGTACAATAGAGCAAAGAGCAGATAGGTAGAGATTATAGATTGTCAGAGTCATTTACAAGATGGCATAGAGGGCTCTTTTTCGCCCTTCAGAGTGGAGTGACGTAATTTGCGGGGAAGACTGAAAGAGGAAGAGATGGGACATACTTCAGCTAAATCTCTCAGGAAGCTCGCAAGCCATTCGCTCCTGGCATGTCTTTATACTCACTTCCGCTCCTCGTCTGTCCATCAGCAGTGATGCTCCCACGATACCACTGATCTCCCTCCATGCCCGTCACATCAATCACCTGGCCCGCATGGAACGTGAGGTCCCCATTCTCGACGCCTGCAAAGTCGTAAGATGCCCTTACTCTGCTTGGGTGAGAAGAATGAGCGGGTGGAGGAGGAGGAGGAGGAGCACTACCACCCCCGCTGGCGCTACTGGCGCTGTATCCCCCTGCTGTCGAGGCAGCCGCATCTTGCTGGGCGTACTGCCTGCGTAAAGCTTCCTTTTCAGCCACTGCATCGCGTGGTCCAGCATCGCCATCAAAATCAGGAGGAGGAGCGGCAGTATAACCTTCTGCGTCGTTGTACGTAGGAGGTGGGACTGCATCCGTGGAATGAGCACCGCCTGGGGCCTGACTGCCTTTGTTTTCTGTTCCGCCAGAGTGGAAAGTGCTAGAGGCAGCAGCGGCGGTACCTGCGGCCGCTGCACCTCCCACTGCAGCACCGCCATAGCCAGCATTGCTGTGATCTGCCTGTCCGTATCCCGTCTGTTCATATCCCGAGGCTCCATACTCCGCGCTACCTTGCTGATGATCTCCATACCCCTGTCCCACTTGAGCGTTTGCATTCTTGAAGTCGTCCTCCGAGACTGGAATATCTCCTGGCGTCAGCCCTTGTGGAATGGCGTCTGTACCGAGGAAGTCCGGTCTGCCTTCGGCTGCATACAAGGTCTGCATCAGGGGTTTGGCGGCGGGAGGAGCTCGCACTTTGCCTTGGAAGATGTCTGCGACGGTGACTTTTTGGCCATAAAAGCGAGCGTTGGCGTCGTCTCGCTGATCGTGGGAACAATAAAGTGAGCAGAGAGGTCAGACAATTGTGGAACCCGGGATAAGGAGCACTCGCTTCCAACTCACCTTGAGAATGATCGTACCGTCGAGCTGCAGTCCAGCATACACTCCCTTGGACTTGGAGTAGGACCATACTGGCTTAGCTTCCAAGCCGCTGTCGATCATAGCACCATTGCCTACTGGCCCTGCAGCGACACTCAGCTCTCCTCCGACGGAGACCTTGGGATGTGTAAAGGCCTTAAGAGTCTCTGGCTTGCGGATGACGAGGACCACATCGTACTGATGCAGGAACAGAGCAGAAGTGTCAGTTTGTCAGGCTTTCGCTCGCCTCGCCTGTACTTTCTCACGCAGAGAACAACTCACAATGTCTAGACCGACCAGAAGTCCCCATCCCAAAGTATGAACCAGCAGGCCAGAAGGCGGACCCCAAGATCCATCAGGCAACCTCGCCATGACCACTCCGGAGCCACCCGCACCAGACCACCCAAAGCCCGTCCTGAAGCATGTGAAGATGGCAATTCCACAAGCGCCCTGGATAGCCTTTTCCGGAATCTTCCTCACAACCTTTTGTGTCTTCCTGTGCTGATTTGGGTCACCTCCAGGGGTCTGGGCTACTCCTCCGCTGGCTTCGGCTCTAGCGCCTTCGTCGGCCCTGGCACCTTCGATGCTGAAGGTGCGTAGGATCCTGGCGGCCTTGTCAATCTCTCCATCGGCTAGCTCAGTGGGCCAGAAGGCTTCGGCGCCCAAGCGACCAGCGATCTTGTTAGAGGCCCTGCCGATCGGATCTGCAAGATGAGTAGCGAAGCGCAGAAGCAATGACAAGAGAGACAAGGAGTGATGAGACGATGGTCACTGGGTAGGTCTCTCAAGCACGTAATCCTTGTTCTCCTCACCTAGCACTTTCCAAATTCCTGTCTCGAGAGACTTGTACGACTGCCCAGCCGCCTTGGCCCTGGGGTCGGAAGCCATCTTATTAAATGTATCCTTGATGCCCATGATGACGTCCCTGTATGCTTTGTATCAGTGATGGGCTGGTCGAAATGAGGGGACAAGGCTACCTTGGTGTCACTGGAAGATTGTAAAGAAGGCGTGGAAGAGGTCGGTTAGAAGTGAACGTGGTGGACTGAGCATGCCGGAAAGCGGTGCAAGTGGAGCAGGGCGGTCAGATCACTCATGACGTGAAAGTGGCGGCAGCGGCTACGGAGAGACCATCAGCTGAGGCGTACTGAGCGTTTTCGTAGAAGGGAAAATGTACAGTTGATACAGTGTATATGGGTGGCGGAGCAGCAAGCCCGATGGTCGTATGCCCTTGCACGCCGAGAAGAATTCATTCGCGATGGCATTGCCGGTCGTGGAGGCACGCGGGCTTGTACAATGTGCTCCCCTCTCGATCACGCCTATCAGACGATCGGACTCAAACAGTAACGTATGGGTATGGGCGCAGCAATCGAGCAGTGTAGATTGGCGACGAGGTGGAATGGCCGTATCAACTAAAATACAAGGATAGGAAAGTATGTGGTGCGGTGAGGCATGGTAAAAAAGCGAAGGAGGAGAGTGAGAAAGGCCCAGATAGGAGTCGGGAGCCGTTTAGGCGCCGAAACCGTAAAGGGTTCGTCCCTGCCTCTTGAGAGCGTAGACGACGTCGAGGGAGGTGACAGTCTTCCTCTTGGCGTGCTCAGTGTAGGTGACCGAGTCGCGGATGACCGACTCAAGGAAGAGCTTGAGGACACCACGGGTCTCGTCGTAGATCAGACCAGAGATACGCTTGACACCACCTCGTCGTGCGAGACGGCGGATAGCGGGCTTGGTGATACCCTGGATGTTGTCACGAAGGATCTGGTAGAGGTAAAAGAGGAGAGGCGTGGTGATGTGTGAGTAAGGATGCGCGTGACAATGCTGCGTTGCGTGTGGGTGTGTTGTGGTGCTCACCTTCCTGTGGCGCTTAGCTCCACCCTTGCCGAGACCCTTGCCGCCTTTTCCTCGTCCAGTCATTGTTGTATAAGTTGTTGGTGGGGGTGGGGTTTGGTGGTGCCGAAGCAAGTAGTGTTCTGTGTGTTGTGTAGAGTGGAGTGGTGAATGGTGAGCAATGTGTGTCGAAGCGCGTTGTGTTGCGTTGTGTGCGGAAGGGGGTGGCTGATACTCACGAGAGAGGTGGGAGTGGTAGTGGTGTGTGAAGAGGGGAGAGTGGCTGAGGAGCGCATCTGTGGTCGGGTCTTATAGTATTTTCTCACCTCGACTCGGGTATCCGCCCAAGGTAGGCGGGGGCCCAGTCTGGTGTGCTGCGCTGACGGCAGCCTGGGAAGCCAAGCCTCCCCGCTCTCTTCCTTCCTGCGCCCGGGCTGATCGGAGGCTGCGTTGCTGCGAAAGAGAGTGTGCGTGTGTGTGTGTGTGTGCTGCGCTGTGTGTGTTGTGCTGATTCTACGCTGCTGATCTCTGCCCGCGATTGATGGTGGACCTGTGGCCATCAGTGGCGCCTTGGAATCCCCGTTTGTGCGCCTGATCTCTTCCTCGATCAGCGCTCAGAAAAGGCGTTGGCACTGATCCCATCACTTGGCCCGCGCCCGCACCAAAGGCCACACGCGCGTCGCTCTTTCCGTAGGTGATGGGATCACTGGTGCGTCCCTTTTCCTCTAGCGCGACTCAGGCGCTTCTGATGGGCCAACGGGGAATGTACAAGCCACTGCACCTCGCACGATGATCGACTGATTCAGCGTAGCGACTACGTACGCACGCACAAGCACGCCTGCAGCCACACACGCACACACACACTCCACCCCTTTGCCTCCGCCCTGTCATGCTCCCTCGCTCTGCCCCCGCCCTGTCCTGCCGTGCCCCGCCCCGCCCTGTCCTCGGTCCCAAACCATTCATAAGCCAAGGCTAGATTCCTCTCCTCTCCCCATCTTCTCCTCACACTACCACTCTTCACTCTCTCTACACTCTCGTGAGTACTCGGCAACACACCTGCCCCTGCGACGTTCACTCAGCGTACCCACAAAGCTAACCTTGCCTGCCTGCCTTGCACTCACTCCTTCTAGAACACCAACCACCACCAACCCAATCACCAACTACTTTCACAATGGCCCGTACTAAGCAGACCGCTCGCAAGTCCACCGGAGGCAAGGCCCCCAGGAAGCAGCTCGCCACCAAGGCTGCCCGCAAGTCCGCCCCCTCTGCCGGTGGTGTCAAGAAGCCCCACAGGTACAGGCCCGGAACTGTCGCTCTCCGTGAGATCCGACGATACCAGAAGTCGACTGAGCTCCTCATCCGAAAGCTCCCCTTCCAGCGCCTGGTCCGTGAGATCGCCCAGGACTTCAAGACCGACCTGCGATTCCAGTCCTCTGCCGTCATGGCTCTCCAGGAGGCCTCCGAGGCTTACCTCGTCTCCCTCTTCGAGGACACCAACTTGGCCGCCATCCACGCCAAGAGGGTCACCATCATGCCCAAGGACATCGCTCTGGCCCGCCGACTCCGAGGTGAGCGAACCTAATCTGGTTCGCACCACTGCCTCTCACTTTGGCCTCTGATCCATGGTAGCTGCTAGCTAGCGAGTACGATGAAGGAATAGTCACCACCTCTCTCATGGCGACGGCAGCGACGCGAGCTGGAGCGTACGCGCGCCTTCTACCCTTTCTTCGCTACCACTATGATCTCTTTCCTCCGCACCCTTTCATGTATGCCCCTTGTATTCTAGCCTCCTTCTCTTCTTCAATCTCACTGCCTCTCGTTGCTTCATACCAACGAGTCGCTAGCTATATCCACATACTTTGAAGTCGTCTGACATTGCTTGACTATGACTTGGGCCGTCTGTTTCGCGTCTGAGCCACCCTCTCCCGGAAGATCCACTCGCTCGCTCCCTTTCCGTGTCTCTCAATCTCAACGCCCACCACTTCCATCCCAAGGTCCCTCAAACCTCCTACTAACGACTCCTCCTGAGTGAGCATCATTGCGATGCCTACATCAACGCCTTCCTCCTCGTCTCGTGCAACACAGCCATACCCCCCCGCTACAGTGGGCCTCTTCGCCCCGTCCACCTCTGACGAAGAACATGAGCTGATACAGAAGTGGCTAGGCGAACAGCATACATTCTTCCTCAGCCTTGCCCGGATCCATGAAGAAGCCATCAAGGAAGCCAGGAGAGACACGGGTAGCAAGTGGAAGAGGGAAGAGGATTTGATGGACGATGATGGTGAAGATGATGGGTGAGTGGGAGGTGAAAGCGAGGCAGACGTATCCGAATCGTTCTAACATCCCCCTTCCACTTGTCCTGTCTGGCGACTTCCCTTTTGCTGCTGATCAGGCCCTCTTCTTTACATCTTCCCTACTATACACGGCTCTTCCATCTTGTGATACAGTCGAATCGGGATCTGCTCGAGCAGCTGGCCGAAACACCATCGGCTTCGACATCTCCTTACCTTCCTCACCTCTCCCGTGTGCTCCTGCCCATTCTCACCCTCGCACAAACTCTCTATCTCTCCCCCAATGCTACGGATCTTCAACACGCAGGCGAGGGCATCATCGGCGAAGAGCTGCTTCATTGGCTCAACTCGTACGATCTCGCTCCTACCACTGAGCAGGGAAGGGAGATTGCAGCTAGCGATGAGCCATACCTTCATGCGAACTATTGGGATTACATCCTGCGGTGTACATTGAGAGGCTTCCATTCTACTGTGGGTACTCTGCTTGCCACACTGCTATCTCTTCCGTCCAAGTCTCTCAAGACCCTCGTCGCTCGGATGAGAGAGCTCATCAAGGCCTTGCCGAGAAGCACAGAATTCAAGACCGAGGTGCAGTTCAAGGCCGCACGGAGAGACTTTCATCTCAAGCTGATGGGCATCTTGGCTAGCCTCGAGGCCGTCATGGACGAAGTGCAAGACGAGCTGACGAGCTCCTTCGAGGATAGAGATGATCCAGAAGAAGAGGCAGAAGACCTTCGCTTGTCGCTCGAGGCTGGTTTGCGGATCTTCCTGGAAGTGCTAGCTGGCAATAGGGAAAGGGTAGTGGAAGCTGCTGAGGACTGGAAGGAGGCATTGACGGCCTGGGGTACTTTGGTCGATGTCGGCTTGAAACGTGATGGGCTGGCCGATGCGTTGAGCAAGATCATGAACCTGCGAGGGGAGGCTTTGGAAGAAGGGACAGCTTTGCCAGACAAGGCAGAACAGATCATGGTCAAGATGATCAGGGGAGATCTCGCTGGTGCGGCTGGTTCGACGACGGCTCTGGACCCCTACCTGGCTCAAGTCCTGCTTGACTTTTCAACAAAGCTGAGACTCCTTGACGAAGGTGCTGAGAGCGAGGAACAAGTGACGCCGCTTGAGAGGGCGAATCTGGTTTACTCCAACACACTCCTTGCGACACACGGTCTCTGGAGGATAGCAATGGACTACTTGTCCGAAGCGGGTCCCAGTGGTACAGCTCGAATGAGCCAGATTCTGCTTGGTCTGCCTCTTCTTGAGAGCGCAGATGATAAGAAGAAGAGGTTGGCAAGGCAGCCGACTGAGGACGAGAATGGGGAGGAGATAATCGTGGAAGAGGTAGACGAATTCCATCTCACGGAGTCCGTCCTCGAAGCTTGCTCTACCTTTGGGCTTGAACGCGAAGCCAGGGCAGTCTGCCGAAAGCTCAGTCTCCATCTCTCCTCTGGAGCGTCGCAAGACGAACAGGCTACCCCTCGATTCGGCCCGGCTGTCATCTACGCTCTTCGCAGTCCTCCTCGAGGTGACGTTGCTGTACTCAAGACCATCAAGGGGAGGATGCTTGAAGGTCTGCTAGACCGCAAGTCACGCGCGGCTTCAGCGACGAGCTCTACAGCAGAGGAATGGTTCATCGAAGAAGTCACGGAGATCAAGCGCTGGCTCATCAAGAGTGCCCGCAGAGACGCCCTGGGTGATACTCAGACAGACGGTGTCCAGCAAGGTCCCTTCCTCAACCGTACCAAGCGCTCTCTTGCTTCTCGTGGAGATGGTTTCGCGGAAGAGGACCAGTATCTCCTAGACGACGAGGAGGAGTTCAACCATCACTTCGCCCAGAGCCTCCCACCTGTCCTCCTCTTCCTCACCAACCTCGCCCGCTTCTTCAAGATCAAGCAGGAGAGCGGCAATGGTCCTTTGTCTATCACCTTTCTCCTGGAGCTGCTTAATGCGGGACTGGTAGACGGAGACTGGACCTCTGTGTGTCTGTACGAGATCGGAGAGGCACTGCAGAGGAGCGGATCGACGGCGACTGAGCCTGCCCTATTGTACGACTCGCTACGACTTCTCGAGTCCATCTCATTCAGCGCATCTCTCTCCGAGGAGGAAGAGGAGTTCTACCTTGGCAAACTCGGCATATGGACCGCCGGAGGTAGGCGCGGGAGAGGAGAAGCTGGGGGCGCGGCGATGGTGGAGATGAAGAAGGAAAGACTGGATAGGGCTCGGAGATGTTTGCAGACATTTAGACTGAGAGTGGCAATGGCTCTCGGCGTTGGTGGTCTGGGTAGCAGCAGCGGCAACAGCAGCATCTTTGGGACAGACAGTACGACTGCTGTTGCTGCTACGAAGAGCGGTCTGACAGCAGCAGGCGGGGACGAGATGATGGATGGCGAGATTTAGGATATAGCAATCAATTAAGCTTCCTGATACGAGGCATTACAAATAATACTAAAAGTACATCCGAAACGAGAGCATTATCGTGACAATACATACGACTACCTGAGTCGCGCTACAATCTAAACCCACCTGCCCTGCACCTCAAGCAACGTCTCCAACCGACAGATGTCCGCTCCCCCCTCCTGCTCTCCCTCCCCCTCCGCTACAGCCTGCAGCAATTGCCGGTACGTCTTTTCCTCTGCTGGAACATTTGCCTCAGTCCCAGTAGCGGAGCTAGTGTCTGTAACGGGGCAGGGGAGGAGAGTGAGACCTAGGCCCTGCACGAGGAATACAGGAGTGCCGTGTGTCCTCTCCTCTGTTGCTGGGAAGACCTCGGATGACGCACTGCTTCCGATCGTCTGTGCCCTAGTCCGCTCTCCTTTGGGCACCATGGTGACCTCAGCCCACCCTTCCTCTTGCTGCCTCGTACCTGCACAGAGCGCAGCCAGCCTATCCCTTGCAGTCTTGAGATCCTCATGCCCCTTTGTGCTGTGACTTGCAGCTTCCGATGGACGCGCCACGATGCCCACCCAGACCAGGAGAGCCGCTATATGCGCGTGCAGGCGCGTCAGCGTTCCAGATGCGTGTCGTATTGTCTCTGCTTCCGAGAGAGAAGAAGAGAGTAGGGTGTGGGTGCGCGACTGATAGGAGAGCAGGGAGGAGAGAGGGACTGTGGATGGTGGAGAATAGTACCAGAGTGTGTGTGAGTCTCAGCAGCCAGCTTCAACCGCCTACGGCGCACCGATGATACTCACTAATTGACTGCAGATAGGACAGCAGAGTCTTTGCAGCATCGTCCGCCTTTGGTCCGCACCCGTAGCAGAAGACTTCGACGATCTCTTCATAGAAGTGCACCTGGATGAGATGTTTCAATAGCCCCTCTAGCAGATGTGCGCGCTGTTCCAGCGGCGTCTCGTCTAGACCAAGACGTTGCAGTGGGCGTGGTAGAGCGGACCTGCTCGAACTAGCGAGAGGATTCGAGGATTGCATTTCTCTTCGTTGTGAGCTTGTCATCGAAAGATGGATTTCTTCCGAAGCCCTTTGCACGCTGTCATTGTACTGCGTCAGAAGCGCCTTCAGCTTTTCCCGCCCGCTGTCGGTTCCCCGTGGCACTGTCACGGCAACGGGCGCAGGGTGTTTATCGAGGGCCTGGGCATGATCTCTTCGAAGTGCTCCGTCTGCAAGATCAGTGGAGCTTGTTAGACTGAAGTCTTCTTCCCTGCCTCCAGCAGTGTTGAAAGTCGACGGCGCTCCTCTTGTAATGGTCGCTGTGGACACGCGCAACGAGTCTTGTGTCACTTCGTGATCGTCATCGAATGGGTCCGCTCGGCTTTCAAGGGCGGCACGATCAACACGCACAAAGTGCGAGATTTCAGTAGCTCTGATAGTAGGCTGCGTCTCTGCACGCCTCAGACCTGGCCTCGGAGCAGAAGCCGACGAAGGTGAGGGCGATACAGCAGTTGTCGATATCTTCGCTCGGATAGCTCTGCGCGCAGGCGGGACAGGGCCTGTCTTGGCCCAGTGCACCTTGAAGTAGTCTTGAGAGTCGACCGGACTAGATCCCATCGCTCGGGAGCTCTCGACATCCGTATGGCGTCGGACCATGGCACCGTGTTGCGCCTTTACCGGATGCATGCTGTCGGCGAAAGTGTCAGGGGCATGATAGGGCGTAAAGAGGTCATCTTCCGAAGAGGAGCTGCCACTACCGTCGCTATGCTGTAGATGTAGCGCATGGAATCCGGAACCTCCCGTGGTGTCGACACGCAGCGGTATCTCGGACGGAATGCTGCTTGCAGGAGCTCCACGCGCTTCCAGTCTGGACACGCATTCGGGGGGCGGAGGAGATCTTCGTGCAGCATAGCCTTGCTCTGAACCCGTAAAGTGATCAAAGTCTGCCTCCACACTGCTGCCACAATTGTCCCACTCTAAGCCGGGGGAGTCGGCTCTTAGTCTCTCGCCCCGATCAAGCTTGAAAGATTTGCTGAAGGACCGAGCAGAAGCTTTGCTGCGAATACGGCTGATCATTAGGGCGACAAGTCTATGGTTTTGTTGCAGTACGAGGGGAAAGAGAACTCAGGAGACCACAAGAAGCTGCTATGTATCCTTGATACAGACTTTTTCACGCATTTCATCGACCATGCTAAACGATCGCCGGTTCCGTCGGGGTCTCGCGCCGTCGACAACAAAGGAGCGCCCGCTTTGACCCCTTTTTTTTTAAGGGTCCTTATCACTTTTCGTGCCCCACTCCGGAGTCCGAGCTTTCCGGTGTCTCAGACTCGACGGCTGTATCATCAGCTCCGTAAAAGCAGTTGACACACAACCCTGCTCGATTGCACATAGACAGCTTGCACCCTCACACCCTCGGACTATCCGTACACGTGAGGTCTCCGTACCGATCTCGAATGCGGAGATGGAATTACTTCCCGAGGCAACGGAAGTGGATGCGGAAGCGGAAGCGGAAGCGGCCCAACTGTGCGGGCCGCGGGAAGGCGCTATCGAGGATTTTTGGCGAGGTGCCGGCCGGGAGCTGCCAGGAATAGACAGAACATCAGCCTTCGTGTCCTTCTCGTCTTCCTGTACGGCCGCTATCGAACCGCCTTCCTACACTCTTTCGGGAATCAATGTGTGGTGGCCCTAAGTCAGACATGACTCGAGGTCGCTCCCCACCGAATGGTGTCACTCCACCCGTCACGCCTGGCGGAAGCCTCCTCTTCTCACCACGGACGCGTGCGCGGGACACGTCCACTACGCCGCGAAATCAGAGCACAGAGAGGGATGCCTACTTCAGCGAAGAGGACCAGATGAGGCTCAGAGATCTCGACTCTCATTATTGGGCCCAGCAGACACCCATAGATGAAGCTGCAGGCGATGCATTGTTCGACGATGGAGCATCAGACGCTACACAAGGGCCGGAAGAAGGAGCGGCACCGGCTCAGCCCTCTGCCTCGCGCCTTACGACCTCTGGGTCAGACCACGCTATCATCTCACCTTCGGGTCAGGCCGCCGTCATGGCGTCACTGGGCTCCAATATACTGCCATCTGAGCTGTACTCTACATCCCCAACCATCTCATCACGCAAGCGTCCCTCGCCTCCTCACTCTCCCACTAGACCCTCATCGCAGCTCGAAGATCCCCTCACATCGGAGCTCAAAGCATTGTACAAGAGCCTACACACGTGCATGATGCTGAGAGACAAGTACATGGACGTCTCACTACAGGCGAAGCTCGAAGACAACCCAAAGAACTGGGACGCAGAGTACTGTCAGCAGTGGCGCAAGCAGAGAGGTCTCCCGTCCTCTACGACTGATGTGGCAGGTGACGCAGGGCTCAAGGTCGATGGGTCCGCTCTGAAGGACGTAGATGACCCCGAGAGCGAACCAAAGCCGTGGAGCATCTATCCTGCCCCGCCAAGGCCTCACTGGGAGCTCTTCAACCCGCCGCCTGCTTCGTCATTCGTGGTGAGGTCTCACTCGGGCGGCACATCCACTCTGCCCAAGCCTATTCCCCCGGCATCTCCGGCCAACGCAGCTGCTGCTCAGAAGCTGCTCGAAGAGACTGGAGGAAGACCTGGAGTATTCGACCCGGCCAATATCGAGGTCCCCGGAGAGTGGAGGTGCAAGGCTCTGACTGGCAACGAGAAGATCGAGTACGCAACAGACGTCAATGGCGTATATCAGGTGCATGTAGTAGGCGATGGTTACAAGCGTCCACTTGATCCAGACCTCCGGATCCCGACTCTGAGAGACTATTTCAAAGACTTAGACTACCTGCTAGGGGTCATCTCGGATGGGCCAGTCAAGTCGTTCGCATGGAGGCGGCTGAAGTATCTCGAGGGCAAGTGGAATCTGTACTCTCTCATGAACGAGGGGAGGGAGGTGGAAAGCATGAAGAGGGTCAGACATCGAGACTTCTACAACGTGAGGAAGGTGGATACACACGTCCACCATTCTGCAGCTATGAACCAGAAGCACCTGCTGCGCTTCATCAAGGCCAAGATCAAGCGTCATCCAGATGACGTTGTCATCTTCCGAGATGGCAGGGAGCTCACTTTGGCAGAGGTCTTTGCTTCCCTCAACTTGACGGCCTACGACTTGTCAATTGACACGCTCGACATGCACGCTCATCGCGAGGCATTCCACAGATTTGACAAGTTCAACACAAAGTACAACCCTATCGGAGAGTCGCGTCTGCGAGAGATCTTCATGAAGACGGACAACCTCATTCGAGGCAGATACCTCGCCGAAATCACAAAGGAAATCATGTCTGATTTGCAGAGCTCAAAATACCAGATGGCAGAATACAGAGTGTCGATCTATGGAAGGAACGTCGAGGAATGGGACAAGCTGGCCACGTGGATCGTTGAGAATGAGCTCTTCTCGCCGAATGTCAGGTGGTTGATCCAGATCCCGCGACTGTACGAGGTGTACAAGTCCAACGGCACCATCAACACCTTCCAAGACTTGCTCAACAATGTTTTCGAGCCGCTCTTCGCATGCACGCTCAATCCTCGTAAGCACCGCAACTTGCACATCTTCCTTCAGCGGGTGATTGGCTTCGACCTCGTCGACGACGAGAGCAAGGTCGAGAGGAGATACCACCGGAAGTTCCCGACCCCGACCAAGTGGGACATGAAGGAGTCGCCTCCATACACGTACTGGATTTACTACATGTATGCAAACATTGCTAGCCTCAACCAGATTCGAAGAAAGAGAGGCTTTGGTACGTTTGTACTTCGTCCTCACTCTGGTGAAGCCGGTGACACAGATCACCTTGCAGCGGCGTACCTCTGCTCTCAGTCCATCTCCCACGGCATCACACTCCGAAAGGTCCCGGCGATGCAGTACCTCTACTATCTGAAGCAAGTGGGCTTGGCGATGAGTCCTCTGTCCAACAATGCCCTCTTCCTTCACTACGATCGAAACCCCTTCCCGACCTACCTCAAGATGGGAATGAACGTTTCCATCTCTACCGACGACCCTCTGCAGTTCCATCTGTCAAAGGAGCCTCTACTAGAGGAATACTCGGTTGCTACTCAGGTCTACCGCTTGTCGCCGTGCGACATGTGTGAGCTAGCGCGGAACTCTGTGCTGCAATCAGGATGGGAGCGCGAGATCAAGCGACACTGGCTGGGTGTAAACTTCCATCTTGGAGGACCAGAAGGAAATGTGACTGCAAAGACCAATGTGCCGGACATTCGACTTAGATACCGTCACGAGACTTTGACCGAGGAGTTGGAGCTGATCGGTCGGTATGGAGGAAATCAGGAGGCTTTGAAGACGGCAGAGCAAGGAAGCGCCGGTAATGTCAGTAGGGGAGTACTGGGACAGGCCTCCAATGGCACCGCGATGGCCTTCTCGAAGGAGACTGCTGCGAGCGGAACTTCTCTCACTTCTCCTGCCATAAGCATCACTACCCCCTCTTCGATTTCGTCGAGCACATCAAGCGCTGGTGAGTCATCGCAGGATCCCTTTGCCGTCAGCGCCCTCTCGGCGTCGTTGCCCAGCAGCAACTGTCCACTTGATGCCAGGGACTACCCCGGCGTGGCGGACCTGGCGAGGAAGATGGAGCAGAGAAAGGCGAGGGAGCAGAAGTAGGAGTGCGAATGGTGCGGCTTCTGGGACATCTCTCTTAGTATTGTGTCTGTAATATGATGTGATTTGCAGCGCACCTGCCGCAGCAGGTGTGTGAGTCGTTGCGTGGACAGGGCTTCCGATTCGAGTGATGGTCGTGGACACTGCCTCGCTTGTGTGTATGTGTGTTTGTGTAGATGCGCTCGCGGGTCTTGAGTGGCTTCTGTCGAAGGATGGAGATGTAGGCACCAAACGAATGCTGCTGACCAGCCGTGGGCGATGGAGGGAGTGCCCCTGACGCCCTTTGCGCCCGGGTCTTGCTGCGCCGTGGATGCCGGCCTGGCTTGTCCGGTGGGCAAATCACATGCCCCTGGCAATGCCTCGTCGATCGTTCCTAACATTCTCTCGTTCGTCGTCGATTGGCGGTCAGGCACCTCAGCCCAGTCAGCCAGTCCCCCTCGAGACCACTATACGCCCGAAGCAATCTGCCTCGGCTCTCCTAAGCACCTCTGGCGCCTAAGCTGCCCCGACTGCTCTGGCCAACATAAGACAGGGTCTCTTCACCCCCTGCTCCAGTGTCAATCTGCCCCTCTCCCTCCTACCCTACCACACATCCTACCTCTGTCCCCATCTCCTTCCACCAGCTACTCACCACTTGTACTCAAACACGAGCTATGACCATGCTAAAGCAGCTCGCCCTTCTGGCCATCGTTGGCTTCGCCTCCCTCTCTTCGGTCAAGGCTGAATTCGATACCCCTCACAACCTGCCTGCGTGAGTACAAGAGGCTACCACACGCCGTCGTGGTGGTGAGTGGGCATTCAATGACTTGTTGCTGACAGCTGGCCACTCCCATCGTCACTCGTCCTTCCCTTGCAGCAAGAGCGACGGCAAGAACGGCCAGACCGGCTACAATGACTGCAGGAAGCGCTACGGAGACTCTCACGCAAAGGCCCACTGCCAGAACATGTGAGTACGAAGGCTGGCCTTGCGACGACATGTCGACATCAGCGACATCTGCTGATTAGCTCTTCGTACCCTCTCCGTCAGCTACGTGAACTCGGTCCAAGACTTCTGCATCTACGGTCCAGCCAAGCCTTCAAAGGTGTCAGATGTGAGTCAACGTAGCACATGCCTAAGTAGCAGTATTGTTCACTCACCGTGAAGATCATCTTTCACCACCTATGCGCAGGTCGAGGCCAGCGTCGTAAGCTACTGCACCAAGGAAGGCTACGGCACACGAACCATCCCCCCAGGCACCATCACCGGAGCTTCGTTCCTCAAGACTCCCCACTACGTTCAGCTTTCGCTCGTAGGTGACTTCACCAAGATCAATGTTGCCCCCAAGGACGAGGGCGGAGAGCTCGATGCCCACGGTGCTACCAACACGCAGAACCCAGTAGGTGCCCTTGTCTACAGCAGGTGAGTCGACCATCACAAGCATGTCGTCCGAAGTGCATCGCTGAAGAACAACAATGACCTCGTCTTCTCTGCAGAGCTTGGACCGGCGAGCATGTGCGAGCACACGAGTGGCACCAATTCCTTGGCTACAACGAGGCCTCGGTTCGTGCTTGCAACCCCGGCAAAGACAAGCAGCACGAATACTGCCCAAACCAGTACGACGAGATGGGTGCGTACATTACCTCCAGTAAAGTCTCAGCTGCTTCCATCGTCAACGATACTGACCTCCATGCTTCCCTACTTCCTTACTTCCGATTGCCACACACAGGATCTCAGTGGAACGACCCTGGACAATACGAGGCCGGCAAGTTCGAGAACTGCCAGGCCGAAGATGGACTCATCCCCGGCGTGTACCATGGCAAGCAGTGGCACCAGGGTGAGAAGCCTGTGCCCAAGGCTCACCCAGCTCCTCGCAAGTTCAACTGCAAAAACTTCAAGGGGCTCAACGGTGGCAAGGCTCGCCTCATCCCTGACTCTCGCCGAAGGTCGATGGCTTTCTCAAACGACCTTGAGGCGGACGAGCTTGCCCTTGAGAGGGACATGGATGCTGAGCAGAGGGCTGCCGACGACGAGCCCGATTGCGACGACAGCGAAGACTGTGCCGAGTAGATATGCTCATCCTCGACACCACCTCTACGGCGGCCCGCGGGGCTGGGCGCGCCAGATCTGTTGACTTGTTCCTATAGCCCAATTGCAGCCAGTCTCGTCCACACGACGGTTATGCTTGGCTCACAGGCTAGATATCCATCACTCCAGAGCCTCTCATCACTGTCTTTCCAGCATCTTGCGTGTCACCAAGGACTCTCTTTGAGCGCGAATCTCTACTGTTTCAGTCTACGTGCTTGTGAACGTGTGAGGATGAGTGGGATGTCGGAGTTTGATTCGCGAGGCGCGTGGAAAGCAACACCATCTCGGTGCTGCCCGGCCAAGTGTCCATCCCTCCGTACAGCCCTCATCATCTCTGTCATCACATTACCCACATCCACCCCTCGCCCTCCGCGGGACACTTCACAATGGACTATCATCTCTCCACCCTCTCAAACACCCTCTCCACCATCCGCTCGCTACAAGAACAGCTCCTGAACAATGGCAGCCCACAGCCCTTTACCAATGCCTTTCTCTCCTCTCAGCAGCCCGACTCATTCAACAAGGCCGTAGACCAATTCATCCGCGATACCAGTCCTCTCGAAAAGCGTCTCTTCCACTTTCCACCCGTCGGAGGCATGTTCGACGAGGCTGGCAAGGATGGACAGCACGCTGCTTCGGGCAAGAGGGATGTAGAGGAGGAAGCGGCTGATATCGCGGCGGAGATTGTGCCTAGAAAGCCAGAAGTGAGAAACGTGTCTATCCCTACGCCGCTCAGGTCCACCACGGCCACTTCTGGTGGCAGAGGAGCATCCTCTAGGTCGGGTCTTGGCGCTACGGGAGGTGCTGGAGGTGCAAGCAGTGAGGCCCTCATGGCCCAATACGACGCTCGAGCTCTCCTCGTGGCAGCTCAGCGTCTCAACGAGAATTACCAACGCCTTCCACGCAACCGAAAGCACATCCGTATCCTCCTCAAGAAGCACAACGAGTCTGCTGGACAAGTCGAGGGAAACAATGTCCAGGCTGCCAAGATTGAAGAGGTCCTCACGCGCATCGCAAACGGTGAGGACGTCTCGAGCTTGGAAGAGCTGCCGGCGCTGTTGAGTAATGGAAGTGAAGGAGGCGAGAAGGTCAAGGCTGAGGAGGAGAAGAGGAAGAGACAATTGAGAAAGCTCAAAGAGCTCAGGGAGAAGGCGCAGAGAATCAAGGATGAGCTCAACAGAGAGGAGATGGAGGTGCTGGCCTTGGAGGAGATGAGGGAGGAGCTGCTTCAGCAGGTAAGTCAAGCGCACAGACTGAGCGGGAAGTCAGATGATACGCACTGACTCACATAGTCACGCTCTTCGTTGCATTGTGAACTCTCAGAAGCGAGCCTTGGCCGGACAGAGGGCCACAGCCAGTGGGTCCGGCTCCACGGCTGGCTCGGCATCCACAGCTGCTCGCAAGTTGGCAGGTGGTGCTCCCCAAGCTGCGAGAGGCATCCCACGGCCAGCGAATGCTGCCACTGCCGCCAGCTCCAAGCAAAGCTCTACAGCTACCCGCAACTCGGAAGCTGTCGCAAAGGTCTTCTCCACCGGCGCTAAAGAGAGGGGCAGCATCTCTCCCGCAGAGGAGATGAAGAAGAAGAAGGTCACTCCCACTGCCACTCCTCCTCGTCCGGCTAGCACGAAGAAACCTGCTGGCATTGCTTCCTCCTCATCTCCAGCAGCGTCTTCTCCGCTCGCCGCCAGAGACACCGAAGACGATGTCACTGTCCGTTTGAAGCCAGAGGAGATTGCAGCTGCCAAATCAGCTGTTGCAGCGAGTGCCTCTCCCAGAGCCCGCACAGAAGGCCCCGGCACACCTCGTCGAGGCGGAGCTGCTGCTACCGCCGCCTTAGCCTCAGCAGGCACACCAACGCGCTCCACACCCACCCGTGCCACTCCTCAGAAGAAGACTTCCCGCGATCCAGAGGCGACGGACGAGCTGGAGCGTCTTACAGAGAAGATTTGGGACGCCTTTGGGGAACATCTCCGCTTCTTCAACCCTTCCCTTGAAGCAGCCGACTTCTCTACCACTCTCGGCCTGCTGCGCAAATCCATTGCCGCAAGTAGCAGCAACACCGCTCCTTCTGGCTCTTCGGATCCATCGGCTGCAAGAAAGGACGATGCCAGCTCCGTCACCTCTTCCGACGCTCCTTCTTCCAGCAGCGCAGGCTCATCGGCAACTCTCACTGGCAGTGCCGGCGGGCAAGGTGGAAGTGTAGCCGCTCCAACACTGCAGAGTCGCTTCTCGTCCCTGATCCTTCTGCAGCTCCTTCTCTCTCCTCCACCTGAACACTCCATTGATTTCCCCGCTCTCAAGCTCAAGGGCAAGGAATGGTTCGATGGTTTAGAGCAAGCCGATAAGGCTGCGGGACCTGAAGGGGCAGGGGCGGTCGGTGAGACGGAAGATGGAGAGGGGCTGACTACAAAGGCCGTTTATGCCCTGGTTGCCAAGAGGCTACTGCGCGTCAGGCGAGCGGCAGGTAAGGCTAGAATTGGATTCAGCTGATGGGGGGGAAGTCAGTAGAGAAGCCGATTGAGAGAGAGAGCAGCGGAAGGATCCAGACACCACCACCGCCTCGCCTGAGAAGCTTTTGTTGTACATGTGATATTGCCTTGAAATGCGAAGATGCGTCACTCTCTCAGTGACCCTACCTACTTCTTGCTCTTCTGTTGATCGTCTGCCAATTGCACGCCCATCTTGACCGCTCCCAGCAGGGCCGTCAGCTGAATGCGTTCTGATCCACCGGTGGAGAGACGATGTCTATATCATCGAAAGACGGTAGGCGAAGCCAGCGACACTGTCAGCCATCCTTCAAGCTTTGCTGCCCATCTAGCTCGCTTGCCCTTTTACTAGTCTGCCTTGTCACTCACTCGATCTGACCCAGCTGGTCTAGCAGGTATACGCGACTGGCGGCTGGCAGCTTGAGCGTCATGAGGAAGTCGTAGATGCCCGAGACCATATCTGCGAGCGCCATGCCTTTCTGCACCTTCATCGTCGTGATGTCTATGTGTGGGAGGCGATGTACGATTGGTCAATGCTCCCTCTCGCTGCAAGATACCCCGCTGGTCTCGCGCTACTCACTCTGGTAAGCCGAAGTAAACTCGTCGTTCATCATGCTTGTGACAATCGCCTCAATATCTGCTGGGTAAGGATTACCCGTGCAGTTATACACTGCTGCCTCATCGATGCGATCGTATGCTGCGTGACAGGCCTGCAGGACATTGAGAGCTCTCCTCATGTCACCCTTTGACAGCTTGAGCAGCGCTTCTTTGCCATCCTGCGTCAGGTTGACACTGGTAAGGAGGCGAGGAGAGGGCATCAGTCTCGACGTCTGGCATCTTGTCGCCTCCTCGGATGACCAGTGACTCACTTCTCTCGCTCAATGACGTGCTGCAGTCGGTCGTCTACCTGATCCAGCTCCAATGGGTTGAAGCGGAAGCGAGTGCAGCGCGATTGGATGGCAGGGATGATCTTGTTGACGTAGTTGCAGATGATACAGAAGCGCACGTTGCGGGTGTATTGCTCGATCACTGAACATACAGGGAGCAGGTGTCAGCCATGTGCTTCTTGGCAAGGTAGTCAATCGTAGCATGACGCAGACTCACCTCGCCGAAGGGCTCCCTGTGCTGCTGTAGTCATTGCATCGGCCTCATCGAGCACAATGAGCTTGTATGCGCTTGATGTGGAGCTAGTGAACACGTGCAATGGGGATGAAGTCTCAGATAGGAAACGCTTTGGGCTTCTGAACATCCGCATGTACACACCTGAAGACATTCCTGGTGCTGGCGAAGCTCTTTACTTGCTCTCTGACAACCTCGATACCTCTCTCATCCGAAGCATTGAGCTAGAGTGAGCGGACACACGATCATGTCAGCTCAGCGTCAAAGGTTTAGACGCTACCCCTCTGACGCCTCGGCTCACCTCCAAGACATTCTTCTTCCACTCATCGCCGTATATCCTCCTTGCCATTGCCAAGATGGTACTGGTCTTTCCGGTTCCTGGAGGCCCATAGAAGAGCAGATGTGGCAGACGGTTCTTCTCGATGAACTTCTCGACTGGGAACGAGGAACATTGCATCACCGTAGCAGGATTCAGAGGGATCAGCTCTCATCGTGTCAGGACGTGGCTAACATCGGAAGCTCACCAGTGGCTGTAATGTCTTTATGCGAAACGAGATCATCTAGCGTTGTCGGTCTGTACTTCTCCACCCTGTGAAAAGTAGACGAGAGCGTCAGGATATGGGGGCGCCTGCATGACAGATGACAAGCAATTGGCTGCTCACCATGGCAGGAGGTCTTCACTGTCTGTCGCATTGGCTTGAGCGGCTGCCAAGGTCGAAGGAGCCTCCTTGGCCTTGCCTTTGCCCTTTGAGGAGGAAGCTGCTGGTGCTGTGCCGCCATTGGGGACTTCGGACGAACTGCCGTTGTCCATCTCGGCGTCGTGATCGTCTTGAGACATGATCTTGGAGTGCAAGGAGGGTAGTGGGAGCTAAGGCACGGGCAGCTCGGGTGGAAGGTGTTACTCAGTCTGAGCCCGCCCGTTCAGGCGCGGAAGGCGGCGGACAGTCTTTGATGAGCGCGTCGTGCGGACCATCACGCAGCGTGTGTGCCTGCCTGAGCTTCCTCACCACTTCTCGCGCACACCTTCATCGCAGCAGAGTCGCAGTCAAGGCAGCATACATACACTACTTGACAACGGCATCGAATGGCTCGTAGAGGATATCTGACCCAAATCGGCGTGGTTCTCAGCCAAGAGCACCACAGCTGAGCAGGCCCCACTGTGCAGCCGACGGAACGGAAGGGACACGCCGGCTAATCAATGTGGGCGAGGCAGAGTGACTGCGCGCGTCTGCCTCCGAATTCGCTCCGTGGGGATTTTCAGTCGTGGGCCTCGCCTTGGCTTGCCCTTGTCCTACCATTACCTGACCCTCCAACTTGTTCCCCTCGTAGGAAGAAGAAGAAGAAGGTATTAGCAGTAGAGAAGTAGGTCTGAATCCCATCAGACCATTCTCCTCTCCCCCCTTCTCCACCCCTCCTCCTCCTTTTTCGCTCCCTGTTCGTCTCGGAGCTCTTTGGAGAAGCAGAGCTTCAGGAAGAAGCAGCAGCAGGGAAACCGTATCTCGGTCACCTCCCTCTTTCTCCCCGGAATCTGCCAGCAGATCCCGTGATTCAGGAGTCGTCTGTTCTTATCCATTCTCAGCGGCTACACCTTTTTAAAATCGGTCGGCGTTGCTTTGCTGAACACCATTACGAACGACTTCCCCAGCCGAAGCCCGTTCTTGCTTCGACGTCTGTTCTCCAGACACCTCATTGGACGATCTTTCTTCGTCTACGCATCCTCAGTTGCACATCAGTTGCAACTCAGTCTCTACAAGGGCAAGCCTTTGTCACTAGTTCCATAGTCGCGGTTTATACCTCTCTTGTCATTGCCTAGCAAACACTCGAGTACCTGTTCCGCTTGCCTCAATCTAGACCGCAATCATCTCTCCCCTCATCAAGCGCTCCCACGCCCACACATACACGAAGTATGAGCAGTTCCAACGACGGCTCATCTCAAAAGCAGCAAGCAGCATCCCCGGCAGCGCAATCTCCAGCCGCTTCAGCATCCGGCAAGGCCTCGTCAGGTGTTGCCACCCCCCCAGCTTTCAACTACGCAGCAGCTGCAAAGTCCAAGCAGCAGGCTGCGAACAATGGAGCATCTACCTCTCCCCCCGCTCCAGGGTCAGCTGCAGCGGTGAATGGCAGTGGCAAGGCGGCTTCCAGTACTACGCCCGCCAGCTCGAGTAATCTGAACCCTGCCTCCACAGGCGCTCCCAACGGCGTCGATGGAGCGGCAGGCAGGAGGCAGACTGCCGTCAGTATGCCCAAAGCTGCTCCAGGTGGTGCGAGACAAGGTGAGTGGAGAATCGATTGTGATGTACAGCTTTTGTGCTCGTCGTGGCGATGACAATGCTGACAGGTCTTCTCCTCCACTCTTTCTGTCGATGCAGGGCCAGGTGGCATCAACTTCGGATCAGTCCACGATTCCAGTGCAGCCCTCTCTTCCTCTCCCGCTGTGCACCCAACCTCCGGCGAGCATCTCCAAGGCGACAAGCCTGCTCTTTTCGGGTCAGTGGAAGCTGCTAAGGACTCCTCGAGCGAGTCAAAGCAAAAGGTCGTTGGTTTTGCAGGCAAAGAGTCGACTCCTCGTCCACCGATGGATTTCCAGAAGCTCTTCCAAGGAGGCGGCAACAAGGCTGGCGCTCCTAAGCAACCAGTTGCTGCCGCACCGGTAGCGCAGGAGCAGTCTACATCTTCAGGGCCAACCCCAGCTTCGACTGCAGCTTCGACTGAGCCGAGTGTCGACGCCTCTCCAGCGTCTCGTGGCTTGTCCGCTCCTGCTGCCAACCCTACTTCTACTCCCAGCGCCAGATCGCCTGGCATCGCCAATGCCACTCCCACTTCTCAGCATGCAGGAGCTAGGCCTTTTGAGCCCCAGCAATCGCCTTCTCCATACAACCACCAGCTGAGAGCACCGGCATCTGGAGGTCTGCCCCAATTCCATCCTCAGCAACAGCAGCACGGAGGTCCGCCCCAGTACCAGCAGCAGCAGCACCGTTCGCCTCACATCGGAGGTTACACTCCAGGCATGCAGCAGATGATGGGTGCCGGTCAAAACCAATGGCAGCCACAGGGTCAGCACCAGATGTACTACCCTCACATGTCCGCATATGGCTACCACCAGCAGTACAACGGCGCTCCTGGTCACCATTGGAACCAGCAGCAGCAGCAGCCGGATATGTCGCCGCGTGTGCCTGCTTCGCCCATGGCTCCTCCTCCCTCCTCGGCGTCGCTCGCACCATCGACTCCCGCGAACATGTCATCTCCCGCATCTAGCAGAGCCCACGCTGTTCCCTACTCTCCATCGACCATGCCAAGCAGTGTCAGCTCTCCTCAGCCTCATGCAAACCATCTAGGCATGGGTTACCCTCAAGGTGCTCGCGCTCCGCCTTTCGTGCACAGTGGCGCTGGTGGCTACGGAAACCACGCCCACACTCCATCGGGTTCGTTCGGGTCCGGCCCCGGCGCAAACCCAATGATGAGCCCAGCTGCTCGTCAATTCGAACCTAACAAGCGAGCCAGCAGTGCTATCCGCATTGTGAATCCTGAGACGAAGGCTGCCATTGACATCAAGTCTCCGGCACCAGCAGCTCCCAAGACGAGCGTCACACCGACTGCGACTAGCACATCCTCTCCTGCTCTAGCTCCAGCTACCGCTGCTGCAGTCCCAGCCCCCGCCACACCTACGAACAGGCCGACCCTGCCGGTCCGCACTGATTCGCCAGCTACTCAAACGAAGGCGCCCAGAACTGAGGCCAAGAACATCGAGACAGTCGAAGGCTTCCAGGCCAGGGTCAGGGCTCTTGCTGACAAAAACAAGCAGGACAGAGCCGCAGCCGCCGCTGCCAAGGAGCGTGAAGCTGCCGACGAGGAGGCGAAGAAGGCGGCCGCTGTGGCAGAAGAAGAGCGCCAGAAGAAGGTCGCCGCTGATGCTGAGGCAGCCAAGAAGCGCGAGGAGGAAGAGGTTGCGGCTCGCAAAGCTGCTGAAGCAGAAGCCGCCTCTCGCAAAGAAGCAGAGGAGAAGGAGCGCGCTGCCAAGGAGGAAGCAGAGAAGAAGCAGAAGGAAGCTCGGGACGCCGCCGAGGCGCAAGAAAAGGCTGCCCGCGAAAAGGCTGCCGCTGAGACTGCTGCTGCAGAGGAGAAGACCGCCAAAGAGCAAGCTGCCCGCAAAGAGGCGGAGATTGCGGCCGACAAGACTGCCGAGAAAGAGGCTGCTGCTGCTGCTCCTGCATCTGCCAACAAGGACCTTCTCACCGAGGAAGCCAAGCTCGATGCACAGGAAGCTGCCACTACCGGAGAGAAGAGCGGCGAAGAGGCCGGCAAGGACTCTGTCGCTGCCCTCGCCACCGCTAGGTCTGTCGCCGACATCGAGCGCATGGCTCGTGAAGTTTCCTCAGTGCCTTCGACACCACTTGAGGGCAGTTCATCGCGTACCTCGATGTTCCCTCCTGTACCTCGGACTCCCGGCACCCCTGGTTTCGCCAACTTGCCCGCAAAGCCAATGGCCTCGATGTCAAATGCTGCCAACAACAGCGGCAGCATCGTCCTGGACAGCGCTCAGCTGGAGAAGCGCAAGCGGCCCCAGCAGCTTGACACAGCAGCTGCCCAACGTAGCGGTGAAGGTCCCAGCTCGAGTGATCCTCCCATCTCTGCCGCTTCAGCTACCCTTGGGTCAGCTCGACCCATTGAAGATCTGAGCAAGGTCACATACCCCGGAAAGGTCCAGTCGCCTCGCAAGGAGCTCAATGAAGCTGCTGCTCCGGGCAAGTTCAGGTATGACCGAGAGTTCTTGCTGCAATTCATGAACGTCTGGTCTGAGAAGCCTCAAGATATGCCACCCCTCGCCTCCATTGGTATGGAGCAGGGACAACCTGGTGCTGGAAGGGCTTCGACGAGCGGTCGCCGAGCTTCTGGTATGGGCTCTGCCGCAGCCGGAGGTGGACGTGGTGCAGCCGGACTTGGACTTGGACTCGGTGCTCCGGGCGCTTCAGCATTCGGACGACCCGTCGCAGGTGGTGCCATGGGTACATTCTCCCACCCGGCCAAGACAAGCGAGGAACGATTTGCTCAGTCGACCTCTGGCCTGCGAGGCGCTCCCAGCAGTGCCTTCGCCAGCTCGGGACCAATGGGCTCTTTCAACGCTGGCAGCCGGACACAGCCTCTGTCTCGCGGTGGAAGCGGTTCTGCCGGTGCCCTGCCGTCGAGGGAGATGATGGGAACTGGAGCTCCTGCTGGTAGCCGTACACAATCGCGACGTGGACGGACTCGCGAGCCTGGTCAAAGCCGAGGAGAGAGGGTCAACCCACCTGAGAGAGGTGGACCTACGATTCCTATGGATCAGGTCGCTCCTCTCGCAAACTCCGAGTCGAGATGGCAGGCCGGCACTGGCAGCAAGTTGACCAATGACTCGCCAGAGCTGATTCAGCGTAAGGTGAAGGCTTTGCTGAACAAGCTTACCGTCGAAAAGTTTGTCAGCATTTCGGATCAGGTTCTGGACTGGGCCAATAAGTCCGTCGACGAGACAGACGGCCGGACATTACGACAGGTCATCGCTCTCATCTTCGAGAAGGCGACTGACGAAGCAGCGTGGTCAGAGATGTACGCACAGTTGTGCCGAAAGCTCATGGAGAAGCTGAGCCCCGAGGTTACAGATGAGAGCCTGAAAGGCTCAGACGGCAAGCTCGTCGTCGGAGGCGCTCTCTTCCGGAAGTACCTGCTCAACCGTTGTCAAGAGGACTTCGAGCGAGGATGGGCTCACCGTGATGCCATGGTAGACGCTGCCAAGAGCAAAGAGGCCGAGGACAAGGCCAAGAAGGACAGCAATGAGAAGACCGAGGCTGAAGCCAAAGAAGCCGCTGAGCGTGGCGAGAAGACGGAGGAGAAGGAGGCGGAGCTTCTCTCCGAAGAGTACTACATTGCTCAGAAGGCCAAGCGAAGGGGTCTCGGTCTCGTGCGCTTCATTGGTGAGCTGTACAAGCTTCAGATGCTTACAGAGAAAATCATGCACATCTGTATCGTCAAGCTCCTCTCCAACACTGCTGATCCGGAAGAGGAGGAGATTGAGTCGCTCTGCAAGCTGCTCACCACCATTGGTCGACAGCTTGACAACGAGAAGGCTCGCAGCCATCTCAACATCTACTTCCAGAGGATGAAGGACATGACTCAATCGGAGAACGTCAATTCGAGGATGAAGTTCATGCTCATGGATGTCATCGAGATGCGAGCAAACGGCTGGAAGGGCAAGCAGGAGAGTGCCGGACCCAAGTCCATTGCGCAGATCCACGAGGACGCCGCCAAGCAGAAGCAACAAGCTGAGCTCGACATGGCCAACCGTGCGCGTGGAGCTGGTCCGCCATCCCGTGGCGGATCACGGAGAGGTCAGCAACGTGGCGACATGCCCGGAGGCCAGATCGGACCCGATGGCTGGCAGACAATGGGTAGTGCACCGCCGCCTCGTCCTGCCCGTGCTGGTGACTTGGCTGCTTTCGGCAAGATTGAGCGAGGTGGTTCGGGTCGACCCTTGTCATTGGGCCCTGGACCAAACAGCGTCTTTGCAAAGAAGCAGCAGAAGTCTTCGGAAGATGGCAGCAAGCCGCCGTCAAGGACCAACTCCTCTGCGAACATGTTTGAGATGCTCAACCAAGCGGAATCGTCGGAGCAGGCAGGTGCTGCCGGTGCTGCTGGTGCAGCCGCTGGAGGTGAGGAGCCTCAACGGCCCAAGCTCAACTTGGCTCCACGCACTAAGCCTATGCCCGTCGAGGGCGGAGAAGAGAAGGAGGCTGGTGAAGCCGAGGAAGATCGAGAAGAGGAAGGCGACGCTGTGCAAATGTCAGATGACGATGCCAAGCGCAAGATCGGCGAGGACGTCAAGGAGTTCCTGGAGATTCGGAACGTCGACGAGGGAGCCCTTGCTATGGAATCTCTACCTACCTCGCATCGCGCTGCCTTTGTGGGCAAGCTGGTTTCGACTGCTCTAGACAAGAAGGTGGATCTGGTGCGCGTAGTGGGAGAGCTCTTGGCCAAGATTCGAACCTCGCAACTGATGGACGAGGCTGCTCTGGAAGAGGGCTTCACATTAGCCGGCATTGCGGACTTGGACGACATGAGCATCGATGTGCCGCAGGTGTACAACCTCATGGCCATCCTCCTGGTGGATTCTGGTCTACCAGAGGCCTCGCTGAGCAAGCTGGCCGAATCGATTGTGGGCGAAGGTATCAAGACACCAAAGGACAAGCTGCTGGAGAAGGTACAAGCCGAAAGGGAATCGAGGACCTCGTAGACGAGAGGGTGATGGACAATCTGAGTGACAAGTGGAGGATGCTTTCTGGCCCATCGAGGCATCGCTACTGGCATGCTCTCAAGACACCTTTTCAGGTAGCGCTTTCGCTTTCTTTGCCTTCTTCTGCTCCTCCCTTTCCTCGTCTTCCTCACTCTCCATTGCTTTGCGTCGTGTGCCTTTGATGTTCGTCTTGAACTCATGTTGCCTCTTGTGGGCGAATCAATCCTCATGCGTCAGACATTGCCCCGTGTGCCGGCCGTGCGACACTGCCGTGAGTCTTGGCTGGCTGGCCGTGGCGCGGCAGGCGGCAGAGGCAGGCGGCATTCGCCGACGCGCCCGTCTGCCTGTCAGTGGGGCTGTCCTGTCGTGGGATGCCTGGGGAGAGAGGCTGAGTGGTGGATGGATCTCAATTTTAGCGTCGTCGAGGTTCCCGCCTTGCATCCCTCGGCCTGGTCAGCGGTGTGGGATGTGAATGGGTGGATGTGCGATTCTTGTCCTTCTGACTAGGATGTCTAACCTTCCATCGTAGCCTCCTCATCTCTGCTTGCCTCGTCCTTGTCGGTATCCTCCCTGGTCTCCTCGGCTTTGGTCATCCAGCCAGTGGCAGCAGACAGAGTGCAGCTTGCGCCCCGCGTCGTCTGTGCGGAGAAGCAGGGCACAGGGCCGCGGCGGGCCGTCGTGGTTGCTCTCACCCAAGCACACACACACCCACTCACACCCAGACATGTCCGCCGCTCCGATTCATACCATCCCACCCCTACTCCCCCATCGTCCTCCCTCCACCACCACGACCTCGTCCCTATACCAGCACGACGGCAACCCAAGGCCACACTCTCCTTCATACCAATACCAACAACGACGAGATCAGACCCCTTCGTCTCCCTACTCCACCTACACCCCTCCCTGGACAAGCCCTCCCAGTGCTTCCACTCCTATTCCCGGTGCCCTTCCATCGCGCAATAACCCCCAGCAGACCGCCGCACACCCATCCCTCACTGCTGCCAACATCCGATATCTAGCGCCAAGCCCACAACCCCTGCCAGGCACAAGTCCAGGATCAGGATCAGCGACAGGCATCAGCGACGTCAACTCCAACGAGGCAGAGGGCGGTCACCTCGCCGCTGGCTTCTCTCAGCCTCCGTACCGCTCCCTCCACCATCAGACGTCCCAATCCCATATTGCTCGCTCCCTGCATCAGGATTCAGCCATGGAGTCCAACTTCGCTACTCCGTCCGACTCGTCCACAATGAGCCATAGCAGCGGCAGCAACACAAATACTCAAAATGATCACCCCCGGCCCTTCCTCAACCCTTCCTCCTTGCATCGTACATCGACGGATAGATCCAGGCCATCCCCCAACGCTGATGCCCCCTCACTGGCAACGGGAGTGCAGTCTACCGCTGGCAATAGTCCCATTACCTCCTTTTCTGGCCCAGGTCCTACTACGCCAGGCTCCAGTCACCTCCATACCCCCACCGCACCCACATTTGCCTACGCCGATACCAGGAGCGCCAATCTCCCAGGGCAACAGCCCACCTCGCCGAACACGCCGTCAGGACCGACCCTACACAGATCATCACCTTCACTGGCTGGAGGCATTCCAACCTTCAATGCCGCAGGTACCACACTTGGCGGATCGCCCTCGGTCGAAGTGATCCCTACGACTTTCGATGAGGCCACGCTAAGGGCCCTTTGTGATACAGATGTAGGTCTGCCTCTGCTCTACGAGCGGATTAAGCAGTCCATGACTTCATGTCGAGAGGCAGCGTCCTTCTTCAAGAAGCGCGGCGTGGCAGAAGAGGAGTATGGCCGTACGTTGCAGAAGATTTACAGGTCCTCACTAGAGTCCTATGGCTCGGCCGACGGCAAGGCGGGAACATTCGTCTCTTCATGGCATAACATCTTGGCTACACATGAGCATCTTGCTGATGGGAGAATCAAATTCGGGCAGCGCCTAGGCGAGATGAGTGAGGAGCTTAGCAATCTGGTCAAGGAGATAGATCGGAATCGAAAGAGCGCCAAAGAGACAGGGCAAAGACTAGAGAGGGGGCTGATGGATGCTGAGGCCAGCGTAGAGAAGGTAAGTGTAGGCAAATGAATTGAAGGCGGAGGCGTATCAAGTACTAATCCATTTGCCCTTACATTCCACCCTGGTCGCTGTCAGGCTCGGTCACGCTTTGAGTCTGCTGCTGAGGAGCTGGAGCGTGTACTACTACTCAAGTCAGGAGAGTCGGCCAAAGGTGGAGAGCTGGCAGCTCAGCACTCCTCTGGTGCGGTCGGACAAGCAGCAAGTAAAGGTCGCTCGTTAGGCAAGGCCATGACCAAAGGTGGCATGCTTTTCAACAAGAAGAATCCACAACAGCTCCTGAGACAGGAAGACGAGATCCGGACACGGACATCACAGATGTCCGACGCCTTCAGGAGGGAGGTGCTTCAGACACAGCAGATGCGGCAAGAGTACTTCAACCTGCAGCTGCCGAGAATCTTGAGGAGTCTCAAAGAGACGGCAGAGGAGATCGACAATGGGCTGCAGTACCATCTGAGTCGTTATGCTTACCTTTTCGAGACGACTGTGCTTGGTGATGGCATGACAGTGACGCCCGTGGGAGCGGCAGCGGCACCTGTAGCCGAAGGAGGCAGTGGTCAGATTGGTCTGAAAGCAGCAGCGGAAGCCATCGACAACAGGTCGGACTTCAAGACTTTCATGCAGAACTACACAATCCTTCATGGCAGGGACTACAGGGGACCGAAGCGGGAAGGCCCTTACGAGGACGGATACATGCCACCGAGCATGAACGGCATGAGCTCTGGACCTTCTGGCATGGTTGCGAGCAGCGCTTCTTCTTACCAGCTCAACAATGGTCGCGGCTTCGGCCAACAGCCTTCCTCATCGAGCATCGGAGGTGTGGGACCCAACGCCTCGACTTCCTCGCGGCCCATCTTTGGGGTGGAACTCGATATGCAGATGGCAAGAGACAACGTGGACGTTCCCGGTATTCTGGAAAAGTGTGCTCAGGCCGTCGAGACGTTCGGAAAGGAGAACATGGGCATTTACCGTCTTTCGGGTACCACGTCCAAGGTGCAGCGTCTCAAGGCCAAATTCGACGCAGATTGGACCGCAGTGGATCTATTCGAGGACGCAGAGGCGCTGAGCGATATCAATATCGTCTCTGGCTGTCTGAAGCTCTGGTTCCGTGAATTGCCCGAGCCTTTGCTGACATGGGACCTCTATAGAGGCTTCATCGAGTCGGCCAAGGTGGAGAATGATCGACTCCGGCATATTCGTCTGCACGAGGTGGTCAATCAGCTCCCCGACGCTAATTACTCGACGCTCAAGGCTCTAATGTGCCATTTGGACCGTGTACGCGCAGAGGAAAGTGTGAATCAGATGGGCGCAAGCAACCTCGCCATCGTCTTTGGTCCCACGCTGTTAGGTCCACCACCACCGGGGCGCTTGCAAGACAGCAACGGCGCCGGCGCCGGCGGGCCTGACGAATTGAGCACATCCATGTCCGGCCTGGGCATCGATGCAGGCGCCAGCGGCATGGACGATCTCTCCACCGGCGGTGTAGCGGGTGGCTCCAGCGCTTTAGCGGATATGCAATACCAGGCCAAAGCCATTGAGACGATCTTGCTGCACTACAAGGACATTTTCCTCGAGGATGATGAAGTTGAGGAAGAAGAGAGGGCGAGAGCACTTGCTAAAGAGCAGCAGGAGGCGGTACTTATGCAGCACTCTCAGTCTTAGCGAGCTACCGTGGACATACAGAGAGAGAAGGGAAATGCAGTCACGGTCCATCACAAAAGCAAAAGGGGAAAGGAAGAAGATGAAGTGCAATACAGGCCAAGGGTGGGGCAAGGGGGGGTGGGAATGGGGGGATGGGCAGGTCCGACTTGCACTTGCGCCCCCTTTTCTTCATCTTCATCCAAATTGTTCAATATCTCCATGCGTCAGGGCCTGATTCTGACAAGAACGAAGGGAATGCTATCTATCTGCCTACTGCTCGCGATCCGGAAGTCTCACCGCTCGACTGCACATCCTTCTCCAGCTGGTAAAGGGGGCGGGGGAGGGGGGGGGGGGGGAGCCGCCTTCCCCAATTCCCCCGTACCCCCCGCACCTGGGGTCCGGAGGCGGGGTCCCCTCTGTCACCCAGCACTGTCTCTCTCTCTCTTTTACTCTTCTGGTTTACCCAAATCCTTACACTACCACCCTATATGTGGTGCCCTGCATCCATTTTGTCTATACGCCTTTGCGTGAAAGATGCCCTTCGGGGGGGGGGGGGGGGGGGGGGGGGGGGGGGAAGACCACTTTGAATAGCCACGTGGCCCCTCCGAGCGCACAGCAGGCTCTGAACGGGAGGGTTATATTGCGCGCGCATACTTTAGGTTTTCATCTTCGGCCATAGGACCTTGAAAGCACCGCATCCCGTCCGATCTGCGAAGTTAAGCAAGGTACCGTCCAGTCAGTACTGCGGTGGGGGACCACGCGGGAATCCTGGATGCTGAAGTTTTTGCGTTTTGCTTTTAGATTCTCTTCTCCTTTTGCTACCCAAATGGTTGCCTGATTGCTACTGCTTTTCACTACGATGGCTTTGCTTTGCGGTGTCCAGCAGCCCGATCGCTGAGCACGAAGCAATTCGACGGAGATGCGAGGCGCGATTCGCGAATTCCGCTGTGGTGGGAACCGTCTTTTGGCTCGTTTGAGTCGGCCTTTGCCCTTTCCCAGGACCCATGACCAATGACCAGGCTGGAAGCAATCGTACGTCCTGTGGGACGAAAGAATTCTACTAGGCAGGAAATCTACTTTGTCCTTTCACTTCAATCTACAGTATCCTTTGATAAGAAGCTGGTCTTCGCCTCTCGTTCACGACTTTGAGATAAGAATCGCCTGCCCCGGATGCAGTATATCACCCATTTCACGGTGCTGGTGTTTGTCACTGGGCTGGTGTCGAGTCTGATGGGTGCATCGGCCGCACCCTCAAGGCTCGACGATCGCACACTGCGACCGCAGGCTGTACTTCAGGAGCCTAATAAGCCGATAGCGGACATCACTGCTCCATACCTACAGAGGTCTGTAGGCACGCCATTCTTTGACGAGAAGCCTCTGCTGATACGAAGCTGGTCATCAGATCTCGATGCCCGAGTTCAAGAATCGCAGCGCCCTCCCCCTATTCTGGTGCCACCGAAAAAGAGGCCATCCTTACGAAGCCCAGTCACCCCTGATAACAAGCCCAAGTTCAAGTCTCTGGCGAAGATCTACAAGAAGACTGCAAACGTCCTTACTTGCCAAGTTCCGAGCCCTACGACGTCCACACCAGGAGCGTCTTCGGCTTCGTCCTCCAAGTACCCTCCTCCCCCTCCCAACTCTTCGCGCGAGTACAAGTACGGCAAGCTGGTCTCTGGGGGAAACAAGAAGTGGCTGAGCCTGATCCGTTCAAAGTGCAATGCAGTGCGCTACAACGTTCGCTGGAAGAAGGGTGGATCGTAAAGGAGCCATGGGAATGGCCCATGAGTTGCCATGGCAAAGATTTAGGATGTGCAGTTGTCTTTGCTTCGCTGTATGACGCCCCAATACTACGATCGAAATCCTTCGGCAAAGTTTACCCGTTGCGTTTGCCATTTGGGTCCCTGCGCGAGGTCTTGAGAGTCGAACTTGAATCTTCACATGGACATCGGTAGTCAGCAATGTTGAGGGCGTCGAATTTTTTGTGCATTGCTGAGAAGAAACAAAGACGGATGTGTCACCATAATGATGTGCCTTGCTGCCTCGCAACCTCCCCTTCTACTCTTGCGTGCTACGAGGCGCACAAGATCCAGTCAACTCTCAAAGAGCTTGCCTTCTATCTCGCGCCTCTGATCGCTTCGAGACTGGCTCTCGACACGTCCTACCCATTCAACGCTCTTTCCATTGACCACCTCGTGACTTGCTGCAGGCCTGCAAGTCCCACTGACGTGACGCTCTTCCAAAGACTACCTCGGACTTCTCAGATGCTTTTCCAGAATTGTCTCCTTTCGTTGCTGCCTGTCGTCCTTCTCGTAGCATGTCATCCCGTCTCGTCTTCGGGGCGGCTCAATGGCGTGCACCCCACTCCTATGGACGGTGAGGCTTCTCGCTACTCCAGTCTGCAGGCAGAGCCTTTACGAGATCCTGAAGTGCCGTACCTTGCGCTGCCTCTCACTAAGAGGGCCGGAACATCCTCATCGAGCTCCGCCAAGGAACAGTACAAATCAAGACTTCTCACCGATATCTATGCTACCACTACTAGACTCACGACGACGCCAAGTCCTTCCAGCTACCGACCCCTTGTCATCGGAGCGCCTCCGTCTTCCGACAGCCCACCCAGACGTCGTGGCCCCCTCAGGCCAAACCTCAACTTCAGGCCTCCTACCTCTCTGTCTACCTCGTCGTCCTCGTCAGACTGGCCTCCTCCTCCTCCTCAGCCCGGAAGCAGGCGCAAGGTGGTTCTACCCTCCTCCTCGGGCTCTGATCCATCACCACCCTTGCGCGGCGCCAGAAGGCCCGGCAAGAGTCCTGCAAACTCACCTACATCCGGAACGCCTTCGTCATCCTCTGATTGGCCGTCGCCGACACGCGAGTATGGAGGTCCGAGCAAAGGGCTCCTCAAGTCGCTCTTCTCCTCGGACGGCTCCCGATCCCGATCCCAGAAAAGTCGCTCTTCGTCTCGTGGCCCTGGCAGCCCAGGCAAAGTCATCGTGCTGTCGTCTTCGTCTTCTCCTTCTCCTTCGGCGCGCCCTTCGTCTTCCTCGTCTGAGTGGCCTCGACTACGTCGCATCTCCGGTGCAGGCGGTCGACGCAGATTTCACCTAGGGCCAAGCTCATCTTCCAGCGCCTCCTCTCCGACTGCACATTCGCCTTCTCGAGCTGGTAGCCCTGCCCGCCACGCACGCGGGAAGAGTCACGAAGCCGAGGGATCGACGCCATGGTCCTCGTCTGCCAGCTGGTCACCTACCCATTCCTCACCACCACGTCGTAGTGGCTCTGCGCCTCGCACCTACAAAGCGCTTAGAATCAAGGCCGACAGTCCAGAGCTGACCGTCAGTGGATTCATCGGTAAGAAGCCGCGCACGCCTCGCGGGGAAAGGAGAAACAGGCGTCCCTCGTCGACGTAGCTTTAGAACAGTTGCCGAGCCTGGCGATAGTATTGCACCGCCTTATCTCAATCAAGCTCGATGGCACCTTCGTTTGGACCCGCCTTGTGCCTCTTCTGCCTGCTGTCGTCTCCATTCTCGTCCCCAACAGGCCGCTTCTTCTGCTGTGATTGACCTGCACCATTCTCCGTCCCATCGTCACCCGCCTTCCTCTTCTTGCTGACCAGCGTAGGCATAGCTTCCATGACTTCGAAGCCATCATCCTTGTCACCGTCTTCGAGATCAGATTCGTCCTTCTCGGCCTCGGGCAGCTTGGGCCGGTCGCTCAGCTCAGGAAGTTCGTCCGCCTCCAAAAGGACCTTGATCTCGCCTGCTCGCAGACCGTCTCGCGGAGCGCAAAGTACCAGGTGGACGGTCCGCTTCTTGCCGTCTTCGTCAACGAGCGTCAAGAATTTGCCAGTCTCGACTCCGAGATCGAACAAGGTCTTGGGATGGTTGTCCTCGAAGTCCATGTCTGCCAGGAGTCGACTGCCCTCGTAGATGCCCAACTCCTCATAGCCAGACTCGTCGTCCATTCCCAAGCCGCTTTCCTCACGGTTGAGCCTAGTGTGAGAGATCACAGCTCCCAGGCTGGTCGTTCTTGGGTCGAGAGATACAGGGATGTAAAGGTCTTGACAGACTCCACAAGCCGGGTTCGGCTTGGGAGGTGCGGATCCGGTGAGAACAAACCGGTTAGACCTCCCCAGCATCACGTCGCGAGCTTTGAGAGAGGTAGCAGCTGCTCCCTTTCGGGTAGCGCCCAGCATGTGCACAGTCTGCAAGACCAGAGCTCCAGAGATGATGGCATTCGTCGATGCAATGGCGGGAATGATGTTACCAGCCATCTGCTTGATATCGAAGCGATTCTTGGTCTCGATGGAGTAGATACGAGACCGGAGATTAGACGAAGCAGTCACAAAGTCCAAAGCGTCGGAGTCATCCTTGTCAAATGAAAGTGGCTCAGATGGGTTGGCAGCAGACCGGAGTGCCAGAGCGTTCAAGCTGTGGGCACCAGAAGCGTGAAGTTGCGTCAGGTGAGACATACTCTGCGGCTCACCTCATATAGAGCCTGACTCACCTCGACTCGAAAAGATCCACCGTCTCCTTGAGACCCAGTTGAGTTTGGTCCTTCAAGCCTTTCCTTGTCTGACTGTCGGCAGCTGTCGCCATGGCGTCTGCATATGTGATCGGTGTTGGCTTAGTGCGATTCTTCCACATTTCCTCCATGCTCAGCAGCCTCTCAATGTCATTTTTGAACACCTTGTCGAAGACTCTTTGAGCAGCTCCCTCTGTACCTAGGCTAGAGCGAAGGTTGCTCATCTCCAGTGCTTCCTTGCGCAAGGCGCTAATCTCAGCAGCTAGGGATCAGGAAGGCGACGGCAGTCAGTACGAGGCAAGTCATAGCTTGTTTACGTTGAGTTACGTACAGTTGCCTCCATCTGCTTCTGCTTTGTCCAGCTCGGCTCCTTCAGTCTCGTCATCCTCTCCGAAAAGTTGACTATAACGGGTGAGGTCAGACGAAGCTCATGAGCATACATCGAGCGAGCGGGGTCCGCAGCACTACTACTCACTTGAACAGCCATGTCTTCGCCCATACGACACAGTGGATGGGTGTTGTCGGGGTAGAGCGAATGGTACAGACTGGGAATGTCTTTTGAGTCTGCTTCTCTGTGCAATCGTAACAGGCCATGACTCCCTGAACGATGTCATTGTACACGGTGTACACGGTCAGCGAACCGTGTGAGATCTTGCCACGCTTCGAAAGCGGCACTAACCTTCAAAATAGGCTGCACTTGCCCCAAGAACCCTGTGGTCCCGCTCTCCACCAATGGTACGTTCGTAGCAATACACATCCTGTTCACCCAGCGTCTGGCATCTAAGTTGTCTAGTGCGTTCAGAACTACGTCGAAAGTCTTGAAGAACTCGTACCCAAATTGAGGCTCTTTGATGTTCGCATGTTGAGGCTGAATTTGAATGGAAGGGTTGAAGGAGGATGCCACGGCAGAGGCGACCAGCGCCTTGGACTTTTTGATGTGGGACTTGTTGAACAGGAACTGGCGGTTGAGGTTCGATAGGTCGATGGTGTCCAAGTCGATCTGACGCAAGAGCACGGTGAACAGAGCGTCAGACGTCGCCGTCCGTGCAAGAGGTACTATTCTCTACCCTACTCACCACTTGCACCCCCTTGACGCCAACAAGTGCGAGGTTCTTCAGGACCTCACACCCGATGCCTCCTGCTCCAACGACGAGGACCTTTGCATCTCTGAGTGCCTGTGCATTGGGCAATATGGCAGTGGGATGTGCTAGCCTCTGAGTCGAGGCAGACGAGTGCGAAGACGATGACGCAGCGGCGACTTCAGCTGTCATGGCGATGTGGTAGCGTGGGCTGGGAGAATGACAAGAACGAGGAAGACAAAGAAGCGGAAGTAGGACTGACACACAAGAAGACTTGGACGAGGCGCGACTCCACACGGACCTCGTCCTCCGCTTCCCGCCGCGTTGCTCGGTGGAATGGCCCGCTTGGCTGGAAACTCGTAAGGGATCAAGCTTGCCACTCGAGGCCATCAAAGGACCAGCAGAATGGGTTGCGGATCGCAGTGAGAAGGTCACGGAGGTCGATTGTCAGATCCTTAGTGCCCTCAGCAATGACACCTGGCGTGTTGCTGGTCTGGGGTCAGGTTGCTCGTGGCTATCAAGGCTCTTGCCCACGTAGCAAACAAAGCTGCTTTGGAGCAGCGCTGCTCGTAGCGCCAGCTTCGTCAGCAGTGAGATGGCTGAAAGCAAGGTAGTGGACACTAGCATTGCTTTTGCGTAGTATGGGCAAGTACATGTGCTGCCGCTCTCTGCTGTCCCTTCCAATCTCCCTCGCACTACCATCTGATTCACCTACACTTCCTCAACGCTCTCGATCGCCTATCCGCTCAGCCTCCTACTGCAGAAGCTGGTCTTCTCAGATAAATTGAAGATAGTCACTTCGTTCTTCCCTTGTTCAGCCACTGACAATCATGAAGCATATCACCGCTCTTCAGGTGCTCTTCGCCGCCCTCTTGGTAGCCTTTCAAGGCGAGACGTTGGCCCATCCGGTCTTCTACGCGCTTCAGATGCGGACCACCCCGGACACCCTGCCTGCTGCAAGGCCCTACCCCATCTTGCCGCGCTTCCAGCTCGAGCCAAAATCCTCGACCGATGGTTCGGCCCAGTATACGGTCTCTCTGAGATCACTTCTGCTCGATGAGGCACGCAGGCGACAAGAGAATGGAGAGGAGGAATCGAAGAGGTTCAAGCCGGAAGATTTCTTTCTACACCCACCCCCACACCGCCATGGCCGACGACACGTGCAGTAGCATCTAACAGGGTTGAATGTCCATGGAGCAGCAGCTGCTGTGTGCCGGCGCTCTCTGTACATCGGAACCATTTGCTTGTGACATTGTGAGCCATGTGAGATACAGACATTAGAAATCCCTCGCTGCATAGTCTCTTTCCGTCCATCTGTGGCCTGAAGGGGGCGTGCGTAGGGGCGTGCAGCAGGCCGTCCGCACAGAGCCCAGAGACCAACACTTGCGCTTGTGACCCATCCTTGTCCCCAATCCTTCAGTGAGATCTCATCCATACACCCCCATCAATCATGGATCTCGAGCCTTATGCTCTCACCCATGCTGAATCCGCCTCTGCGGCTTCGACTGCCTCTTCGAATGACAAAGGAAAGGGTAAGGCAGCAGCAGAGGGGGAGGGAGGGGCTAGTGTGGATGTGCAACCCGCGGAAGAGCTCCCTACGATAGAGCAGGACGTCAAGCAGCTCGTGCAGGGCGTCAGCTCTTGGTGGACGGGCTTCAGCCAGAAGGTGAGCATCCAGCTGCATAGATCTGCCTTCGATGCCTGCATCCACTGATCGCGCTGCTCTGCTTCGTTGTGCTTGCCTCGCCCTCTGATAGTCGCAGGCCCAATTCACACAGGCTCAGCAACACATTGCATCCCAAGGCGGTATCGTCAACTATGCCAAGAAGGAGGCCAGCAGGCTAGAAGCTCAGCTAGAGGAGACGAGGCGCAAAGCAAAGGAGAAGAGGGAGGCAGAAGAGGAGGAGGAGAGGAAGAGAAGGTCCGAAGAAGCAGACAAAGTCAAGGAGCAGGGAGCGGACCAAGGGGACGAGGAGGCACAACCTAGCTCGAGGGCGGCACGATCAGGCGATAGCAAAGTCGAGGCGGGTGAGTCTGGTGAGAGCCTCTTTGACGCCGACGAAGCCTCGAATGCCTCGGAGACTGCTACAGGGCCGGCTGCCCCCCGTCAAGCCTCTACCTCTACCTCTCCGACCTCTTCCTCGCCCTTTGCAATGGACAACAATCTCATCTCGCGACTTCAGACGCTGTCCTCCGATCCGCGGGTGGCCTCGATACAGCAAGATCTTTCATCACGTCTCTCCTCTTCCTTCAATCTGCTGAGCAACACCTTTGCCCCCGCCGCAAACAACACTAGCAGCAGCAGCAGCAAAGAGGCAGGTGTGTCTACGGGCAATACTACAACCGCTTCGCTCTCATCGACTCTGCAGGACATCTCATCCACTCTTTCCAAGCTCTCTGGTCCTGAAGCGAAAGCCTATGCGCAGAAGTATCTCAAAGCCTCTGAGGAGCTGGTTGGCAAGATGGGAGAGGAGGTACGAGTCGTCGTTGGCGATCTGGTCAAGGTCGTACCCCCTCCTCAGGCGGAGGGCAAGCAAGGAGCGTCTTCGGCTACGACTGCCGCGTCTGCTGGGCCAGAGAAGTCGAAGCAGGAGCAGCAGACTTCAAAGGCTTCGTCAGAATTTTCATCTTGGGACATGGCAGACAGAGCAGAGAAGACTGAGGGCGGAGCAAGCGGCGTGAGCACAGGCACAGCTACTCCTTCTGCCTTTAGCAGCGTCAGTGCGGATCAACCTGCTGCTTCTGCGCATACGGAAGAAACAAAGCCGTCAGCTGGGTCTGACAATGAAGTTTCTGGCATGCTACCCTCAGCCCCTTCAGAGTCTGGCTCAGGAAAGAAAGCGGCAGAGGAGGCAGCAGAAGACAGTGGTGAGGACTCTGATTGGGACTAGCCGCGGGAGGGGAGGATGGAGAGAGCTCTTCAAATTCATTCAGCGATCTTTTGTATGCTCTCAATGTTATTAACGTCACCTGCTATGCAGAGGATGAGACAGAGTTTGTGAGGGGTAGTATGGGAAACAGGTAGAGTCCATGATTTCTCGACGAGAAGGGGAGCCGGATATTTTACACGGAGTGAGGGACAATAGGAAGCACAAAAGGGGCGAAGGAGCGATGGGCGTACGACTCGACTCGATCCAAGCGGTTGCAGAAGCAGTCCGAGGAGAGGAGGTGGATGGCTCTACAGCCCATGGGCTCGGGCGAGATCGCTCCGAGCTTTCAGGTAGAGCCATTGAAGGCGTCTCTTTATTCTACGAGAGCCTCTCATGCTTCCAAATCCCTCTTTCCCTTTGTACCACTGGGAGTGTAATAGTCGGGGAAGTACAAGTCGATGTTACCGACGATGTTGTTGGTGACGACATGCTCGGCCAGGATGTCCTTGTACTCCTGCGAGCTGACAGTGAGCCTCCAGTCTTGCTTTTCACCAGAACGGTATCCAAGGAATTCCGCGTAACCCTTGGCGCTGAGAGCGAAGCTCTGCAGAAGTTGACTCGAGTCATCACTGTAGGAGCAGTCTTCAAGAACGAAGTTGGAGTGCTTCTTTCCCTCCATTGCATGACGAGTGATGCACTTTCCAGGAGTAGATGATAGTTCAAAGTGGCCTGGACCGCTCGAGCCCGCAGGGGCGGGGCCCATGAAGGATTGAGCCTTGTTGGACACGCAGGTCTTGAAGGTGAAGTCGTGACCGGGCACCTCATCGCCATTGGCGCGGGCGGTGTGCAGGATAGGCAGACCATCCTCTGTCTTGGGGCCAGTAAAGGAGATGTTCGCATACAGTCCGTTGAGGTTGTATTGGAGGTAGCCAGCGAAGTGCTGTTAGTGGAGTGAGAGCAGAAGAACAGAAGCGGCACAGTAAGCTTCAAATGGTCATGGTAAGCCTGGCCTGCCTGCAGAGGGCGTACTTACCGTAGTGCAAGTCAAGACGCCAACGTCTCTTTCCTCTACGTCTCTTGCTTCAACGTCCTCTGAGTCGACCTCCCTTGCTTCGACCTCACTTGCTTCTACATCCCTTGTTTTGACCTTACTACCAGGCACATACGTGGGGAAGTAGAAGTTGAGGTTGTTGATGATGTTGTTCGTGTCGACGATCTTGGCCAAGACATCCTTGTACTTTTGCGAGCTAAGGCTGACCTGCCAGTAAGGACTGTTACTGTCTTCATGTCCGAGGTACTCGCCGTATCCCTTTGGGCCAAGGGCGAAGCTCTGGAAGAGCTGACTGGAGTCATCGCTGTATGAGCAGTCGTCGAGTACAAATTCGGAGTGCTTCTTTCCCGGAATCGTACTGCGCGTAATGCACTTTCCAGGGGAAGAGGTCAGCTCAATGTGACCCCGAGCCACCTCGCCGCCTTGAATGGAGCCAGTAAAGGACTTGGCTTTGTTGGAGGTGCAGTTCTTCATGGTGAAGTCGTGAGCAGGAACCTTGTCCCCATTGGCACGCGTGCTGTGTAGGATGGGCAAGCCATCCTCGTTCTTGGGGCCGGTGAAGGAGAGGTAGCCGTAGTCTCCACCAACGTTGTACTGAAGAGGGCCAGTGAAAAACTATTACGATGAGAAGGAGAAGAAACAAAGCGACATGGTGAGCCTCAGACCGCTCTGGGGTTTGGTCTTGTGACCGGCATATCTACTTACGGTGGTACAGGTCAAGACGCCCACGTCCTTTGCCTCGAGGACGTCCCTTGAGACGGGGGCGGCGGAAGTGAGCAGGGCCGAAGCGGCAAGGACAGTAGCGAACGCGTTTGCAAGCATGCCGAATTCAGTTGCGAATGTAGGGCGCTATGGAATACGAAGGGGCTGGAGCAAGTGCGGATTGATAGGACTGATTGTGATGGAGATGGGGAGAAACTGTCGTACCAGGACGGACAAGGGCCCGACGTTAAGTAGCTGTCAGTGGCCATGACCATTGCTCCCAGCCTCCCCTGACGCCTCGCTTCATTGCCTCCTGTCAGCGCGTCTAGGAGGATGTGAATTGCTCCACACAAGGTTGCCTCTTGCCCCGCAAAGGCAGAAGCGCCCGGTCGAGCATGAGCAATCGTGCAGCTCTGGAGGGCACAACGGGAGTCATGAGCACCGACCGTGACGGTACACCGTGGTGGTATGGCTGTGCCTTCTCCTGTCCGTGCGCTCATGTCTCACATGTGCAATGCTACTCCGTAGTAGCCTCACGGCCCCCTTGCAGTCCTACGTGCTTCCCTGGCGCATTATGCTCAGCCTTGGTTCCATTGAGGCTCCTAATGACGAAGGGCCGGAGGGGCGCGTGCGAAGCAGCGACTCATCGTCGTCCAGGGAGGGGGGCACAGAGAGGCTTGGCGGGCGAAGGCAATGTGACGCGTCCCTTTGTCGAATTCAAGAGGAGCTTGATTCGCGAGGCCAGGCGCTCCGGAGATGCAGCGACCGGCCGATAGGGCCTCACGAGACCCTCTCAGCAGAGATCATCCTCGGCTTCGTACCATGGATGCACAGAGGGTTCCAGATGCTATGTCTCAGAGCCTCTGCCACCTTCCCAAATAAGCACACAGCCTCGAGAGTCTGAAACCACAAGGGTGACTCACGACAGGACGCTGCCTCTACAAACCTACCCGCCTAGCTCAAGATCGATCCCTCCCAGCTGACAGGCCGCGGAGCCCCGGGCCGGCGGCAGCAGGACCGGAAGCTACCCCGCATGCCCGGCCGCATCGGTCCTTCCTTCCCCCTCCACTTACCCTCACCCACCTCTACCCTTCGGATCACGGATCACAAGAGCCGATCTCAATCATCCCTAACCTCTGCGGACACGAATTGCAGTCAGACTCAGTCTATCAGTAACGATGCCTTTGGATATCTCACCGCCGCCGACGTCGGTATTCCGACCTTCCATCCCGCATCTCCCCTCCTTTCCGTACGAGGTGCACTACGATTACTTCGGATCGCTTCGCTATGCATACATCGACGAATCGCCAGCGCTAGTATGGGATACGCAGACGGGTAAGCAGGTCGACGAAGCGGTGCTGAGGCGACATGAGCCGGATGCGATCGTCGAACAGGAGCTGGTAGTGTGCCTGCATGGTGAGCCCACATGGTGAGTCGACACAGGGAGAGTGGGACCAGCGTCTTCCAGAACGTCTCTGTGCTGAACGAATGGCCTGTCTGTCTCAATCTACTCGATGCGGAGCAGGAGCTACCTCTACAGGAAGATGGTGAGACGGTCTGTCGTGGTCGAGTCGCTGCTATCCCGGCGCAGAGCTAACCTCCCTCGCTTTTGACGCTACGCAGATCCCTGGCTTCCTCTACGCACCTCCTGCCCCTCGCTCGCAGTCCTCCGGACCCCGCTACATCAAGCGCCGATTGCTAGCTCCTGACTTCATCGGATTTGGACGATCAGACAAGCCGACCGATGATGCCTACTACACCTGGGAGTCTCATCGAGCATGGCTGCTTGACTTTGTTTCCAAGCATGTTGTCTCCCACTCTCGAAGATCGAGCGCAAGAGTGACTCTGGTCGTTCAAGACTGGGGTGGTATCCTCGGCCTGATCCTGCCGGTTCTCTTCCCCTATGTCTTCACCCACATGATCGTCATGAATACGGCTCTCGGCTTAGGCGTTGAGCCGACCAAAGGGTGGATCGCCTTCCGGGATTTCATGGCCAAGTACAGCGACGTCGACATTGGCAATCTGCTGAAGCGAGGAACACCGGTCAGCGAGGAAGAGATGAACGCATATCGTGCTCCCTTTGCGGGACCCGGTGGAGGAGAGAAGGCAAAGGGTGGTGTGAGGCGATTTCCTCAACTGGTACCCATCAAGCCTTGGCAGGAAGGTGTTGCCGAATCTCACGCTGCCCTCAACTACTATGCCAATCTCTGCCCCATACTGGAGAGTGACTCGACGGGAAAGGGTGAAAAGAGGAGACCTCTGCAGGTATTTGTGTGCATAGGCGAGTCAGACCCCGTCCTTGGTACGGGGGTGATGGATCAACTCAGTCAGGCTGCATGGGGTAAGCGCTTGGGTTTCTGGCGTACGACGATCCCAGAAGCAGTGAGTACGAGGGCAACAAGCACGCTGAGATAGCCGATGGTATTGCTGACAGCTGCAAGCAATGTCCGCCCCCTTCTCCCACGCTCTGCTGCTCTTGTCCTGCTCTCACAGGGCCACTTTGTGCAAGAGTGGGCCTCGCACATACCGCAGCTGTCTGACATTGCTTGGTCATCAAAGGAAGGCAGTGTGAGCTTCGACGAGGACAAGGAAGGTAAAACCAGGACGTGGGCTGCAGAATGGCGGCAGCCCGAATTGAAGGCAGACGCTCGTATGGGTGCCAAGCTATAAGAGCGTCCAGCGGGATTGGGTGTCCTTGCCTGGACGTGCGGCGACCTTTCTTCCTCGAGAGCCTCATGAGCCAAACCTGTTCAGTGGCAGCCTTTTCACTTTCACGACGACGTCTCCTTGCTGCGTTGTGTGAGCCTGAGCACTTGAGTCGTGTCTACTGAGCAGGAGTGCGCGTGTGCTGGGATGTGCGAACCGTGCGAAAGGCGCTGCTCGGCCGTCGGACTCCGATGCTTTTCCCTCTGGCATTCCGCCTGCTGCTATAGTTTGCGGCTCTACCCCACAAGCGGGGCTAAGGACGGCGAGGAATCAGGGGCATCAGGCCAGTCTCTGACAAAGGCCAAAGCGCGTGCCGCCTAGGCTGGAGGAGTTGGTAAAGGCAGGGAGAGGGTGGCTAGGCGAGAGGTGCGGGGTAGAAGGGCAGTCGCTGTGCCCTGCTTTCTAATCAGTCCCGAGCAGCCCAGGCAGACGAGCAGTCGTCGTCCTATTCTTCACGTCGCGCACAGCGGGGTTCAGGGCATCTCTGCCACTCCCCGGCTACCCGGCATTGGCTCAAAGTGTTGCTCTGCTGCCGCCAGGTGCCTGTACCGGCTCAAGCCTCGTCCACGTTTGAGCCGAAGAGGGCGCGGCTACCCCGCACTGCGCTCTTGAGCCCTTTGCCCCTCTCTCCTCCCTTCCTCTTGAAGACCTCTTCTTCAGCCTTGATTCTGCTTCCCTCACTGACCATCACAGCCAGCCTTCACACCTGCTCGTTCTTCCCACTCCCACACTCCCGCACTTGTACCTATACCTCCTCCTTACCCCTGTACCCCGCCACGCCACATACGCCACTCACACCCACACTCGCAACAGCAATGTCGAAGATCATCGTCGTAGGCGGCGGCTTGTCCGGGTGAGTTGATCAGCGACGATGCGGCGACTAGTGAGGTGGCGGTCAAATTCCACAAGGACGGCTAGCTCACTACACCTCTTCTCCTTGATTGAATCGTCTTTCGCAGGCTGAGCGCTGCACACACCATCTACCAGCGTGGTGGCAATGTCCTCCTCATCGAGAAGGTGGGTGCTGAGTGGCGTCAAGGAAGAAGCCCTTCTCGCTAAGCTCTTGTCTCACCACAATGCTTCTTCCCCTCCTCACTGTTGATTCTCCCCTGTCGCAGATGCCTTTCAACGGAGGTGAGCACCATGCAAGGGAGCTCGGTACTCTCTATCAGCCGGCACATTCTGACATTCCTTGCCCTGCACTGCTGCCCCTCAGGTAACTCGACCAAGGCCACCAGTGGTATCAATGGATCGGGCACTCTTGTGCAAGCCGAGCAAGGCATTCCAGACAGTGCCAAGGTATGTGAATCATATAAACGCAAGTGTGGGACCATTCGCGAGCCGCCACTTATACAGCGTCTTCTCTCCTTTCCTCTCAATAGATCTTCTTTGACGACACAAAGAAGTCCGCTGGAGACCTCGCACGAGATGACCTGATCAAGGTCCTCACCGGTCGCTCCGGAGAGGCCGTCAACTGGGTGCAGGACTCTTTCGGCCTGGAGCTCAACAAGATCAGCCGACTGGGTGCTCACTCGCAGCCCCGAACCCACCGTGGTAATGCTCAATTCCCCGGTATGCAGATTACCTTCGCAGAGATGGAGAAGCTCGAGGAGATTGCAGAGGCCGACCCCGACCGTGTGCAGATGGTGCGCAAGGCCAGGGTGACCAGCCTCATCTACGAGGACGGCGAAGTCAAGGGTGTCGAGTACGAGTTCAAGGGCGAGAAGCACCGCGAGCACGGACCCGTCATCCTCGCCACTGGTGGTTACGCAGCCGACTTCCACGATGTCAACTCCCTTCTCAAGAAGCACAGGCCGGACCTGATGCACCTTTCCACCACCAACGGAGACTGGTCGGTTGGTGAGGGACACAAGATGACTGCCGCCATTGGCGGTAATCTCATCGACATGGAGAAGGTGCAGGTTCACCCCACTGGTCTGGTCGACCCCAAGGAGCCCGATGCCAAGGTCAAGTTCCTGGCTGCCGAGGCCCTGCGAGGTTGCGGTGGTCTGCTGCTGGACAACGAGGGCAAGCGATTCGTCGATGAGTTGCAGAAGAGAGACTGGGTGTCGAACGCCATGTTCAAGCACGACAAGTTCCCCGTGCGCCTCGTGCTGAACGGCAAGGCATCTCAGGAAATCGAGTGGCACTGCAAGCACTACACTTCTCGAGGTCTCATGAAGAGATTCGAGCACGGTCGTGACTTGGCCAAGGAGATTGGGTGCGACGAGAGCACGCTCAAGGAGACCTTTGAGAAGTACACCAAGATTGCCTCGGGTGACGAGAAGGATCCCTTCGGCAAGAAGTACTTCAGCAACGGACCCTTCGTCATGGACGACTACTTCTACGTCGCCCAGATGCAGCCCGTGCTGCACTACACCATGGGTGGTCTGGAGATCAATGACAAGGCCGAGGTTCTGGACACAAACCAGAAGGTCATTCCAGGTCTCTTTGCATGTGGTGAGATCGCTGGAGGTGTTCACGGAGCCAACCGACTGGGAGGTTCTTCGCTTCTCGGCTGTGTCGTCTTCGGACGAGTTGCCGGTGACACCTCATCCGCATACCTCCTGCGCAACGTCTCAAGCGGCAAGATCGCCACTGGACGTGCCGGTCAGGTAGCTCAACATTTGCAGACGACGGTGTCTGTTCACCCCGAGAGCAAGAATGTTCAGCTTACCTTCAGCTGGGCAGGAGGTGCCGAGGGCCAACAGGCCGTCTCGGGCCAACCAAGCGCGGCCGAATCTACTCCCCCTACTCAGACCAGCACTGCTGGTCCCACTTCTCACCAGGCCAACAGCCAGAACAACAAGAAGGACATTGAGCAGAAGCAACAGGAGAGGGAGATTTCCATGGACGAAGTCGCTAAGCACGACAAGGAGGGTGACGCCTGGGTCGTCGTGGAGGACATGGTCCTGAAGGTGGACGACTTCCTCCCTGACCACCCTGGAGGACCCAAGGCCATCTTGATGTTCGCTGGAAAGGACGCCACGGAGGGCTTCCTCCAGTTCCACGAGACGAGCGTCATCAAGAAGTACGCTAGCGACACTGTCATTGGAAAGCTGAAGCAGTAAGCTGGCTTCTGGAAAACTTCCGCGGATGAGATTGAGAGCTTCGGGTGTCCTCATGTATGGATAGGATTCGTTACGACTGTGTGCCAGAAAGCGTGGCTTTCTCTTTCAATGTTATGACAAATGCGTCCTTCCAATTCATATTGTGCACAATTCGAGTGTTGCGATGATGCAGCGGGGATACAGAGTACAAGAACGGATCGAGCAATGTACCTCTCAGGCGCTCCCTCTTGCCAAGCTCTGACACACCTGGTGGAGTGTCCGTGGCGTGCTCAAGCGCCTGCCGGCAATCAGGGGAGACACAAGAATGGTACTGTTTGGGGTTCTAGCTATCTTAAGTAAGTCTAGAAAGCCTGTAATTGTGCATACGAGGAAGCACAGAGCAGGGAAGTTAGCCTAAAGTGCCATGTATGCAGATGGCAGAGTGCGGGGGGACTATGGCCGCTGGATACGAGATCAGCTTCCGGTTCCGACAGAAGTGGGTGAGTCCAATCAACCCCGACTGCACAGCCCACCTCCACTGCACCTCGATAGATCTCAAGCGATCCAATCACGCTTCCCCACACAGGCTCACGTCCTCCCATCCTCACGACTTCCTATCTCACATCCAGACACGATCAGACCAGCCCACATCAGCTACTCCAACAATGGTGGTACTACAGAGGTATCTGATTTGCTTGGTGCTATTGCTCGGCTTTACAAATGCGAACCAACCCGTACCCGTACCCGAGCACTACATCATCACCAAAGGCACCACTCACCATCAAAGACTCCAGATCTGGCGTGACTTTTTGGAAGCACATCGATCATTACATTGTTCGGAACTTAGTCCTAACAATCTACAAACAGTCTGTGGTGGTGCGCGGGAGGTCTCACTTGAAGAATTGTTGCTTGCAGATGATCTGAGGCGAGAAAGAATACGGCTCCGTGATGCTTCAAAAGACCTGCGATCAGGGGGGTCCACTCTCTTCTTCGACTTCCACAACACCTGCTGCACAAGCATCACTAGCTCAATCTCGCTCCTCACTTCTCATCTCTTAAGTCTTTTAACATGGTCAAGGTTGCAAATGAGCGCAAGACTGCCGTACTTCGATGCTCGTTAAAGGACACTGCGGGTACCAGAACGCACCGTCAGGTATTATGAGTGGGGTATCAATTGAAGCTGTGAGGAGAAGCCCTCGCAAAATTTGAGCCGTTTCTTATATATTACATCGTATCCGCCGTTCATTTTTCCCTGCTTTTCATATCCGATACTGTCTGTCTGGCCTGCCTACGTAGTGCTCTTCATGTCCTCAGGCGCCGCCGGTACTGAGACTAAAGATGGCAAGCCAACTGGGTACGATTGTCTCGGGTACCCAATTGAGACCGAAGAAGCGCATAGTGAGACCTCCGTGATTCTGATATCTGGAAAAAGCTGTAGGGAAGAGAGAACAGAGAGTATGAACGTAAGGCTCAAAGGTCCATGAAGGGACCCACAGCTCTGCACTGCCTCGCAGCCCCACTACTCACCCCAAAGTGCCCACTGCCTTCCCATGTATTTGCCAAAGAGCGGGCAGAGGACGATGCGCACTGCCAAATCTATCTGCTCCATTGCCTCTCTCCACTGTTGCTCCTGATCATAATCATCACTCTCTTGGTAAGTGTCTGATGGCCAGCTCTGCGAGTTGCTATGCGTAGTGATCGAAGCAGTCTCGTCCAAGGAGGCAAGGGAGGAGACGTCGTCGTCGTCGTCTCCATCACTGTCGTACGTACCGCGGCCTAAGTGAGTGGCGCTTTTACTCTTTCGGCTGCGCCTGCTTTTCTTGCCTTCTCCAAGGGTCCTGCGCCATGCTCGCTCCTGGATCCGGCTGATGAGGTCGAGGGATTGTGGTGAGAAATTGGGCGTGTCGTCGATGTAGCCAGTCGACGGCCCTGCCTCGGCAGAGGGAGAGGCCATGGTCTTTGAGTGGAGGCGTTGGTTTGAGTGGGTGACGACCAAGTACTCAGTGTACGAGGACGACGACGATGCTGGGGTCGAGGATGCGGATGAGGATTGGGAATAGGGGGTGATGCAACAAGGTGCGATCGGTGGCAGGCGCGGCCGAATATCAGCGATGCACGGACAGGCGGAGGTTGAAAGCGAGTCACGAGTAGCGCGCCACGCGGGCGTTGGTCTCTGCTGTGCCTCGGCTCTTCTCCGCTCCGTTTTAAAGGGCGGCGGCGGAAGGACTTGGCTTTGACCGACTCGCACGACGTTGGTGACTCGGTCCTTCCCGCCTCTGTCAGATTCAGATTGCAGTCTACATCTTCCCATTGCAACTGTTCATACCCCTTTACCCACCTCGCATCCTCACCAACACCAACGATGACACGGCTGATGAGCACCTCCAATGGCCTGGCAGCAGCGACGACCGCATCTGTCAAGCGATCCATGGTCGTACCCACCCCCCGCTTCTACTCGACCAAGATCGATCCCATGACTGGCGAGCTGGCCCCGTCACCCGTACGAAGCCTCGACGCCTCAAGGCTGAAGATCACCAACACCACCACTCCCCGTGACATGCCTCCCTCAGAGTCGCTCATCTTCGGCCACTCCTTCTCAGACCACATGCTCACCATCCCGTGGACCTCTACCGGAGGATGGGCAGACCCCGTCATTGGACCCTATGCACCCCTCACACTCGACCCTTCCAGCGTAATCTTCCACTATGCACCTAGCTTGTTCGAGGGTATGAAGGCATACAAGGACAAGGATGGCAAAGTCAGGCTTTTCAGGCCAGACATGAACATGAGGAGGATGAACCTGAGCGCTGATAGGATCGCACTGCCAGTGAGTATCGCAGCATATGCGCAATCTCAACAGTCATCGCCAGTTCTTGACAGTAGGCTAATCGAGCCTCTTCTGATTGCGCTCTCCAGACATTTGACGGAGGTGAACTCACCAAGCTCATCAAGAAGCTCGTCACACTCGACTCGGCCTGGGTCCCCTCTGCACCCGGTCACTCCCTCTACATCCGCCCCACCCTCATCGGTACCCAAGCCGCCCTCGGCGTTAATCAGACCTCCGACGCCCTCCTCTTCGTCATCACTTCCCCCGTAGGACCCTACTACCCCACTGGCTTCAAGCCCGTATCCCTCGAAGCTGACCCAGAGAAAGTCAGAGCCTGGCCCGGAGGTGTAGGACAGTACAAGCTTGGTGGTAACTACGCACCGGGAATCAAGACGCAGAAGGAGGCAGCTACAAGGGGATACCAGCAGTGCCTGTGGCTCTTTGGAGAGGAGCAGTGGCTTACCGAGGTGGGAACAATGAATCTCTTCATTGTCATCAGGGGAGAAGATGGAGGTGAGTAAGAGGCGCACTCGTGTGAGGCTCGGGTATAACAGTCCCTCCCATTGACCAAATCCCCTACCCTACCCTGCCCTCATTCTACGCTTACCCACTTCACAGTCAGCGAGCTCGTGACACCGCCTCTGAACGGTATGATCCTTCCCGGAGTAACAAGAGACTCCATCCTCTCCCTCAGCCGCGCACACAGCAATGGACAGACCAACATTCCCGGTCTGCCCAAGCAGCTGCGCGTAGTCGAGCGCGAGATGAGCATCCACGAGCTGCAATCCCATGCCGAAAGGGGTTCTCTGCTGGAAATGTTCGGCGCGGGAACAGCGGCGGTAGTGAGCCCCGTGGAGCGAGTGGGTTACAAGGGACGGGATATCATGATTCCTACTGGTGAGGGAGGAGCAGGAGAGGTAGCCAAGGCTATGCTTGCCGAGATTGATCTGATTCAGAGGGGAGGAAAGGAGCACCCTTGGTCCGTCGTCTGCTAGAAGGACATCGCACACTGCATCCTCTTTCCGATCGGCTGCCTCTTTCTCGTCTTTGTCTTTCTGCAGAAATTCCGATAGACTTCTTTCCATCTTGCTTCTGTAGCTTCGCACAATACAATGTAAGGATTTATCCACGATCGATTGTGTGTGTGTGTAGGTGTGTGTGTGTAAGAGCATGCTAGCTACAAGACTCTCGTATTTTCTGTTGCGCCTCTCCCTTGCCCTCATCTGTATCTCTCCTCACGTCGTATCCCATCCACCAGGATCCATCGACGCCTCCGTCTTTCTCGCCACGAGTGTTCCCACACCACCACTCAACCACACTCTTCTCAATTCATCATACCTCTTCATGTACAATGTCTGTCTTCGTCCCTTTTGCAACCCTACATCCACCTCTCCATGAGAATCAAGATAAGGACTATAGATGAATGTCCCATTGGAGTGGTAGAGGAGAAAGACGAGATTCGTCTTGACCTTGAAGAAGATTCCATAGTTGCCGCCACAAGTACTGATGTGTAGGTTGCACTCACCACGCTGTAGTGTGGCATCCATGCAGCAGAAGGATTGGTAGCAAACAACTTCACCGCATAGTAGACACAAGGCTGGTTCTGGGGGACTCGTCTTGCACTTCTTGCAAGGGGTTCGCTGCGAGTATTGAAGGAGGGCAGTCAGATCCTTGGGAAGAGTGATGAGCTCGTAGATGTGCGGGTGCTCCAGCTGTAGAGTGGGGTGGTTGTGGGCGGGATGCGCCGAGGGCTGGCCGACGGTCAGGGAGTTGGGGTCGTTCGCGCCGCCTCCAAGTGGGGATGGATTGATCGGTAGTGGCCTGAAGAGCGAAGCCAAGGGCGTGTAGGCGTGCTTAATCCAGCCTTCGACAATGCTGCTGATGGGCGCCTGTCGCTCGGCACGTATAGGTAGACCCTGGGCCGGTGGGGTGATCCCCAAGTCCGCCAGCAAGCGGAGATACTCGATGGGCTCTGCTTGACTCTCCTCTCCCAGACCCGAAGGCGAGCTATTACTGTCGCCGCAGATGGTCCTGCGTAGGATAGCAGCTCGACGCAAGAACGGCAACGTGTAGGTGCACAGCATCTTGGCCAAAGTCAAATCGTCCAGTCCGTCCACGCCAAGGGTGATGTTCCCTCTGGCGTACCCGACAAAGCCAACAATGTGACCCACGGTCCACCTCACATCAGGGAAGATCTCCTGCAATGCAGCCTTCTCTTGGTCTGTAACATCTGGAGGAGTCAGGTGAGATCGAAGTGCACTAGGACCTCCTGCTCCACCGGCAGCCTGAGGCCAGATGGAAGGCTGTGCGAGACCAAAGACAGTCTGCACTAGGGTCGCATAGTACATTAGTGTTGTCACCTGACTGAGCGACTCAGGCACAATTGCTGCCGCCTCGATGAGGATTGACAAAGGTTCGCGCAGGAGCAAGGGCGATCGTACCGCTTCGTCAGAGCTCCAGTGAGGTAGCAGACGCTTGAGCAGACCCTGACGGAGAGCAGCTTGATAGTTCCTTGTTGCCGTTGGGGCGAGGTTGGTGTTGAGCTGATCAATCGAGATAATACTCTTGATACAGTAGATGAGAGATCGTAGAAGACCGAGCGAGCCATCGCTGATGGCGGAAGCGACGTTGCCAACCTCACCACTGCTGCCTCGAGCCTCCTGACCTCTCTGCGAGACTTCCAGGATGCTGAGAGTGTAGCCAACCAGCTCATCGGGCAGATACATCTTTCTGCTGGTCGGTGGGGCCAAGATAGTCTTGGCCTGCCAAGCGACCCGCTGGGGCCGCAAGGCGGTACTCATGGGACGCAACACATCGACAAGCCTACCAAGCATGACCAGCATCGAACCATCAACGCCCTCTGGCAGCTTAGCGGCGTAGTCGCGGTCGAGCAGCCAAGAAAGGACGCTGTCGGCATACCAGGACACAAAGCATCCTGTGCCGCCATTGCTGCCTTCTTGAACCCCTGTCACGCTCTGAGACCCTGACGTCTTGAGGATGTCAATGTTGATCTTGCGCAGCCAGTCTCCGATCGGCGTCATGTCGAGTTCTTGATGACCGATCGAGCCGTCCGCGCTCGAGGATGCTCCAGCTGACTCTTTTTTGACCTTCCTTGTAGACTTCGGCACTGGCAAGATGACGTTGCCCAAGCTTTTGCACAGGGGGCATACAAATTCGAACCTGGACAAGTTCTCGGCATGATTTCTCGCAATCTGCTGCGAGTGCCTGGTCTCGATGTTGCGGTAGTAAGCTTGGAAGCAGGTGACGTGCATCAGATGCCCACAGGAAGAAGCGAGCACTCCCGTCTTGTTATCCTCTTTCGAGAAGCCGCCTCCACTTGTGCCGAGATTATTCAGAGGATGGAATGAAGCTTCCTCGCCACTGCTTGTGCTGGCCGTGTGCGTAGCTCTTCCGTTGGAGGCCAGGTGGGGAGACACCCTGTCGAGGTTGAGGGGCACATCGACGACGTCCTTGAGAGCTTTGTGATTGTTGCGCGGTGTCGTGCGAAGAGTGCGGCTCGCAGTCACTAGGCCCAGTCGACCGAAGGAGCTGTCTTCGGTCAGCTGCTCTTGACACATGATACAGCTGCCAAGCGCCTCCTCTGCTTCCGCTTCCATGTCGCTGTCGTCATCGACACCTTTGACAGCAGTAGTGTCGCCTTTCGCATCGACTTCCATCGAATCGTCAGCGTCCACCTTAGTCTTACTGTCTGCCTCGTCTTTCTCAAGACTCTCCAGAAGCGTATTTTGCTGAAGCTTGAACTTCTGCATGATGGCAGCTTGACGAGCTTTCGCAGCTTGCTTCCTGGCTTCGGCAGAGTTCTTAGAGGGTGCAGTTTTCTTCCCGCCTGCTTGACCCAGGCCAGCATCATTCTTGGCAGCGCGACGCTGGTCCAGCTTCTCGTTGGCTATCTCTGATTCCTCACATCGATCTAAGCACCAGGCGATCCTGGCCTTCAGAGCAAGATTCTTGACCCGAGACTCCATCTCGCAGAGATCAGAGAGAACGGATATCTCGTCGTCGATGGGCAACGCAAGGGTGTCACGAACGAACACCCTGCCCTTCTCGACAATTCCGATGACGATCAGATGCAGAATGGACTCCAGCATAGTCTCGTTGACCTCCACATCCGATGCACGAGGGTTGCCAAGGCCAGAGAAGAGAATGTAGCGGAAGCTGGGTGCAGTGAAAGCCCTCAAGATCGAACGGGCAAAGAGCTGTGGTTCCAAAGACAACTGCTGAGCCGGCACGATGACCAAGCTCTCCGCAGACCTTCCTGCCTTCTTCTCTCGAAGTCTGAGCTGCTCCTCCGCTCTCTCCCTCTGGTTGCGAGTGTAGTGATGGAAGAAGGGGTCCACCTCTCGATAACACTCGTCCTTGAGCTCGTAGATGCCTTGGTCAGTAGTCCCGTCAGGACCCCTGAAGGTAGTGACTTGTGCCAAGATCTTCTCAAAGGAGGGATGGTCGATCATGTACTCTGGGATGAAGCGAGTCGTTGACGAGAAGGTCCCTTGACCCAGCGCGAGGAAGTGAATCAATTCTCGACGAATCAATTGTTCCATGCTCCACGCGCAAGCATTGCCAGGCTCCGACAGAAGTGTGATGAGCAGCAAGAGGAAGTCGTCTGCAGCTGCCTTGAGTTGCGCATCTTCTCTGGTTGCGTCAGATATCTGCGAGAAGTATCCAACAAGATCGAAGCGGTCAAGGAGGGTGACCAGGAAGCGGTCCGGCGAAGGCAGGAGTGCAAGCGCGGCTTGCAGAAGGAATACGTCCTGGTCGTACATCGAACCTCTTGCCGTTACGTCTCTATAGTGAGCTGCCTGACCTCTGGTGGCCGTACCGTTCCTGACCCACAAGCCTCCACGGACTTGCGAGATCTTGACTATGCAACGGATGGACATGTCGAAGACTACCAGCAGTCCGTCTTCGTCAAGACCATTGATGAGCTCGGGGATGGAAGAGATGCCCAAGGAAGTGAGGTCTGAAGTAGTCAGACCACTGAATCGCTTGCTCATCTCAGCGAGGAACCAATGCATCGGATGATGGAACGCAGTGTGCTGCGAGGCAACCTTGAAGTCGATGACCTGATGACGATCAGACCAGGAACGGCCATACTCGACTTCGTGGAACTTGATCGGCGGAATACATTTGTGGTTCGTTCCCACATCATTGAAGTGATGCGCCAAAGCGATAGTCTCGTAATGTACCCTTGCAAGAGTGTAGTTGAGAGCTTGAACGGCCTGGCCGACAGTAGCCTTCTGGTACGACTGGCCGAACAGACGAGCCTCCTTGGCGAGCAATTGGCATACTTGAAAGATGAGGACCCACGTCTCACCATCGAATTCGATATGCTGTTGAGTCTCGCGCACCTCGGATGCATAAGCATTGAAGTAGCGAAGCCAGTCCAAGAGGTACGCGGTGTGCCTGGGTTCTTGCACGATCAGTTCCTGCACTCCCGGGGACTGGATCAGATACTTCATATCGTAGAGGACGTGACGTAGTAGCGGGATGAGCCTGGGGTGCTGGGCATCTTCCACCGGTCGTATGCGTCGAGGCGGACTCGGCGGAACTTCGAGGGCCTTGATCATGGGCCGGAGGCCACCAGTCATCAGCGAAATGAGAAGGTCATGGAGACGACGCATGAAGTCAAATTTCGAGACCAGCTCGAATGCGACCGAGGGCACCGAGAAGAGCTGCACGGTCAAGAGGATGATCGAATGCTCCGGCTCTCGATCTCGGAAGATGGAGATCTCGATGATCTTGTTGTATGAGAAAGCGTAGTGTGATGCGACTCCTCGTCTACCGGTACTGATCTTGCACAAGCTCAGCCACAGTTGCCGCAACCACGATCGGCCCTCCTTCCAGATCTTGAAGTCCATCAAGAGTAGGCCATCGAGTTTCTTGAGATTGTCATCATCGAATGCGTCCTTGTCCATACGCGGAGTATAGAAAGACTCCTCGTGACGACAATCGATGGGCCACTCTTGCAATAGACCAAAGGTGATGAGCGAGGGCATAAAGGTCGAATCTGGCTTCGAGGCGCTTTCATTTCGTGGAACGTAGATGGAGGCCTCCGCAAGGTCTTTGAGAACCCACAAGAGCTTGTTGACGATTTCTTCGCAATAGACATCGAACGCCGGGCGTATCGTCACCTTGAGATTGATGCCTCCCATGCGCCTGGCAGCACTGACGAGCTTCTCGACCGAATCGCTGACGATGAGGACATCCCTTCCATGCCTGTCGACTCGATCAGCCACTCCCCTAGCTTCCTCATCGCTGACACCAATGGCATCCTTGACCGTGTCGATGACGTCCTTGAACGTATGCCTCTCGTCGTTCCAGAGGATCAGAGCATATTTGCGTGGCTTCAAAGGCCAGGTCCGCAGCGTCTTGACGGTCTTATTCTCCTTGCGTACTCTAGCTATGCGTCTTCCAAGCTCTCCATCGTCGAAAGAGCGGGAGGGATGTGAGTCATGCTCGAAAGTATTTATCTCAGAGTCACTTGCTTCCTCGTCCAGCTGATAGTGTCCTGGGAGCGACTGATACGATGCCAGAGCAGCTTCGTCTCCGCTGGCGAGCAGTGGATCCACCAGCTGCGTATCAGCAGGAATCTTCCCCTGTCTCCTGAGCCGCCGGACCTCTTTCAGACGCCTTTTAAAGGAGTCCGTCGTATTTCTTTTCAGCATCTGGTTGTATTGCCTGTTGTAGTAGGCACTATCCTTCTCTCCCGGCGCGGTCTTCGCTTCGGAGCCCTCGGGAACATCCTTGTACTTGATGAAAGGCATTAACCCTTCCTCCTCTCCATTGACGTCTTCATCCTCCTCGTCGTCAGAATCATTCCTGCTGCCCCAGGTCTCCAGATCTTCTGAGTTCCATATCAGGTCTCGGGCATTCTTCTGATTGAAGCGGCTGAAGGACTGCAAGAAGAGGGTCTGCTCCTCTGGCGCATGATCAACAGTCGCGAGGACGAACTCTAACCATTGGTTTGCGACGTCTTGCAAAGCGTCGACGAAAGCCGGATCTACGTCCTTGCTTCTCAGAGAGGCAGAGATCTCGTTCATGAGATGGCGGTCTATCGAGCGAGGCGAGGAGAGCTTCGAGTGAATTTTGTGGCTAGACGCCTCTGCCTCTGCCTCACCCATTTCATCATCTGTTTGGTGTTCTGAGGTAGATCCCTGACTCTTGGAGTGGTAACGACAGCCCACGTCCTTCTTCCAAGCCTCATCGTCACCACAGTCACAGACGCCGCCCTCTGTAGCGCATACGCTGAAGACGACATCGTGACCTTCAGCGTTGTGAACACTTCCATCGAAGCAAGGTGCGCACTGCACGCAAGTATCATCAATGGCGCAATCTCTACATCTCCAGATGGGTTCGCCTTTGCGGAAGTAGTGCCCACATGGCCGACCTCTGCGCTCCTCCGTGTATTCAGGTCCAAGATAACCCAAATGGGAGCCACTGTCCATTCCTGGAGAGGGAGAGCCGGCCCGAGATGATGCGGGAGATTTACCCTTGAGCGAAGAGGATGAAGAAGCGAGCCTTGCTTGTCTAGCTCTGAGGAAAGGGAAAGCTCCCTGAGCTCTTGAGAGGCTCCAATCATTTGCCTCCAACAGGTCCAGAGCTTCCGCAATGCTCGGAGGCGTTAGGAAGTCATTGGCAGTGGAGCTCGAGGTGGAAGGCCAGTAGTAATGCATATCACCGGTCTTCCTGAAGAGCTGAGTGAAGATCTTCCGGAAGATCTGTGTGCTTTGCTGATCTGCCAGTGGCAAGGAGAAGGGCTGAGCCTCTGCCCCGATACTTGATGCCGCACTGAGTGGAGCAGATGGGGCAGAGGGGCCTCGCAAGGCACTCAATTCACCGGGGTAGCAGTCCAGATGTCGCAACAGAAGGGGCACGAGATCTTGGACCGGCATTATCTCTGGCTCGTGGTCATCCTCATTGAAGGGGGAGCGATTGCTTGGGGACGAAGAGAGGCGCTCGCCTTCATTCTCCAGTGGCCTGGGCACCGATGGCCGAGGCGGCACCGGTAACGGCGTATCGAGGGGTACGCGGGCCATACTGACAGAGTCTTCAGCAGTGGCTCTGTAATCTTTGAGCCGCTGAAGACGAGCGTCAATACAGAGGGGGAGGTGGTCTTTATGATCGGGCCGCAACACTTGAGGGACGATCTGGGAAGTGTTGGACGGCCGGGCGGGAGGGTGCAACGCCCATCATCTCATCTCCCGCGCGAGCATCGGAACGGAACGAAGGACAGGCACAAGCAGGCAGGCTCAAAAAAGTGGAAAGCAAGAAGATCGCTCTCGTCACCATCATCGCAGTCACCGATACACACTCACTCGCTCTCCTCGCCCGATCTCGTAGTCACAATGGTCGTCCGTCTTCGACTAGCCCGGCATGGAACGCGTAACAACCCCTTTTATCATCTGGTAGCCATCGCAGACCACAAGCCGCGGGACGCCCTTCCCATTGAGAAGCTCGGGGAGTACGACCCCATCCCCCGTCCTGCCGCCTTCCGCCCGCCGAAACTCGATCCAAATGCTCCTGTCCTCTCCTCAGGACTACCAGGAAGAGCAGCACTAGCTTCTGGAGCAGATATGGCAGCGGAAGGGTCGAAGATGGGAGGCTCGCAGGCTGTCAAGTTGGAGAAGAGGCTAGAGCTGGATGGGAATAGAATCAAGTACTGGCTGTCGGTGGGAGCACAGCCGTCCAAGCCTGTGGCTAAGATGCTGGACAAGGTGAGCGTCACAAGCTATCTCGGTTATGGCAGCATGTGGGACTGCAGCGCTGACCGATTGCTTGCCGTTCTTGACCCTCTACTTGTAGGCTGGTCTGATCCCAGAGGGCAAATTCTACAAGGGCATGTTCAGACATCCGCTGCTGGAGCCTCACAGCAACCGTGCAGCTGCCTTGAACTCATCATCGTCATCATCAGCAGCAGCAGCTCTTTCAGCATCGGCATCGGCACCAGCTGCAGATCCATCGACAATATCGGGCTCAGGCGCAAGAACAGGAGCAGGAGCGGGAACTGGAGCACAGGGAGTGGATACAACATCGTAATGGACGCGAAAGATCTCTCTCGCGACTTCTTGTATACTAGCATTATCTCCCAGCGCATTCAAAGTGAACCAAGAATTAGAAGCGTGATCGGTGAGGACTAGGCGAGACTGCCTGATGAGAATGCAGTTAAATGCGTGAAAGGATATGCCCGAATGTCATACAGTGCATGAAGAGGAGATACAGTGGCGGGTTCCCATATCATTGCAGGCCGGCCACCATCCTGACCACAACCTTCCTCATCGTAGCCGCCTCGTCACTGTCTCCGGCCCAATCTGCCCCAATCAGCTTGCTGACCTCTTCTTCGAGCGCCTTGACCTTCTGCTCGTCTCTGAGGATTTCACCACCCAGCTGCAGACTGGAGGGATGCTGCTCGAGGAGCGTCCTCCAGCTCTGTGCCAGGTGGGTAAGAGCAGCGCTCATCTCGTCTTGTCCTTCACGCCCATCCGCATCACTCTTGCCTGTCGAGCCACTCTGCCCTGAGTTGAGCGCCACATGGTAGAAATAGTCGAGGGAGTGCGTGACACCGTTGAAGCCCGTACCGCGTACACTGCGGGGAAGATCGACCGGAGGTGCAGCAAACCACTGCACGCCCTTCCTCACTGCGCCCTCCTGGCCTTCGGTCTGCTCTTCCTCCTCTGTCGGGGTGTTCGAGGCAAAAAGGGCGACGGTTTGTTCGGGCAACGGCGCTACGTAGGCTTCGTACCCACCCACAGCAGCTGCCAGAGTTCGCTCGACAGTAGCCGTTGGCAGTCTCTGTAGACTGGCGGGAGGCGGTGGTGCTGCTGTTGCTGCAGCCGATGGCCTGGATGTGGATGCGTGACCTCTGGCGCCAATGCCGTAGTTCTGCGCCGCGACGCCGATCTGCAATGCTTCTCTCCAGGTCGAAAGGGTTTGCACGTCTAAAGCGCCACGTAGGTGGTGCGTCACAGAGTTCAGATCGATGCTGAGCCCTTGCGGACTGCCTAGGTGATGGTATAGGCGGCCGTATTCTCCCTGACCAATCCTGGCTGGAATACTGGTTGAGTATGTTCGCAGAATGTGGTGAGCCGCCTCAACTTGCTGCGGTGTAGGGATTGGCATATGCGAAGAAGTCCAACCAGAGACGAGGGCCGCTTCTGGGTCGGCGGAGGGGTCAGGTCCGGTGCGCCTGTGCTTCCTTTTTGAAGGGGACCCAAAGGGATCCGGAAGCTCGTCTGTGGCTTCTGGGCCCCTCTTTGCGTTGGCAGCTCCTGCTAGGGGTTTCTTGCCGCCTGGCGGCCCTACTTCGCTTTCGTCGCAGATCCTCCCAGGACCCTGAACACCCCTGAGGAAAGGCGACGGGATTCGAGCAGGCAGCATGATAGGCTCCGCGAAGAGCTCAAAGGGCTGATCGGGTCCACGTTGCTCCTCCGGCAGACAGCTGTTCCAGTTCTTGATCTTGTTCTGTTCGTACGTACGCTCGTCGTAGCGGTACTCGGCGATGTACAGAGGATCGAGTGGATCCAGCACGTGGCGAGGGGGCCGGCCCTTGGTCCACCGCGTGTAGAACAGGGTGTGGCATTTGCTGATGACGTCTTCGATGGCATGGTCTATATAGAGCCCCGTCTTCATCACCTCATCCGGAAAAAAGTAACGTGATGCGGGATGGACAGTCTGCTCTGGTCTGAAGTACCAACAGCAGGTCAGCCCGGCAGCTTCATCCGGTGCACCTTCACGCTTGAATATCTTCCAGATTTGAGAAATGGTTGGTCTAGTGGGATCCGCGGGATTCATCAAATGAACCCAATCTCCTACAGTGATGAGCTGCCCTTTGTGGTAAGTGTAGTTGCAGTATTGCTTGCCTTTCACAGCCATGCGCGTGGGGAGATCACTATCTGCTCCCCTGGCAGCAGTGCCCGGGCCGTTTGCAACCGAAGAGTAGAGCTGCGATGCTTCTGGCCTAGCAAGGTTGCGCTGAATGCTAGCGACGGTAGTGTATGGGACCTGCGGATGAGGGGCGGTCATGCATTGGTACATGCGCTGAAGGATCATCGTATCACCGTGCTGTGGCGAGCCGATCTCGTAGCCACGTCGGAAGCAGTTGAAAAGATGAAGCATATCTTTCTCGAAAACCACAGCGCCAGTATAGTAGCCTTGCTGTAGTCGCTCCGATACCTGACCAAGGGAGAGGAAGTGCTGGGCCTGAGGTTTGAAGAGAGCGAAAAGTGCCGGTCAGTATCTGCAACTGGTCACTGCATTGAATCTGGAGGTACTTACTCGGGCTCTGAATTGCGGATCATTAGGTATCACTTCAATTGAATCGGTCAGGTTGCGACCTTTCCACTGATGCGACCGGAGCTTGTCCAGAATGAACGCATAGACTTGCTGAGCTTGGGCAGCGTCTGGAGCATCGGCCATGAAGCCACTTTCTGCTTGGGTAGGTGGTGGAGCAGCTTCGACAGCACTCCTGGCTTGAAACGCCTTTGGATTGGATGCTTTCGAAGAAGGCCTGCCTCGATTGGACTTGCTTTTCGAGCTGGACGATGGTATGCCAGAGAGAGCAGCGACCTGCCGATGCCGCGGGAGAAGGGCGCTAGAAGATCCCCCGATTTCGGAAACGTCCGGCGTTGCGGCACCGTCTACAGCCTGGCTGCCGTCATCTTCGTTTTCTTCATCGTCGTCGTTGTCCTCTTCATCTTCGTCTTCGTCGTCTTCATCGTCCTCGTCGCCTGCCCAATCGTCTCGGTACACGGTCGGGACGTTACGACTGGCGTTGCGCTGAGGCCTGCCGGACGTAGACGGTGAGGCACGAGCAATCGAAGACATGGTGATGTGATACGTGTCGTGGTATGCTCGACAGCGTATATGCACAGCCAAGCGGCGCCACGACAGTCGTCAGCGAGATGAGGGTGAGAAGAGGGAGCGTGGTGCCGTACGAAGGACGGGAAGGAGAAGCAGCGACGCGATGACTCCGACGCCTCGTCGGCCATTTGGCCCACTTCCGCCTGTCCGCACCCAGAAGGCCGTCTAGTCTACCTCGGCTTCGCAGCTTGCCCGCCGAATTGCGATGTATGGCGCATAGACATTCATGATGCAGATAGGTAACGGTGCAAGAGCCGAATGGATATCAGCCACCATCGTGTGCCGCCATCGGGTGCGTACGGATGCCCCGCTTGCCGTCCAGGTTCCTTGCCCCCTTTGTCTGACCAGTCCGTCGAAAGAGGTGGTCAGTGCGGACGCAGGCAACATTGGCCCTGAATGACTTTCCCCCTGTTGCTCCATGGTCCTCGGTACAACTCCTTCCTTGTCGTCCGCTCTACTCCGGTACCAACCGAAACTGATTCGCAGCTTGACACGATCCCAACGCCGCACGCATCTTGAGCATTGTCAAGTCCAATCTCGCACTGTGTCCTCCCGAGCGGACCGCGTTCGGACGAAAGCTGGGCAGGCAGCAATAGGGGCGGCGGCTCGAAGGGGAGCGATCGCGCCGTGACAGTCTCAGGGGCCGCAAGGATTAACGAGGGTACCTCGATCCTGCTATCTGCTGTCATCACCGTCTTCCAGTTGCAATGTCTTCGGCACATACAGATGTCGGGCCAACACCAACGACCAGCACAACAAGCGATCTAGCTGTGTCTGACGCAACTCTGTCAGCGAATGCACAATGGCAACCGCTGCCCAAGATCCACTACGGCTTTGCTATCTCAACATTCTCTCCGGAGGCTGAGATACTGCACCAGGCAGCTCGAACCCTCGATGAGACCTCGGTGGCAGCACTCCGATCCCACCTTGTGACGCTGGAGGTAGGAGACGAGGTATACGTCTTCGAACAATTGGGCCAGGACAAGCCACAATGGTACCGAGGCTTCATTGTATCCACACTGGGGAGTGCAGCATTGGCCTCCACTGCTTTAGTCAACAGATCGGAAGCAAGATCTTCCATGGACAGTCCCGCCTCTGCCGGTCTGCTACCCTCAGAGCGAGAAGGCCTCGTCGAGGAGCCCCAAGTATTCGTCGGTATGTTCCCAGCAGGACACATATACATCAAAGAGCTTCTCGAGGATGCTGAAAATAAGCTGGGTGGCATATACGCGCATGCTAGAGCATTGCAGCAGCACAGCACAACGCAGCAGCAGTCATCTCGCGCAAGCTCAATCTCAAAGTCGCAGATGGAAACGCTGCCCGAGGAGGACGAGAGCCCGAGCTTTCCCAACAGCCCTAGAGATGCAGAGCTCGCCCAGATGCAAGCCCTCGCCGAAGTTGACGACGATTCCAAGGGTGGTTCGAACAACTCGTCTAGGGCCGAAGCTCAAGCTAATGATGGCACTCATACGCAGCCCCTGTCAACGTATGCTGAGATTGACCACGAGATAGACTCTCGGCCCGCACCTCCGCTACCCTCCTTGAAATGCAGCGATGAGACGATCAGCGGAGCTGAGGAACCTCTTGTGGATGAGATTGCATGTGCCTTGCGAGAGTGGGGCAGCTTGGCGTACACCTATCTCGTTGAGCGTAACTACAATTTGTTCAACACAGTGCGGAGACATATCGAGGCGTTGCACGCAGCGCGACGTCAGCTCTTGGCGCATAATCTCAGTGAAGAAGAGACTGTCAAGCTGCGGCGGGAATGTGTGGCTCGTCTCGTCAAGGGCAACATAGCGCAAGGGCTGGAGGTCATTGTCCGGCATCCAGACAAAGGAGGTCTGGTAGACATAGATGTCAGTGGTGCAACTGTGGACCTGGACAATTGGATCAGCGGTGTGCGCCTCTACGCTCTACAAGTCGCTCTGGCGTACGTAGATCGGCATCTTCAAGACGCGAGCGCTGGAGACCCCCAGGGACACGTCTTGCTCAGCGGTCTATCAGGAAGTGGGCACCGACAAGGTGTCTTCGGCTCGAGCTATAGTACCGTTGCCTCTGGTACTAGACGGCAGTCAAAAGCGCTGCTCAATACGCCTCGGATCGTAGCGGAAACCGCACCTGGCAAGACTGAACCATCCTCCAGCAGGCCGGCAACTGCCAGTGAATTCTTGTCGGCTTCCTCATCTGAGGGCACCACGTCACCAACATCAAGCATCAAATACTATCACGTCTTCCTCGAAGTCCGCGCCTTTGTTGCTAGTCCATGCGCTGCTGGAGAGACGGCTGAACTCTATTTTGCTCTGTACAGCAGGGGTGAAGCTCGATTTCTCACAGAAGAGTATTGTATCGTACTCAACCACCATGGGGTGCCTGCTGGGCAGGCAGAGGATCGCAGGGGTAAGATGTGCACTCTGTTCACAGAGCTCAGTGCTGCAGATCTACAGGACCTCGACGTTGTCTGCAGGATCGTTCGAAATGGGTCCATGAAAGTGAGCTCTGGTTCTGCGGAATCTCGCTCGTTGAACACTCTCAGCGCGCCTGATGAGGTACATGATCAGGAAGTGGCGGATCAACTGATCGCTTCGACTCAACCTCAGCAGGCCGCATTGGTGGGCACGCCAGGGTTCCGCAAAGACCGCATGGTTGGCGACCGGTCATTCCGACGACCCTTCGGCTGCGCAGTGCTCTCGCTTGGCTCGCATCACCATTTCGACACGGCTTACACGTCATCTTCAGCGAGGAAAGAGCATGTGATGCCCATATTCATACCTGTCAAGGAAGCTGCCTTCAGCACACTCCATCAGGACATCATCGCTTCGAGAGTGGGAGAGTTTGAGAAGTCGACAAGGGCTGAGATGATCGCCGTCGATGTCAAAGTCTTCCATGGACAATCAGATACACTCGTGATGGAGAATCCCTCTATCCTGTCGAGTGCAGCTCTAACGGCTCGATTGGGCTTCCCGGACGTAGTCTTTCCAGGCGATGAGCGTAATGAAGCATACATAAAGCTGTGGTCCGGCGAGTTTTTCCCCTCCGCGGGGAAGATGTCGACCAATTCCTCTGCGCGTAATATACAAGTCTCGATAGAAGTGAGAACCCGGGACGGTCAAGTGCTAGAGAATGTGATCTCCCGCGGTGCTGGAGAACCACCGGTGACCCAGTTCGACAGCATCACTTTTCATCGTCAGAATGCTCCAACTTGGGGGGAGCTGATTAAGCTGCGGCTGCCCAAGGATCTTACCCACGAATGCCACCTTTTCCTGTCCTTTCGACATCGCAGCTCGAAAGAAGATCGTTCGACACCATCATCAGCGACGTTTCAGGCCAATCCGAGCACTGCCGCCACGTCCAAGCGGGTCGAGCCCACAGCTCCTGTCAGTGTGCCCTTCGCTCATGCCTACCTCCCTCTTTACGACACCAACTCTGCTTTCCTGCAGGATGGTCCGCATACTTTGCTGATTTGGAAGCCGATCCGTCCAGCTCACCAATTGAGCCCAGAGGTCTACTTTTCGTTGCCGGCGACAGTCCCATCTCCGAGTCATGGTGGAGCCCTGACCGAGGGTCTCGCAGCCGGTCTGCCGGGCTTGCTTCAGCTCCTGCCCGACACTGTCACCCTTCGAACATTCCTTGTATCGACTCGATTCACCCAGAACGAGACATTGCTCCGACTGCTGCATTGGGAAAGACAGCTGGGTGCGTCAAGCAATTTCGAAGAGCTCAGGACCGTTTTGACGCAATTCACTTTCGTCGGGGAAGTCGAGGTAGTCAAGTTCTTGAGCGACATCTTCGACGCTCTCTTTGCTATCGTCATGCATCCCAAGAACAGCGACGGAGGATTGGATGATCTGGTCTCGAAAGCTCTGGTGACCGTTTTGAGTATTGTACAAGATCGTAGGTTCAACAACTTTCGAGCGACCCTTGACGCCTATATAGACAAGCACTTCTCTTTTCAAGCAGCTCACTCTCGACTGATGGACTCCATGGCGCGTCTCTTGGCAGACCCAGGGCGCAGCGATGCATCCAAAGACCTTCGCGCTTCGATCAAAGTCTGGCCATACCTCTTCCGTTTCATCATCAAGGGCAGGGAAAACCAACGCAGAGCAAATGACGAAGGCAACGCCGTGGGCGGGGGGGCTGTTGACGATCATCTCGAGACCAAGTTCCGGAGCGACCTCGATGCGATTCTACGGTCCATCAATCGGCTCATGGCTGCAACCAGTCCGCCCTCCATTGTTGGAACACAAGCACTTGCATTGCAGCACTTCGCCGGCGTTTTGCCCCACTTGGCAAAAGTCTTCACCCTCACAGACCTTGTCAGCTATGAGTGCAGCTTTGCTGACAGCCTATTTGTCACGAAAGGACGAATGGTCATCTGGAAGCTCCTTCACATTATACAGGTCGTTGACGGTCCGCTCTTTGATCACGACGCCTCTAGAGCTGAGCTCGTGCCCAGCGTTGTGAGGTCGATTCGGCCTCACTTGGGTCCGTTCGACGATGCAAACGCTGCCAGTGTTGCTGCTACACCCTCAAAGGCAAGCCAGGACGGTGCGAAGGACACAGCTCGGATTACATGGATCGAGTCTGCCCGGCTGGCCTTGACCGTTCTTGCGGTCGTACTGGACCGCGTTCAAACGAGTATCGCGGATCTCAAGAAAGTCAAGACGACCGGCGCGCAGCTGAGGATAGAGCAAGACAGTGTGGACTACGTCCTTCCTTTGCTGCCACGTATCCTCGAGACCTATCGAGAGCTTGAGAGCGAGGAATGCATCGGAGCATTGGAGAGGCATCGATCCCCTTCGACCATTGCTTCTGAGGTGCCAGTGATCTTTCCTTCTGCTTATCCTTTCCCCCTTATCTCTCAATGGCCGGATGAGCAACAGTCGAAGACGTCAGGTGTGCATCATTCTGACCAGCGACGTGGCAAGCAGACGAGACTGAACTTCCTGCATTGTGGCCTCGGAGAAAGCGCAACAGTGCTCATCATGTTGATCATGCTCTCGCCGCGTAAACATCTCGCAGAGTTTCTGGACGAGCAGAGTGATCTAGGAGGGCCCGATCAATTGAGCCCTTTCTTGACGAGCTTCTGTGCAGTTGCCACTTCTATCCTGCGCAACGATGCGTTCCCTGCTGCTTGGCTCAACATCAACATTTTGGCTCATCAGATGGTGCTCAAGATGGCCGATCCGCTTTCTGCGCTATTGGTCAGGGACTTCATCCCGACAAGAGAAGACCCAGGCGCTTTCGACAAGATCCTCTGGCACGACTGCCTGAACATGTTCTTGGCACTACTTTCGAGCGAACAGCTTGTGGTTGAGCAGTTCAAGCCTCAACGACGACGCGCGGTATGGCGTCTTGCAGGCGACATTCGTGGGGAAGGTGCTCAGATCTTTGCCAAACTTTGGAATTCGATAGGCCAGCCGGATAGAAGCCCCAGTGCAGAAGCCCGAGAAGAGGGTGCTGCAATGCTTAACACTGGTGGATTTCAAGTCCATTTCGTTCCCGACTTGGTCGAGCCTGTCCTTCAGCTCTGTCTGTCTCATCATGACGAATTGCGCACCTGTGCTGTACGGGTTTTGGCTACGATGATCACAACAGAGTGGCATCTGAGCGGCTCTTTCGCTACCATTGAGGGCGAGATCATTGATAAGCTCGATGCTCTGTTCAGATGTAGATCAAAGGGGGACGAGATCTCGAGGGTCTTCTTCATCGGACAACTTCGCTCCTTTTTCGATAATCCCGATACGGATCAGGCGCTTCAGGAACAGATCTCGACTTGTCTGATTTCCGTCAATCGGTTTTTGGACCTGCTTTTGAACGTTCGCTCCCTTCCGCCGGCGGAAGGCTTCGACGACGATCGTGTTGCTGGCACCCTCAAGCTGCTGGGCTTCCTTCGTCAGGCAAATCGAGTGACCGCCTTCTCGGCGCACGTCTTGCGACTGGTCAATGTCCACCTCAACAGCCACAGCTACATTGAGGCAGCGCTGACTCTGAAGTTGCATGCCGATCTCCTGACTTGGGAGCCGCACACCTTTATGGACCCACTTCCTGAGTTGTCACTGCCCCGACAGACCAACTTTGCAAGGAAGGAAAAGCTGTATATGCTTATTCTCGACTACCTTAGCATGGGAGAAGCCTGGGAGATCGCAGTCGACATTTGCAGAGAATTCGCCCAACAGTATGAGTACGTCGCCGTTGACTATGTACGCCTATCAGAGATCCTCGCTTATCAAGCCGGTCTCTTCGGCAACATCGCAACTCAAGAGCGTACCTTCCCTAGCTACTTCCGGATAGCTTTCTGGGGCTCAGGCTGGCCTGAGCTTCTGCAACAGAAGATGTTCATCTACCGTGGGCTAGATTGGGAGAAGCTCTCTACCTTTGCAGAACGGCTGCAGCAGAAACATCCTGCGGCGATCTTGCTCAAGACCAGCGCTGACGTCGGAGACGATGTCAAGTATTCTGAGGCACAATACCTGCAGGTGACGGCTGTGCAGCCCGAGCCAGATCGGAACAGGGATGCCTTCACGAATGCAGAGGTGCCGCACTGCGTGAGAAGCTACTACGAGCACAACGCCACCAACCTTTTCTCCTTTACGCGGCCGCTGCGACCTGAAGACGGGAGACGAGACCCATCGCTCTCTTCTTCTCCACGTAAGTCGCTCCTAGCAGAAGTCTGGGTCGAAAAGACATTCTTGCGATGCGAAGATGCATTCCCGACAGTCTTGCGGAGAAGCGAGGTCGTTGACGTGCATGTCACCGAGATCTCCCCTATTCAACATGCCCTGGATGACGTCGAAGCCAAGACTGTGGAGCTGGTCGGGCTAGAGAAGAGGTGCGCAAAGGCAAGCCAAGGAGGCGCTAAAGTTGACACGAACCGATTGGCAATGACCCTCAATGGCGCCGTCGATGCGCCACTCAACGGAGGAATTCCACTCTATCGTCGAACCTTCCTCGACGAAAGTGAAGGCATACCTCCTCAAGATGCAGACCTCGCAGAGCGACTACGCCGAGCCATCGATCAGCATGCCAGCACACTCTGCCGATGCCTCAAAATCCACGCCCGCCTGTGTGCGCCTGAGATGAAGCCCTTCCATGATGCACTGGAGGGCTTCTTTGCCAAGAATTTTGCCGAGGAGATCCAAAGGTTGAATCTTACCCTAGAAGAGATCGATGACGCTGGGCCACTCGATGCTAGTGCAGACGAGAGAGGAAGAGGAAGCCTGCCGGCTGGGCCTCCTTCCGCGCTCAATGGTGCTAGTCAAGTCGGGGAGCGCTCCTTGAGCCGCAGCCGTCGAGGTAACTCTTCAGCGAGGTACATCCTGGGCGACGACAGTCGTCTACGTCGGGTCAGTCCAGATACTTCGCAGACCGTCCCCAGTGTACAAAGCAACGGTACCAGCAACAGCAATGGCGGTGCCTCCCAAACAGTCCCGCAAAGCCCGCTACAGCGTCACATTGCCCTCTTGGATCGGCAGATTAGTCTTCCAGGCCTTGGCCTCTTCACTCAGCCCCACAGTATCGGCTACGGCAATGGCCGAGGCTTCGAGCTCGGTCTCTCCTCGCAAGTATCCACGGAGGGCCAGAGACAGGGCGGCATCGCCGCATCCCCACAGACGGCCCCGCCCATGACGACTAGCTTTTCGCACAATTCCCTCCTCCCGTCGAGGGGTAGCGCACCTCCAGGGACGTACACCTCTGTTCCCATCTCTACCTCTGCATCTACCCCTGGCGCTGCATCCTCGCCACGTGTGTCGGTAGCTGGCAAGACTACTCAAGGGCAAGAAGATGGAGCGAGCACTCCAAAGGGGCACGCTCCTTCTGCCGCTTCAGGCTCGGCTTCGACCGCAAGTGCCAGCGTTATTACAAGTGCAATGGCAAGACAGACGAGCGCAGGTGGCAGCAGTATTGAGCGATCCAATGGTGGGGGAAGTCGGCTCAGTCGGCTGATGAGCGTGCGTAGTAGGAGTAAAGGCACTTGAGATGATCCTTGACTGGACGGCTGGCATCGATCTGCACCACAATTCGACTTGATGCCGATGATACCCACCCTTTCACATGAGCATGAAGACGAGGCAGACCCTATTGCGATGCTGGCCATTGCGACGCACAACGCCTGCAGTATCTCACCTCACCTCTCTTCACTCTCCCACAATTCTCCTCCGAGTCTCCTCCATTCTAGTCGCCCGCTCCACCACCACCTATGTCCCCGTCTTCCCCATCTCGCCATGTCATCAAGATCCATATACCTCTCATAGTCCAATCAATCATCTCATACCCACTCGATCAATGAATCAATCAAATTCAAATTGAATAGTTCAGATAATTACGTACGTGTGAAGACGTGATGTTAAATTGTGCGACTGGCGCTTGCGCTTGCGTAGAGCGAGTGAGTGAGTGAAGTTCAGGACAAAGGAAGGGAGGGAGGAAGGTGGATGGTATGATGTGATGAGATGTGATAGGAGGAGAAGGAAATATACATGGAAGTGAAGAAAGATATGACAAAATACCGGCTGGGCTGGGCTGGTCCTCCTCGCCACTTCTGCTTGGTCCTGAGCCCTACCCTAGTGAAGCAACTGCAGTCGAGAGGACATCTCATCTCTACGCCCAGTCCATCACAGGTGCGTGAGGATGTTGAGCCAACTGCTGCTGTCCTGCCCCTCCTCCACCTCCTCCTCCTCCTCCTCCCGCACCAGCTCCACCAAAAGAGTCAACAGGGAAGGGCACTCCTCCCACTGCTACTCCCATTGGCACTCCCACTCCCGCTCCCACTCCTACGCCCATTCCTATTCCAGCTCCAATTCCATTGGCCAAGAGTAGAGCGCGTAGCGAGTCTACCTCTGCCCTAGACCTGGCGAGGGCTTCGTCCCTCCTAGCCAACCTGTTGCGCAGCCTAACGATCCACTCATTGGAGTGCCTCAGTAGCGCTACCTTTGAGATGGCCCTATTCGCCGTTCGCGAGAACTCAGCGTCCATGACATCCGCACGATCAAAGCCCTCGGCCTCCTCGTCCTCTGTAAGTCCATCCGGACCCAGAGAAGACCCTCCAGGGGCGTCCTCGTCGAGCGTAATGGGCGGGAGCATGCAGCGGAGCTCATCAAAACAGTACTTGAGCGAGTCGCGACGCTTCTGTTCTGCTGCCTTGTGAGAGGTACGACGTGAGTCTGGTGCGCCCCCACTGGGAGAGCCGCTGGAGCCGGCTCCACCCTTCGTCGTGTCGGCGTCTTCATCGTCCCCGTCTTCCTCCTCGTCATTCTCTGCGCCCTCAGCCGTAGCGAAGCTGACCTGTTGCCCAGCGCGGGCCTTGCCCTTTGTTGTGGCAGCGGAAACACTACCATTGCTGCTAGCTCCGGCAGGCTTACTGTCCAATACACGCTTCCTTTGACTGCTCGTCCTCTTGACGGTCCCTGCGATGCCCATGATACTTCCCGGCGTGAGGGGCTTTGAGTGATCGGCAGGACGACCCGGTGGACCCATATTGTTGTTGCCAAGGTCGATAGGGCTGGGCGTAGACGAGGCGCCTTCTGAGGGTGACGCAACCATGGACATGGTAGCTCCCGATGGAAGGAAGGTGGAGAAAGCGCCATGGCTTGCCTGTGATTGCTGAGCGGCTTGGCCACCCTCCGCAGATCCTGAAGCTCCGCCCTCGGTACCGGAGCGACGGTGAGATGAAGATCCGCTGGGCGTTGCTGTCATCGGCGTATCGGTCGAGCTGGGACCCTCAGCCACCGTCACCTCCTTCTTCCTCTTGTTTCCATTGCTCATCGTAGGCTTGATCAAAGGACTAGGCCTTGTCCGGTTTGCCCTTGCCTCTGCCGTAGTCGAGCGATTCTTGCGGGGCAGAGGCCCTGGCTTGCCGGTGAGGGCGAGTGGAGAGGCAGAAGGGGTGGTGGTCTTGCCGTGGGCTTTCTTGCTGCTGCTTGCGCCATTGTTCAGGAAGAAGGGCTGAGGCGGTGTAGGATGCAGAGCGGGAGAGGTGAGGGGAGAGAAGAATTGATCGGCTGAAGAGAGACCACCGAGGCTCATATTGGAAAAGACACTGGCCGGAGTAATGGCGGGTGATTCCAGGGGCGTGTACTGGTTTCGCATCTGTCCGTCCCAGGCTCTTGTCTGTCCGCTGGCATCCATACCAACAAAGCCATTGTTTGGATGGCCGCTTCCTCCAGCACCAGCGCCTTGCGGAATATGCAAAGGCGACATGAAAGGCTGTTGCCGAGTCCCGCCCATGTTCAGGCCTCCCGAAGCAGGTGGTGTGAGGACTCCGTACTGGGCTAGCAAGGAGGCTGAGTCCGCCAACATCTTCGAGTACTCGCTACTACTGCCCTGTTGGGCATTGCCGCCCAGCAGATTGGCTAGCAGATGATGCGCATCGAACTGCTGCTGACCTTGGCCGCCAGCCTGCGGGGTGCTGGCATTATCAGTCGGACTGCCGTTGCCTCCAGCGCCGAGCATGTTCAGCAGCTGCTGTAGAGATGACTGGGAAGCCATCGTGTCCTTCTGCTGGTGCTGTGAATGCAGATGCGACATCACCTGAGGGTTTTGCTGGGCTCTCTGCAATGCTTCAAGCTGCTGTCTCAGCAACGCGGTCTGCAGATTCTGCAATCGATCCGACTGTTCCTTTTCAGCGAGGAGACGTTGGATGTCTTGCAAGCTCATCTGTGCGGCAGTATTGTGAGTTACAGGATCGGGCTCGGTGCGGGCGGGAAGTCCTGCGCTTCCGCTCAGAGCCAAAAGTAGTTGCGACAATTGAGGGTTAGTGTCTTCCGGGCTACCGTCCGAATGTGGCTGCTGCTGCTGCTGTTGCTGAGGGACAGTTTGACCGCCTTGGGCGGAGAAGGCAGAGTGTAGCGGATGATGAGGAATGCTGCTGCCCTGACTGCTTGTGCCTCTATGATGCTGCTGCTGCGAAGGGGAGTGATGGTTGCTCGACGAAGCTGGGCCTCGAGACATGGACTCGGCTGGGCTTGGGTAGCTGGTAGAAACGGCGGCTGTCGAGCCTGCTCTGGAGTGATGATGGGGCAGCTGTTGCTGCTGTTGCCGGGAGGACATGGCCGGGTACCGTCCCTCGCTGCTAGCACTGCTCACCGAGCCTGGTCCTGGTCCAGCTTCGTGACCAGTGCTACCGCTGGGCCCCTGGTAGTGTTCGATGTCGGACGACAGGGGACCAGAAGAGAGGTTTGTGAAGTCGTTGAGGTCAAAGTCGATGGACAGGTGCTGCTGATGATGACTGCCGTGCGGGTGAGGAGACGATGTTCCCGAGGTCATGGCTACGGAGAGGGGCCGAGAGGGGTGTCCCGACTCGTAGCTGCTCGAAGGACGATGAGGCCACGAAGGCTAGCGGAAGAGGGCGTTGGTCTTAAGTGGCCCTGATCGCCGATGCCGCTACCACTGTACTGGGTGTTGCTTTGGGAAAAAGAGAGGAGAGGAGGAGGAATCCCCGTCGGCGTATGTCGGCTCTGTTGCAGTGCGGGAGAGGCAGAGGGGGAAGGAGATTGCCGGATGGGGAGTCAGGGCAATCTGTGCCTGGTCAATCAATCACCTTGAAATCAAGAGATTGAGACGTTGCCTGGGCAGAGGAGAGGGGCGATGGGCGCACGGCTGTGTGGGTGTGTGAAGAGGATGAGATGACCGAAGTGAATGGCGAGCGGGGGACTGCGGGGAAGGGTGAAGCAATCGATGATAGGAGAGAAGAAGCCTTGACTGAATCTGGAATTGTACGGCGGACGGCCCTTGGCGGAGAAGCGGCGCAGCAGAGGGGCAGACGGAGACAGGCGCAGACAGGGACAAGGCACCCACCCACGCCGGCAGGAAATGCCGCCCACAGGCACAGGCGCACCCATCGTCGCGACGCACCCAGGCGTGCGCGTGTCTGTCCGCCTGCCTGCAACCCGGAGCGGAGAAATTAAAGCCCTCGATCACGCCGCTTTGAAAAAGGCATTGGGCAGGGCCACCAAAAAAAATGAACAAGGGAGCGTCCACCCATCTTCCGTTCCGACGGCTGAGCAATCTCGCACCACCCCCACCACCTGCACCTCGGCTCCGCGCCATGCAATCTCCGCTTGCCCTCCTCCCCTTTCGCCTTGCCTCCGAAGTGGACGAGGCGTGGCCGGGACAGAGTGGAAATCTAAAATTCCACGACGTTCCTTCTAGCATTGACGACGCCTCACCCACCTTACTTGCAACTCCATCGAAGCTGTGGTATAGATTGACTCAGCTCTCAGGAATCAGAAGAGCAGTACAGAAGTGACAGTACATCCTTGTACCAAAACGAAGACGCATCGAAGGAGCACCAAAGGAGCAGTAGTAGCATCACGGAAGTAACACCAACACAATGGTCAAGTGAGTGTCGTACGACTTCAAGCCGTCCAGCGACGGCGTGGACTGAGCTCTCGAGACCGTCAGCTGACCTCGTGGCTGCCTTTTCGTCGCCTTGCTACCCTCTCGCTCTCTTCAGAGAGACAAAGGTGAGAGCGCCAGTCCCAATGACCCTTGCCTCACCATAGAGCGGAGCACTGACCTACGGCTCCGCGTCTTGATCTCCCATAGTTTTACGATGTCCTCGGCGTCGCCCCCTCAGCTGGAGAGTCTGAGCTGAAGAAGTGAGTTGCTCAATGACGTGGCCGGGCAGCTCACTTGAGGGACCAGCCGCATACATGGGAGCAGCTGCTGACCACTTCTCTCCCACCTCTCTCCAACTGGTAGAGCATATCGAAAGAAGGCGCTCTCAGCCCACCCCGACAAGGGTGGTGACCCGGAAGTCGTGAGTTTCGAGCTCGAGGTTCCACATCTTGTTGCGAGAGAAACGCCTTGCTCATTCGTCCCTTCTCCCCATTCTTCCCCGCTCAGTTCAAAGAGATCACCAGCGCCTATGAGACTCTATCAGACCCACAGAAGCGAGACATGTAAGTGCAATCGCATATGCTTCCTATGCTCTGCACTTGCTGAATACTGACTGTGCATCAATTTGGTCCTCACTTTCACAGGTATGACCGGTTCGGAGAGGCTGGCCTGAGCGAGGGTGGCGGAATGGGCGGTGGTATGGACCCTTCGGACCTCTTCTCACAGCTCTTCGGCGGCGGTGGCGGAGGAGGTAGCTTCTTCGGCGGTGGTGGTGGAAGGCAACGTGGCCCTCGCAAGGGGAAGGATCTGGTTCATCGAGTCAAGGTCTCTCTTGAGGAGCTGTACGCCGGCAAGATCACCAAGCTCGCACTCCAGAAGAACGTCCTGTGCAAGGGCTGTGACGGAAAGGGAGGCAAGAACGTGCAGACCTGCAAGTCTTGCAACGGTCAGGGTGTCAAGATGCAGCTGCGTCAATTGGGTCCTATGATCCAGCAGGTACAGAGCCCTTGTGAGGTTTGCAGTGGCTTGGGAGAGACCATCCCACCCAAGGACAAGTGCAAGACATGCAACGGCAAGAAGGTCGCTTCGGAGAGGAAGGTCCTCGAGGTGCGGATCGAGAAGGGAATGGAAGATGGCCAGCAGATCACCTTCAAGGAGGAGGCGGACCAGGCACCAGGTACTATTCCAGGAGACGTGGTCATCGTAGTCGACGTCAAGCCCCACGAGCGTTTCCAGCGCAAAGGCACCAACCTCTACACCGACTACGAAATCGACCTGCTGACCGCTCTCGGAGGAGGCAAATTTATCATTCAGCACCTCGACGATCGGGCTCTCTCTATTGAGATTCCCCAAGGCGAAGTGATCCGACCTGGTACGGCCAAGGTACTGCGTGGACAGGGATTCCCCTCGCAACGCTTCCACGAGCCAGGAGATCTCTACGTCAACCTGCGCGTGAGCTTCCCGGAGACGATGCCCATTGAGTCTATTCAGCTGCTGGAGAAGGCCCTGCCGGCTAGAAAGGCGCTGCCCAAGATGGACAGCAAGATCCATGTGGAGGATGTGGAGATGGATGACATGGATGAGAGGGAGACGAGGAAGGCTCGCGGCAATGGACAACCCGGTGGCATGGATGTGGACGAGGACGATGAGGAGGCTGGCGGTGGACCCCAGGTTCAGGTAAGTTGCGGTGCAGAGCTTTCGAAAGAGTCACCACCCATTGCGCACTGCACAGAAAGAGGCCCATGCTGACACACCCCTTCTCCTGATTTTCTTTTCTTCCAGTGCGCCCAATCGTAAAGACCTTCTGATCTTTCTCCTCTCCACGTATAGCAGTAGCAGTCGCCTTTTCTCAGTTTCTCAACCCCCCACGTAGACTTTCCTCGACTCTCGCGTTTCACTCTCATCCCGATTCCCCAATTGACATCGACATGTGACATACTATTTGCAGAGCGCGCCGTGAGCAGTATGATGTGGTGTGATGTGATGTGGTGTGATGTGATGTGGTGTGTGACTGATGAAGAGAGAGAGAGAGAGCGCTAGGCCAGGATAGCAACGATTGCTCAAACTCTGTTGAAAAAGGGTGATGCATAGGTAGTGTACAAAAGACTGTTTCTCCAGGTTTACAAGCCCACCAATTCTCTAATCTCCAATAAACTCTTCTCTTCTACTCCCATCTCTTCCTCTTCCTCTTCCTCTCCCTCTTCATCACCCTCCTTCTTCCCCTCCTCCTCAAGTACCTCTTCCACCCTCCTCCTCAAGCCCTTCCAAGCCCTCTCCGCCCCGCCTAAACAAGCCTCGACATCCATATGACCTGCTAATCCCTGGAAGAATTGAAGAACTTCATCAAAACAGTCGAGATACTCGATGGTGGGTGTTCGGTTGGAGAGGAGGAGGGAGAGACAGAGGAAGAGATGCAGGTGTGAGGTGGAGGGACGGGCAGAGGGAGAGGGAGAGGGGGCAGAAGAGAGTTGGTCGGTTGCGCTACTGTTGCTGCTGCTGCTGTTGCCGCTGCTACCGTCGTTGCTTGGCTCTAGTGCCAAGCAGCATTCCCAAATCCTCAGCACCTCGTCCAGCGGGAACTCCCTCTTGAATCGTACTAGTAGCCAGCGGAAGCAGAAGAAGAGGTTCAGAGAACCTGTTTGCTCCAAGTGCGCATACAGTGGCGGGTCGGCGTGACGAATGAGGGATTGGAGATGCAGGAGTTGGGTCTTCATGCCTGCTTGGGAGGAAAGGAAATTGGGTCGCTGCGATGGGTAGAGAAGAGAGAGGGACTTAAGCGGACACTCGGGTAGCAGGCTGGAGGAGCTGCGCGTTTCTCACTCACCATTCGTTTCATGAGCCCGACCAGACTCCAAAAGGCCTCGACCTCGTCTCCTTCACTGATGATGTACAATGGCGCACAGAGGTCGCTCATGCCCTGCACGTACCCTCCCACTTCGCCCTCGTCGATCCTCCTGCCTTCAAGGAGTTTGCCATACTCCGCATCCTCTTCGGCCAGCACTGCTGGGCCCAGAGTGTCGTAGAAGGTGTAGGTGAGGAGTACCTCACCTAGTGCGAGGATGTGAGCATTGGTAGAATCGCCTTGTCCGGCCTGGCGAGACTGGATGCCCGCAAGTGAGGCCTTTCTAGAGACAGGCGATGCAGCGCTTTTTGCTTCCGGCTCCTCGTGGTCGTCACCACCATCTCCGTCCGTCTTGGCACCAGAGGAGAACATTGGCTGTTTCCGATCTGTCCGTAGACAGTCCACTCTGATGCGGTGCCGCTGATCTATGACGTCGTCTCTCCCCCTCAGAGCTTGGGCCGACGGAGAGTCCTCTGCGGCCCACAACGACTTCAGACGTCGATACTTTTCGGCCTTCTCAGCAAAGTATGCCGATCGCTCGGCAGCACTTGTGTTCCACGGCACGACGTCGAGGAGGAAAGGCCACGCCAACTTGCGCGTGGATGGTGCAAGTCCCCTTGCAAAGACTCGAGACTTGAACTCGTCAAACGATATCCTCGGTCTTCCATCATGCGGATCGAACCAGGACTGGAATTCGACCAGTTGAACCGGGTCGTAGCGCCTCGTGAGCTGAAGAGGCGTAGCTGAACCACGCTCGAGGATCTCGAATCCCCCGAGTCCGCCCTCTTCCGTCATGGACGTCCTGCCGCCCTCTACGGCGCCTCCCTTTGCCTCTTCTCTACGCTTGCTCCTCTCTCCCTCCTCAGCCACAAGTCTGGCCCACTTGGCAAGATACACTCTGGCAGAGTCGTACTCCATCACTCCAGCCTTCTGGCTCAGCTTGGAGACGTCATCGCTGGTAGGTCCAAATGGCCCAAGAGGTCCGGCCTGCGCAAAAGACTGGACGGCTGCTGGCAATTTTGCGGCGTACGGCGCGGTATTTGGTGAAGTCAGAATCTGACGCGAGGCATCTCTTGCTGATCTAGTCACATGCGAGAAGGATGACAGGAGAGACATCCGCGTCGTCTTTGCCCAGGAGCTGAAAGAGTCTCGATTGCTATCGCGCGTCGGCGTACTTGCTCCACTGTCGCTAGCCCTCGACCCGTAGCTCGGTGCAAAAGGGTCGTCCGGAAAAGCAAATGCATCGTGGGGCATACCTGAATGACGTCCGCTCTGACGTCTCCTCGCCGCCGTTGGAGAGAGGTCCAGAGCGTCATCTGCAAAGATTGGTGTACTGTGCATCTCCAGATCCTCTGGATCTGGGTTCACCAGGAAGATGCGGTGGTCATGTACCGATCTGTGGATGAAAGCGTACTTCTTGAGCTGTTGTACGAGCTCGTCGCCTCCCCATACAGGTGGCGATGGCGCAGAAGGAGAGATGATGGTGGGAGGGTACGCAGGCGCCTTGCTTGCGCGGATCATTCCTAGGATAGTAGTCCTGCTCTCATCATCGTGAAAGTAGAGGGGCGCGAGCGTCTGACCTCCAACAAGGCAGATGGTGAGGGAGCCGTACCAATTTGAGATTGTTGGCGGCGTGGCTTGCAGCGAGTACAGCATGCCTAGCGGATGTGAGAAGGCGTAGGATGCAGGGGAGGTCGATGAGGTTGATGGCGACGCTAGCGGCGGAGGTTGCACGAGGATGGACTCTGTCATGGGTGGGACTAGAACAGATTGAGTTCCCAGTCTCTCTGTTCGTTACCGCTGTGAATGTATGCTCACCGTTCTCTACGACTTCCCTCATGCTAAGCACTTTTCCACTATCGGAATGCATGACTGTGCATTCCGTCTCCTCTTCGCCCCTCTGCGATGCCCCTTCGGCCTCTCTGAGCTCTACATCGACGAATTTAGCCGTCTCGCTACGATCCTTGACCAGCTCCTCTGGTAGCCAGCTGAGCATGACATCGTAGCTGTTGTCCTGAGTGGAGAACTGCCTACGTAGGGGTTGTGAGGAAGGACCGGCAGAAGAAGAAGCTTGTGAATCTACGGATGCTTTGCGGATCTTGTGCCGGCGAAGTAGTGCAAGGTAACCAGGTATGTTGTCCTTTGAGTATGGTGTAGGGTGGAGTGTGACGCGAGACTTGGAGTAGAGGAGCTGATACTGGTATCGCGGCCCTGGCGCTTGTGGTGGCACAGTGGGAGCTGCTCCTGCTCCCTCTTCCTCCTCTTGCTGGGGTTCCCGCTGCGCCTGCATGTCAGCATTGGCATTCGGGGACGCTTGCACCGCACTCGACGCCATACTGAGTATGCAACAATCGTCCGTCTGAGAACGATGGTGTGAGTGTATGCCGTGAGATGGGCGCGTACGGATGAGTTCTGATGCTGCTGCTGCGAGAAGTGTTGGCTGAGTCCCGCTTGGCTTTGCTCTCGCGTCGAGTTGCTCTGCTGCAAGCGGGTGGAGCAAGCAACACTTGAGCGGAGCGCCACAGCCACGGCCAACGAGCAACACCGCCCCTGCAGCCAGGCAGGGCACAGGCAGCACACGCCTCTCCGCATAGAGCACCAATTAGACGTCCTTGCCATCACTTCCTACCCGCACACCCCGCAACCACAACCGCCATCGCACTACTACATAAAGTACAGCACACTCCCTACTCGTCACTCGCCACCAAAATCATCATTGCAGATTAGTCGACCCAACTACCATCATACGCACCAACATGGGCATTTTCAGCAAGAAGTCTTCCTCCACAAAGATTCCGCCTGTGGCACCACAGCAGCCACAAGGTCCCGGAGGCTACGGGGCTCCTCCTCAGGGACAGAGCTTCAATGGCGGCTACGGGGGTCCACAAGGACGTCAGGGAGGCGCATATGCCGGCTTGCAGCCTCAGGGCGCATACAATCCCCAGCAGGGCTACGGCCAACAGCCACCACAGCAGGGCCCGTATGGCGGAGGCTACCAACAGCAACCACCCCCTCAGCATGCATTCCAGCAAACATCCCTCTATCGCGACGCCAAGGCACCCACCAAGCTCGGATCAGGCTATGACCAGATGATGGGCGGCGGGCAAACAGGTCAACGAGGAGGAGCAGGAGGCAGGCCTCCCCCCGTAGACGACCTCGAAGCCGAGTATGGAGCTGGAGCTGGAGCTGGAGCTTCCTCTTCTAGGTACAACGGAGGCGGCGGCCATGACGGCGGAGAGCAGGCACAAGAGATGACCGAAGAAGACGAGGAGATTGAGGGCATCAAGCAGCAGATGAGATTTACAAAGCAAGAGTCGCTCAGCTCAACTCGTAATGCGCTCCGTATTGCTAGGGAAACGGAGGAGACTGCCAGCGGCACCATCCTCAAGCTGGGAGAGCAGAGTGGTAAGTTGGAGAGCTAACGAAGCTTCAAGACATGAGGCGCATGCTGACATCCGTCCCTCAATACCGCTCTCGTCTTCGCAGACAAAATTGCAAACACCGAGCGTCACCTGGATATGTCCAAGGCTCACTCTTCTCGAGCAGACGACAACGCCCGAGACATCGTCTCCCTCAACCGCTCCATCTTCCGTCCTAACTTTCAGATGGACAAGAAGGGTAAGCGGGACGCAGAGGAGGCTCGTATCCTCAATCGTCATATCGAGGAGAGGGAAGAGAGGGAGAATACTAGAGCCGAGGCGCTTCGTGCTCAGAATCGAGCCGATCAGGTCCTCTCTGGCGCGGGTACGGGTAGCGGAAGATTTGCCGATCGATTTGGTGGAGGCAGATTCGGAGGAGGTGCTGGTGGTGCCAAGCCAATGAGCGCAGAAGACACACAGAAGAACAAGCTGGCCAATCGGTCTCGCTACCAGTTCGAGGCGACGGGCAGTGATGACGAGCTCGAGGCCGAGCTGGAGGACAACTTGGATGAAATTGGTCAGCTCAGCGGTCGACTGCAGCAGCTGGGCAAGGCGATGGGTACGGAGATTGACGAGCAGAATGCACGCATCCAGAGGATCTCGGAGAAGGCGAACAAGCTCGACACGAGGGTGTACGGCAGCACGCAGAGATTGGAGAGGATCAAGTGAGAGGTCGTTGCCGCATTGTATGCCCGACTTCATGTCTTTTCATGCATCCATGCCCTCATGATTTCAATTGCATCCAGGTCTAATGCTACCCATCTAATATGGCTTGAGGCGTCGCTTGAAAGTAACCTTGGCGGTCGCCACGAGTCCCCCAGCCCAGAAATGCTGCGCCCCCTCGTTCTCATTTTGCGAGGGACAGACCGTAGCAAGCTGGATACCCTACACTAGCACGCATCCACCTATCCCATCCAGTTTTGGCCTCGATTTCGCCTTGACGACTGCCCTCACAGTGTCTCTGAGTGCTCCATCGAATTCAAAGCACGACTCTCCCTAGCCGATCCTTGGCTGGAGTGGGGAGAGCGAGGCCAGCCACGCTTGAGACGCCGCTGGTGTGAAGGGCGGGCAGGCAGGCAGGCAGGCAGGCTGGGTTGGGTCGCGCGCGCAAACGAGATTTTGGTGGCCGTCCGGTTCGGCAACTGTGAATTCTTGCAAGTTGGGTCCTGGTTGACTCGAGGGGGGCGGGGCGAGAGACTGGATGCAGGGCAGCAGAGGCAAAGGCAACGCAGCGGGGAGCAGCCTGGCTGAAAAGGTATTGCTAGGCAGTAATTATTCCACTTTGACTCCCCCGCATACTACATCCTACCAACCAAAGTCAGAGCTCCCTAGATCGTCATACTCAGTCTCGTTGCCTACAGTTGAGACTTCTCGAGCTCGTGTTCTTAGCTGCAACTACCGCCTCGCAGCTTCACTTTATCCTCTACCACCACCACTCCCGCTCTCACCTTACCCGCCCGCAATGGCACCTTCTACCTCTTGCCCCGACTGCCAGGACAGCGAGGGACCCGTCCGAAAGGTCAATGGCCACGTCGAGGGCATCGAGAAGACCCATGTCGGTGTTGAGAACACCGTTGCTAACGGCCACGTCAATGGGAACGGCAATGGCGCCGCCAGCACCTCTTCCAATGGTAACAGCAACGGTTCATCCGGCTACTCTACCATGCCCTTCTCCTCCCGCGCCTCGGACCTTCTGAGCAACGTCTCCAACTTCAAGATCATCGAGTCTACTCTGCGAGAGGGAGAGCAATTTGCTACTGCCTTCTTTGACACCGAGACCAAGATCAAGATTGCCAAGGCCCTGGACGCCTTTGGTGTGGACTGCATCGAGCTCACTTCCCCTGCTGCAAGCGAGCAGTCCAGGCTGGACTGTGAGGCCATCTGCAAGCTTGGTCTCAAGACCAAGGTCATCACCCACATCAGGTGTCACATGGACGACGCCAGGATCGCAGTGGAGACCGGTGTCGATGGAGTCGACGTCGTCATGGGTACCTCCAAGTTCCTGCGAGAGTTCTCGCACGGCAAGGACATGACCTACATTACCAAGAAGGCCATTGAGGTCATTGAGTTCGTCAAGAGCAAGGGCATCGAGATTCGATTCTCTACTGAGGACTCCTTCAGGTCTGACCTGGTCGACCTCCTCTCCATCTACCAGGCCGTGGACAAGGTCGGTGTCAACCGAGTGGGTATCGCCGACACTGTCGGTGTAGCCAACCCTCGCCAGGTCTACGACCTTGTGCGCACCCTCCGATCTGTTGTTGGCTGCGACATTGAGACGCATTTCCACAATGACACTGGATGCGCCATTGCCAATGCCTACACCGCCCTCGAGGCTGGAGCCACCCACGTCGACACCAGTGTCCTGGGTATCGGAGAGCGAAACGGTATCCCCTCTCTGGGTGGATTCATGGCTCGCATGTACACTGCTGATCGGGAGTACGTCATGGGCAAGTACAACCTCAAGGCTCTGCGTGAGGTCGAGGAGCTCGTAGCTCAGGCCGTGGGCGTGTCTATCCCCTTCAACAACCCCATTACTGGATTCTGCGCCTTTACCCACAAGGCTGGTATCCACGCCAAGGCCATCCTCGCCAACCCTTCGACGTACGAGATCATCAAGCCCGAGGACTTTGGTCTGAACCGCTACATCCACTTTGGCTCTCGTCTCACGGGATGGAACGCAGTCAAGTCGCGTGCTGACCAGCTCGGTCTAGGATTGGACGACGCGCAGATCAAGCAAGCCACAGAGAGGATCAAGGTCATTGCCGACGTGCGGGACCAGTCCGTTGATGACATTGATGCTATTCTGAGGATCTTCGCTAGGGGAATCAGAGAGGGACATGAAGTGCACAAGGACGCCGTCTTCCACAAGCTGCTGGCGGAGCATGAGAAGGCTACGGGAGAGCCAACCGACTCGATTCCTCAGGTGCCGCTGAACCCTGGCAAGGCATAGAGAGAGGGGGGAAATAGCATGATGAAAACAACAAAAGCTTCCGAATGTATCGTGTCGTGTCGTGTCCTGTCAGGGGGTTCCAAGAGCATTGCTAGCATAGTTCAGTCTCGTGCCCCTCCCCGCCCGTGACTGTTCCGTCTCTCTCTGTGTCTCTCTTTTCTCCTTTTTACAAGTCGATGTCTCGATGTCTCTCAGCTGAGTGATTTGTCTTTGCGTGCATAAGCATGACAGCTCTCAAGGCTCTCCTCTATTCTTGTGGAAGCCACCTAGGGCTAGAAGTGTGTCACTTTCGTGAGCTCCACAGAGTGAGTCTCCCTTGGAGCGGTGCGGGGCGCGTGACAGTGGCAGTGGCAGTGGCAGTGGCGGGGGAAATGTGGCGGGATGCTCCTGGCGCGCGCTGAATGTCCCAGGCTAGGCTGAGGCTGAGGCTGAGGCTGAGCGTGGAGCGTGGGGGGGGGGGGGGGGGGGGGGGGGGGGGGGGGGGGGGGGGGGGGGGGGGGGGGGGGGGGGGGGGGGGGACGTAGGCGGTTGTGCCTTGTCCGTGGGAGAGCAGTGTGCGTGTGCGTGTGCGTGTGCGTGCGTGTGTGTCGGTCGGCGTCGGTGCGGGCTCGAATGCAATCATCCCAAGTGCAAGTGCATCGCATCGCCCAAAGCTTCTCCCCTACGCTCCTCCCCCGCCCCTGTACTTACCTCCCTCTCTTACTCACTCACCAAACTCACTCTCGGTACGAAAACTCCCCCTACATTCGTACAACGCTGAGAACTCCTCACGTACCTCTTCGTGACGCTCCTACGTAGTCTACTAATCTGAGAGACTTCGTCTGGATATTCCCAAGTCGAAAGTCTAGAAAGTGAAGCAAGTGAAAGCCAAAGTTCCACCTTTGCCTTTTCTGATCCACCCTCATCCTCGAATACATACCTGATAACTCGAGATGTTCATTCTCAACTGGTTCTGGGTGAGCATTGATGTTTCTTAGTAATGATGAGGGGAGGAGATGAGAGGTGGAAGGTGGAAGAGGATCAGATTGCATGGGCGGACAGTGCAGCTAGGAGTCGAGAGGTCCTGACCCTACACGAGAGGATGGCGCATTTGTCATACCATTCCAACGGGGATGAAGCTGGACGACGCCTGGCTTGTTTGCAAAGCGGTGCAGCCAACAGGGCCAGAGCCTAATTGGGCAGTAATGAGGCCTACACAGTTGGCCGAGTGTGGTAGAGACACACTGCTCTCGCGAACGATGGAATAATTCTGCTACCGGGTGTCCAGGTTCGAGCTACACTGCGAACGACACTGATCTCACAATCTCGTCTTCCCATTGACCTTTGCGCCACTCACAGGACGTCCTCGCTCAGCTTGGTGAGCAAGTCCGCATGATTTCGAGCAGCTTCGTGAGATGATCTGCTGACTCTGACCTCTCGTCGCGCTCCCTGTCCGCTCCCCTCTCCAGGTCTGGCTCACAAGAGCGGTCGTTTGCTTTTCCTCGGTCTTGACAATGCCGGAAAGACGGTGAGCAGCCTGCGAAAAAGCGAAAGATGCGCTCGTGGAAGGTACGATTCTGATCTGGCGAACCCTGGCATACTCTTCCCACAGACCCTCCTTCACATGCTCAAGAACGACCGTCTGGCAACGCTGCAGCCCACCCTCCACCCTAGTGAGTCTGAGATAGCGCTTGTAGAGTGCGGAACGGTCCAGGACATGCCACTGACTCGCTGCCCCGATTCTCATTTCTCCTCGCAGCCTCTGAGGAGCTAGCCATTGGAGCCATCAAGTTCACCACCTACGACTTGGGAGGACACCAGCAAGGTGAGTGCACGAGGCGGCAAGGGCATACTACGGTACCTCCGCACAATACCCAGAATAAGTTCTCACTGCTCTTCCCTCATCATTACCACCCTCCCCAGCTCGCCGATTGTGGAAGGACTACTTCCCCGAGGTAGACGGCATCGTCTTCCTGGTCGATGCTGCCGACTATGAGCGCTTTGCCGAGTCGAGGCAGGAGCTAGACGCTCTCTTGGGCATCGAGGAGCTGAACAAGGTGCCCTTCCTGATCCTGGGCAACAAGATTGACGCTCCAGGAGCCGTCAGCGAGGAGGAGCTGAGGCAGGCACTTGGTCTCTACCAGACTACTGGCAAGGTAGGTGGCGCAAAGAAGGAGGGGATCAGAGATGAGATGAGACTGCAGCACTGACGCCACCCTCTATGTGCGCCTTCGATTGTGTTCTCGCAGGGCAAGGTCCCGCTCAAGGACATCCGAGCCATTGAGATCTTCATGTGCTCCGTGGTCATGCGCCAGGGTTACGGAGAGGGCTTCAAGTGGCTCTCCAACTACATCTAGAGTGGGAGTTTGAGGAGGAGGAGGAGGAGGAGAAGAGAGGCATTTGATATCTGGAGAGATGTTCAGGCGGTCCAGGAGGGCTTACTGAGCGAGGGCTCTTGTGCCGAGAGGGTCTGGTACGTCTGTATTACTGATTCTAGGCAGGAGGAATGGCCGCTCCTGTCTGGTGTCTGGTTGCAAATGCAGGTCTTTCAGCCCCATCGCCTCAGTCGCTTCGAAATGGCATGAACCGTGCTACCTTTTCTTCTCTGCTACCTTGCGCATTGCCGATGGTCATCACGAGTGAACTCTCTTCTTGTGAATGCCCTCCCTCACCTTCTCTGTGGACAGAGGAGCAGAAGGCTCCGTTCGGCATTCCCGGCGCCGGCGGGTGGGACTGACCGGGTGCGCCCCGTGCGGGAGGCGGAGGCTGGTGTGCGGATTTTTTTGAGCGGACGAGGAGGAGGATGAGAAATGCAGAGTGGAAGAGCTCCTTCCGGTGCTACTGCTGACCTTCGTAACTTAGACTGACTCGACGAGCTTAGCTGGATCGGTCAGAAGAGACCTTGGATAAACGCTCGACAGCTCTAGCTACCTCTCCTTGACTCCTCCTACTCCTCATCACCCCGGTCCACCTAGAGCAGCAGCAGGAGAGGCAGCAGCGCCTCTAGCAGCAGCAGCAAATATGGCCACGCCCATGTCCGCCCCGGACTCGGCCATCCTCCTTCATCAACCAAGCCTGGATGCCAATCTCCTCGCCTCTACCTCTGCCCACTCTGGAAGGAGCATCGAGGAGCTCTACGACGTTAAGCTGACGGTGGAGAGATTGTGCTTTGCGGAGGACAGCCCCGATCAGGAAGAGCGGGTTAGTGGGTCGCCTAGAATCAAGAGGACGGGGAAGTTCAGATTCGAGAGAGTAGCTCTGCAGTTCCCCGATGAGATCCTGCCGGACTCTGTGCCCATCTATTGGGCATTAAAGAAGGAGGTGCAGACCCGCTTAGAGGAGATGCGGCAGCTGCGCCGGGAGAGGGCGGAGCAGGAACAGGAGGGGGGAGCAGGCCCTGCACAAGGCTCAGACGAGGTGATACCGGACTTTTATATCTTGGCGGATACGAGCTATGGCAAGTGAGTCATCGCACGCTATAGTAGATTTAGATCCTACCTGCTCATAGAGTTCTTCAGCTGACCGTTCCTTTCCTCGCTCCTCTCAGCTGCTGTGTGGACGAAGTGGCAGCGCAGCACGTAGAGGCGGACGTAGTGGTGCACTACGGCCACGCCTGCCTTAGTCCCACCGCACGGCTACCAGTCATCTACGTCTTCCCCAAACAGAGCGTTCAGGTGGAGAAGGCCGCCTCTGCCCTCGCTACGAGCGCCATTCAGGCCCTCGGGAAATTTCAGGCCAGCGAAAATCAATCGGAGGCAGAAGGATCGCAGCAAAGGCGCAAGGCAATTCTCTTCTCGTACGATGTGGGCTATGCACACATTGCAGAGGAAGTCTTTGATCGGTTGCAGGTGGAGTTGCAGCAGGCTAGCTCGTCTTCCTCTTCATTGAAGGTGGAGTTGCCGCCCCTTGTCATGACTCGCCTGGATACTGCGAGGAACTTTGAGGACCGGCTGAGAGGGCCTGCCGGCAAGTCAGAAAGCAACGGACACGCATGTGGAAAGCAAGATGCTTGTTGTCAAGGGACAGAAGCACCACGGTCGAATGACGCCTGCGCTTGCAAAACAGAACAGAAGAATGACAGCCATTGCAACGGCTCATCCTGCTGCTCAACCATGCCACCGCTACCGCCCATGCAGTCACAAACGTCAGCAGATGCAGCGTCTTTAGCAGGCACAGACGGCTCTGGGCGTCTCTACCATCTGCCGCCAGGTTGCTCCATCTCAGATACGCTCATCTGCTATCTGGGTGGCGAGTCTCTCGCTCTCACGAACCTCCTACTACGGGCAGGTCCCGCTACACCCGTCGTCTCCTACGACCCTTTCAACCCTTCTCCTGGCGCACGCCGTGAGGATGGGCGCACCAACCGTCTTTTGATGCGTCGCTACGCCGCCGTGCAAAAGGCTCGAGACGCAAGCGTCATCGGTCTCCTCGTTGGCACGCTAGGCGTGCAGTCCTACCTGCCTCTGCTCAGCCATCTTCGTCACCTCCTGACGGGTCGCCGACCAGGAGAAGCCAAGTCTGCCGTCTCCACCTCTTCTACTTCAGCAGGAAGGAGGAGTGCACGAAAAGTGTACACCATCTCCGTCGGCAAGCTTTCCCCTGCTAAACTTGCCAACTTTCAAGAAGTAGAACTCTTTGTCCTCCTGGCTTGTCCAGAGAATTCACTCGTGGACGCAGTCGACCCAACGGGGTTGCGGTCAAAGGAGTTTTATAGGCCGATTGTGACGCCATTTGAGATGATGCTGGCACTTGATGAGTCTCGGAGCTGGACGGGAGAGTATGTGCTCGACATGGAGAGGTTGATCAATCAGAGGGGAGAAAGCGGGAGTGCGGATCAAGGAGAGGGGATCGAAGAAGGCGAAGAAGACGACGATCGCCCACACTTCTCCCTCGTCACAGGCGGTTACGTCACTCGCCGGCGCTTCGACGCCGAGGAAGAAAACGACGATGACGAAGGAAACGACGCTGCCGCTCTTGCACACACGGGCGCAGTGGTGGTTCGTTCTGCAAGTGGAGAGGTGACACGAGTGTTGGACTCGGCCAATGCCATGCACCTTGCTACGCGCTCCTGGAAGGGATTAGAGCAGCGCTTGGGTATGGACGAGCCTTCGAGGTTGGAAGAGGGGAGAGAAGGAATTGCGAGAGGGTATAGGGATGCGGATGGGCGGAAGAGAGGTGAGGAGGCGAGGTGAGGTATGGCGCTCGTCTGGAGTAGTCGTCGAATACCATTGACCGTCACTCGACGGACCCCTGTGATGTGCCAAAAGCTGTCAAGACTGCTGTGATTGCTCATGTCCCCTGATCCCTACTTTCCCTCCAAACTCTTAATCACCTTTTCCACCACCTCCTTGATCTTCGCCCCCTCTGCCTTTCCTCCCACCACCTCCTTAACCTCTCTAATCACACTCCCCATCAACTTCTTTCCATCAATTCCCTTTCCCCTAGCAGCATCCACTACCTGTCCCACAATCCCCTTCAATTCCTCTTCATCCATCTGCCGAGGTAAAAAACGCTGTAGAAATCCAGCCTCCTTGTGCTCCTTTGAAGCTAGATCCTCCCGTTGAGCATCAGTATACTGTTTCGCCGCTTCAGTTCGACGAGCGACGTGTTTACGAACTAGACTGAGGAGAGAGACGGCAGCTGAGCCTGCTGCTCCGGCGGCACTTTTGGAAGCGAGTTGGTGCTCGGAGAGGAGCGGTTTGAGGATGGAGACGAGATCGGGCTGTTTACCCTTCATGGCCGCTTTGAGCTCGTCTTTGAGACGCTGCAGAAGGGCGTCGTCTTCTGAAGTGGAGGCAGAGGAAGAGGACTTGGGTGCTTCTTGAAGATGGGGTGCAGAGGTAGAGAAGGATGAGCTGGCTGTGGCATTGTAGATGACATGCGGGCGAAGCGGTACAGCAGCAGCAACAGCAGCAGCGGTCCTGGGAGCTCGACTGGCCGTGGCGATTGCGCTCCGGTGAGCCGCAAGGGGAAATGAGCGGGTGGCGAGCATGACAGATAGATACTGTGTCCTTTGCAAGAAGAAGCGAGAGGTCGGTTGTAGTGGGATGCAAGATGAAGACGAGATCGTATGGAAGAAAAGGTCAAGACAAGAAGGTGAAGACGATTGGGAAGAAGAAGAAGATCCTTTCCCTGCCCTCTCGGCGCGGACTCGGGCAAAATCACTTTCGCACAGGCCATGCGCACGCCCACGTCCACGGTCACGCTCACGCTCACGCTCATGCTCGCAATCTCGTGATGTTGCAGCCAGACGACGATGAGAAACGATTACGATGCGATGAATTATGTTTGGGTACAGTAGCATAGCATGACGGGGTGAAGTTACACATGTACAGACTGACTGATATGACGCGCAGGCGTCTTTCCAACGCTCACGGCCCAAAGACGGCGGCCATCTCTCCCATGATCCTTCCCAATAGCTTCCCAATAGGCCAAGTCGTCCTCGCCGGTCGACTGAGAAGATGGTCGGCAAAGTGTCTCAGGATTCCCGCGTGAACTTGAGGACGGGTGATATCCCCGATTCCGGCCAAGGTAGGTGTAATGCAGGCAATGAGCGCACTTGTGGAGGAGAGGCCCGGTTGGGGCGTCGAGAGGAGAGAAGTCATCGGAGACGTTGGAGGGGAGGACTTACGCGGCAATGGGTGACGACTGGGGTGATGCGTGTGAGTATACCCGGGAGTAGCGCTCTGCGAGTGTGAGGCTTGGTGAGAAGGATGATGCTGATGCTGAGGAGCGAACTGGTTCGCACTCTCCCCTCGCGCTAGGACGTTGCTCCTGATCGTCTCGCCGCCGCGCCCAACACTATTACTGCCATTGCTACTGCTGTTCCCATGCGACATGGCTCCATTGGCGTTGATACCCGTCCAGGCAAGCCATTCCTTCTCGTCCAAGGAGAGGGGCTGCTCACTATCCACCTGGACAGTCATCATCTTTCGACTCTTCCCGCCGTCGGCTTCCACGGCCACTTCGGCAAAGTCTGGCCAGATCTTGGCACAGACGAATAGGGTCGTGGCGGCGTAGAAGAGGAAACAGCCCTCGTACATCGAGTCGATGGCGTGGCAGGTGCATAGGTGCACGATGCGGCCCGCATGAATGAGAGCTGCCCAGAGCTTGTGTGGCTCGCGCACCAGGTGGCCACGGATGTGCTGCAAAGAGCGTTGCATGTCTTCTCGACGGCCTGATCGACCTGCGAGGAGCTGCAACTCAGATATGTCCAGGCACTGACGTAGGAGCACAAAGCGCAGCAGCAGCTCCGCCGTTGCTGAGTCGGCAGGAGATGAGCCCGCAGAAGTGTCACTTTTGAGGGTGCTGGCGCTCGATGCTCTCCGGTGCTGACTGCTGGAATGGGTAGCGGATACTAAGGCCTTGCATACCTTGCTAAAGTCTTCCGTGGCTGAAGCTACAGCTGCAGAGAGACACGTCGTTTCAAGGGAGTGTAAAGAGACGCCCAGGGACACCAGCGAGTATGCCAAGAACAACCCTTGAGCGCTTGATGGGCCAAAAACCTCGTCGAGCTTCTCGGCCAGTCCTGAAGGCGTGTCAAGTGGGCGCAGGCGCAGCACATCGTGAAGCTGCGAGAGGTACACAGGATGACCGATCATCGCTGGCCTCATCCGCATCCACGTTGACGCGGTGGGGCACCGCCAAAAGACTTCATCTTGTGGAAGCTCCGCCTTGAGCTCATTCAGCGCAAAGGAAGGTGGCAGCTTCCAGATCGCACTGAGTTCCAAGTCGGCAATGAAATAGTACCAAGCGGTCCGGCGGCCCGTCTCTTCTTCTACCCAGTCGAGCCAGAGACCAGTCTCCGACTGCGCCGGGCTGAGAGATGAAGCTGCATTCGTGTGCCGATTTGTAGGCTGTCGGCTACGCTCGAAGAGACGAGACTTGCGGGTCATTGTAGTCAGTGGAGAGCGAGCAGCTTCAGCAAGCTCCAACATCCGCTGCTTGCCAGATCCTCGAAAGAAATTGAAGCTGAAAGTGGGAAAGGAGAAGCCAGGTCGTCAGATTCCTTGGTCATGGCAAAGCTGGTATGCGCGCGGTCCTCGATGTATGATTACTCACTTAAGCAGCAGAGCTTGGAAGACGGCAACATTTCGGAAGATGTGAGTGTCGTGAGGCAGTCTTGAGAAGATGGCTCGATTCACAAGCGTCATCAACATGCCTGCAAAATCAGATGTGTTCGGGATCCGCGAGTACGTTGCCCCAATGGCACATACCGCTCCCAAGAGCATTGCATTGCAGGTATTCGGATCGAAAGTAGGTCGATGCAGGATCGGACAGATGCGATCGAAATGCTCGAAATAGAGCTGCACAAAAAGATTCATTGTGGAGGCAGAAGTGGCACTCAGCGATGCCTCTGTGGCTTCCACTTGTTGAGGCTGGAGGTCTGCTTTGGCCGGAAGCATCAGAAGTCCATCTAGGGCAGCTGCTTCAAGGGCTCTGACTTGGAAGGTGTCTTCCAGCGCGCGAGTCTCTTTTGAGGGTGGCGCGAGAATGACCGCGACAAGTTCGGTAAGCTCCAGCGTCGGTGGCACGCTCAAGCCGTTGGGCCATTGATGAGTGGTCGTGGCGTCCTGTGGTGAGTGCCGCGCCGTCCGTGTGCCGGTTTCTTCCTGGGCCGCGGCAGCTGCTGCCGCTGCGACCAAGGGCGGCGTATCTGAAAGGTCGCCTGTGGGATCCCCGATGGACGGTATATGCGGTGCAAAAGGCCCATCCGCCTGCCCGATGGCGGGCATTTCGCCAGCCTGCCAGGGCAGCGAGATCTGTTGGGCCGCAAAAAGCCAATCGAAGACGCCGTCACTGCTCCAGGGTTCCAGAAAGGAGTCATCCGCGATGTGTTGCAAGCTAGAAGTGTCGTATGGGTCAACGTTGAAGGGGGCACCTGATGTGGACCCTTGCGATATTTGTTCCGGAGGGTTGGAGGCAACGTGAAGATTCGCAGGGGACGAGGCCGCGACCACGTGATTCCCTCCGACTCCCCCTCTCCCTGGCATAGAAGAGGAATCTCGCCCACTACCGCTGTACGCTGGGCTGTCGTGAGGGTATCGGTGCTGTTGCTGATTCACATGAGCATAGTCCAGAGGATTCGCCTGATTCTGCAAAGGGGAAAGGCCCTGCGGTAGACGTGGCTGCTGATGTGGATATCGGTAATCAGTCGTCGATCCAGACGACTTGAAGCGATGCAGCCTCGGTTCAGTTGATGACTGGTCCGAATATGCTGTCGTATCCATGTCATCGCGATTGAGTGGGGCGGTTGTCCGATAGGAGCAATTGAATCCTCCATCAATCTTCTGACTGCAGCGGCCACAGGGCTGCCCTCCATCGCACTTCATCTTTACGCTAGAGCATTGCGTACACGCCCTCCTCGCACGCTTCAGAGCCGCCTCGCTGCGACTGTTGTCGCTGACGCGCAGCCCTGGCTGATGGACAGCTCGATGACGGAGCATCACGTCATTACGTGCAAAGCTCTTGTTGCAAAAGTCGCACTGATATCTGCGGGATTCGAAGTGGTTCTCCTCGTGACTATTACGCGAGTGATGCAAGCAGGGAGATCATCAGAAATCGTTCTGGTAACTGTGAAAGACATGTCAGACTCTTTTCTCACTTACCGCTTCAGGTGTCCACGTCTGCCAGTGCCAAAGAGGCGAATGCTCCTGCTCGTCAGCTGAAAGTTCGTCCGCAGGGAGCGATGTTGCCACCCCGGCTCACCTGGTGAATGTTTTGCCGCACTGCCCACACTTCCACCTCGCATCTCCACCCTCACCCTCTCTCTGATCCTCCTTGACCACGCGACTGGTGCTTGACTCTCCGTCCTCCCCTTCATAGTAGTCCCTCCCGGTTGCGTTTCCCGCATCTGTCGAGAAGGAAGAGGAGGCGCACGCGCCAAACGGTGGTGGAGGAGGTGGTTGAAGTGGCGATTGTCCGGCGCTACTGCTTCCGCCTCGAGGTGTGAGGGAGCCTGTACTCTGTTGGCCGACGGAGCGGCCTCCTAGGGATATTCGACGTGTTGCAGGGGGTGACATTGGATTCGGAGAATTAGGTATCCTGCTCTGCATTGTTACAGTGGTCCACAAAGGGGATTTCTGGGAAGAAGGGAGCACGAGGATGACGAGGGAAAGATCTCAAATAGCAAAAAGCCTTGTCGTGTATGTGAGGCCTTTGCGTATAGAGGAGGTCTTGGTCGGGTAGAGATCTCGATCAGGCTTTAACCAGCCGCGTCTCAGCAGGGAGAAGACATGGATACCGAGCCGGGCGAGTCGATGTGGTGAGCTGCCGCTGCGGTTGATCTGTGAGAGGCCGGATGCGTGAGATGCTGAGCGATTCTTGCTTCCTGGAATACTCTTTGCAACGACCTGGATGGATGAGGAGGAAGCGAGTGCGGGGAAGGACGTCGCAGGGGGAAAGGGCGGCTGAGCGGCAAAGTGGGGCGCAGTCCGTACGTCGATCGGCCTGGCCCCTCTGCCGAGGATGCCTGGCCCCGCGCCCCACTTCGGCCCCACCCCTCCGGCCCGACGATCTCACTTCGCGTCGCCCCGCCCCGCACGCTCGCACGCAGCCTTGGCTTTCCGTTGCAGTTGCTATTGCTGCTGCGATTGCTGTTCCTGCCTCGTCTGCTCATCCTCTCCTCTCGTCGTCCTTCTCCACAGTGGGGACATGGCCTCGCCTGCTGTGCTGCGGTCTCCCTTCGATGTGACAGGCGAGTATGAAGGAGTAACGAGGGCATCTTCTAGCAGGATCCATGCTCACCACCTCCCCTCCTACCCCACCAGCAGACCTAAGCAACAAGCGAGAGGTGGGCTCTGATCCGGGCACACTCTGGAGCCTCAGCAGTCAGAAGCCAGGCTATGGAGTCAAGCAGCTCAGAGATCCCGACCTGGAGAGTCTCTGGCAGTGAGTTGCGTCACAAGTGTCAACAAGTGATGTCGTGGGTACTGAATCGCCAAAATTGCCTTGGCCTTGACAGGAGTGATGGAGTGCAACCTCACAAGATCAACATCGAGTTTGCAAGGAGGACCGCCGTCACAGTGAGTAGCATCGGAAGTCTCGCAGAGGTGCAGGCTGAGAATCGGCCCTGATGAGACACTGCTTCCTCTGTACCGTCCACAGCACGTCTCGCTATGGATGAATGTAAAACGAGATGACTCCTACACTCCGACCAAGATTTCCGTCAAAGCAGGTACAGGCTGGCACGACATGACCGAAGTGCGGTATCGGTGAGTCCTCTATCCCACTCTAGCATTTGCCTCTTTGAACGGATCCGCCGCTCACCAACGCTCTGTGCCACTCCATGTCTCTACCTATAGCGAGTGGGAGAAACAAGATGAGCCCTATGGCTGGAAGCACTTTCTCCTTTCCAGCTCCTCCCCGCGCTCCACCAGGGACGAAGAAGATGAGGCTACCACCACAGCCCTCAACTCACAGGCCTCCAATGGCGCTACCGAAGATCTGAAAGGGAAAGGCGCTGTGCTGGCTCCAATCCACGTGTGGGTGGTGCAGATTGCAATCTTGGCGAACCAACAGAACGGCAAGGATACACATATCAGGAGCTGTCTCATCTGGGGACCTAGGGAGGGGTCAGGGTCTGACGTTCGTGGCATTGCTGGGAGGCGAGAAGTTGAGAGTGGTAGTGACGAGGAAGAGGAAGATGAGGATGAAGAAATTGGAGGAGGAGTAGCGGCAGTAGGCACGGGTCTCAAGGGACTGCACATGGGAAGTGCACACAGCCCGTGGAGAGCCATCAGGTAGTCATCTTTTCGTACTCGCACTTGTGGCCGTCCGTCACATCACAATATACCACTAGCACAAGCACGCACAGGAGCAGACAAGGACAGGAACAATGTATCGCATTACGTCAATACAAGGCCCAATCTTATCTCTGTTTTCTTCTCTTTTCCCCCTTACTACCTCCCAATCAAGCTTCGATTGAGGAGCATCTCCAGCCCACCACGCACCCCCTGCACCTGCGTTTGCAGCCGCACCTCTTCGTTGACCTTTGCCCATAGACGCGAGAAGAGGGAGTCTGTCAAGGGTGACAAGCCGAGCGTTGAAGAGTAGAGGTCTGCAGGGAACAGCATAGCGCAAGGAGGGTCAGCAAGCAGGCTCACGGAGAGGAAAGGGAGTGTCACTGCCCTCATGCCTACGATGCCTTTGAGACTCACCTAGCACGACTTCCAAGACGTCGCAGACAATGTCCGTCCAGGCAGCGTTGCCCGCATGTCTCAGCAGAAACTTCAGCAATGGCTCAAGGGCAACATCATCCCTCCCACCAATCGCCCTCCTCAATCCATCACTGCCACCATCCACTACATCCTCTGGCGCGCTGCGACGCTTGAGTTCCACCAGCAGGGAGAAGGTCGTCGAGGCTGGAACGCCTGGTCGAAGTGTAGCGTCGAGTGCCTCCGAGTAGCGAAAGGCCTTCATGAGCTTGTCGTAGGGCTTCAACTTCCGCACTCGAACCGTTTCTGCTCGTACATCGTCGCCCTTTGCCAGAGCGGAGCGGCGCGCCTCTGCTCCTTCTCTTGCTTCGCTTGCATATGGCAGGAAAGCCTCCAGCCCGCCTCCACCACCCGTAATGGCGTTGCGTTCCACAGCCCTTGCCTCCTCTTCGGCTTTACGCACGTCTCGCTTCCTGACACAGAGTGTGCCATCGGCCATGCCCACTGCCAATTCCCGCTCCTCGGGACTGATCGCCATGGAGAGGATCGGCGAGGGGTACCGCATGGTATGTACAACTTTGTAGTCCTTTGCCGGATCGTACACCTTGACCAACCCGTCCAAGCCCGCCGAGAGGAGACGCATACCTCCCGACTCCGAGTCGGGGAGGGAAGAGCCTTCCGCGCCCGTGGACATACTCAGCGCGAGGGAGGTGATTGTCTTTTGATGATTTGATACGGCCTTCAGGCCCCTTCCACCCATCATCAGGTCCCACACTCGCAGCAGAGGCCCACCAGCAGAGACGGCAACGCCTCCGCCTCCTGTTGGGAAGATGAGAGTGCTCTCTACGGCTGCGCCGTGCTTCATGCGCATCACCTCGCCCCCATTCTCGGTCACTCTCGAGTCCCATAGCCTGACCGTCTGATCGTACGACCCTGAAAGGACCAGAGAGGGATTGTCTGGTGACACGAGGGCTGTACGGACATAGTCTGTGTGATTTGAAAAGGTGTGGGTCGTGGTCGAAGTTGGGATATCGTGCAGCTTGACTGTGGTATCGTCCGAGGCGGAAAGGATTGTTGTTGGATGTGGGGAGAAGTGAGTGACATGGGTAGGTAGCCGATGGGCGGAGAAGCTCCGCAGAATCGCTCTCGAATTGATGTCGAAGATCTGAAGCAGAGCAGACATGGAAGCAGAGCAAAGAATGGTCGTTCAGCACTCGGGCTTGAACGGCTCAGGCCGTATTCCTTCAGTCACGCCCAGACTCACTTGAACCTTGCCCGAATCATCACCAGCAACAATCAACCGCCCATCCGCCCTCATCTCCGCGCTTCTCGCCACATCTGAAAATCTTGTAATCGTCTTCAACACCTTGTTCGTCCGTGCCGAGTAGATCTGCACCCTCGGTCCCGTCGTTACAGCAAATCTAGCTCTAGCCTGGGAGGTCGTCCCAAACCCAGCAGAGGAAGGCTTGAGAGCCGTCCCATCTGCAGGGGCTGTAATGCTATTGCTTTTCCCATTGACGTTACTACTCGAAGATTCGAGGGCTGCAGTGGTAAAGGCGTTGGGAGAGGGGACAAAAGCGATGTGGGAGATGGGAGCAAACTCCTTGATGAAGGTGGGATTGCGGAAGCGGCGCCAGTAGAGGGACTCTGAGGAAGGGCCTGCCTGAGCCTGCCCGAGGATGGGCTCAGGGAGAGCCTGAATCGGCTGGTACTCCATAACGTTCGGAGTCTGAGACCGAACAGGAGTAGAAAGAAGATATCGTACTGGTTTGAGACGTAGGAGATGCTGCGAGGTGTCTGTAGGAGTAGAAATACGGACGGACTGCAGGCGTAGGAAGAAGTTCAGGACGGAGCGGAAAGAGCTGAAATCTTGAGGCCCAGCCGCGCGTGGCACACAGGCGGGCACGGGCGGCGGCCAATGGCATCCTCCCTCACGCACACTCGATACAGCTTGGTGTGATGCTCACGCCCAGCGACACTGCACGGAGTGAATGGTATGCCCTTGCTCAAGCTATCATGAACCTCCGTCCTTTCCCCCGCTCTGTGCCTCTTGGTACCGTGACATTCTTCCATCCCTTGCCTGATCCAGTCTTGCCTTCCATCCTGGTGTATTGCCCGCTGCGTCCGAGCCACCGATGCTCTTCCCAGCACTGCCGGCCCCCAATCCTGCACCCTTGGCATACATGACCGCCTCGATCGGTTTCTCGAGCCCGCCACCTGTATTTCCCAGCACCTCGCCCTCGCTCCATCCCATCATCTGGAGCATCTTGTTTCCCACGTTATCCTCTTCGATCTTGTCATCAACACCACGAGGTGCTGCCGTTGGAGCAGGGGCCGCTGGGCCCTCGAAGGAACGGGTGCCCTTGGCCTTCTTGCTGGCAGGCGCAGGATTCTCAGAACCGAAGACGGCGCGACGTTCTAGTGCTCGGTCGCGATACTTTGTTTCACCAGTAGCATCGCCACCATCATTCGTAGGGCTGCTCTGGACAGGCACGAAGCCAGACAGACCTGCTTTGCGTTTCATGCCTGCTGATTTCGTCGCTGCTTTTGCCTTTCGAACGGCTTCGCCACCGCTACGACGCTTGTCTTCCTCCAGCAGATTGGCACTGTGAAGCTTTGACTCTCGCGGATGACGGTTGAGCACGTCCATCGTCTTGAACTTGCGTCCGCAGAGGTAGCAGCACAGCGCTGTTCGATCCGAGAAGAAGTCAATGTCAACGTCTGCTGGTGGAGTGCCCTCCATGATGGCGTCAAGCGAAGGACCGGACACAGTCTCTTGAGCATGATCCTGTGGCTCATCGTCTGGCAGAGAGCTCAGTGCGGCACTTGTGGCAGAAGTTGGCAGGGTGCTATGAAGCTCCTCCTGCTTCTTCGTCCAGTTGGCGATGTTGAGGGCGACCTTCTTGTTCGAGAGGAGCTGCGACGTCCTCTTTTCGCCTTCGCCGAGCAGCGGTGCTACAGTGGAGGAAGTCGCGACGTCCGTTGGAGTCAGTGATGGCTCTCGATTGCCATCACTTTGTGCCGCAGGTTCTTCTACAGAGACTTCGCCCAGAGCGTTACGAGACGGCGGAGTCACAGCTTCAGTGGCAGGGATACGAGGAGCAGCTTCTCCTTCTGCGCGGCGCATTACGGTGTCTGCGACCTCCGTACTTGGCGCAACAGTAATGTCACCCTCCGTAAGGTCGTCGTCTTGAGACTGAGTTGCTGGCTCTGACGACCCTGTCGCACTCGATGCCTGCACAGTCGGCTCTTGGGACGTCTCTTCCTTGATCGGAAGCTTAGAGTCCTCGGGTCGTGTTGGCTCCTGTGTCACAGGTTGCTCTCCATCTGGTGCAGCATTGTGAGTATCAGAGCTGACCGTCGATTGGGATACCGTAGTCGAAGGCGGCTCGATTGTCTCTGTCTGAGTAGGTTCTGTAGCGCCCATATCATCTTCCTGAGCATCCCACTGCTTGATGTTGTCCAATTGCTGATCTGCAGCTGCGACGGCTCCGCCATCCTCTGTCTTCAGAGAAGGTGTTGCCGCTTTCGCCTTCTCATCGCCGTCATCAGGGACATTGCCTCCATGATTGACGCGGATCCTCTTTCTCTTGTCGCTCTGATTTTCGCCACTATCCTCGCCGTCGGCCTTAGGTGGTGGCCCAAAAAATCTCTCAACATCCTCGATCCACGGCCCGTGAGCATTCGCAAAGCGAATTGCATCAGCGATTCTGGGGAAGGTGGCAATGGCGCGCCCGTTGAGCACACGTGTCGTCCGATCTCTCAGCAGCAACACTTCATCTGCTGTCGTGAGATCAGAAGAGGAGCATAGCTTGTCGATCATCTCGTGTAGCTGGTCGGGCGTCACGTCCGAATCTAGGCCCACGAGGAAGACTTCCTGGAGCGGATCGGGGGTGGGCGTCCGTGAGTCTGCTTTGCGGCGCGATGGAGGCGAACGACTCCTGGCGCTTATAGGGCGAGCAGGAATCGGAGCGCGTGCTCGAGCACCAACGGGCGGAGAAGTACGCCCACGAACGTTGCGCTGAGGTGGGAGGGGGAGACGGCCATGGATCTGAGCCGGACCGTCACCATTTCCGGCCTCCTTTTGGCCCGGACGACCTGATTGTGTCTGATTGGGACCAGCAACGCTTCTCCTGTCCTGCCACCCAGCTGAGGAGGGAGGGCGCGCTGGTAAGGTCGATGGTGGCATGGGGCGAGCAGTCAAAGTCGCAGGGCGAGTTTGGTTGCTGCGAGAGGGATGAGACACGGGAACACTCGGCTGTGGTGAGAGCCCTACGCTTGGCAATCCTGGCCGACCCACAGATGGCTGAGCCGAAGGAGGCTGCGGTCTCTGCGGAGCATTGTAGGAATAATTGTAGCCTGCAGGTGGTGGCGGTCGGCTGGCAGCCACAGGCTGGAGCACCGCAGAATGAAGCGACGGAAGTCATCGTACTGGACAGTCAGCATCATACATGGACGTGACTCTGACGCGACATAATGACAAATAGAGCCGAAGCACCAAGCTACTCGCTTTCTCCTTTTTCAACCTGTACTCACTATCGGAGGCCCTGTCTGGACTGGGGAAGGCTGAAGTGAAGGCAGGCCGTTGGCGAATGGGCGGACGAGTTGCTGTCGGTCCCGCCAAGCGGACGCAGCCTTCTCAGCCTCCGTACGGTGGTCAAGTTGTCTCACGCCTACGCCTGGGGGAGGGCCGGACAAAGGACGGCCTACGGGTCCAACATGCGGACTCGGAGAATAGCCGTTGTAAGCGCCACCGTTGATCTGCGAGCTGGACTCTGCCATCATACCGGTACCATTGGCCCGGCGGGGATCTGCTGTGGGAGGCTGCCCTGAGAGAGGAGGCGGTCTCGGCCGGGACCGAGCCATGTACGCCCTCATGGCAGCATCTTCACTACTGCCACCTCCACCGTTTGCACCATTGCCTGCAGCACTTTGAGGAGCATGAGGATCGTAAGCGCCGTCTGTGGGGTACGAAGAGGGTGGCAGACTCTGCGGCGGAGGGCGGGCAAAGGAAGGGCTGTAGTTCTGCTGCGACTGGGGTGGCTGATAGGATTGATTCGGTGCGCCTCCATATCTCTGCGTATGAATCGGTGTGGGCGTGTCATGCGGAGGCATCTGTGGTCGTGACGGTCCTGCCAATGGTGAGTATCCTCCGGGCCCGCCCTGATAGAGGCTCTGCTGCTGCTGATTGTCATATGGTGTGGGAGACTGAGGAGGGTATTGGGTGGATGGCGTCGCAGGAGAGTAAGGGTATGACGAGGGTGGTGGACGGTTCGTAGATTGCTGTGGTATGTAGGGTGTATGACTGCTCGGATTGGCATAGTGAGTAGCACTGGTGCCGTGGGCGGACGGCATGGGAGGGGGCTGGTGGTACTGCTGCTGCTGCTGAGGCGGCGGGCGGTTCGGTCCTGGGCCGTAAGGCGATGGCTGGGCCGGCGGTGGTCCTGAAGGTGGACCGTAGCCGTACCCGTAAGGAGATTGACCGTTCATGACACCGCACTGCACCCGCAAAAGGCGTTGATGAGAGGTCCAGGTGCTGGAAGCTGGTAGCTGTACGGATGAACAGGAAGGAGTGAAGCCAGAGCCCCGTCCTCTCCAGATCGGATCGGAGCCTGGGCCTGGGCAGTTGCAGCTCCGCCCCGCGTCCTCACGCTCAAAAGTGTAATGACCGCGTTTCCACGCGCCTGGCCACATTGACACCTCCGTATCCCTCATATCGAACAGCCAACGCCTGCTGTCCCCACTGCCGCCCTGAATCACGGAGTCGCCCTTGACAGCTTGAAAGTCATGCCTGCTGTTGTTGCTTCTTCCTCATCCACATCCGCGGCTCCCAACCTCTCTCCAACTGTGCGACGCCTCATCCTGCAGACCTTCACAAAGAAGTACTCGCTTCAGCTACACGCCTCTTCCCTCTCCTTCATCGGCCAAACACTTGCGGACCACAGCTTGTTACATGCAGCTCCAGGTACAGAGGACGAAGATGCTCAGAGGGAGGCCATTGAAATGCTGGCCAGGGGTTGCCTAGACCTCGGCGTCATGGAGGAGGCTGGCAGAGGGAGCAGCATGATCACCGCCAAGCAGCTAGCTCATGTCTACTCGCAGCTGGTGGCAGAAGGCTCATCGTCGACCTCATCTGGAGGCCTGGCAGAAGGTACGAGTGTAGGTCAGCCTTCAAGCACCTACCACATGCTACCGGACGAGGAAGCTCCGCCCCCTTCGAAATACTTCGATATCATTGACTCCTTCGATCTGCCCCGAGTGGAATGGGATGCCGTGGCCAAGACTTTTGTAAAGTGAGTGAACGATGTCGCCTTCAGGTAGCAAGGCTACGGTGCGAGGCACGAGCTGACTTTGTCATATGCCACAAACAGACTGCCCAATCGACCTTCTGTCCTTCCCCCGCCCCTCTCCAAGCCTCTAGCTATACGCCAGCGCTTGCAAGCCCTGCGGGCTCTCGTCCTCCGTAATGAGAACTTCTGTCCGCCACTACCGGGCATATCCCGCTCTCGGGGCTCAGAGAACACATGGATGAAGCTGACGTCGACTTCGAATCTGCTGGGTAGACCCAATGGCCGCTTCCTCCTCTTTGGACTATTGACCACTACCTCAGATGGGAGACTATGTCTAGAGGACGAAGATGGAAGGGTGGAACTTGATATGTCCAGCACCATACCTGGAGAGGGTATCTTCACGCTGGGTTCCTTGGTCTTGGTGGAAGGACGCTATGCGGATGAGGGCGAGGGCGAGAAGCTCTTTGTCAACGCTATTGGACATCCTCCCAGTGAGGTCAGGAAGAGGGCGAGGGACATGTATGGCCACATTGACTGGTCAGGAAAGGGAGTCGTTTCCGCGAAGGAGGAGGTGAGTGAGCTTGCAGTAGGACTCAGCTATATCCTTGTCCCCGACTTGAATATTGACACGCATCACCTCGTCGCCAGGCCGCTCTCTCCCTCTCACTGCAAGCCCACCACCCCGACTTGTCTTTCATCGTTCTCTCCGATCTTCACCTCGACGTTCCGAGTACGTTGCATTCCTTGCGTGCAGTACTGCAAGGCTACATCGATGCTAGCTTTGTACCATTTCTCATCGTCCTCTGCGGCAACTTCCTCAGCGAAGAGGGCAGAAGGAAGGCAGACGGAGGCCTCTCGGCTTATACAGGTGAGCAGGTGATCTGCAAAAGCCGCCATCAGAGCATTGCTGACGCCCATTCCAACCCATTTGGCCTCCCGCAGATGCCTTCAATTCTCTTTCGGACGTCATCTCCTCCTTTCCCACCCTTTTGCAGACCTCGACTTTCCTCTTCATCCCTGGACCGGCGGATCCCTATTCCACTTCCCTCCTGCCCCGTCAACCACTGCCTCCTCTTTTGACAGAGCCGTTCCTGCAGCGTCTCTCCTCGAAGCTGAACCTCTCTCTTGAGAGAACCAGAGCCAAGGTAGTGTTTGGGTCCAACCCATGCCGTGTGCGCTTCTGGGGCAAGGATGTGGTGATCTTCAGGGACGAGGTGTTGGATCGCATGCGGAGGAATAGCGTTTCGATTGGCGAGGCAAAGGATCCGAAGGAGGGTGGCATGAAGAAGTTCGTGAGTCCCAATGGCGGCTGGTCTATGATGAAGAAGACTAGACAGACACGTTGCTGACACTCCGTCCTTGACATACTCTTTGCAGCTCGTCTCGACGCTGCTGGACCAGTCGCACCTTTCTCCGCTCACGCAACAAGCGCGACCAGTGCTTTGGGAGTTTGACCATACTCTTCGTCTCTACCCAATGCCAAGCGCAGTGAGTATCCCTCTCCTGATTCCACCCTCCTTACATTGAGATCGATCCAGACAAAACTGACATCTGCCCTTTGCTGCTTCCTCGCCATACAGCTGATCCTAGCAGACTCCTCCGAGCACTACGAGCTCACCTACGAGGGGTGTCATGTACTCAACCCTGGGTCGTTCCTCAGCACTACTACTTCTACCTCGGCGAATGGTGATGGAGTTGGAGCGGGAGCAGGATGGTTGTCCTACTATCCATCGGGTAGGGGGGAGAGGAGCGAGTTGCCGAGGGGGTGAGAGAGGGCGCGAGTGAAAGCGCACTTGTTCATTACAAAAGATTTGGCCTTGTGTGCACAGTGTTGTTTGGATGTAATGATATTGTATTCCCTTTCCTCGGTAGCTCCTCCCCTTCGTCCCTTCGCACAATCACCGTATCCTGCACGACCTCCAGCTCGAGGCCACAGTTCGATTGTCAACAGATGTCCGCAAACAACAACAACCTCCCTCTCAAGCTCCTCCCTCATCCTCCCTACTCCAAACTCCCAAAAAGGAAGTTCAGAGCAAGCTCAAAGGGTAAGAGAGAAAGTCCCCTTTACTCCCCTCCTTCTCCCACTCCTAAGGTCAACCCTGTCGGGAAGATCCCAATAGAGGGGGAGAAGACGGAAGAGGACGAAACTTTCTTCAGAGTGCGTCATTGCATTGCAGTGTAAAACTGATCTAGCTTCCCACGAGCGCTTCGTTGTCTTCAAGGAAGAGATGAGAAGGTGAAGTGACTCTAGTAGTGGGAAGCATCGGTTTGGGTTGGGATGGGTGGGATGGGGAAGGAATGGGGACGATGGTGGTAGAATAAAACCGAAGTGCAGGGCGGCATGTTCTGGCTAAGGTTCAAAGGGAGCAAGGAGGGTCCATACCAGGACGATGGGGACCTTGAAGGGCATACGCGCCTTGATGTGCTGGCTGCTCCCTCGCTGCGTGCCATATCCCGAAGGCAGCGGCTCTTGCAAGGGGCAGCACAGCACAGTCAATTGGCTCTCATGGGTAGCTCAACTCACCACTCACATCGCTCCCGAATCGAGTCGCAGGACCGACGACCCTACTGTACTGGTAATAACAGGTTTTGAATCGTGAAGGTGACAGTACAAGTACATACTATATAGGCTGACGGAGTCTTGTTCCTGACCAATCGGTGATGATAAGGTCAGACGACCTCTTCGAAATCCTCGTCATCTTCATCCTCGTCGTCATCGTCTATTGCAACGGTAGTAGATTCTTCGGCTCGTTTGATCTTCTTCGTCTCTGGTGAAGCACTGGCAGTCTTGACGATGTCCGGCTTGACTGGAGAATCGGAGCGAAGACGCTTGCTAGTGACACTTGTCGACGGAGTTGAGGCTGAGCTCGCGACTGCAGTTTGAGCCTGTGCCTGCTGTTGCATTGCTTCGTACATCTTGTAGTAGTCGTCTTCGTCGTCTCCTTCGGGTATGTTCTGCGTTGCGCCGTTGTAGCCGATAGATTCACCGTCTTCCCTCCCTTCCCTCTCGCGTCGTTCTCTTGCACCGAGAGCAGTCTCCTCTCCGCTGACAGTACTCTTGCCGAGCCATTCTGGAATGGCATTCTCTTTTCTCTGCCTCTCACCTTCCTCCTCCTTGATTCTTCTTGCAGCTTCTTCCGAATTTTCATCAGCCAAGGAGATCTTGGGGGCCACATACTCTCCTCTGGTGCCCTTTGCGTTGGGCAAGGAGTTATAGTCAGGGAAGGCTTCACCCTTGGTTGACGAATTGTCGGTATACTTGTCCAGCTTGGTCCAAGTGTAGTTGGCCGTGTCAGACAAGAAGTCGGCTGGATCGATGACCTCAATCCTGACGCCTTCGAGTGCTTCTAGACCTCGCACAAAGGTAGAGCATTGTTCATTGAATCTCCTCATGCGTTCCTTGCCTTTGCGATCTTCTTCGCCTCCTTCGTCGTCTTCCGCCAGTTCGGCCCCGCAACCCGGACGCTCGCACCGCAGTGAATTCGTAGAAAAATCGAGGAGATGAGCGACATCCAGCGTCGAATACGAGTAGGAACACCGTGGGCACACGAAAGAGGCAGTGTAGCCGGAGGCCGCGGACAGAGTCGAGTCGAGATGCAGTCGCATGTGATGCAGACGGTACTTGAGAGATGCCAGGAAGAGAGGTGGATGAAGATAGTAGTAGCTTCTTGGGAAGTGCTTGCGCTCACCATTGCGATCGCTGCCCCCCTTGAAGAATCGTCGAGCACTATCGCCTTCTGGCTCTTCTCTCTTCTCGCTCCTCTTGAAGCAACAGAGCATCTTGTCGTCGACGAGTCTCAGGGCCAAGACCTGTAGGTCCTTGGAGTGGATGCCCAAACGAGCGGCCAGCACATCCTGCGGCAGGATGGTGAAGCGCAACAGCTGTTCTAGGAGGACGATGAATTTGTCGTCGTAGAATGCGCGGAGCACCTGGCGATAGAGTCGCGAGATGAGTTCGGTGTCGCTTGGCTTCTGTGCCCGCAGAGGGCCAGAGGAAGACATCTTGCTGGCGAGGGGATTAAGCCAGTGGTGACGGAGAGTAGGCACCGAAGGAGTAGCAGACCAGTAGCATGCTAGGGAAAGAGGAACGTGAAGGTGACAGAGAACGATTCACCGTCTAGCAGGTGAAGCTCACATTGAAGACCGATGCGGTACCACAGAGGCAATGGTATGAAGAGACGAGGGAAGGATCGTCTGCCTCCGCCGAGGTGAAGAAGTGAAGAGGTGCTGCTGCCACGCGCCCGCGGCTCATCTTCTCTAGCCGGGTGTCGGATCGGAAGGAGAGACAGGAGATTCTAATTGGCTTCAGTCGCCGGGCCACATTATCAATCCACTTCTTCCTGCCGGTCCCCATATTCACTTCACCTAGCTCCCACGACAGTAAGACCTTCGTCCTTGCTTCTTCTCGGTGAACATGGCAGCGACCACCACAGAGCAGTCGTCCTCATCGTCATCGGCCGAGCTGCCACCGCTTCCCTCGTCATCACGAACGGCCGAGGTACAATGTCCCGTGCCTCACGCCTCATCGCAGCCACTTCCGCCCGGTCACCCCCCGGTCCCTTCCCACCCAGAGTCCAGTCTGCGGCCACCGACAGGTGATCGCTGCATCTTCTTCCGTACAGAAGAGGAAAGTAGGCCCTCGACGCCCGAATCTTCATCACGTCAATCGAGTGTGGGCAAGGCTGCCGAGCTCAGGGCTGCGAATGTCAACCCACTGAAGGAGGGTGAGGGCAAGATTCTTGATCCCGAAAGGACACTAGTGCTAGCTAGTAGAAATAGTCAGCTCGCACTGGTCCAAAGCTCCCTGGTCAGCAGGATGCTTGATGCTCACTTCGGTGTCGATTCGCCTGCTTTTACCCAAGCGGAGGTACAGTCGATATCGGCAGACCCGGGCATCTCAGATCCTTCCTCTTCTGCATCGTCGCTCTTACCCACTGCCCCTGGGACCTTGTCACCATCGACTCGCAGCGCTTTGAAATCGAGGGCTTCGTCACTGGGAATCACCTCGCCCATGTCCTTTCCCATCACTTCAATGTCTACTGCAGGCGACCACAATTTGCGATCGCCCCTGTACGTCATCGGAGGAGAAGGCCGCGCCATCTGGACGAAAGAGCTCGAAGTTGCTCTAGCAGCAGGTGCTGTTGACGCTATTGTCCACTCGCTCAAAGATCTGCCTACTACTCTGCCGGAGGGATTTATGCTAGGAGCTGTCATAGAGCGAGAAGATCCCCGGGATGCCCTGGTCATGAAGAATGGGTTGCCATATATGACCCTGGATGAGCTGCCCGCTGGGAGTGTCATTGGTACGAGTAGCATCAGAAGGGTGGCGCAGTTGAGAAGAAAGTATCCCGGTCTGGTTTTCAGTGACGTGGTAAGTACATGCGCTCCCTGCAACCTGACACGCCATAATGTGCCTTGCTGACTTTGTATTCGCCCTTTCTTGATGTTAGAGGGGTAATCTCAATACACGTCTCTCCAAACTCGACTCGCCCACGGGACCCTATACAGCTCTCGTGCTAGCAGCAGCCGGTTTGATCCGCATCAATCTCGCTCATCGTATAACCGCCTTCCTTTCTTCACCTGTCCTCCTCTACTCGGTGGGCCAAGGCTCCCTGGGCGTTGAAGTCCGTACTCCCCCACCTGGAGCAACACCCGAGACCAACCGAGACGCCCGCATACTAGAAGTCGTCCGGTCCATCGGCGACTGGAGGTCGACTGCTCGAGCTGAGGCGGAGCGAGGACTTCTTAGGGAGCTCGAGGGAGGATGCTCGATCCCAGTCGGAGTGGAGAGCAGTTTCGAAGACCATGAAGAGATCGAAGGGAAGCGGATCGAGAGTGTGGTTCCTCTTGCAGCAGGTGCAGACCTTGGCGACAGCGGGAAGGAAGGCCACAGCATCACAAAGGCTGCAGTTGAATCTACTGGGAGCGCCGTCAGCAATGGACCCTCGGGCGGCGATCTGTCAGGCGAAGGCCTTGGATTCAAGGCTACTGCGCTGCGCAATCCGTCTATCTCGAAGGAAGTCGCCTCTTCGGCCGCGGCAGCGGACGCATCCGCCCCAAGTGGAGCCGGAGCTCGTCCAAGCATGGAACGCTATGCGACAGGTGCGAGTGAGAAGCCTCGCCATGCATCCACAAGCACAAACGGGACCGGCACAGGCAATCTTGAACAATTGGCGACTGGATATAACACGCCCAGTCTAACCGACTCCTACTTCCCCGCTCTAGATCCAGATTCGATCCTCGCCCTTCTCAAGCCTCCTTCTTCTTACCACAAATCCACCTCTGCGCCTCCTGCTAAGCCACTGGAGCTGAGCCTTACGGCCATTGTCGTCTCCCTCGACGGGGCCCGCTCCTCTTCATCTTCTCTCACCAGACCAATTCAGACTCTCGAGCAGGCGCGCGAGCTGGGCGTCACAGTCGCACGGGAGCTCCGCGATGAGCGTGGAGCGAGGGAGATCCTGCGGGAGGTGGAGGTACATCGACAGCGTGCGGAAGCGGCTGACGAAGAACGCAGACGAGCGCGCAAGAGAAAGGTAGAAGAGGAGAATGCAAGGGCAAAGGCTGCTTATGAGGCTTCTCACCAGAAGGGACAGGATGAACACGAGGGCGCTGTGTTCGCTGCTGATCCCCAAGACGCGGCAGCCGGGGTGGGCGCGGATGGAACAGCCCAGCAGACTTCTAGGCGCAAGCTTGAGGAAGTGCTAGGGGCTGTCACTCGTCAGCGGGATGAGCAGCAGGCCAAAGATGCAAAGGGCCTGTACCCGCAGGAGGGTGGGGAGATGGACAGACGCGGTGTACCTCGAGAAGATGGACAGGAGAAGGTGTGGGAGGTTTGAGGATGCATAGACTTGTACCTTATCACGTGTGGATATAGCCAGAGCTGTCATCATCGGGTCGAAGGAACCCTGACAGCGCACTATTTCTCACTCCTCAGATAATTTGATGAAGTGCACAGATTGAATTGCAGCGAGAGATATATAGAGGAAGAAGTGAGGGTACTTGAAGGGATGAGTAGGAGGAGGAGAAGTCAGGAAATTAACGATAGAGATGTAAAGCATGCACGCTGCCCTCCAATGCGTCTCAAGGTACGCTGATCGATGACCGCTCCCCTTCTACGCTACAGTCGCCTTCTCTTGCTTCTCTTGCTTCTCTTGCTTCTCCCGCTCCTCCCGCTCTATGTGCGCGAAAGTTGGACCCCTGCAGATGTTACAGCACACAGCTCCCTCTCCTGCAGTGTAGACCCTGCAACCTTCTTGCCCCTCTTGTGTCCCCGGTCCAGGCATGTCAGGGACGCTCGCGTTTCGAGGCAAAGGCCACCAAAAGGGGGACAGGCGTGTCCCGCACGCGAGACATTCCACTACGTCTTCCATGCCTACCGTTTTCCGCACGGCCGACTCCGGATGTGGCATCGCCTCGCGCTCCATGGGTCGCCTCGCCGGTTTGGCGCTGCTGCCATTGCTGCCTCCGTTGACGTGAGACCTTCCATTGAAGGGAAGCAGACTTTGACTCGCGCCTTCTGTCTTCGGTAGCGAAGCAGCTGGTGTAGACCGATGCTGCTGCTGCTGCGGAGCCGGAGTGGGGCTCATTCCCAATTCACCGCTGGCAGCTCGAATCCTTGCCTCGATTGTCCAATTGCTCACCTCGCTCAGGACCACGTCGAAGCGCTTGGCTCGTCTGAGCAGAGCGTATGTCTGGTCCACGCTCGTCGAGGGGCTCACTGTGGACCCGGTAGTAGAGGCTGCAGCACTGACCGAGGATGCATCGCCGTTGCTTTGGCCGCTGGCAGTCGAGCTGAAGATGCTCTTGTGACTCTTGACGTACGTCTGCAGAGCGGTAGCTCCAGTCTTTGGATCCACCTCAGAGAAGTCGTACGTCGCCTTGTCCTTGATCGTATCGCGATGCGCTTTGCAGTATGCCAACGCAGTCCAGTGGCCTGTCTCGGTCTTGAACGTCGCGATAGAGACAGCATCACGTCTACTGATCTTGACCGGATTGATCTCAAAGCCAAGTGAGTATCCGCTATTCTGGAAAGCGCATGAGACGTGGAAAGTATGCCTGCAGCTCGCATCTGAGCATTGTAGACATGCGCCATGAGGGCTCGAAGTAGCAATGGCTTCGCTCGTGCCGCCAGTGTTGCAGATCTCGCAGATAGCACTATACCTCCAGAGCGGCAGATGGCCAGCGCCTTCAACTAGCTTCATCCTCTCTGCATCGGTGAAGACAACGTCCGGCATCCAGGCTGCGCAGATGAGGTGAGCCCAATTGTTACATTCTGTCGGCTTGAAGGCGTCCAGAGCGTTCAAAGCCTCGGCAGCAGCACCTGCTGCTGCACTTCCAGCAGGCGCATTACCATTTGTAGCGGACTTCGCGCCATTGCCGTTGGTGAGTGCACCGCTGCGAGCTCGTTGAGCGGCTGCAGTCATTGAGCCATCGCTCAAGGGACACAGGACACACTTCGGCACCAAGCCTGCACCGAGCGTCTTCTCATTCGTACAAGGCTCGCAAGTCCAGACCTCGGCAGCGACCTCGGCATCTGTAAGGCCAAAGCAGCCTTGGTGCACGCTGAGAGAGCATTGTCGGCATTGCTGCAGCTTCTTCTTTGGCTCGAGCCGTCGACACATGACGCAGCGGATCGGGTCAAGCTTGGCAATAGCGACGGGCACGGCTGCGGGGGAGGAAGTCTCAGCCGAGGCTGCGCCAGATAAAGATCGCCCTGCGGCAGCCGATCTTGCACTGTCGCCTTGCCTCAACTTCGCCACCTTGACCGGAGGAGCAACTCCAAGACCGGCAGGAGCCTCTGCAGAGGAACTTGAAGGGTGTTTCCGGGGATTTGTAGCAATGAGATCTGTGTGTGAGGCTTCAGCAGCATACTTCCTCCAATAAAGGCCACAGTACGAGCACAAAAAGCGATTAGGCCAAGCGTAGGGGCCCTTGTACCAGAAAGGAGACTCATGAGTAGAGCACATCTTGCAAGAGATGTTCGTCGGAGCCTCCTTCATCGCTTTCTCGTCAAAGAGAGACAAGGCTGGGGAGACCGCACGAGTAGATGCAGGTGCCTCCGCATCGGCCTCGGTAGGCATTTTGCCTTTTCCCTTCGCCTTCTCGATAGCAAGTTTCTCAGCCTCATGAGCTTCCTTCATTCGCTCATTCTTCCAAGTGGCATAATAGCGCACAATGTCGGACGGCTTCTTCGTCGGAATGAGCCGCTTGATCTGCCTCATTTCCAGTCCAAGCTCTCGTACTGCCGCGTCGAAGGCCTTCCTCTCCTTCTGAGTCCAATGAACGATACGGAAGTCTTCTGCGCTGCTAGTCGAGACTTCCGAAAGGGCAGCAATCGGCTCAATCTGCGGATTGGAGTAGACCTGTACCGCTCGATCCATGAAGTCCACATTGTAAGGCGGAAGAGGCTTGAAGTGGAAAGCGGCACTTGCCATGTACGCTTCAAAGAGCTGCAACTTGTTCTGCGGATCGTTCTTCGGGCTGAGGTGACAGAGGTTGCATATCACGTCGATGCTCTCATCCGTACCTCTTTCAAATTCTCGCACCGGTGTGAGGGTAGCTACGGGAGCTGGGGTTGCCGAACCACGCTCAGAGGCAAGGGCTCCCTCTGCCACGGTTACAGCAGGTGGGACTGGAGTCCCCCCTTGAGGCGTGCCCCGGTCTACGCCACCTGCGCCTCGAATTACACTCTTCTTCGGCCTGCCTCTAGGCTTCTTGACGGCGACCGATATTGACGAGCTGCTGGCAACTCCATCACTGCCAGTGGCGCCGTTTGCAATACTGTTGGCGTTCACGACACTGCCTCCTTCTTCCACTCGCAGCGGTACGCCCAGACCCATCTCTTGCTGCTGCTCCCAGGTCGGGACCTCGGTTTGGAACTTGCTTCCATGCCGAGTTGTGGCGCGGGGATAGATTGAGTCGTGGGGGTCGAGGACGTCGAGAGCATCTGTATGTTGCCCAAAGTAACGGTAGTTCCAGCCGTTCGTGCATCGTACCCCACGTACGTCGTCGAGAGTCTTTTCGGGTGCAGGGCTGCCTTCCGGGGTATTAGCGAAGGAGCTGTCACTGTCTAAACCTCTCCGTGCTGCAAGGGTTATCAAGAAGAAGCGGGGGTGCGTACTCAGTACACAATTTTACGAGCTCGTCAAAAGATGGACATGTCGCAGCTGTACCTACCGCCGCTGTTTCTCGGCCGACCGCCTCGGCTGCCAGTGGCTGCCAACCGAGCTTTGATGTACTGTTGGTTCAAGACGGTAGAATCCTCAGGCAATGAGCTAGCCGCAGGTAGTGGTGCTCCATTGGCGTCCGTGCCTGTTGCTGCTGGCTCGATTGCAGCGGCACTTGCGGAGGAAGAGGAGCTAAGGGAAGCAGGCAGGCCACCGGACTCTAGCGCTACAGTCTGCTCGTGCCGCCTGTAGCAAGGAGCGCACGTCCATCCATATCCCTTGGCGGGCTTTGACGTGAGCGGAGGGGTCACGCAGCGCATGTGAAAGTATTTTTTACAGACATCGCATCTTACCGATTCCGGTCTGAAATCAGAACAGTGTGCAATAGACGGTCAGTGTGCTTTCTGCGAACATCCGACGTTGCAGTCAGGCAATACAGTGACTCACCCGCTCGCCCACTGATGGCAAATGACACAACCTCGCAAAGCGTCGCACAAGTCAGCGGACACGCCCGGTTCCGCTAGGATGAAGGAATACCTTTTGCGCAACAATGAAAGGACCTCGGCGGGGGCATTTTGCAACTTCCAAGTCGGTACTACGTCGTAGAAGCGGTGGGCATACCGGTCAAAGAATTGGTGATAGTAGAAGTGATCGTCTCTCTTCTTCCATGCGCCGACTTCAGGCGCCTCTCCAATCAGCTCGCGATGCCTGACTTCGCAGAGGCCGCGTACATTGTCTAGTGCGAGGAGATCGCAATGCATTGTTGCTACTAAAAGTCGAGAGTCGCTGCTGATGCGATGCGATATATCTCTCATTCGAAGGAAGTAGTTTGCTCGCACTTGAAGAGTGCCAGAGTTATTTGTGAGGCTCGCACTGCCGTTGCGCGAGCTCGCGGTTGTGACAAACTCCATGACTCGGGCGATGAGGTAGGGTTCTCCCGCCCCAGGAGCCCAGGCGGTAGTCACATAGATATAATCTGAAATGGGGAAGGGGAGGGTATGAATCAGTACAATGCCTCACTGTCAAAGAATGATGCAAGCTGAGTGAGAGCGATCTCTAGAGGTGAATTTTTCGTGCCCTAAATTGGTGACGACGTATTGTACGTCTACGTTGCTCGCGATCGTTGTTGTGTGACGTGTGCGCTTTTGGCGCTGTCCGCGGGTCGTAGCGGCGAAGAACGCCTGCTACTCCCATCGTTGCGCTTGGCCGTTGCGCGCTACCGCTCGACGGCCGCGCCGCGGGTGTGCCGATACTCACCGTTGATAGATATTGTCTTGCCGTCGCGGATGGCCACACGCGTCACTTGGCCGGGCTGCAGCCTCTTGACTGCGCCACCATGGTGGCCCGCCCCACTGCCGGCAGGGACAAGGGCCATGGTAGTGGTGGCGGTGACGGCGAGGAGGAGCTACCAGTGAGAGAGTTAGACAAGATGTGGGTGCGATGGGATCGAACAAGAGAGTGGAAAAGTCCCGCGTACCTTCCCTGCAAGACCCACCCGCACGGTATGGATCGAGTAGCCGAGCGGAGTGTGAAGCAGGAGAATCCTGGTAAGGCTCTCGAGACCGGCTGCTGGTGCAGTGATGGCGCCGAAGGGGGATGGTAGGCTACGGGGACAGGGATAGGGTGGAGGGGTCGGTACTACGAACGGTGCCGGTCAGCAGAGTGCGGCGAAGCGGTGGCAAGCTTATGATGACAATGTGACCGTGGCTGCGACTGCAGACGCAACAAACACCTTCGATCAAGTAGCTGGTACGACCCTCTCAGGTGTGCTTCTCGGTGAGTCAGCCGGACCCAATTCTAATGTGTGCTGAAGTGGTTGATTGACGTCGACGAGGAGAGAGCGAAGGGGTCAGCGACAACCGTCTCCAAGGTCAAGGTCAAGTAAAGCGTCGATCTCACGGCACCGCCGACGAGGCGCAGGGGAGAGGAGTGGGTCAGTTGCTCACCTGGTGAGGAAAAACGCAGCCGTTTGTGGACAGTGAGACTGCGAAAGACTAGCGGTGCTGCGCAGTGATGGTGCGCTAGCAAGGGCGAGTCCTGCTCTTGGATGGTCAGGAGGTGCGATGAGCGATGCTTCAGAGGAGGGGAAGGCCGGAGGCAAGGAATGGCTTCTGCTTGCTCGACGGTCGCAAAGCCGCTCCCGGGCGTTCCTGCACTCTTTTCGATCGGCGAGCAGCAAGGGAGCGGCCTTGTTTGCGCGGCTAAAGTGCCAGAGCCTCGCCATCAATTTACATCGCTACAAAGGGGGAAAGGTCACACAAGACTCGATAGCCGACAGGCTGGCTTTCAAAGGCTCGATAGGCGCTGAGTATCACCCATTTGAACCTTGGGAGCACACCATCGCCTTGGCGTGTACATTGTCAACTGTAGCAGCCCACGCTAGCACAGCGAAGTGGCCATCGGCAACCCACTCTTGCTCAGTGCCTCGAGCATCTGCTTCTTCAAGGTTTAGCTCTGATAGTGTCCGTCGCTTTTTTGTAGCTACAGCGACAATTTTTGGTCCCCTTCGGCCCCCCTTGAGTACGGACAAAGCGATTGACGCAACTTCTAGAGCACATCCACACGGGACATGCACTCAGCGAAAGGGGCCAGCAGCAGAGTGCGCCAGCACTCGTAGCCGCACCCCTGGAAGCTGCAAAATTGGGGCCTTGGGTCTCACTGATTTTACAGACGCGAGCCGTTGTACACAGGATAGACTGTCCACGATGTGACCGCGATTCTTGTCCCCCACATCAGCACCATGGTGCATCAGGGAGACACCACATGTGTCCCTCGGGTCTATCGGCAGGCACAGAGGGCGGAGTTTGAAGTCCACAGCACGGACTCACAGGCGTGGTGGAGGAAGGCGAGGACGGGCCTCAGGCAGCCCAGATCCTGTCCGTACCTTACCTACGCCTTGGCGCGGCATACGTATTCGTCATTGCTGCCTGCCATCGTCACCTCGTTGCTGCCACATTCTCAAAGCCTCATTGTCGAAGCTGATTTGCTCTCCCGTCAGCTGGCGGTACAGGTCGACTCGGCGGTAAGGTGGCGCCAATCCTTGCCTGCATATAGCGCGTGCTCCGGAAAGCAGATGCTCTCTTTGAACCATTCTTAGAGAGCTCCCCCTTCAGCATATCCCCTTCCCCAGCGTCATCAAGTAGAGTACATGACGCGGACTCAGGAGCCGAGATATGTCGCGGATGTTCCCCTGGTTCTACCAGCTAGAATCCACATCGAGCATCTACAGCTTCGAGACATTGTGAGCAACAATAGCGTTCGCGGGCTATAGCTGGTCCGACTGAGCTGAGGCCTCGAACGATAGCATACCGCTTCGCTTGAGATTACTCACACTCTGTACTTTCCTTCTCCTTCCTACATCTCTGCCTCAACGAATTGCTTCATCCGCTCCTCTTCCACGCAGCTTCAACCTTCTTCCACAAAGGGCAAGCTACTCTATCTCAACCATCTCAAGATCGATGAGATCGATTTCGAGGACCCAAAGAGCCCTGCAGCGACATTCTGCAGCCTAGACTTCAGAGCTAATTGTCTCGTCACTGGCCATGGTCTTCTTGCCGCCGGTGGGCAGTTCAGCGAGCTGGCGATCCGACCTCTCTCAGCCGCATCGACCCCTGCCGGTGCCAATGTGAGCACGAGCACGACCTCGAGTTCTCAGCAACGTCAGCCGACCCCATGGTTGCTGAGAACTCCAACGGGTGGCAGTATCAATAACTCCGTCGCAATTTATCCAGACCCAGTCAGTATTGCTGAAAATAAGAGAGCTATGATATCGGAGTCATCCGGTCGCTCAGCAAAAGCGCTTAAGAAGGAAGCTTCGTCCTCACCGGTTCCCTTACGAGGGGAATTAGCGGAGGGCATGTGGCTGAGAGACGAGCCGCATGGTGGTACTCAGAGCATCTCTGGTCCATCGTCGCGGCCGATGTCCTCAGTCGAGGACGACTCAGATGCCGAAAGTCTAGCCGCTGCATACGGATTCGAACGGAAGTACGCTGGCCCATCCTGCTACCCAGCCGGCGATCGATTGAGGTCCCGTACGGAGTCAAAATCGAAGTCAAAGAAAGAAGTGGATTGCAAATCATTGAGTGGTCCGGGGGACAGGAGACGAATGATGTGCTATTCTGCAATGTCCACGTCCAACGTCCGCGTCTATTGCTGCAACAACGACCGCTCTCTGAAGGTGTACAAGCTTCGGCCACCTTCTGGAGCTTCTTCCTCTCCCGCTTTGGAGTCTGGTCTTCCAGGGCTGACTCGGTCGCATACACTCGACTTTCCCACTGCCGTCAATCACTGCTCCTTTTCACCCGATGGACAGACCCTCCTGGCAGTCGGTGACACACCTCACGTATTCTTGTACCACCGGCACCCTTCCACTGGCGCGTTCTCTCATATCACAACATACAGCGCCTCGTCGGATGCTAGCTTCTCGACGAGCTGGCATCCCGATGGGACAAAGTTCGCCGTCGCTTCGCAGGATGGCGTGGTCTCCGTCTGGGATGTGCGCTCGAGCAAGAAGCTTGCTGAGCTCAAGACGAGCCAAGACGCCAACATGATGGTCAACCTCGGCGGCTTGAATGGGGCCAATGGAGCGGCAAGAGTCGTTAAGTTCTCGCCTTGCGGTCGCTTCCTAGCTTTCACAGAACACCGGCTGTACTTCCACGTCTACGATACGCTGACTTACAGTCGCGGGCAGAGGATCAGAATACCTACGAGCCTGGATGAGGACAGTATAGAGACGGTCGAGGTCGCAGGCGGAAGGGATCTTGGTGGCGCTACGTCTGCCACACCTCTGCTCTCGAATTTCCCTGAATCAAGAGAGAGACGAACAGGGCTCTTGGAAAGTCGCTTGCTCAGCTCTCTGTATGGGCAAGGCAGGAGCAGCTCATTTGCCGAGGGCCTCTTTGGCAGTGCGAGGCGCGAAACAGAATCTTTGACATCGTCTCTCAGGTTGCCATCTTTGGGTGACAGTAGTTCTTCGTTGCATGCTGCTTCGCCGGCCGGAGGCGTCGGCAATTCCTCTTCTCCAGCTACGGGGGCGAACGAGTCTGCTGTCAATGCACTGCGCGAAGCGCAAAGAAGCCTCATGGCGGTTCGAGAGAGGATAGCAGCTCGCAGTCGGCAAGACCCAAGTTTCACCTCTGGAGCTGGTACAGCATCTGGCGTAGGCATCAGTGGACCTTTTGACCCGTTCATCGCAGACGCTGGCTTCTCAATGCCCGGTCTGGCCCCCAACTTCTCAGACGGCGAACAGGACATTGCGGCCATTCGTCGTGAGAGCAGGCCGGACGCGAGCGGACAAGAAAGCGGGAGCTCTCCGCTCCGCTCATCCAATCCTCGGACAGAAGCGGACCGTACTAGACTTCGCCTGGAGGCGCAGCCGCACGATAGCGACGACGACGAGGAGATCGAGGGTCCTATCAGTGACTACATCCGCAGGAGAAGGAATCTGTCAAGGTTCCTTCCGAGGCCAGATGATGGAACGGGGTCGGTGTCTACGCCTGCCACAAGGATGAGGCGATGGTTCCCCGACGGTCGCTTTGGAGACGACCCTGATGCATCCGGTGGGGGCGAAGGCAGGCCTCAGACCGCGTCTGAGCTCTTCGAGAGCTCTCTTGCCGAGATTCTTGATGACGGCACCTTACACGTGGGAGTCGCAGAAGAGCCAGACAGCACAAATGACGATCCAGATGGGGAGACCATCGGCGGCGGCAACGCGGAGGATGCCGAAGAAGAGGAAGGAGTCATATTCATCGACGACTACCCGCCAGAAGGAGGGCCTACTGGTGCGGACTCTATCACAAGACGGCTTCCTCCTCTGATTCCCTCGACCGCCAGAGCAGAGGACAGGTCGGTCGGTCGGCCTCTTCGACGAGCTCGCGAGGCCAGCACCCAAGCAACGTTGCGCATTCCTCCAACGCTTCGAGTGCGACAAGAGAGCGCGAACGCAGGGGAACACCCTCAGCAACAAGATCAGCAAGCAGGCCCACCCAGGCCTCGTTGGCCTATGACGCGTGAGCGGGCCGGCGAAATCGAGCGTGCAGGCAGCGGTACTACTGCCACGTCCTCGCCCTTTGGCCCCTTCTTCCCTCCGGCAAACACGACCACTGCCGCCGCCGCGCCGACGGCTACCACGGGCACGTCCACTACAGCCAGCAGAAATCTTACCGCCGCTCCGACCTCGACTGCCGCTCTGCCGAGCTCAGACCCAGATTCTGACTGCGAAGAGGAGGAGCAGGAGGAGGAAGCTGACACAGGGGGTGCGTCCCGCAGGCGCACTGAGGAGGACTCGGAGGACCTCCTCACCCGGCTCCTCTACCCTTCCACCGTTGGCGCAAGTGCCGGCGGATCGGGCATTGCGTCCGGACCGAGGCGCGGGGCCGGTGTAAATGCGGGAATTGTGCCTGACGAGCAATGGTTAAACATCTCTGGCCTCACCTGGGACCCGGATGGGGACTACCTCTATGTCAGCAGCGAGCGATGTGTCTGCCGGTGGGCCGTGTTGCGTCCCGGAGAGGGGGGAGATTTGGTAGGTGGGTGGGAAAAGGGCGAGGTCAGATGAAGGAGCCACAGGTTCAGGGCTACGGTGGCGAAAGCCGGCGCATATCAGGCGAGACATGTATCTGGCCGGATCAGGTGGTCCATTGTTCTCCAACTTGGTTCGTAGCAATTACGTAGAATAGTGCTATATGACGAGGTGTCAACGTGGCTAGCAATAGTGCCCCAACGTGTCGAGGCTAATCCACCTCCATGTCCTGCTTGGTTTCCCCGATGCCGTTTGTGCCCTCACTGCCTGCGGCTGTCTCTATTTTGACTCGTTTGACCTTTGCTTCTCTTGAGCCTGCAGCTTGCGAGGTTCGCTTCACCTCGGTCTCTCCTGCCACTGCCAAGGCGGCTGCCTCTCTGAGCTGCTTGACCTTCTCCCTACTCCCCTTGAGCACTTCCCTGATCCGCGTCACATCTGCCTTTCTCTTCTCTACTCGTCGACGCATCTCTGCCTCTAGATTACACCTCGCCTGTTCGGGACGTGCACGATTGAGGAGCTCCTGTATATTGATGGCGAGCGTGCGCATGTGGGACCACTGTAGAGAGGCCGATGTGTGCCAGGAGATCTCCTCTTGGCTTTCGCCTCCTTCGGTGGGCCCAGGCTGAGCGGGCGTGGAGAGGCTGAAGTTCGAGGTGGCTGTATGAAGTGTCCGGATGGAAGTGTAGGAGGGTGGGTATTGCAGGAGGGAGAGTAGCTTGAGGTAGGTGGCTACGAAGGTACGGAGGAGCAGGAGCAGGGCTGGACGTCGATCTGAGGGGCGAGCAAAGTGAGATCAATGTGAGCGGGACTGAAAAGCATGGCGATGAAATTCTCAGCAGCCGCCTCACCTATCCTGCCCTCTTCATCGAGCGTCTCGTCGTCGTACAGCTTCCTCACTCCTGCCTCCTCCAGTCCACTCTCTTTGGGCGGGATAGGCCACCACTGTCCAAAGACCATGTAGCCTCCCACCTTTTCGCTCTTCAGCACTTCTAAGTCCGGAGGATCCATCTCAAGTTTGAGGTCTAGCCTCCCCAGTGATGCGATTGCATCGCGTAGCTCTTCGTCCGTCTTTAGCTCGGGATGGAGGGATCGCACGGACTCGGGGAGCGAGTCGAGGCTCGAGGCGTGTGTAAGGAGGATGCGACGCTGGAGCTTCAGCCTGGGCGTCCACCCTTCGACATCGTCACTTGTGTTCAGCTCTTCGCTGTAGACTTTGCTCTCTTCTTCCGATCCCTTTGCTGGCCAGTGCTCTGTGAGTATCGAGTGGAAGTGTAGGTTGAGTGGGGTGAAGTGCTGGTAGCATGGTGGGGGCGGAGGGTAGAGGGAGGCGGAGAGCAGAGGCGGGAACTTGGGAGAGCGCGGTGGCGACGAAGGGCCTGCGATGGCCCCTACGTCGGACATGGCGACCTTTGCAGACTCTACAGAATGCTGGTCCAGGTCTGTATGTGATCGGTGGGATCTTCCCAAGGCCGTGAGAGAGGCGATTGCGTTGCTGCCACAGCAATCTCTCCGGCGCACGACGGACAGACGGACGGAAGGAGCATCGTGGCAGATTGGCGGGGACAAGACAAGAAGACAGTCAGTCGCGCGACTCGGCCCGGAAGGAGTCCCTCCCTCACTCACGCCCTCACTCAGCAGCAGCCACACGACGCACGCACGCACGCACGCCAGGGACGGGCAGAGGGGGAAATTCTATTCTCAGGCGGACGACGGACGACGGACAATCATCGCACTCCAGTCATCGTCCTCACCATCCCCTCACGCACCGCTCCTCCTCTTTCACCTCTGACTTCTTGTGCTCATTGGAAGTCCTATCCACTCGAGCCTCTCAACAAGGACTTATACCCACCCATCATACCAGCGAATCGGCTAGACCACACAGCAACAGTGCCTCCCCGCCAGCAGCAGCAGCCCACGGAACTCTCCTTCCGAACAGCGCATAGTAAGCTGAGTCACTCGAGGAAGACGTGCTCAGCAGCGTCGCTTAGACGTTTCCGATAGAACAACAGTCGAGAGTGAGCACATTCAAGGCACGCATCCCCACCAATTCACATAGCCAGGATCCACTGCAATGTCGCTCGCTCAGACACCAGGTCATGGTCCTGGAAGGTCGGTCGCAAGGGTCTACCACGACGCCAATGAGAGGTTTGGCAGGAACTGGTGGGACTACGACAATCTAGCCGTGCAATGGGGTACGCAAGACAACTACGAGATTCTTCGCAAGGTCGGTCGCGGCAAATACTCGGAAGTCTTTGAAGGAGTCAACGTAGCTGCCCTTCCCACATTCGCATCTCAGTCCAACCAGCAACCCGGAGGAACAAGTGTCATCGCGCCCAGCGTAGGGGACAAGTGTATCATCAAAGTACTGAAACCAGTCAAGAAGAAGAAGATCAAGAGGGAGATCAAAATTTTGCAGAACCTGGCCGGAGGACCCAACGTTGTGGGCTTGCTGGACGTTGTGAGGGACCCTCAGTCGAAAACGCCTTCCATTATCACCGAGTATGTCAACAATACCGACTTCAAGATCCTATACCCCAAGTTCACAGACTACGATGTGAGGTACTACATCCACGAGTTGCTCAAGGCGCTAGACTTCTGTCACTCGAGGGGAATCATGCATCGAGACGTCAAGCCCCACAACGTGATGATCGATCACGAGAAGAGAAAGGTGAGTGACGAGGTGGCAAGACGGGGCCAAAATACCGCAATTATTGATGTACTGACGATGTACTTCTGCGCTTGCCTTTGCAATTTGCAGCTGCGCTTGATCGATTGGGGATTGGCAGAGTTCTACCACCCTTCGACAGAGTACAACGTCCGAGTCGCCTCTCGTTATTTCAAGGGACCCGAGCTGCTGGTAGACTTCCAAGAGTACGACTACTCGCTGGACTTGTGGAGTCTGGGATGCATGTTTGCCAGTATGATCTTCCGTAAGGAGCCCTTCTTCCACGGTCACGACAATTACGACCAATTGGTCAAGATCTGCAAGGTCCTTGGTACAGACGAGCTGTACGTCTACTTGGAGAAGTACGACATCGAGCTTGACCCGCAGTACGACGATATCCTTGGCCGCTACCAACGCAAGCCGTGGAACCGCTTTGTCACCAGTGAGAACTCAAGGTTCGTCAGCAACGAGGCGATTGACTTCTTGGACAAGCTGCTCAGGTACGATCATCAGGAGAGGTTGACGGCAAAGGAGGCTATGGCACATGGCTACTTTGACCCTGTGAGGGAGGAGGTGGAAAGGGCGGGCAAGGCTGGAGGACCTGGAGCGGGTCTGTCCAGCTCGAGCGCAGCTGGAGCTGCTCTGACCGGCAAGGGATCTAGCAAGGCAGACTAGATCTAGCGCACCGCTTGGTGGAGCGGTAAAAGATGCGACGAAGGGGGGGAGCGGCAAGAACGAAGGTCCTTCACGATAGACATGACCTTGGCGATTACGTCCTGTATCTGTTCCTCATACACCGCTCTCTTGGCACCCTCTACATCTACCCTCTACTCCTCACTCTTGTTTGAAATACATTCGTCACTTGTCACTTGTTCAGTTTTGCATCGACACTGAGTACACAATGGGCAAGTTTGACAACGAAGACGCCTTGTCCGCGAACTATCTACAGTTTCCCTTTCTTCCCAACACCATGTCCCACTCCTGCGTCGGCACGCTCATCCTCTACCAACCCTACTCCCACTCTCCAATCACGCAAGCCGGGCAGACCTCTCCTTACCGCGCCCGAGGCCACCAATCCACCGCCGTCCTCGTGGGAGCGCGGAGAGACGTACACCCTATTGAGGGGTGGGAGAGTGGACTTCGAGAAGGGAGAGGGAGAGGCAGAGGGAGATGATTTGGGCCTTGCAGAGGAAGAGGAAGGAGGAAGAGCTTGTCGAGTAGGAGAGGCACGATGATCCCCTGGTAGGACAAGAGGGAAGATAAAAGGCGCTTCGGCCTCTTCTTCCTCCCCGCTCTTGCTCTTGCTCTGACTCTGACTCTGGCTCTTGCTCTCCTTTTCGGCGTCCTTGATCTCTCCAGGTTCCCACTTGCCAAAGTCTAGCGCAGGCATACTCTTGGGTTTGCTTCCGCCCAGCTTCGGTAGTGCGCGAGGCTCGACGGATGTGATCCTCCCCGATGGGCGGCTGGAACCCTTGCGCTGCGAGGTGCTAGCGCTTTCGGTAGCGACCCAGCCGGTGACGGAATCCTTGGGTGTGTGTCGATCCCAGGCATAGTTCATCCCTGGAGGCAGGTCGCGGGGTTCCTCTTCCACCGCTGTAGGCTTTGGAGAGGAGGGTCTCCGGCTAGAAGCGGAGGCAGAGGGTGAAGAGCCTTGAGAGGCTTCACTAGGGGTGGACTGCTCCTGGCCCCCAACAGAGCCACCAAAGGCCAGCGGTCTCAGCCTCCCCACCCGCTCCTCGAAGCTCGCCATCGCGCCCGGCGCCTCTCCCCCGCCCAGCATGGCCAGATCTGCCAGAATGTAGAACTGCGGTGGGTAGAGCACCAGTCTATCCTCGAGTGCCTCGCGTACAAACTCCTCCGGCTTACTCAGACGTAAAGAGAGCGTCTCTGTGCCATCGGCGGATAAGTCTGCGGCGAGGCTGGCGGCGCGACTTGGAGGGAGATCCAGAACTGTTAGGAAAAAGTGGGCAGAGAAGCGCTTTCCGGGGCGGACGACGGAGCGGGGGGTGATCCAGTGGGAGAAGTAGGTGAGGGGTGGAAGAGGGAGCGAGGAAGGAGATGAGGGAGGAGGGACAATTTGGAGGTTCTTGGCGATTTGGGTCAGGAAGGGTCGGAAGGTCGACGCGTCTTGATGAACCTGCAAGTCACGGGGAAAGGTAGAACGAGAGCATCTGACTCCAGTCAGCGACTTCCAGAATCGTGTATCCTCTCTGTCCTGCTCACCTTTTCTCTCCAATCTCGCCATTCTTCTACGCTCAAACCCGCCTCACGATGTCCCACCGCCCGACTCCAAGGTATCTCCTCTCCTCCTCCCTCTTTCCTCCCTCGTTCGCTCGGCAAGAGCAGCAGTCCCGTTTCCTCGAATGTCTCTCTGAGCGAGCAGATTTGCAGTGCAGCCATACGAGTCGCTTCTTCTTCGAGTGTCTCTGTCCCTCTAGAGTCTGTGACGGCGTCCTGATCAGCTAGATCAAGGGCTCCTCCGGGAAAGACGACGGCGGAGCGAAAGGAAGAGCCCATACGTGCGGAGCGCTGCAGCATGAGGGTAGTCAGACCACTGGATCCGCCTGAACTCCCTCCATTGCTGCTACTATTGCCCTCCGAGGACTCTGAAGTGGAGGTCGGTGGACATAGGACGATCAGTGAGGCAGAGGGAATGGGCGTCATTGCTTCCCCCTTTGGTCCGCTCTTGGCGTCGTTTGGCAGCGGACCGGCTCGTGGCTTGTTTCCTCTGGATGAAGACATGGTCGAGTAGCGCTGTAGTGGTATTGTTGATGCAGGGAGGAAGACAGGACGCTGATGTACTTGAGTAGACTTGTACGGGCAAAGTGAAGATGCGAGGAAGGCAGAAGTGGAGCCTGCGTGGTACGTGTGAAGGATCCGGCTAAAGTTGCCTGCTCTAGGCAGTAGGCGCATGAATCGACTCCTGGTGAAAGAAGTCTGGCCAGACTCGAGAGTCTTCGAAGTCTAAGAGTACCGTATCGAGAGCGAAGTCTACGAATCAGTCTACTTTTGAGGGTTGAAGAGGGTCTGGTATAGTAAGTGCCAGTCAAGCCAAGGTAGGAAGGCTGTAGCGTAACCTCACCGGTCCGGCATTGATCCTTGCCGCCTTCCGCTTTGCCCGTGGCCGGGAATTGTGGAGCAAGTCAAGCAAGACATTGCCGACGCCGCCAGGCACAGACCGCCAGAGCCAAGACTCGACGCGTGGCGTGGCGTGGCGGGGGAGTCCGTCTTCGGAGCATTTCAGCAAAAGTAGGCGGCGAGGCAGCAAAGAAGCAAAGGCGCTTCCCTCGCCATCGACACCTGTCATTGACTGTCTGAATCCTACCAGACTGCTACCCGCCCTGCTACAGCTGCGGCATTCGACTCAACCATCTCACAGCAGAAGGTACGGAAGACGACGAGTCCTCTCTACCCCCCGACTAGTGTTGCCACGAATCTTTCGGCCGATCCACTTCCTCTTCTACAATCAGATAAGAAGTCCACTGCGATCTTTTAGCAGTGGAAACACCGAGATGGCTTCGACGACAGTGAGTCTTCCTTCCCCTCAATCATTTAGTCAAGGCTGATCCCTCACCTTTCCCCCCTCTGCCCCATCTTGTCCCTTCTTCCCCCTCTTCCAACATCAGACCACCCCACCCACCACCACCTACCACTTCCGAGTCCGTATGACCTGCAGCGGCTGCTCTTCCGCCATCACCCGCGTCCTCACCAAGACTTCCGGCCTACAATCATTCAAGGTCGACCTCGACTCACAGACAGTCGATGTAATTCCGCTTGCTGGAGGAAAGGTAGAGGAAGGAGGAGCAGGTTTTGAGGAGGTCAAGGAGAAGATTAGGAAGACGGGAAAGGAGATTTTGGAGGCGGAGATTGTGTGAGGGTGGGACAGTTGGGGTATAGAGTGAGAGGAGTGAAGTGTCATATTGTATTCACAGGCAAAGGTGTAGCGGCAAGGCAAGAGCATACATAGATGACGGGGTCGTAGCAAGCTTTTCATTGGATCCGGTGATGGCATCATTCAATTCTGATGCAGTCCTCAATATAAATGCCCATCTCTACTGATTGTGGAGTCTTGCGGACCCGCGGTGACAGCCAAATCCTCACTGTGTAGACCGAATCCTCGCCTCACTTCTTGTTCTGTCCCAGCCCAGCAGCATGCTCAGCAGCAGCCTGGATCGTCCTCGCAACCGTCGATCGCACCTTTCCGTCCTCCAAGTTGAGCAGTCCAGCAATTGTACATCCACCAGGAGTAGTCACACTATCCTTGATGGCAGCGGGGTGCATTCCAGAAGTGAGGACCATCCTAGCCGCTCCCTGCATCGTCTGTGCAGCCAACTCTAGAGCTTCCTTTCTAGGTAGACCCATCATGACTGCTCCGTCTGCCATGGCTTCGAGGAAGACGCAGGCAAAAGCCGGACCTGAGCCGGCGAGGGCGGTACAGGCGTCAAAGTGCTTCTCGGGGAGGAAGCGACAGCGACCGACCGAGGAGAAGAGGGAGAGGAGGATGGACGAGTCGAGAGGAGGGGCGGAAGCGGGTAGGGGCGAGAGGATAGTCATGCCTTCCCGGATCTGTAGGAGGGGAGTCAGAGCCAATGCAAGACAGAAGGTAGGTCAACCGAACGTGAAGGTCTAGCTACTTCTGGCTCTCATTGTCGCTTGCTACTCACCTTGGCAGGGGTGTTGGGCATAGCCCTCACGACCTTTGTGGAAGGATGAACCCACTTCTGCAACTGCTCAATCCTCAATCCTGCACAAATGCTCACGAGCATCTTTCCCTCCAGTGCCTCCCTCACACCTTCTTCAGCCAAGATGTCCTCCGCCAGCTGAGGCTTGCAACCCAATAGGACCACATCTCCCTCTCTGCAGCCCTTTACATTCTCTCCTGCGAGCATGGCCACTTCGGGGAACTCCGCCTTGGGGAAGACGGAGCGCAGTCTCCGTGCCGATTCTGGGCGGGAGACACAGGCAATGTATGACGAGGGGAGGTGGGAGAGCTCATCTGCTTGAAGGTCAGCAGCGGACGATGAGGCGGAAGCGGCTGGGGTCTGGGTGGCTGAGGAGGAGCGGGAGCGCGAGGAGTCTAGGACGCCAGAGAGGATCGCAATGCCCATTGTACCGCAACCGATGATGGAGAGTGTGTAGCCCGACATGATGAGAAGGTATCTGATCCTAGCAGAGGATTGGGGAGGTGGATTTTTCGTAGGCTTATCAGGTGAAGGAGGATAGGACTGAGTAGGTAGAAACCTTTGCGAGTCAATCCTGGCTGCAGGCAAGACACGGAAAGAGACCGAAGCAGGAAGATTGGCAGGAAAAATGGGCCGAGAATCACAAGCGGGGAAAGACGCGTTCAGACGGGACTTGACCGAGGTGACCATGGAGCCAATTCAATCTGGGCAATGAAGCATCAGCCTTGACCAGGCTTTGAGAAGGTCCGATTACAGCAACGGTATAACAAGACTAGAGTCAACCAGAATCTGCCTACTGCCACAATCTCACATCGACATGGCCCTGATCCTGCTCCCACTCTCAGCACCAGGCATCAGCAACCGGCTACCCTGTCTCTTCTCCTTGTTCACCTGCCCCAGGCCCAATGCCTGATCGATGTCCTCCTCGCGCATTCCCGCTAGATCAAACCCAGGTGGTCGCTTGAAGGTATAGCCGACAAAGGCGAGGGCTTTGCGCATCTCCAGTAAGCGCTCGCCATGGGCCGCATCGCGCAGCATGGGATCTCGCGCTACCTCTGTGGGTGGGGCTACACCTGCCTCCTTGGCCGCGACAGTGGCGGCATTAGGTAGAGGCTCGTCGTCAATGTCGTCATCGAAGTGCTTGGTGTCTGCAGGATGTGCCAACGCAGGCTTGTAGGGCGGGTCCTGCTTGTGCAAGGTCGTCCAGTCGATGCCTTTGAACCAGGCATGGCTCATCAGCTCCTCCACGCCATCGATGAGCCCACTACTGCTAGTGGCAGTGCCCCCAGCGAAACCACTCTGTCGACGTGCATTCAACAGGATCGAATTGGGTCGATTTACACTTGCAGAGCTTTGACTGCCTAGACGGTCGTCCTTCTCGCAGAGGAGGCGCGCAATGAAGTCCTGTGCCTCCCGAGATACCCTGGGCTTCAATGGGAACTTGAGGTGCTGCTGCCAATTCACAATCTTCTGTCGGGTAAGCTGTCGCGACTTGGACACGAATGGCGGATAGCCATAGAGGCACTCGTATGCGATGACGCCCAATGACCACCAGTCGCATGCGCCATCGTAGCCTCGGCCACGCAATACCTCTGGAGCCATGTAGTTGTTCGTACCCACTACAGAGTACGCCGTCTGTCTACGCTGCTTGTCGCGGTATGTCAAGACGTGTGTAAGCGGTGTCCCATCTGCATCACGATCGCTGGTCTTTGATTCGGGCTCAGCTCCCTTAGCGGCTCGGATGGTCCCACTGTGGGCACGCTGACGACCTGCGCCTGCTCCTCCGCCAGCATCTTCCAAGTCAATGCCGTGCTTGTGCAGGAGATTGCGACGCTGTTGTTCGTAGTAGGCACCATCGTGCGCCCAATGGAAGCTCTGGCAGAGTCCAAAGTCAGCCAGCTTGATATGACCATTGGAAGTAAAAAGGAAGTTATCTGGCTTGATATCCCGATGGATGTAACCCAGACGGTGAGCCTCGTGAATCGCCATGATCATCTCCGCGATGTAGAAGCGCGCAAAGTCCTCCTTGAAGATGTCCTTCTCAATGAGAAGATTGAGCAGATCTCCACCGCCCATGAACTCCATGATCAAGTAGAGATGGTCCGTATCCTGGAAGCTGTATATGAGGTTCACGATCCATCGCCGGCTATCACTGCCGCTACCGCTCGCACTTGTCATCAAGTCTCGTTCCGCGCGCACATGGCCTTCCTGGCCTTTCCTCAGCATGTCGGTCTTGCGCAACTGCTTCATCGCGTAGAGCTGACCCGACTCTCGTTCCCTTACCAGGGCAACAACACCAAAGGCTCCATGACCGATGGTCTTGAGCTTGACAAAAGAGTTTGCACTCACTCTCGCCCGGAGAGCACGCAGGTGCTCCGTCTCTCTGGCTATCCATGCCTGCCGGAGAGCCTCCTTGCTAGCCTCTGGCACTCTCAACGCCGCCAAATCCCTCTCCAGACCAGCCCTTCGCGTCTCGCGAGCGGCGGGCTTCTTTAGTATGCCGTAGTAGTGATTCTCAAAGAAGATCTTGGCAGCCACGCTCTTCTCCACCGTGGTGAGGGTGGGTCTGATGTGGAAAGCTTCGGCAGTATATGCCGCCGGCCGAGAGAGCTGGCTGTCTCGGAGAGCTGCTGGAGCGACTCCTTCCAGATCAATCTCTTCGGTGAGGACGACGGACGAAGGACGAGCCTCGGGAGGGTCAAAGAGCTTATTGATGGCCAACCGCGGAGCTGGAGAGTCTGTAGTGATCGGCAACCCTGGCACAGTCGTACGTCGAATTGTCTGGTCGTTGTCGACTTGGCCGTATTGCATGTAGTCGGGTGCTTCCTGGAGCGTAGCCAGAGGCGTTGCGACGAATGTAGTGCCCGCAGTGTTCGTACGAGGTAGTTGCGGACGATCAAAATCGACCGTGGACGAGCTTTGTGTCTTATAGGGGGACGAGAGAGCTGCTATTACCTCCCTGTCAGCGTTGCGAATGGTGGCTTGATCCGTGGTATCTGTACTGAATCCTACACATGCTTGATGCCCATCTGTTCGTCCCTGGTACGGTGTTCCGCTCTCCTGTCCAAGAGTACCCAGGTCTGAGGCTGTAGGCAAGCCCAAAGTGGCGAGCGTAGCGACGGTCGACGTCGAAGGTAGACCGTTGACAATTTGCAGTGGAGGCCGGGGCGCGTAGCGGAAGTCCGACTCGCCATGCAAATTTGCCTGTACTTGAGCCACCGCTTCAGCCTGCGTCTTGGCAGCCTGGGAGCGTAGAGCCTCTTTGATAGGCTCTACCCACGTCGGATCTGCCACTTTACCAATGTCGTCAACAGACCAGCGCTGCAGAATGGCCAGGGCTTCCTGCTCGTCGCTGGCGTGAGCTGCATGCACGAAGGACTCTGGCCGCGGGGCGGAGACCATATTGACGCTGATGCGCTTCTTCGCAACCCTTGGCCCGGGCACGGCTTGACTGGGTGAGGGCAGAGGTACAGGTGTGGGACAGAGCAGAATATCACTGTCTTGGAGATTCTTGCTCGCCATATCTGCAGGCATCAGGGAGCTGATGGGCCTCTGTGCGGGTATACGGCTGTTCCTGCGGAAGGCATCCGTAGCTCTGCTTACAGTAGACCGAAACTTCGATGGATGGTTCGGATAGGCAAAGTCTCCATCACCGTTCTGCGGACCTGCCTGCCGGTCGTTGGCCAAGGACAGAATATCGAAGAAGCCTTTGTGCTATACGGGGTAGGCATAGTGACGACGCGGAATGCGTTTCAGTATCATACTTCCACCACCCAAACTTTCACCCCTCCCTCAGCTCACCAAGAATGCGCTTCCGCGGGCTGCACCGCCAGCACGGGCGGACTGGCCAGGCACATATGTCATGTTCTCTACTGGCTCTCTTCGCATGCTAGTATCGCTCGTCATTCCAGTCTGATCGTGAGGTGGAGGGGTGCCGAACTTTGTATCGTTGCTCTGAAGCCACTGCTGCTCGTCGTGCATGAGTCCTTTACCTTGCTCTTGTCTGGGTGATCTGCCCGTTCGTTGTGGCAGTACAGTCCGTTGAGGCGAATATGTAGTCTCTTGCTGCGCCGTCCAATCTTGCGCCGTCCTCGTCTCAGTAGGGACAGCTACACAAGGAGCAGAAGCAGAAGCAGGGAAAGCCCAACTGAAATACCCACCCATCCCATCCGGCAGACCCTCTCCACGAGCACGGGCAGAGGAGGACTCCTCTTCCACCCCTCCGTTGCTGGAATTAAGGTCGGGGCTGGGCCTAGGGCTGGCAGTGGCTAGGGGTCGAGGACCTGCCGGTCGAGGGGCACCCATGCTTCCTCTTGACTCCTGCGCAGGAGTGCGCAGCAGGGGTATATGCGGGTTCGGCGTCTGTGCCGGTGCGGATGGGAAGGCGAGGGATGAGAGAGTGAGTGAGGACCAGCCAGACGTAGGCGGATGCGAATGCGGGTGCGGGTGCGGGTGGACAGGGGCTCGAGGATGGAACGGAATGGTGCGGTGCACTTGCCGGGCTGGCCCCTATTGACACTTGAGATGGAAAGAGTCCGATGAGCTGGCGTACTTGTGATGGCTGCGAGACAGAGAGAAGGAGGTACTGCTCAAAGGAATCAGATCCGGTGCTGGAACCGCCTTGAAGAAGCGATCCGTTTCAGACACCGGGGTGGAAATGCTACAAGTCAACTAAGTCGATACGAAGTCGAAGTGGAGCTGGCTCTACTCCCGTGAGATGAGCAGGGGACATGCGAAGGTCCAAGCTCGCCCCCCTATTTCCCCAATTCCCCCCTCTGCTCCGCTCCACTCCAGTCTGGAAGGGAAGGTCCGAGCTCCTATCCACCCCATCTTCCGGCCGGCTCACATCTCCGGATTGCGACCACGAATGCGACTTGGCAGCAATGAAGCAAAACCGCAAAGCAGGCCCTGCCGAATCACAGGCGAGGCGGGGCGGGGCGGGAGGTGAGGCATGACGCGCAGCAGCCGAGATCGAACCCCTATCTACGCAGGCGAATCTCGACGAGGAGGACACTGAAGAGAACATGCTACAAAAGGGGTTTTCCATTGAAAGGGAGTGCGACTCTTCTGAAAAGAAGAACCGGAATACCAGGAAAGGAGAAGGGAAAGAAAAAGAACAAAGGTGGAAAAGTGAATGTCTGAAGAGAATTCAGGGAACCAAAAAAAGTGCTGTCCAAATCTTTTTGCTTGCGTGCGTGCCTTCTATACAACTTGTTTAAACCGCCCTCCATGTACCGCCACTAGGCGCCGAATCCTTTCCAGAACCAGCTGCCTGTCTAGCAGCAGCAGCGGCTCCATCGTCTTCATCCTCATCTGCATCGTCTGGATTTGAGAGCATGAGCCTGCCTCCAGCTGATCCACTTCCGCCTCCAGCGCCAGTAGCAGCTAGATAGTCTCGTGCAATTTCATCATCGTCATCGTAGTCTCCACTGCTCAGACCGGTTCCAACGGCACTACCAGCGCCAGCGCCAGAGCCGTGTCCGTACCCATCGGTACCGCTGCCTCCTCCTCCTCCAGCTCCGCTGTGAGCTTGTGAAGAAGTGGCAGGGTACCTCTGCCCTTGTTGTTGCTGACCAGGAGCATCAAAGTACGCCGGTGGAGGAGCAGCTCCATATCCGTACCCGCCGTTGAACATGTTGTTCATGGAGCCAGAAGAGGGACGACGACCAGCACCTCCCATGTCTTCGGTTGGCGAGCCAGTCGAGGAGATGCCAGGTACGAGAGAAGGGTGGTGCTGGTGGTAGCTGCCCGAGTGGCCTGACTGAGAATAGGCTGCTGCTGCACTTCCACCACCCAGGGCAGAGCCGGCAGCGGAGAGAGCTGCCTGCTCCCTTGCGCGTTGCTCCCTCACTTCGGGTGGGTCCAAATGGGCGTAGGAAGGCTGGTTGGCTCCGGCGCCACCAGCTCCTGCGAGAGAAGAACCATTGCCATTGTTGGGTCCGCCATTGGGATAAGCATTCCACGAAGTCTGCGGTGGGCTGCTGTCGTCCGAGTTGTTGTGATGACCGGCATAGTATCCGGCTGCACCAGCGCCAGCCACTCCAGCAGCGCCGCCGTATTGACTCATCTCAGGGTTGTTGTCATCGCCGTAATTCTCTGGGTCGTCATCATCGAAGCCAGCAGGCAAGGTAGCTCCGGTGGTGGGATCCCTCCGATTTCTCCTTCCACCAGCAGCGCCGGCCGCTCCTGCTCCGGCAGCAGCACCCCCAGCTGTGCCGCTAGGTGCTGCAGGATCAAAGTCGGTCCAGTCAATTTCCTTGTCCGAGAGAGGGCGAGTACCGAGGCAGAGGAAATAGCCATGACCGGTCCTAGCCCTCCTACGCTTCCAGAGAAACAGAATGGCGGCGAGTAGAGTGAGTAGCGCCAGACCTCCGACCACACCTCCTACGACACCGCCGATGAGGCCGGCATTGGAAGAGCCGCCAGAGGAAGTATCATTGGAGGCTGTGCCATTTCCGCTGCCATCGCTGCCGCTCGAACCGGCGGACTGTGTCACGACGACAACGTTGGTCTGAGTGCCGGGCAAGGTCGCAGTGGAGCGGACGATGGAGGTACCCGAAGTGGCAGTCACGACACTCTGAGAGCTGACGACCGTCTCAGTGACAGTGGATGCACTGGCTGTGCTCCTGCCGGTGGCTCGAGTAGAAGCGGCTGTGCTGGTGTCATCGTTGCCGGAGTCTGCGGTCGAGGTCGTGGTGTAGGTTGATCCACCATTGCCACCACCACTGCCAGCCGTGGTAGTGCCCGATCCGGATCCTCCACCATTGTCAGCGGTGGTGGTGGTACCAGTGTTGCCTCCACTGCCATTCCCGCCACTATCAGTGGTTGTAGCCCCACTTCCGCCGCCGCCTGAGGAGCTCGAGCTATCGTCTGCCTGGCGGATGTAGACGGTGTGGAAGCTCATGTCGGAGGAGATGGAGGAGATGGAGGAGATGGAGAGAGATGAAGAGACACGACGTGGCCAAGCGGAGAATGAGCTAGGCTAGACTTGATGCTGCCCCCTTTGAGACTGATGGGAGTGGATGAGGTGTTCAAAGTGATTTGTCCTCGAAGAAGTGAGAGACACTGAGACACTCTATCTGTGACTGCTTCTCAGGAGAATGGTCCGGCACAGCTGAAGGGTGTACAAGGCGGCGGATGGTAGGGCGGATGAGAGTCGAGAATGAGGCCCGGAGGAGATGCAAGTACCGAAAAGGAGCGCCAATGACGAGCTGTAGTCGTAGGGAGTGATGAGATGGAAAGGGATGCAGAATGAGGTGAAACGTACAGGTCCGGGCTAGGAGCGAGGGGAAGGGGAGAAGGAGAGAGAGAGGCACAGAGACGCCCTGCCTGTGAAGTGGAGAGAAAATGGTGAAAGGTGAGCCAGGCAGGCAGTACGCGGGAGCCAGACCACAAAAGGCTGCAGGGCACAAAAATCCTCGCCTGCCTCGGCTGGCTGCCTGGTCTGGCTCCCCCTGCCCCCCTCCCCCCATGCGCGCCCGCGCCCCACGGCTCAGTCCGGGCGTCACAAGGCAGCGAGGGCCAAGCCCCCCATCGGCGCAGAATCCCGATTGGCGGCAACAGTGAGACCCTTCCCGCGTCGTCGCACTCCCGACGGCACACACACACACACACACGGCTCAGGGACACTATAGTCCGCAAGGGGACCCCAAGCTGTGTCTATTCTGGGCAGCAGACGAAAGTTAGCGGCCATCGGAAAATAGAGCTGTCGCCACACCACTGACACAGGGGCACCATCGTTGATGTAAATGTGGTATTGTAGACACGAAGACGAAAGGAGAAGGGAGAACACAATGATGGTGTCTCACCGTGCTGTCACACGGCCCTTACCCCAGCAGATCGTCCTTCCATCCGCTCAGACCTGACCTCTTCGGCAAAGGTGGATCTGTCCGATATGCCCCACCACCTCCGCTTCCAGAAGCATAGTCCTGCTCCAGATCTGCCAGCATAGAATAAGGATCTGGCCCATCGTCATCCACTGGCACAGCCATGGTGCCCCCTGCAGTGCCATTGCCGCCCCCCGCTCGACCTGCATCGTACTTGGCATTTCCAGAGCCGGAAAAGGCGCCGGACTCGACTGGGGAAAGGGAAGGCGATAGAGGCTCACCAACCCCACCACCATCGGTGCCAGTGCTGAAGTTGCTGTATTTACTAGAGCTAGCGGTGATGGTAGCCGTACCGCCATTGGTGTCCATGTCGGCGCCATTGTATTGTGGGATGCTATTTGCAGAGGGACGGGAGGGCAGAGCTGGCGGGACTGCCTTCTTCTCGCCGTCGGTGTTCTTTTCATTGGCAGCGGGTACATAGGCGCCTCTCTGAATCGGCTTGGAGTGGAGATGCACACTGGCTGTACGACGGGCGACCTCGTCTAGCGCATTCGAGTCAGGCAGATGCCTGGCCTTGGCACCTCGAATGAACGTCTGAGGCTGGCGGTGGAAGATGCTTGCAAGGGATGCACCGTGTAGTAGCAGCTGATCCAACACTTGGCGGTCCATTCGATCTGTCTCTGTGCTGATCGCAGGCTTCTCCACCAGAACGATGTCTCTGGCAGCTGCTGGATCAGTCGACAGCAGACGCCAGTACATGAATCCACGGTCTCGCACATCTGGGTTCTCCACATCCTCTGTTGCCCACTTCAGCACCTTGGGGACAAGCTCTCCACCCGCAGAGGGCCGCTTGAGGAACAGCTTGACAGTGGCAGTGAGGAGTGCCAATTGTACCTGCACAAGATAGAAAATTTAAATGTCAGCCGCTTGTTCCTGCCCTCGTGAGTGTAATGTCATCCGCTTACGACTCACCTCTGCAGGCTCCTCCAAGAATGAGAAGAGGAAATCTTCCAGCAGCTCGTCACTATTCTCAATCCTATCAGCGTACTGCCCAATGATCCAAATCATAGCAGCCCTAGCCTCCGGTTCATCCAGCGAGTCCAGATTCTCGCAAAGCGTAGCGATGACGCTCTCGTACTGGTTTGGGTATTTTCGGAAGATGTCCTTGATGACGACGATTGCTTCTTGCACTACGTAGTTGACCTTTGTGCTGATCAGGGAGAGGAGCACCTCGACGCAGCGATCTGCGAAGGAAGTGATCTTCAACGCTAAACGACCAATGGACCTGACAGATTTGCGCACGAAGTCCACGTCAACTTCCGTGGCGTACTCCCTCAGCTCCGCCAAGACCTGCTCCACATTCTTCTCGTTGGCCAACCGATAGATGATCTCCAGCTTGGCCATCTTGACATAGATCGGATCATTGTACTTGCAGAAGAAGACCTTGACTTCATTCTGCAATACGATTGGTCGACGCTGGATCACGAGGAGGATGTTGCGGAGCGCAACGTACTGCACTTCAGGTCCAGAAGAGAGAAGCGTTACTGCAAAGAGATCACATCGGGGAATGTAGGAAGGAGCCGTCAGAGCGGGGGACGCCGATTCTCCATCGCTTATCATTGCTCTACTCACCCAATGGGCCGCTGAGCTTCTTACACAGACCCTCCTTGAACTCCGCGCTGGCAATGTAGTTCATCAAATACAGAATGACCTTGGTACTCGTCAGCACCACAGCCGAGTTGGCATGCTGCAGTCGTACGGCGATCCTCTCCGCGAGAATCTCGGCGTCGGCATAGTCGGCCGGTACGAAGAACATGAGAGACTCGAGGATGTACGTCTGACCCCATCTGAGAGGGAGCAGGAGACATGACAGGGTCAGCTCACCAGCGAACATCAAGCGTTTGCCGCCTCGTCTAGCTACTCACTCCGAACAGTCCGGCAAAGCGCTCACCAGCTTGCTCGCAATGGTGAGATTGAGCTTCAACTGGATGTTATCACTCCTCTCGCTGATCTCCGTCAAGGCCGCCACTGCATTCGCCACGACCGTCGAGTTGGTATCCGCCAGAAGATCTCTCAAGCTAGAGATGAGCCCGTGCTTCTCTACGGTGCGCTTGTCGTGCATGTACAGCTTGGCTACACAGATGGCTGCAGTCTTACGCACGTAAGGGTCCGAGTCTTTGAGGGAGTGCCGAAGCGGGTCGAGGAGGGCCGAGAGGATAGTGGGGACAGGAATGTAGGACATGGTCCGGATGGCCAGTCCCCGGATCAAGGGATTGCGGTCATTGCAGTCCGAGAGGAAGCCGGGAATGGCATTGGCCACTTGCTCAGGTTTTGAGCGCCCATAGTTCACCAGGTACAGGTCTAAGCCAGTATGATGAGAGGGGCTCGTCAGCCCCGTTTACCCCTATACGTCATCACAGTCCAAGCTGGATCAGCTTCTATTCGCTACTCACAAACCATCTTCTTGATCTCCAAGACTTGAATACTCATGCAATCCACCACCTCATTGAACAGCCCACTCATGTCATTACCCATTGTCGCATTGGCGATGATCTTCTTCAAAGTCGTCTTTTTGCGTACCCATCCTTTATCCTTCTTGTCGGAGAGCAGGTCGGCACGAAGCTCTTGGACCTTGTTCCGTTGGAACAGCTTTGCATCTGTATTGGCCGACATGGTCGGAGAAGGCAGTCCGGTCGAAAGGAGGTGTAGGGGAGGCGCTAGCTGCGTACGAGGCTCGCAGGAGCGTGGTCGATGGAGTGGGCAGCAGCGCTACGCAGAAAAGCGCAGAGGACGAGCTGCCTGGATGAGGGAACCAGGGCAGACTAGGTGACAGCTGCCGGGATCTGTAGGAGCTGATTCGGATGCTCTAGCTGAATAGGGCGAGAGGTGCGCAGCGCTGCGTTCGATGGCAAATCGTCCTGACAGGGTCTAGTCTGCTTTGAATAGCAATGCGAGCGCAAGAGAGGGTGTGATGTAGCGCTGAGGGAAAGGGAATGCTACGGTAGCTCTACTGCAGTCGTGGTGGGGAATGGCCTACCAGCGCAACGCAAGTAGGAATCAAGACGGATGAGGACTTGGCAGGGAACAAAGGGCGGCCGTCGTCGTCCAGCTCCACACTCGCTCCCTCCGTTTCCGACGCGCCCCTGGTGTGCGGGGCGGCGGCAGGGCGTGGCGGGGCCAAGGGCAGCGTTGGCGCGAGTGTTGCTTCCCTCGGAGCATTTGAGTTGCTGCAACACTCACACACCTTCCTGCCTCCATACTCACACCAGCTGGTCCTCATCGTCGTCATCGTCATCTCGTAACAATCATCGTCCCTCCGCTCGCACTCCGAGACGGTCACCGAGGGGGAGAGAGTGTGATCCAAGCCTCACTCCACTGAGAGTCGAGCCCATTGCCTCGTGTCCTCGCTGCGACCGGACGATTGCTGCGCGATCAGCATGGCACCTTCTCCCCTAGCATCTTCCTCCTACCTACCGACCTATGACCATCGCAATGACCCCTATGGACCCCCCATAGCTGGCAAAGATGGCTTGAATGGTGCTGCAGCAGGGACTGGTGGGTTGGACAGGGGCAGGGCAATGGCCTCCCCTGGCGGCGGCAGTTCGAGGATGTTGCGAACTCCCAGCCCTACGTCTGCTCAATCGTTCCACTTCTCCACGATGCTTCGTACGGGTAAGTAATCTCCTCGAAACACCGTTCTCGCAGCAAGCCAACAAGCCGAGCGGCTATTGCGAGGTGGGTCCCGAGACTAGAGGCTGACTACTGCCGCACCTCCCGGCTCCCTTCTCTCCATCCCAGGCTCGACAGACGCCTCGGAATATCCTCCAGCTTCTTCCGATCACCCTCGGTCCTCTTCTCACACTCCTACAGCCTACTACACTCATCTCAGCCCCTCGGCGACCCTGCTCCACCTGACCCCAGCCTCCTCTCCCAACCTCACCTCCACAACACATGGTCTGTCTTCCGCCGAGGTACCAGCCATTCGCTCCAGGCTGCCTTGGTCTACAACGATTAAAGATCCCGCAACGGGACAGACTCGCCAGCTGAAAGGGTACAACGAGTTCGCTGTCAAAGAGAAGGACAGCCCCTGGTCGAAGTTGGTGGATCAGATCAAGGAACCCTTGATACTGCTGCTGCTGGGTAGCGCGGTGGTCAGTCTACTCGTCGGGGAGAGAGAAGACGCCATCAGCATCGTTGTGGCTGTCGCAATCGTCGTCGCTGGTGAGTCAGGAGCCGATGCCAAGGGAACGAGTTGTATCGGGACGAAAGACTAACCCAGCGGACATACGACCGTACAACCCGATCATGTCCTCTCAGTCGCCTTCATTCAAGAGCGGCGGTCTTCAGAGTCGCTAGAGTCTCTAAACAAGCTGGTCCCTCATTACTGCCAGCTCATACGAGATGGAACCACCTCTCGTGTTCTGGCTAATGAGCTTGTTCCAGGGGACATCGTCGCTCTTTCCACCGGAGATCGCATCCCCGCCGATCTGCGGATACTGGAAGCCGTCCAGCTGGAGACTGACGAGAGTACGTTGACAGGCGAGATTAAGCCTCGGAAGAAGGTTACTGGCTTCACAGAGCCCGAAGTTGTCTACGATGCTTCAAGCCGGGAGCAGACTATGCATGCGGAGGGGCCATACGGAGGCTCCTCGTCGATGCTACTCCCGCCAGCCTTGCCGGCTCACATCTCGGCTACCACGATCAACGAGAGGGAGAACATCGCATTCATGGGGACACTGGTCAAGTCAGGCTACGGGAGAGGGATTGTAGTTGGTACAGGACGTCACACCGAGTTCGGCTCCATCTTTAGCATGGTCGACGAGGTTACAGAGAAGCGAACACCTCTGCAACTAAGTATGGATGATCTGGCGCAGAAGCTCTCCATGATCAGCTTCGTCATCATTGGCTTCATCTGTCTTGTTGGACTCTGGCAGAGGCGACCCGCCCTGGAGATGTTCACCATAGGAGTCTCCTTGGCAGTGGCTGCCATTCCTGAAGGCTTGCCCATCGTCGTCACCGTCACTCTCGCCCTGGGGGTCTTGCGGATGTCGAACAGAAAAGCAATCGTCAAGAGGCTGCCGAGCGTAGAGACATTAGGCTCTGTGTCTGTCATCTGTTCGGACAAGACAGGAACTCTCACTACCTCCAAGTTGACCGTCTGCCGCCTCTTTACGCTCGAGGATGGGGTGGTAGATTTGACAAAGAATGTACCTCATTCGCATGGGAAAGCTCTGGCTAGGACGCTGCTTGTCGGTAGTCTCTGCAACAACTCGCATCGTGACGAGAAGGGCGACAACGTGGGCCAGGCGACGGACGTTGCGATGATCAATATCCTGCGGACCTTTGGCCTCGACGATCGCCGCCCGTACTTTACTCGCTCGAGCGAGACGGCCTTCTCTTCCGAGAGCAAGTACATGAGTGTCACGGGCAGCTTTGTCGCATCGGGCAATGGGTCTACCGACGCCTCGCAAGGCCCTGCCATTGCTTCTAGCGGGCTCGGCAAGGGCGAGAAGATCTATCTCAAGGGTGCCCCTGAAGTGGTACTGGAGAAGTGCAGCACTTATGTTGGAGGGGGCGCGGGCAGCAACAGTGACTCGTCTCCGCCTGCGGCACTACCGCTGGACGATGCTACGCGTGCCAAGATTCAATCCGTCGCCACTCAATTCGCCTCTGCCGGTCTGCGAGTCCTGGCTTGCTGTACAGGCAACCCCAGTACAGGTTCTACGAACCGAATGACCTTCTGTGGCCTGCAAGCCATGCAAGATCCGCCTCGGCCAGGAGTCAGAGAGGCTGTCCACGAGCTGCGTAGAGGTGGGATCCAGGTGATCATGATCACTGGTGATTCGGAGATTACCGCAAAGGCCATTGCTGTCCAAGTGGGGATCTTGGATGAGCACGAGGCCGGCGCAAACGACTCTAGAGCTGTTTTGACGGGTAGGCAGATTGATTTGCTCACGCCTCGACAGCTGCAGGAGGTGATCGCCAGAGTAAGCATCTTTGCCCGCACTACGCCACGGCATAAGATGGACATTGTCAAGGCTCTACAGGCCAATGGCGAAGTCGTTGCCATGACGGGTGATGGAGTCAATGACGCACCAGCACTCAAGATGGCAGACATAGGCATCTCCCTCGGAGCTGGCGGTACAGACGTGGCCAAGGAGGCCGCCGACGTCATCCTCGTCGATGATAATTTTGCCACCATCCTACCCGCCGTGGAGGAAGGCAAAGGCATCTTTACCAACATCCAGAACTTCCTCTCCTTTCAACTCTCCACGGCTGTAGCCGCACTCAGTCTTCTCACCCTCTCAACCCTCTTTGGATTGAAAGCGCCTCTGAATCCGATGCAGATCCTCTTCATCAATATCCTCATGGATGGACCTCCTTCGCAGTCACTTGGGGTGGACCCGGTGGATCGACGAGCAGTCATGCGTCGTAGGCCGAGAAGAAAGGACGCTCCTGTTCTCACGCAGAGGCTTCTGGCAAGGATCGCATTCAGCGCAGTCGTAGTTCTCGCAGGGACGTTGTTCATCTATGTGTCGGAATTGACAGGAGACGGATTCGCCGATCAGAGGGATCAGACAATGGTGAGTACAGATTCTCAGCATAGCCAAAGCTACGGCAAGGAGTGTAAGCTCTGACCACATCCTCAACTCTTCTTCTTCCTCATCCTCATCGCCCCTCACAGACCTTCACCACCTTCGTCCTCCTCTCCCTCTGTTCCGCCCTTCAAAATCGCTCCCTCACCACTCCCTTAATCGGCAATCGCATCCTCCTCTACACCATCTTCTCCTCTCTCTTTGCTCAACTCCTCCTCGTCTACCTACCCCTCTTACAAGGAGTGTTTCAAACTGTACCCCTAGGAGCGGCCGACTTGGGACTTGTACTCCTGATCGCTGGAGCGGGATTTGCGGCGGGGGAAGGGAGGAGGAGAGTGGAGAGACGCTGGGAAGAGGAAGAAATTTTTGGGGTTGGGGTGGAGGCGGGAGTGGGTGTGGGAAAGGGAAGGGGGAAAGAGGAGCAGGAGGAGGAGAGAATGTTGATGAGAGGGTGGGGAACGGGTGAAGAGGAGAGCGCGGCATAAAGGAAGGAAGGAGAATGGCTATCAAGACGCTCTTTGGGAGCTTGCCGATGCTTCCACCTAATTTATCGCGGCAGCCTGGAGTCTCCCGTTCGATCTGTAGACCCGGGGTTTTAGACATACGACGTAATCCTCTAGAGCACGTTCATGACTGAGAGCGAGGGCCAAGAGGGTGGACAAGGTGAAATTGTACATATGAAGATATGTTGCACAATAATGGACGGTGGGCTGGTGTACTGCCTAGAGGGGAAAGGCGGGAGCCAATGTGCTCGACTCGCCTTGAGTCCCTTCTTGTCGCACTGCCCTCTCTGCCTCGCACGTCCACTCGCCAGCTCGACAAAGCAATCGGTGTGGCAGGCGAAGGGCTTACAAGCTCTCCATCTGTTGCACCACTTCGTCGAGCTCCCTCTTGGACTGCTGATACTTCTCCTGCATGTCCTCGTACTTCTTCTCCATCTGATCACGCTCTTGCTCTGCACGTGTGACCTGCCTCTCAAAGTGCTCAGCCTTGATGTCCGTCTGGCGGAGCCTAGAAGGGGTGTGAGGATAGAACAAGGAGAGGATGAGAGTTGAGATCAGACTGAGCTCAAATCCCTCTACGTTGCCATTTTGAGCATTCCACTCACTTCTCAGTCGTCTCCCTCAGGTTCTTCTCTGCCTGGTCCAGCTCCTGCTCCAGCAGTGCCACCTTTCTCTGCAGAGTATCGGCCGACTCCCTGTTGCTCTCGTGCTCCTCCCTAGCACTCTTGTGCTCGGTGACTTTACCCTCTGCCTTTTCCAGGTCCTGCTCTAGCAGAGAATTCTTGTGCGAGAGCGAAGCAATCTCCTGCTCCTTTGTGAGGACGTCTTGCTCCAGACGCTTGTTCTTGGCCTCGGCCTCTTCGGCTCGCTCTAGGGCGGCGTCGGCTTCGACTCGCAGCGAGTTGAGTTTCTGTGGAACAGGAGCGAGATCGGGTAAGGAGGGTGAGCATGGGATTGTATGCGTCGAGCACGTCAGATGCAAGGATTACTCACCTCCTTGATCCTGTCCTGTGAGAGGGGAGAGCCGGGAGGTCCAGAAGGGGGAATAGAAGGGACGCAGATGGTCAGCAAGGTGAGGCAACTCAGCGCAAAGTAGAGGATCAGCCGGGAGATGAGGAAGATACCAGCGGCGTAAAACGATGTCGTCGGTCTGGAGTGGTATGGCGTACGCTCGACGGACGACCTCGTTTGCTGTGACGCTGCTGATGCCGCTGCCCTTGCCTTGGCTGTATGCCCCTTGTGGGGTCGAGCTGCGAGTGGGTACTAGTTGCGCTGGCTGGTGGCTCCTACTCACCATGTCTCTAAGTCTATGTGGTGGTGGTGCGAGGGGGCTTGCTGTGAACGCTGGAGTGGCGTGAGCTGAGATGAGTCTGGCGAGGTGGGTACTGGTAGTCGTGGTGACGAGGTGACGATGATACGGAAGGAGGCGGGGATGAGCGAGTGAGGCCCGGCTGCCATGTCGTCGTTCCCCTGTGCGCCTGCGCCTTGTCTGTTCCAAGCTGGCAGACAGGCGCCTCGCTTCACAACACAAACAGAGCAACACTGTGACAAACGCGCAGCGCAACCCCCGCCCTGCACAGACCCCCCCGCGTGGCGCATCTCGATCGGAATCGGAACCGGGCAAACCACCTCTCCTGCCTCCGATCCGATGCATCAGACGGAGCAGTGGGGAAGGGGCCACTAGCCAGCCCTATCGCCTGCCCTTGTACTACTCTTCGTCGCCAGTCACCTCGGACCCCACAACTCATCATCACCATGGATCACGAGGGCGGTGATAGAGCCCATGCAGGGCCTTCTTCACCCGCCAGTAGGGCTCAGCAGGAATGGCAGCAGGAGCTGGACACCCTTGATCTGCGTGAGACATCTAGTCATCCCTCGACCTCGGGCGCTGCTGCTTCCTCATCTCGGCAGCCCATAGTGGCCGACGATGACGATACACAGAGGATGCCTAGACCTCCTCCGCGCTTTGGCTATATACCCTGGGAGAGCACTTGGCGCGAAGAAGAGTCAGAGACGAATCTGACGCCACCTCACGAGGAACAGCCTTTCAAGTCCTTTTCCGGCCCACTTGCTGCTCAGGTCGTGGAACAGCAGCCGCGGCCTGCCTCTGGCTCATGGCAGGATACCGATAGTGACGATGACAATCGCGAAGCATACGATGGCTACACAGGTGGTCAGCCGATGCGGCGGTCCAGTACAAATGGCCACCTCTCCGATAGCGAGTCCACTACAGCCGACAATGTATGCAGGATATGTCGCTGTGGACCTGAGCCAGGTCAGCCCCTCTATCATCCTTGCAAGTGCGCAGGATCGATACGGTATTGCCACCAAGACTGGTGAGTCGCAGCGATCAGCGTGACAGAGTCCCCCTCCGAACTCCCTCTGACCACCCACCCCCTCCTCCTCATCCGCTACACAGCTTGAAGGAATGGCTACAACACTCTCGCAAGACACACTGTGAGCTTTGCCACCACACCTTTGCCTTCCACAAGATCTACTCCTCCTCCATGCCCACAGCAGTTCCCTTTCACCTGCAAGTCCGCTTCCTCATCAAGCGAATCTTCTCCTGGTCCCTTTTCCTCGTCAGGGCCGCCTTTGTAGTGGCAATCTGGCTCGCATTCCTCCCTTGGGCCAACATCAACTTCTTCAGGGGAGCTTTCTGGATCAGCGATGCTCTACTCTGGGTCAGCGGCGCAGGGACAGTGTCATGGTCTGGTGTGGTGTCAGAAGAGATGACGAGAACCTTGAATGCTCCTCCGGCTTCCGCCTCGGCTAGAGCAGCGCCCTCGCCACTGCCGACGATACCTTTGATGATGGGTCAGAACGCCAGTCGGAGCGCCTCGACAGACGTCGGGAATGGTCCGCTCCGGTCACTCGTCTCCATCTTTGTAGTGTTCAAGCCATCAAATATCGCAAAGGCGCTGCTTCATCCCATCAGTGGGGTTCAGAGGATCTTGTCCGTTGCCAGAGCGGGCCAGGAGGAGGTCATGTCCTGGGATTGGAAGACGCCAGCAAAGTGAGTCCGAGTAGAAGGCAGATCAGCTACGTTCACCCTGTTCATCTGCTCTCCTTGCCCCTCTTGCTCGCAGCTGGGTTAGTCAAGACATCTTCCAAGGCCAGATTCTCACCTGCTCCATAGTAGTCCTGGTAGTAGCTGCCTGGTTCACTCGAGAATGGGTCATCATGAATCTACCAGCTCACGTACCCGGCTTGGAAGAGCCTCGTAGAGAGGTGGACATGCTGAGGGAAGAAGAAGAGAGGAGACTGGCAGCGAGGAGAGCAGAGGTCATGCGAGAACTGCAACAGGAGTTGCGGCCCTTTGTGGCAGAAAGACTAGCTGTACCTCAAGGGGCAGAGCAGCAGATGCAAGGCGAGGCAGTGAACCCTTCTACTGCCACTGCGCAAGATGATGTCGCTCATCGGGATACATTCGACGAGCCTGGTGAGACACTGTCATCCCAGCTTTCAGGACTTGTCCCGGTCGATTTCGCACAGGCAAGTACCTCATCGAGCAGCCCACAACATCAGCAGGAAGGGGACGGGAGGTACGATCATGATGAAATGCGCCTCGCCCGCCTCGCCCGATTCTCAGCAGGGCCGATACTTGCCTCTGAGGAAGTGCCGTTGACAGGCCCGCAAGCTGTGGGGAGAGAGGAGGTCACTGAACCATCGATAGCATCGACAAGCAAGCTGGCGGATCTCGGAGCCCACAGCCCCTCAGTGGGGGAGGCTCCGGTGCACGACGACAATGAGCGCTTTACTACAGTGGGTGACGTGTATCGCTCGGCATCATCGGTTGCAACGCCGGATCAAGAATCCTTGCCGCCTACATTGGCCGATGACCAAGAAGGTCAAATCAGCACAGATAAGACAAAGGCAAAAGTCCCGTCCGATGAAGACACCACGCCTGTTGACGAGGCACAGGGCGTCCTGCCTGCAATGGTAGAAGACAGTCCCAGAGACGGACATGCAGCCGAAGCGGATAGCAGCTCATCTACCTTGAGTGAGGCGTCTCAATCTGCAGTCGAAGATGGAGACGATGAAGCATGGGGCAGCGACACGGGATCATCCCTTGCATCGTCCTCAAATGCCTCGCACGACGAAGATGATCCTCCTCGCAACCAGCATCAGCGGCGTGGTCAGAATGGTGCAGTACGGCTCAGGCGAGAAGAGAGGGAAGGAGCACCACCGCCTGAGCTTCCGGCCGCCCCGGCCGCCCGTGGGCTCCTTCCTGGTCCAGACCAGCAGCAGGTACGACACGCTCTAGGAGAGGCAATGGATGGACGACTCAACAATGCTGCTGCAGTTCAAGAGGCCTGGGAAGCAGAAGCTGCTGCCGCTGAAGCTGCAGCGGCTGCAGCCGATGCCGATGCCGACTGGGAAGAGGTGCAAGGAGAGCTTCAGGGCGTACTGGACGCAATCGGATTCAGAGGCGATCCCCTCAACGTCCTCGCAAACCTCTCCATCGTCGTCGCCCTGTGCTCCTTCTTCATCCTCCTCTTCATTGGCTTGCCGTACTTTGTGGGGCGCCTCTTTGGACTCGGCGCTGGTCTGGTCGAGTTCATCAGCGCTCCCATCAGGCTGGTCCGTCTCGTGACTGACCCTTGTTTCGACTGGCTGATCGAAGTAGTCTGGAAAGGCATGGGGCGAATGGGATGGCAATGGGCGACGACTGGGACCTCACAGGCTTCCGATCCGTCGACTGCCTCCAGCCTTCTACATCAAGTTGTGAATCTCTTTAGCAATGGAGAGGCGGCGGAGCGTACTCACGAGCCTGTCAAATCAGCTGTCAATTCCTTTGCGGGCCAGCTCTCCAAGATACCCTCGTGGACCTCCGACAATTTGCTGTATCCCATCGAAGCGCGGCTGGTCACTCGGGCCGTCACCACCTCGAATCAAGTCGTGTGCGTTTTTGTTGGACATCTCTGGTTGATGGCGTCTATTGCTACTCATATTGGCATTGGAGAGTACCGGAAGAGAAGACAGAAAGGAGCACAAGCTTCGAACAACGAGACGTTGGAAGAGCAGTGGGTCAAGGAAGTCGTCATACAGGTGTTGACGGTGGTCAAGGTCCTCGCCTTCCTCTGTATCGAGATCGTCGTCTTCCCGATTGGCTGTGGTATCACCCTCGACTTGTGCACTCTGCCTCTCTTCACGGGAACGCTAGAGTCACGCTACAACCAACTACTCAACAGGCCCGTCACTTATATCTTTCAGCTCTGGTTCATCGGTACCCTCTTTATGTTCCGCCTAGGCTGTCTCATCTCGCACATCCGCCGTACGCTTCGTCCGGGTGTGCTCAGCTGGATTCGTGATCCTGAAGATCCGGACTTTCAGCCCATCAAGGAGATATTGGAGCGCAAGACTATTACACATCTGAGGAAGATCGGGGCCAGCGCTACAATGTATGGTGGACTCATCGTCTGCCTATTTGGCGTCACTTGCTACCTCTTTGGTCAGCTAGTCAAGGGAACCGATCTGCTTCCTCTGCGACTCAGTGGACGACCTCCTTTCGTTCCACTCGATCTGCTCTGCATCGTCTTTGTGCTCCCAGCACTGGCCAAGCTGACTAGACCGCTCAAGCGCGGCTCAAGCATCTCCAGACGCTGGTGGCGCTTCGCTACGTACCGTCTGGGCATAGCAGAGTACTTTTTCGAACCCAAGAGGATCGCTGGACCAAAGAAGAGCGATGCCAAGGAGCCCAGCTTCTATGCTCGCGTGCCAGACTCGGACAATTCTATTCTTGGGTCTCCATTGATGATCCAAGTCGACGCGGGAGGTGTGCCGATCAGCGAAAGAGGCAAGGAAGCCCTGCAGGTCCAGGAAGAGAAGATTGCCAAGATGAAGGAGCCCAAGGCAAAGTACAAGGTCCTGCGCCTGCCAATAGGGTTCGGCAGACGAGTCAAGCTGCTGCTCTTCTTCTTGTGGGCCAGTATGGCCGTCGGAGCTCTCTTTACTGTCTTTGTCCCCATTGTCCTCGGGCGCTGGATTCTTGGGGATCAAGCGGACCACCATGACGTCTATGCCTTCACTCGTGGCATCATCGCCCTCTCCCCGGTCTTCCCCCTCGCTGACCTCCTCTCGCGCACACAGACGGCGCAACGGAAGTTGGATCGCCCATCCTGGGGTGGCGAGGGCAAATTGCAAGGGAACAGGCGCGCTCGAAGGGAGTTGCGCAAGTCTCTTTGGTGGACAAAGCCCACGACTCCTCTGGCGAAGAAGCGGTTGCGACTTAGAGTGCGCAGGTGGGCTTGGAGGGCCGGGAACGCTGCAGTGATCTTGGTGAGCTTTGGGCTGCTGATGCCTGCGATCGTGGGGTTGACTGTCGATCAGTGTGAGTATTAAGTGTCGCGGCGGTAGATCTCCTTCACACCGATGGCTAACGGCTCTCATTCTCTTTGTGGTCCTCTGATCTCATTGCTCCTTTCAGTACTCGTTGCTCCCATCCGTTTTTCGCCTACGCAAGTAGCGCAAACCTCCATGCCGTACGCCTGGGCCATGGGCCTTCTCGAGCAAGAAGTCTTTTATCGCGTCGTCATTCAGCGACTGAGACCAGACTGGTTTGCAGCGGCCAAAGAGACGTACCGCCGCGGTCTGCGTCACCCTGCCCCGCTCTTTTCCCTCCGTAAGGTCTTCCTCCCCATAGTAGGCAGCTGTCTGTTGCTCCTGTGCAGCCCGCTCCTACTCGCTGCTTCGATGGACTATTTCCTTCGAGCACTCGCCTCTTCCTCCCTGTCCTTCTCATCGGCCGAACCAGATGGCCCTACGCTCACACCAAAGGAGCGCTCCGCCTCCCTCCTCTATACCGCTCGCCTCACTATCCTCTTCCTCACCCTTGCTTTTGGTGGTGGGAAAGCCCTCGTGGGTCGGACGGGGCTATTTGAAGAAGAGCTGAGGGATGAAGTTTATCTACAGGCGAGTGAATTGAAGAATTATGAGGATGAGGGAAAGGAGGTTGGGGAAAAGGAGAAGGAGAAGAGGCAGAAGAGTAGGAGTAGGGAGAGGAGGAGAGGAGTGAGAGGAGGAGAAGAGTGAGAGGAGGAGAAGAGTGAGAGGAGGAGAGGAGTGAGAGAAGGAGAGGAGTTAGAGGAGATGCCGTTGCTGCTCCTGGTGGTGGTGGTGGTGCAGAAGGGCGAGAAGGGGTAGCAGAGCCTTTAGCTGGTTAAGCTTCAAGTCTAGGGAGCTATTTGATGAGCGAGATGAGATACCTTTGTGCCATTCTTCAAATCACACGCAGATACGAGGGAAGGCACATGACAATAGATCACTTCAGCCATTAAAGTCCAGTCCGTAGCGTGCCAGGCGCATCGAGACATTCCCTACGTCCACTTTCTTTTTCCGTACTTTCCTCGAACGTCCTAATGGGAAAGTTGTGGCAGTGCTGCCTCGCGTCGGATATAGGAGTGCCGACGATGGATGAATGATGAATGAATGGATGGTATTGGGTGGTAGGACTGCAGGAGAAGGCATAAGATAATCACCCAACTAGTCCCTCTAAGATGTGCTGCGATGTGACTAGTCCAAATGCTGATGACCGCGTCCAATGACTGACTGACTGACTGACTGACTGACTGACTGACCCACTGACTAACCGCGCCGCGTCGTGCTACCGCTCCTGCTGCTCCTCCTCCTCCCGCACCTGACTCCGCCGTTGCCAAGTTGCCTTCTTATCTCCCCATCCAAGACTCAACACGAGCCTCCTGAGCATCTCATTCGTCTTTACCTCTACTCCAAACGCCTTTCCAAGCTGGACAAGATAGCCATTCATATAGTCTATCTCTGTCCTTCCTCGACCTGGCTTCCAACCTTTGTCTACTGACCCCACTGAGCTTCGGTCGGGTCGAGAGACAAGTGGGGAACCACGCACGTCGGAGTGCATTGAGGAATAGTTCTTGCGGGTTTTGGTAGCTACGTCTCGCACCGCGGAGAAGAGGGCGGATGGGGTCAAGGAAGGGTCGAGTAGAGGCTTGGGGGGTGGGTCCGAAGGGTTGCCAGATGGGAGTGGTCGGTGGGTCACCTGCGTCCATGGCGCTATAGAGGGCCGCGGAGAACCTTTCCAGACCTTTGCAGAGTATTCTGGCATACGACGGGCTGAAGATGGTCCATCCATGTCGGCCTGGGCCGCAGCGAGGAAGACTTCAGCTGCTTCGTGGCATACCTCTGACCAGATCTGCTGCGCGTAGGGATCACCTACCAGCTGCCCATTCTGGCAGTCCATGATGGCAGTGAGGGGATTGATACAAGCATTGACAACTAGCTTGCGGAGTGCGCCGACCTGGTATGACTCGAGAGGATCCCAATGTACATCTAGGGGGAGGGAGAGCAGCGAAGCGAGGGTATACCGAAGAGTCAGATGGGAGGCATCTCGTGGGATGGCATTGAGATCGAGGCCGCTGAGGTTGCTCCTGGAGGTAGTGTCACTGTCGGGGACTCTTAGTGATGAGGTCGCACGTCCTTGCAGCCGCCTCTCGTATTCGGCTCTCCCTCTGGGATCCGGTATCAGCCCCAACCGCATGCTACCATAGCCAGCATGAATAGTCTGAAATTGACCCCTACTATAGCAGCCATGACTGAGATTCCCCAAGATGATTTGAGGGCGCGAAGCTGTATCGGGAAACACTGTATGTATGAGCTCGTCGACTACGCCCATACCATTCTGCAGCAAGACCACTGTTGAGGCTGGCGTCAAACGCTTCGAGAGGGGAGCTATAGCTTGAACAGTGGCGTCTGCTTTCGTGGTGACGATGAGGGAATCTATCGCATCGGGCCCCTTTGCATAGCCTGCTTGCTCCACAATTGAGGGCCCCTGCGGAATGGCGTTGTCAGGCCTGTCTCTCAAATGTCCACGTCTGCCATTCCGTGAGTTGCCGAATTGCTTTCGTGGCGTAAGAGGCTGCCCAGTGGAGCCAGCTTCGAGCCTGAAGCCAGTCTCAATGGAACGTATGCCGGCATGCTCTACGCTCGCTCCCGAAAACGCCTGAGCAACATACTCCCGCCTGAGGTGTAGTGTGACGCTAGTATCAGCAGCATTGGCGGGCAAGCCGGCAGTGATCTCCGGTGGTATCGGGTCGATTCCTGGGGTATGTAAGAAGCCTCTCTGTTGCCGCAGCCGTATTGATCTTCTGAGATGATACGATATCAGAGTCCCAATGGATCCCAGGCCGAGGACATGGAAGCGCATTGAGCCGCCACTAGCCTGGCCGTTTCCGCAACAAAACTATGCCAGCGCCAGAGGGAACCCCAAAATGAGGAGGAGAGCAGAACAGTGGCGCTGATATGATGATGGGAAGCGCTATGTAGAGGACCAGCTTCTGCTGTAGCACGTCATCAGTTGCTCTGACTACCTGTAGCCTGGGAGGTGTAGCGCAGATGAAATCGAAGCTGAGCTGGGAATGTTCGTGGAGCTACTCCGTTCGTGATCGCGAAGAAAGGGAAGGTGAGAAGGCGCTGAAGGATCTGTTCGATGGCCGTGAACAGTGTCCCTTGTGAGAAGCTCGAGCGATGCGAGTACCTTGGTGGAGCAGTGGCCCTGGTATGTGAGAATATCAGAAGGAAGTGGCCGCCAATTTCTTCTGATGCAGCACACTTTGGTCAGCCAATCGGGTGTCGGAACGGAATTGCGCCGGACCGGAAAGGAGGCAAATCTCGGCTGATTCTTTGTGCCTGCCGTGCAGCCGGCGGCTGGCTGCGACCCTCTCCTTGCCCTTTGCCATCCTTTGCATCCTTCCTCGGCCATTTGCTACCGTCCTTCCTCTTCGTCAGTCGCCTTTCCCGCTGCTATCTTTCTCCTACCTTATCCTCATATTCGACCATCCTCTCTCACCTAGCGCTAGCAGACAGTTCAAGCGCCTGCTGACCCTAGTCTACCTCACACGCTCTCTCGGCAGCAAATTGTGATTTGACTCAGCCCACTCCCGACTTCTTCCGTACCATGTCCGTGGTAGCTCGGACTTGGCTGCGCAGCAGGGTCGCCGCGCCTGCGCCCCTGCTCCTTCGAAGGACCCTCGCTACCGCGCCTCGCCTCCCGCGACAGATTCCTTCCACTGCGCCTGGTCCTTCGCGGTCGTTGGCGACCCATGCGCCGGATCTAGGCTCAAACGAGGTTGCATCCTCCGTCTTCGCACCTCTCGATAGCTTCGAGAAGCGTCACTTGGGACCCAGAGAACATGACATTGAGCATATGCTCAAGACACTGGAGTACACTTCCTACGACGACTTCATCGCCGACGCGGTCCCCAGCGATATCAGACTGGCAAAGGACGCGGTCAGCCCCGACACCATCCGACCCTTGTCGGAGAGCGAATTGCTGCGTCGTGGTCAAGAGATTGCAGCCATGAACAAGGTGCACAAGAGCTTCATTGGCATGGGCTATCACAACACTTTGGTTCCACCCGTCATCCTACGCAACGTCCTCGAGAACCCAGCATGGTACACCAGCTACACCCCTTACCAAGCTGAGATCTCGCAGGGCAGGCTCGAGTCCTTGATCAACTTCCAGACTATGGTCAAGTCGCTCACCGGGCTTGACATCGCCAATGCATCTTTGCTGGACGAAGGAACAGCAGCAGCAGAGGCAATGGTCTTGGCCTATGGTCAGTCCAAGAGCAAGAAGAAGACGCTTCTCGTTGATCGTGGCGTTCTGCCCCAGACCATCGCCGTCCTGCGTCAGCGAGCCAAGGGCTTCGGGATCAGGGTCCTCGTCACCGAGCTGCGGACTCCACAAGGTCATCAGCTGCCTTCTGCGGATGAGGTTGCCAAGGATGACATCCTGGGCGCCCTAGTCCAGTACCCCGACGTCGATGGTCGCATTACAGACTGGGAGGCCTTTGCAAAGGAGGTCAAGTCGGCCGGTGGTATGGTCATTGCTGCCACCGATCTTCTGGCCTTGACTATGCTCAAGCCACCTGGAGAGTGGGGTGCTGACATCGCCCTTGGCAACAGTGCTCGCTTTGGAGTCCCTCCTGGATATGGAGGACCTCATGCGGCATTCTTTGCTGTCTCTGACAAGCTGAAGCGTAAGATCCCGGGACGTCTCGTCGGTCTCAGCAAAGACCAGCAGGGCAAGCCGGCCTATCGACTCGCTCTGCAGACTAGGGAGCAGCACATCCGCAGGGAGAAGGCGACGTCGAACATCTGCACTGCCCAAGCCTTGTTGGCCAACATGAGCGCAATGTATGCCATCTACCACGGGCCGGACGGTCTGCGCAAGATTGCCGCCAAGGTTCATGCCCTGATACGGTTGCTCAAGTATGAGCTGACTCAGATCGGCGTACGCGTCGTCAACCGTGATGGTGCCTTCTTTGACACACTCACCATCGACCTAGCAAAAGCCAGCGTAGGAGCCGTGCGTGTTCACGCCGAAGCAGATAAGGCTGGTATCAACCTTCGTCGTATCTCAGACACGCGTGTCGGTATCACTCTTGACGAGACTGTAGGTGTAGAGACCTTGACCGATATCCTCAATGTCTTTGCCCTCGCTTTGGGAAGCAGCAAGGGCAAGGCAGCTGAGGAAGGCGTCGTCGCGCCATACCGGCCTGCGCACGTACTACGTATCGCTCAAGACCTCTCGCTCGATGCAGAGTCGCTGGAGACTCTGGAGATCTCGACTCCTCCTGCTAAAGAGCCAAAGATCCCAGCATCTGCTCAGTCTGGTGTCGCGACCTCACCGCAAGCTGCCAAGGCTGGCGTCAGTCAGCAGTCTCTGCCCCCAGTGCCCGACTTCAAGCGCACCTCAAAATACCTCACTCAAGAGGTCTTCTCCGAGCATCGCTCAGAGACGCAGATGTTGAGGTATATCTACCACCTTCAAGGCAAGGACCTTTCGCTGGTCCACGCGATGATCCCCTTGGGAAGCTGTACTATGAAGCTCAACGCCACTTCATCAATGATGCTTCTTTCCAAGGCTGAATTCGGTTCCCTTCACCCCTTTGCGCCTGAAGAGCAAGCGCAGGGTTACGATGTCATGATCCGTGAGCTTTCCCAGGATCTTTGCACCATCACTGGCTTCCCTGCCGTATCTCTCCAGCCCAATTCCGGAGCACAGGGGGAGTTCGCTGGTCTGAGTGTCATCAGGGCCTATCTCGATGGCAAAGGGCAACAAAAACGTACCGTTTGTCTGATTCCGGGCTCAGCCCACGGTACCAATCCGGCTTCTGCCATCATGGCCGGCATGCGGGTCGTTGCCATCAAGAACAAGGCCGACGGAACTCTTGACCTGGAGGACTTGCAAGAAAAGGCTACTGAGCACTCAGAGGAGCTCGCCGCCTTCATGGTTACGTACCCGTCGACTTACGGAGTGTTTGAGAGTGGGATTCAGAAAGCTTGTGAGATTGTGCACTCACACGGCGGTCAGGTCTACATGGACGGTGCCAACTTGCAAGCCCAAGTTGGCCTGACCAATCCGGCGATCATCGGCGCAGATGTGACTCACTTGAACCTTCACAAGACCTTCTCCATCCCTCACGGCGGAGGAGGCCCCGGAGTCGGCTGCATCTTGTGTGCCGAGCATCTGGCTCCTTTCCTGCCGGGCCACCCTCTGGCATCGGTGGGCGGAGAACAGGCCATTGGGCCCATCTCCGCTGCCCCCTTCGGTAGTGCTTCCATCTTGACCATCTCATGGGCGTACATCAAGCAGCTCGGCTGGACAGGACTTCGCAACTCTTCTGCCCTCGCTCTTCTGTCGGCCAACTATATGGCCGCTCGTCTGGCTCCCCACTACAAGCTGCGCTACACGAATGAGAAGTCTCGGGTCGCTCACGAGTTCCTCTTGGACCTGGCTCCGTTCCAGTCCCACATTTCCGTATCCGATGTAGCGAAGCGATTGTCGGACTATGGTTTCCATGCCCCCACTTGCTCGTGGCCCATCAGCACAGGGCTGCTCATCGAGCCGACCGAGTCGGAGTCGCTTCAGGAACTCGACCGCTTCTGTGAGGCAATGATCTCCATCCGATCAGAGATTCAGGATATCATCGATGGCAAGTCCCACTCCGAAGAGCACGGTAACGTTCTCAAGAATGCGCCACATACTGCCCAAGTCGTAACTGCTGACAAGTGGGAGCGGCCCTACTCCCGAGAGTTGGCTGCTTACCCCGTCGAGGGTCTGCGTGAGCGGAAGTTCTGGCCCGCGAGCGGAAGACTGGACGATGTTCACGGAGATCAAAATCTGGTCTGCGAATGTGGCAGTGTGGATCAGTATGCCGAGTGAGTAGTGAGGCAGCGTAAAGGCTACCTTGCCCTCCTGTCTTGCGGTCTTGCATTTCCTCCGTCATCTTCAACGTGACGCCACCCTTTTCCCCAGCACCTATTCCTTGACTACCAACTTTTCATGCCCTGCCGTTCCACCGGCCCGCCCCCGCCCCTAAGACGATATGTCCCATTTGCATCGCTTCAGTCTCTTCTCATGCGTTTTTGCGTCACGAATCTATATCCCAATGTTCTGTCCAACTTCTCTCCCAATTTTGCGTGTACAGAACGTCGGGTCGGTGGCGCCTGCATCAGTGTGGCTGTTCGACCGAGGTATGATCGGCACACAGGCACGCACGCAGGCACGCACCTGATCGGTGCAGTGGGCAAGCAAGCAGGTTTGAGATGATGTGGTCGAGGAGAAGGCGGGTACACTTCCCCTCTGCCCATTGGGAACAAAGGAGGGGGCTTGGCTCGCATATCACACACACATACGCCCCGGGAACCCGGATGCAGCCTGCAGTGGGGGGCCGGCCCTGAGCTGCCCCGCTTGAGCGACGAGTACGGTACTAGCCGGCAGCTCCCCGCATCACCCTCGACCAGGATCGGAGTGGTGGCAGCAGAGGAATCAGTGGGACACATGCCTGGTGAGCCGTTGGTGCAGGCAGCTGTGCTACTACTTTCCGGGGAAGCCGAGGGAGGACAAAGCGCCACGGGAAGCGAGCCTGGGAATCTGAGGTTCTACCCCTAAGACAATGAGGGCGATCGATGCCTTGGACCAGACATTCCTCCGTCCCGCGAGCTTAACTCGAGGCGCACGTCGGCCCTCGAATGTCACGCCACGCCTCCCGATCAGACAGGCGACGTGGCGCTGTCAGGCCAATGACAAATTCAGCCGACTCCGACGCCTCGTCTCCTCCGCCGGGGCTGAAAATAACTGCCCTACGGCCCGCTTCAGACTCAGCCCAGAATCCAAATCGCATTCTCCCCCCCTCTCGATATCACTGCACCCCCCACCGGCTTACGCTTACGCTTACCCACCACTACGCCTGGGTACGGAGGTGGTCGAAGTTCAGTGAACAAAGGGAGAGGCGCAAGGGTGGACCGGTGTCCGAAGTCTCACGGCGGATCGATACCAAGCCTCCTGGTATGCATGCATTGGGAAAATGTGGCCTCATTATCGACAACTTCGGCACGATCGCCGTATTTTCCAGGGGAGAGGTAGCCTTGATCATATAAGGTCTACCTCTGACCAAGTCGGGAGGACCCTGCTCACCTCGTCTCCATATTACTCGTCTCTCCCCCTTCTCTCCCTTCCCCCGCCCTCCCTTTTCCTCATCCCCCGCCTCTCGTACTAACACCCTCCCGACCTTCATTTGATCCTCCTCCCCAATTCTTGTCGTGTTAGCGTTCTACAGCCTCACTCTATACTAGGCTTCCCACACTCTCTTTCTCACACTCCTTTCCAGACTAACACTTTCAAGATGAAGCTCACCATCCCCTTCCTCGTCCTGGCCTGCGCCTGCCTCCCAGCTCTTCTGGTCGAGGCTGCTCCCGCTGCCATTACCACCCGGACGTCTACGGTCACCCTCTCTACCGCCACTCAGACACAGACCAAGACCATTCTGTCGACTGTGCCCGTGACGACGACCAAGACAAAGACTGTTGCTACCACGGTCCCCACTACTGTCGTCACAACAAAGACCAAGACAGATGCCACAACTGTTCCCACCACGGTTGTCACGACCAAGACCAAGACCGTAGCGACAACTGTTCCCACCACGGTAGTCACGACAAAGACCAAGACTGATGCAACTACAGTCCCCACCACGGTAGTCACGACAAAGACTCAGACTGTACCGACTACCGTCCCCACCACGGTCGTCTCTACAAAGACTGCCACTGTGAATGTCCCCACTACCACTACACTGACAACGACGGCTGCAGGTAAGGCTACCACTGTGACTGCCGGAAAGGTCACCAGCACGGTCATCTCGGTGCAGCCTACGACTACCACAAAGACCACTACCGTTGAGACGACCATCTCTGGAAAGGCAACTACCGTCGTGTCGACCTTGACGCAGGCGACCACGGCCACTGTCACTGACGCCACCACTGTCACTCAGTCAGGTGCTGCCACTACGGTCACTGACTCTACCACTGTCACCGAGAAGGGCGATGCTGTCACCGTCACTCAGACGGCCGATCCCGTCACTGTCACCCAGCCTGCTGACACTGTCACTGTCACCGACGCTACTAACGCAACTGCAACTTCTACGGTCACCGAGGCCGGAGATGCTGTCACTGTCACCAAGACTGCCGACACCGTCACCGTCACCCAATCTGCTGACACTGTCACTGTCACGGACGCAGCTAACGCAACTGCAACTTCTACCGTTACCTCTACCGAGACTGACTCGGCTACCGTCACAGTCACTGCAACGGAGACTGCTGCCACGTCTACGATCACTGCCACCGAGACTGGTGCCACGTCCACCATCACCGCCACGGAGACCGGTGCCACATCTACTGTCACCGCTACGGAGACTGACGCTACTTCTACAGTCACTGCCACTGAGACCGACGCTACTTCCACAGTCACCGCGACGGAGACCGGTGCTACCTCCACCATCACTGCCACCGAGACTGGTGCTACGTCTACTGTCACTGCTACCGAGACTGACGCTACCTCCACCGTCACTGCCACGGAGACTGACGCCACCTCTACGGTCACTGCCACGGAGACCGACGCTACCTCCACAGTCACCGCTACCGAGACTGATGCTACGTCTACGGTCACTGCTACTGAGACCGGTGCCACCTCTACGGTCACTGCCACGACCACCGACGCTACAGTCGAGGCAACCGCCACTCTCACTGATGCCACTTCGACAGTTACTGCCACGGAGACTGCTGCTACTGCCACAATCACTGCAACGCAGACTGACGCTACCTCCACTGTCACTGCCACGACCACCGACGCTACAGTCGAAGCCACGGCCACTCTCACTGATGCCACTTCGACAATTACCGCCACCGAGACTGCTGCCACTTCCACTGTCACTGCAACGGACACCGAGACTACTATTGAGGCGACTGCTACTCAGACCGATGGCACTACTACCATCACCGCTACGGAGACTGGTGCCACCTCTACGGTCACCGCCACCGCCACGGAGGTCGACGCTACTTCGACTGTCACTGCCACCGAGACCGGTGCTACTTCAACGGTCACTGCCACGGAGACTGATGCCACTTCCACAGTCACCGCCACGGAGACCGGTGCTACATCTACTGTCACCGCCACGACCACCGACGCTACCGTTGAGGCGACAGCAACCCTCACTGACGCCACCTCCACTGTCACTGCCACGGAGACCGGTGCCACCTCCACGGTCACTGCCACGCAGACTGATGCCACCTCTACTGTCACCGCCACGACCACCGACGCTACCGTTGAGGCGACAGCAACCCTCACTGA